ATGTTACGGGTCAACTGCCAAAGGCGGTTTACTCGAGGTGGCTTCTTGAGAATAAGTAGTGCAACAGGGATATGAGAAGGGGCTTTGTATTCCAATGGGTAAGTTGGTAACATGAGTTCAACACGAACAGACATAAGGTCCATTCGTCCTACCTATATATGTAAGTTAGATACAAAGGGAATATGTAGTTGCTCTGTTGCTCTGTGCTTGGATCCTCAGATCTTACAGAGCAGATGCTCTGCTGCTCTGCACCTTGATCCTTCAGATCACAGAGCACCCTCTCTGCCTTAGGCACTAGTCACGTGACGGTTTGACGCTCGTGGCCGTATGTCCTTGTCCTCTAACGACTGGCTGTCGTCGTTCCCTTCTGTCTTCTGCTGTGCCGTGTCACGGGATCGTAACAGAAAATACCTATTTACTCTAGTCTTTGTCGCGATATTAGAGGGCCTATTGTAACCAATAAGTAGCCTATACCTCTATTAACTCTAGCCGGCCTTTTGTATACTAGTAGAGTAACTCTTTGTCGTATAGAACCTTCTTAACCGTATTATTATAGTAATTGACCTAGACCCTGTACTAGAGGGCCTTAAAGGTCAATTTCGGCTCTTTTCGTACAGCTCGAATTAGTAAGCGACGCTCTCGTGCTGTAACTACAGTAGGCCGGCCGCCACGTTGCTAGTTCAGAGTGTAGCCTCGTTAGTTATATCGGTTAATTATAGATCGAACTGTTAAGTCTAGTACAGATTTGGCCCTTGAAATCTTTGCTAGTCTGGCACCTTTAAGATAGCGACTAACAATCCGGTTCTTTTTCCTATTATTAAGTTCAGATCGAGACCTTTCATTTGAGCTAATCGGCTCTAGAATACGACGTAGCATAGTTGAGATATCGCGTATTGAATAATGTAAACAAAACAGCCTCGGGGGTGGTGCGGCGAAAATCGCGAAGACTTAGTGACTAGTACTGTATACTCTATTACGAGAGTATATAGATCGTAAGGAGCAGGTCACCTAACCCTTGGGATTAAAAGGCCCTAGTGCCCGCTATGCTGGCGCAGACCGTCCAAATTTGTTTCAGCTATATGTAACACGAATTTCTGCCCATATCACGAGCGCTAACGCAGAGAATCCCTTGAATTGCTCACGCACCCTGCTCACAGTGGAACCGTCTCCGTTTCTCCAGTTTCGGAAGCAACGAATAGCTTTCTGGTAGATAGGGATGGCAGCTATTACCAATGCAGTTCCAAGCGCGGTAGCTTGGTCGAGATCGCGCAGCCTTGAGCCAGATTGAGGTACACCAAGTGCAAAAGTGTGGATGCAATCCTCTCCTTCTTCTGGAGTCAAGAAGCCTTGTCTGAATATCAAGAACGTGGACAAAGCCGTAGCAACAACATAAAACCCGGCTTCCCAGTGGAGTCTCCGGAGGCTGTTCGATCGTAGCGAAGTACACCCTCCGAGGACCACAACAAAGGAAAAAATGGCAAAGAACGCGCGCTGGTCGAAAAAGAGGAGATGAGATCCGTCCTGTTTTGGTAACACTGGGAAAAGAACCAAAGCCCAGTCGTAAGTAGAGGTCACTAGCAGGATGATCCAAATGCGCACTCTGTTTGTAGATGGCATGCCTTCGATCGGGAGTTGCCCAAGCTCGTACGTCCTCTTCGGGCGCTTGAACATAAGTACTGTAATAACGAGATACGCTAGTAATTGCGCCGACTGAATGACTGCCATTGCGGCACGAATCTGCGTCCGGTTGCGTTCGGAGAAGGATTGATATAATGCATCCGCTGCTGCAATAATCGGGTAGGCAACGGTAGCAATGAAGCCCGGCTCATAGATATCCTTGCGCCCAGCTTTTGCTGAGAAGGCTTGGCCGTCGAGGTCGAGTTCGATCGGATTAGGACCACCTTCGCCCTGCACTTCCGTTTGCGGTAGCAATGGATTAGTCTGAGTATCAGCGTCATGCGATGGATCGTGCGATGGTCTCGCGGACAACTCGTAGTTCACGACCGTACTGATTGCAGTAATGAGCCACGCCCAGAAAGCCCCGGGACCATAGTAGCTGTTCACGGTCGCCGTCGCGTCAGAGTCGATGCAGTGGAAATAGCCAATCGAGCCCGCTAGGACCGCAAGCGAAGTTGCGATGAAGAGAACGAAGACCACGACCAGGAAGATGTACCAGGTGACCGAGCGAAGAACGAATGACAAAAACCGTAGGAAACGTCGGAAGCTCCAGCCGGGCATAGTAAATTTTCTTCGCTTCAGCTTGAGCGGAAGTCGTAACAACTAATAATATTTCTTATTCCGACGCTATGTGACCCTCGTCGCACCCAAACTGCGCAAGGCGAGGGCTGGCGTGATAAGCGGAATCGCAGTTGATAGGTTTATCATTTAATTACGTAATCGGACGAGTTGCTTACGCTGCTGCTAGAAGAAGATCTGTACTTGGTTGCTACCAAGGCGAGACTTGGCAAGGTCGAGAGATTGAACTTCGAAATAGCGCTTCTATCCAGACTCGCGGAAGAATAACTAGCAGCGGTGTCCTTCGGCTGTTACGGTCTGCCTTGGTGCGGACCGTAATAGTATACTAAGCTTTTCGTATCTAGCGAGGAGGAGGAGCCTACGGCGAGGCAAAGGATGCAGGACGGATTGGACTTCCTTTGTGACGCTGGCGGCCCCTAGCTAATCGATGATAGAGTAAGATCAGTGCCGGAAACGGTGGCAGGGTGGCTCCAATTCGACGTCGTATTTGCGAGGATAGCACAGGAGGCTGGATCATGTACGAAATGATTCCAAAAGAGACGGTCAGCCCTAAAGAGAGAACGCCGTTAGTGACGAAGACATATCACTTGTGTGGTCGCACGCGTGGTCACTGAATCTTAGTAAGTATCGCTTTGGAATGATTTGCTAGCTCATTATGGCTTTTTGGCAGAGTCAGGCGACATTGACGCGCTGCTGTGGTACCGGGAATGGGTTTCAATTTTGTATCTTATGTTAAAGAAATGGACAATGAAGAGGGTATCCCTGTCAATATAATTACAACGTCTTCTTGCCCTTTAGCTCCATGGGCTGTCCCACTACCACACCACGATAAAGTGCATCGGCCACACCTCTTGGTACACCATCGCTCAGCTTTGTGATTGGTCTGTATCCCAATCTCGTCTTCGCCTTCTCGATATTGTAGTATCGCGTCATGCATGCATATCGCACTTGTTGCCGAGTCAAGTTGGGCTTTCCCAGATTGAACGCCCAAAATACCCACTCAAATATCGTTGCGATAAACAATCCAAAGTCTTTGCTCAGAATCCACACCTGATCGGGGGTTGTCTTGTCGCCAGCCGCAGCCCACAATGATCGGGTGAAGTCGAAGAAGTACACGGGTGAGTCATTGGTGATGAAGAAAGCCTCGCCATCGACCTTTTCGTTGTCGAGTGGTGCTGCGAGACCCTTGCTGATGCGCTCATGTGTTGCAAGAAGCGCGGCAGCGGCGAGGTGATGCGAGTGCGCGGCGTTGGTGATCTCGGTGAAGTCGAAGAGGTTGTCATTCGGGCCAAGTTGAACGCGAGTCTGGCCACGGTAGTATGCACTCATCGCCGGAGGGATGAGTTGAACATCGCCTTCGCCGAACATTGCGGACGGTCGAATGGCTGCAGTGAGGAAGTTGGGGTATTCCTTGGTGCGGTTTGCGGCGAGCACATTGATCTCAGCTTCTGCTTTGGTTGTGGTGTAGTATTCCGCCTGCTCCTTGCCCATGATCAACGGGTATGTCTCGTCCGCATTGATAAGATCGCTGACGGTGTCATGAATGACGCTGGCAGAGCTGGTGTACACGAAAGCCTTGACACCCGTCTCTTGCGAAGCCCGAAGAAGAATCTTTGTGCCCTCAACGTTGACCTTGTGCATAATATGCTTCATGCTGCTGCTGATCATGATGGGGCTCGCTGTGTGAATGACAACATTGTATTTGCCCTTCTTGAAGAGCTCAAGCATGGTGTCATAGTTGGTGATGTCTCCCTGGACGTACTCGACGCCAGCTGCGGGTGTTAGAGGGGCTTTCAAGTCGAGAACAGTAACTTTCGAGCAGGCCTTGCGGGCGACCAACAGGTTGACGATGTTGCCTCCCAGGAAGCCTGAGCCTCCAGTGATGAGAACATGACCCAGCGAAATCAATTCATCGCTGCTCATGATTGCGGTTGCGATGTTGTGGACGTTGTCGCAAGGAAGGAGGATGCCGTTGCTCAATGGTTGTGCTTGGTACAATTCCTTGTGAAGCTCACTATTATCAGGGTTCAATGCGCGGCAATGCTATTTCTTCCACTTTCGGTTTAGCGCTTAAGCCGGCATCGAACCACTTCTGCACGGAGGAGAAGGATGAACCTCCTAAAAAGTAACCATACACATTCTCGATCATGGTCCTACACATCTACGCCGAGCATCTCGTCCATATAAGGACATTGTCTATTCAAGCGTCTCTTACTTCTTTGAGCAACTCCTCTACGAAAGCGTCCATTTGCGCTGATAGCAAGACTATCCTGCTGACACACACAGGCGAAAATGCTCGCCTCGTACTACCGGCTTGCGTGCCTGCGAGCCTTGTTGACACGGAGCTGAGAATATCGCAAGACACGTCAAAAGACCTAAACTTCAGGATACCACTTGGAGACTTGGTCAACGGTCCTTCAGATTCAGAGCAGCCCAAACATTTTATTCCCGGCGATGATGACAGTACAGCACCGTGGTCCGCACGCGCTCTAAACTCAAACGTCCAAATCTCTTGTTCACAATGCCAGACCATTGTCACCGAACGAGGCAGCATCAAGCTGTGGAAGGATTTGCCATCGGAGAATTGGGCTGAGATGATGGACTTTTGGCATTGCCATCGTCCGCATGTCCCGCACGACGCACAAAGTGCACTGAAGAAGGGCTATGCGGCAGACAGTAAGCTTGCTCTACTGCCAAGCGTCGGTATGGTCGATCGCAGTCATTTCGTATTACATCCTGATGATTGCAGGAATCTTGAGGTAGGTCACCTTATTTACTCACGCTCGGTAGCAGGCAAGCTTTACGTGTGTGTGTCTGGCTCCGCGCTGTTTCTCCCTTCTCCTTTCGCTAAACAAACCGTCATGGGCACGAAAGAACCGGCCCTTCCAGACTTCCACGTCACCCTCGAGGGAAGCGTCGGGATACAAATGCCCCAGAGCGATGGGATCAAGGAAGCGCATATTCAGTGCCAGCCCTTGAGGTTGGTCTGTCATAGCAATACCCTGGTTCCTTAAATTCTATACGTTTCACCGGCAAGTCATAAGACCAATGGACTAAATACGGGATATAAGCTGTAGATACATGACCAGAAATCCAAATTCTTCTTTTCAACGATCATTTCTTCTCCATCTTTTTTGTTTCGTCATCACGACAAGTGCAGTGCTGACATTCGTACAGAAAGTCGATGAACCCATTGTAGAGGGTTCAAATGGCGGCAGCGCCCTCGAATGTACAGAATGCAGAGCTCTCATCGGCAGCATCGACCTCTCAAGCGACGGTCACAAACTCCGCAAGTCGCGTCTCGCGCTCTCCCTCAGCCCCGAGCAGCCGCCAGTCTTCTTCCAATCAGAACTCTGGTTGACGAGCCAACTCCTAAATTCCATCTCCACCCAAGGCGTCCGGAAATTCACCGTCGTCAGCGGCACATCGCCATCCTCGACCTCTAGAGCCTCATCGCACGTCCCGAATCCTCTCAACATCTGGATCTTTACCCCTGATCTCAAGATTGCATCCACAGCCTCACCTTTCAAAACGCCACTACGAGTCGCGAAGATTCTCTGGAAGGACTCCGAAGCGGTTTTCTCGGGCACAGACGAGGGACGCTTGGACAGGAAAGCATTGTCGCAGGGTCATATTGAGATACCGGAAGATGAGATGTCTGAATTACGGGCTTGTCTGGAGGGGAGTGCGAGGCTGTTGCCGGAAGGCGGAAGGGAGTTTCGGGGTTGGAGGGTTGCGCTCATGGAGAGGTTTTGATGGATGTATATTTGTGTATGTAATCAATCGAACGGTCGAGAAAGAGACATGACTACTCGCGATAGGACTATCTGTTGAAGGTACGACACAAAAGTCACGGCAGCTCGTATAACAGAACCGATAAAGTCTGTCCAAAATCACTCGACTCAGAATAATCTAGATTCCAAAAAAAAACCTTGAATTTGAGTGAAAGCGATAAATCTAATACAGTATTGCAAAGTGGAGATCACATAAGACTTGATAGCATCAAAAAGGAAATATAATCGATGGGCCCTGTCAACATGGGGACTGCAGGGAATGTAGCATCAAAGAGAGACGGAAATGATAGGAGAGACATGATAAGCACCATCGCGGATCGCAGACAGCGTGTGCACAAAGGTAGAAGAGATAGTGAGTGTTTGGGACAGCGCGCTTGGAACGCATGTCTCGCAGATAAAAGAAAAATGAAAAGGCATGCCCTTGACGACGTCAGGGAGACGGCTTGTACTGTTTTGTTCAGAAAGCCATACCAGAAAGCACCATCATACTGCTCCTCTGGATAGACTTTCCCGCCACAGTCGCCACAGCCGCGATGTTCATGTCCCGCTTGACAACAGGCGTTGAGGTGCCCGATTGTGGGCGGCTGAAGCTCCATACGCTCGAGCGCTTCGGCATCGGCGGGCGCGATCGGGAAGCCGCAGCGGAAGACGAGTGAGATGCAGCGGTGTGACTCATGCTCACTACAGACTCGGACGCAGCCTTGCGGACACGTGGACGGCTGCTACGTCCTTGATGTGTTGGCGTTGAGGGCTGCGACGGTGAGGGGCGCATGCTGCTGCTCGCTGTCAAGCCCGCAGTCGTCATGTTGGTCGTTCCCACCGTGGTGGGGCCCTTCTGCCAGTTTCCAGCGGCGTCGAATTGGTCGTCGAGGTTGGTGGAAGAGCCGTATGCGGAATCGAATCGTGCAGAGATGACTTCCTCCTTGAAGGCGCCGTTTTCATCCGCCTCTTGGATGGCAGTCTGAATTCGAGTGAGGATGAGTGAAGGCAAAGCTCGGGCGTCGGCATCATCCAAGTGCTGTTCGTCATCGTCAACGGATGAGTGCCGGCTCATCGCCCGAGAGTGGTGAGAAGACCCAGTGCGGGACGCGTGGGAAAAGTATCCGGCTGATGCTGTGGTAGCAGGTCGTTGTCGTTCTGTGGCCTGACTAGAGCCACTGTGTACTGCGGCTTTGTGATGCGATGAGGCAATCAGTGGCTCGACCTCTTGCTGGAGAGCATCCTCGTTGGTATGCGCGCGAGGCACGAGAACAGCAGACGTTGTGAGTGAACTCTTCCGCGACAGCTCACGGCCACGCGGTACGTGAGCGACAGTATTGCCCCCAACCTGCAGTGAGGGTCGACGGCCTTCGTATGATGGTAGTGGAGTAAATTCTTTGGGGACCGAAATTGACTTGCGCGGCTGTTCCTCGGAAACCTCTACGATTTCCTGCGCTCGCGGCTCCTTCTTCCATCCAAATGATGACATACGGTTCTTCACCTTCTGACCAAGGCCATGCACGGTGACGCTGATCCTTTTTGATGCGGGCACCTTGCGATGTTCGTTTGGAGGAGGTGAGATCTCGTGTAAGGGCGACACTTCGTGTACTTTGGTGGTCAAACATAGCTTAACCTCTCGGGGAGCTCGTGTTTCTGTTGTTTGCGGACGTCGCTGCATCATGAGTCGAACTGGTTCATGATCAGCTTCAGGACCACCGTGTTGAATGCATCCAGGGAAGAAATGCGGGGCGGGCTTCTCTTCCTCCCACGGCCGATAGACGGGCTGACGCTTTTGTTGCTTGAACCCGCCATATACCTTCTCCTTGATGTTCGAGAATGTTGAATCGGCCTTGGAGGCTGCTCTTTGTCTTGCGCTGCGGGGTGCAGGGAAACCAGTTGAAGCATACGGGCTCTCGTGTGATTGAGCGACGCCTGTGGAGGGTCGGAAAATGCTCTCGGTCATGCGTCGAGGCGCTGCTGTGCTTGGTCGAGCACTTTGAGGGTTCATTCGCGGTTTTAGATCGATTGTGCTGGCCGATCGAAACTCTCTCACGGTCATGGGCAAAGTTGAGAAGGATTTCGATGTGACGGTAGAACGACCGGTCTTTGTCGGGTATGGTAGCGCCTGGCGTTCGCTCTGTAGCGCATCGTTCAATTCGATATACGAATGGCCGGCATGCTGATTGAACTCGTTTGGCATCGTTCGAATATGTCCTTGCGCCATAAGCAAAGCCATAGGAAATCCTCTCGGCTGCGGCTTGCGGATTGGTGAACAGGGTGATGTGATAATCAGATAGTCGTATTTGGTGTGTTTGTATAGTGAGATCGGCAAGCAATTGCGATGTCCACTGTGGGATCGAACGAATGTTTGAAAATCCAAAAGAGGGACAGATGATGCTCAAATGGACGATGAGAGCCTCAACGGTGGGTACATGTACAAGTGCCTCGGACAAGGAAGGCCAAGAACAATGATCTCAGAGCAGAGGATTTGTGCCAGCTATGGTTTGCACAGATAAAGCAGGAAGAATTTCCCAGGGCAACGGCCATAGCAAACCCTGAATCTTGCAGCCGCATAGGACATAATCCTCGCAAGCACACCTGCGGCTCATGGGAGTTGAAAAGGCTAAAAGCTCGTGTTCATCACTAGATCAAATAGAGTACCTGAATACATCCTGCCTGGAAGACTTGAAGCCAACCACGTGTTTCACGCTTGATTGCCGCTCAGGTTGTAGAATCTCAATGGCTGCAGGAGCTCGCGCTCTTTGACCAACAATTCGCTTCCTACAAGCCACAAGCCGTCTCGGGCATGTGGTGACCTTGATCAACCGAGAAAACACATCGATACGACCTCACACATGTGAACCTTGAACTCTGCGAGTCTGGTGATCGAGCGAGTTCGGAGCTTCTTGGGGACATTTTCTTGGTGTGCAGCAGAAGCTGATAAGCGTGAATACGGCCGCACGCGATCACAACGGTCGCTTGCAGGCATCATGACAACTCAAAGGCTAATCCACGCACTGCATGGAGGCACTCTTGAACGATTAAAATTATACCGGAAAATAAGGAGATGAGGTTGTGGAAAAGGACACCGGCCGGCCCGCGCCGGTCTCATGCCCTACAGCTTGGTCACAATTGACAAAAGAAATACCCTGGAATATCTTCTCCAGCAGCTTTCAACACGTCGCATGGCACTCGATGGTCTCGTCGAAGCGACTGTGATAAATCCATCAAGCATCAGACCAATCTTCCTCACAATTCGACCCATACAGCACATCGTCTCATACTTCACTCTAGATGGTACTTTGTGTAAAAGCACAAGACCAATGTTGCTGCAAGGCGCTAATGCCGGCCGCTTTGACCGAGGTGCGCTTGGCCCTGGCCCTGGACCTAAAAAGGCTACTCCCGCAATTTCTCCTCCCATGAAACAAACCAAAAAACTCAAGTGGAGCAGCCGTATGTCATACGATCGGCATTTCTCCGTGCACACGCAGGACGATCAAACATTCGCCATGCTGATCTCAAGCAGATCGATCATCATGCTGTATTATGATAAGCCTGCTCATATCCTCTTTTTGCTAAGAAGTGTTAATCAGGAGAAACACAGCAGCCTTCGTCGTCGGGCGGGAATCTGGACTGGAAGAGTGTAAATCGAAGCGTGCCCTCGGAATTATTTCGCAAAGACCAGAGTACCCACAGCCGAGAGCCGAAACCATACTATGACATGCAGTGCATACGACCTTTCTTGCCTCTTTTTCGCCCTATACAGGAGGCAATTCCCCAATGAAGAGTGTGGGGAATGTACGGCCGAAAGGCTGAAGGAGTGGAGAGTCTGAGCTGACGGACTGATTTCAAGCTGGTCAAACGCGTCACGTCTACTGAATTTGGTGCCTTCGCGTCATGCCTAAAAGTCAAAATTTGTGCCCTGTCCGTGCCGACTACCGGTACGAGATGCCAAGCTGTGCAGGAACGCCAAAAATGTGTGCAAACATGTTCATCGCCATGCTGCGTTTCCGATACAGTATTGTTGCCTCGATCGCGAACTCCTGTGCGACGAGCGAACACAGGTCTAGAAGAAGATAGTTGCTCCAAGCTTGCTTTGCACAAGAGCCGCATAAAAAGTGCTCGTTGACACCTTTGAGAAACTTGCCAACTTCAGATATCGCCCAGACCTCCCAAGCTCAAAGACAAAGCACCATGTTTTCTGAAATGTCCGAATGTGATACTTTTCGATGCAGGCACACCGCTCTATGCCACGTCAGAAAGCCAAAACGCGACGGGACATTATCACATGCTTGTGCCAAGAATGCCCTCCTCGAGTCTACGCGGCAGCACGGACCGTTGTCGCCGTTGTCTCGGAATGGGACTCATCAATTGCGTGACGGTGCATGCAGCATTCGCCCTTCGTCAGCACTTTCTTCGAACAGGACGACACGAGAGCTTGTGAGGCCTCTGATCCTTGTCAAGGGACAATCACATTCGCCTCTGTCGTCGATCACCATTTGATTGCTTTCGAAGGGTCCTTCTGCCGACCACGTTTCATCCTAGGATATGGGCTTCTCCTGCCTGCAGTATGCATTTGCACCACATCCTGACAAGGGATACATCCTGACGAGGGCTACATCCTGACAAGGGCTACATCCTGACAAGGGCTACCGTAGACCCTTGTCTGACGACTATCGCTGTCCTACCTTATCAATGTTCGACTATTGATTCCTTGCATCTCCGCCAAGGCACGCTGTTCCCATAGCCTCAGGTAAGGAAGGAGTGGGGGATTTGACTTCACACCGTCGACGAATCCTCCATGCCTTGTGCTATTTCAAGAGGTCGGAAGACTCTACCAACGGAGAACACCGCAAAGATGCATCACTGCGTACGCGTCGAGGGCAGATTCCAATGTATCACACATCATGTGTTGTAGTCGTCCTGGTAGTTCACTTAGCATTGTCGAGAGCGCAGAATTGCCCTTCGAGTTCCGTACGACTCGTATTTGAATCTAGTCCTGCCATCGCTGCAATCGGTAAATCATAAGAATCGCAACCGAGGTTTTATCCTACGTCTCTACTGCCCAACGCACAGTACCGAAGATCAGGCGGATCTGACGTCCTCGTGAGTTGAATCTTGCTACCCATTGTGCACCTCCTGGAGCCGTCTCGCACATCAATGCCAACACCGAGATACAAGAACCCTAAAGTATTTACTCCACCATACCACACATCAGAAGAAAAGCACCATCCTACTCACTCTATCTCGTACAATCTCATGACCTGATCTTTCCATCCCGCTCTTCATGTTGTGCTTACCTTCGAGGCTCTCGATCTCCTATCTTCATCGAGAGCAGTGCCTCCGAGACGAATTATTTGCTGCAGCCGTAATCTATATTCCCCTGGCCTCTTCCTCTGATCGTCAACTCGGAATGCGTAATACAACATGCCCTCGTGTTAATCATAGGTCACCGCCGTTGAAAGGGGAGCAATACCCACGCACTGACGATTGCTCTCTCTTTCTCTCGTCAGAAACGGAATATACAATTACGTAGTTATCAACGTGGTGTTCGGTATCACAGAGAAGACAGCAGGACACATTCGAGGTTCTTGTTCCTTTCCATTCATTCATTCATTCATCGCATTTCATTTCATTAATTTTCTCCCGTTTCCTCCGAGAAGACCTCCCTCGTGTTTCCCTCCCGATGAGTATACTCGCTGAATTCAAATCAATGTTTCCTCCATTCCATTTCCTCAAATTCATAAACCTCGCCTCGCTATTGCATACACTTGCCGCTGTTTCCATTTCCCATTCCCACGCCTTCTCTCTTCTGCAGCACTTGCTTCCCACCTCTTATAAGCCTCAATTTCAATGATCGAGGAAAGAATGTAAAACGTATAAAACCCGCCCCAAACGCCGTGAATATACCCCAATGTCAGAGGAATAGAAGAGAGATGTGAGAGCGTACGCGGAGGAGTTGTGCTCGGCGTCCGCGTGATAGAAAGAACAAAACAACGAGGTCGTTTTTGTTGTGTATTTCGCTGTGCTCAGAGCTTCGACCTCTATTGACCGTGCAACTCCGGAAATAATTCCGCAATTGTGCTGTTAGTCACGAGAAGTTGCGGAGGAGGCGCATGTTGCTGCTGTTGTTGCGAGGAGTGGGGCTGTTGTTGCATATCGCCGTCTAGGCTTTGATCTGCGTGAGCGGCGGCAGACGCTGTGGCAGGAAAGGGCGCAAAAGCCGAGGTAGTTGAGACTCCTGACGCGTCGAACTCGTTCCATGAGTTAGGACTGGCCAACGAAGGGAACAAACCGGTCGCGCCGCCCGAGTGGAGGTTGCCGCCGCCGAACAAGGTGAAGTCCTGCTCTGGACCGGCCGAGACAAGTTGGGGTGCATCCATGTATGCACTGCCGTCGAGGTTCATGGCATCGCAGGTGAACGCGTTCTCCATGTGCTGCGCGGGAGACATATGTGGGAAGTCGAGTGAGGCGCTCGATCCGACAGCGGAGTTGGGAGTGTAGGCGCCATAGTTGCCAGTGAAGTTGTTCAGGTCAGAAAAGTCGTCAAAGACAAGGTCGGCGGGGGTGAGGCTATCGAACGAGTTCTGGTCGAATTGTAGATCCGAGTAAGATGACAATGTTCCGGATGCACGACGCTCAGCGCTCATCGCTGGTGTGACGGGAAAGGCCGAAGTGGGAAAGCCAGCCATGTCATTGAAATCAAAGTTCATGTTGAAATGGCTGGCGAAGTCCGGTGAGGGTTGTACAAAGGGGGTGATGTGATTGCTCGATCCGGCGATGGATGGCGGGGCCATGGAGCCGCTCCGCGATGACGCAGCCCATGATTTGGTGCTCGGGCTGGGTGCGATGGGAGTGAGTCGTGATGACATTGCCGGTGAAGGTGGGATTGAGCCAGTTGGGAGTGGGCCGGTGATGGAAGCACGAGCTTTGCCGTTGTTCTTGGATCGAACATAGTTCCATCCGTGGGCCTTCTCCATGTGTTGCTTGCAGTTTGACTCACGCTTCGAGGTGTACGGGCACGGTTTGAACTGGCAGTGATAGAGAGCAGGAGTGTCAGAGTGCTTGTCGTTGACGTGTCGGTCTCGCTCCTTTTCGGTGGGCCATCCATATTCATGGTACTTGCAGTCCACTTCGCTGCACTTCCATGGTCGCTCATGCGTCTTGACGTGCTTCGTCAGGTCACACGGTCGCTTGAACTCTTTCTGACAAAGTTCACAGGTATGAATCTCTGGCTTGGCATTCTTCTTTCGCCGGGCCATCGACCGGAAGGCCTCATCATCGTCGACATCGAGCTCTGCAGGACGCTTCATGGAAGAAGCGGAGGCAAGCTCTGCCTCGGAGAGTTCCTTGCCGGTCGTGATAGATATAATCTTTCCGTCAGCAGTTTGACGGACTAACTCGGCAGGCTTGCCGTTATGACTCATTCCACCTTGAAGGATGACTTTCTCGTCCCTGCATATACATGTCAGCGTGTTGGGTAAATGGATGGAGTCCTCAGATGAGGTGTGGCCTCTAAAGGGTGTGACAAGTGGGGGAGACTAGTCGCGCGCCACAGCCGTCCTCATTGTGGCTATTGTTCCGTGAGCCAACAATGGGCGACTTGCCCGACAATACGAGACTGGCGTCAGACGTCACGACGGCGAGTTTATTGCCCACATTCACTTCACATCAAGGAAAGCACGCGAAATACTCACTTCTGCACGTCCATCTTGTCGAGTTTCTCGCCCTTGGCTTCTTTTTCGCGGGTTACAGCGAGGATGGTGGCATATCTGCGAATCTACAGTCGAGTTTCTTATTAGTATCCAGCGCCCCTTGAGGGATGGCGCCACATCCACACGCACCTGCTCAACCAGATCAAAGAAATAACCCTGCGTATACGGTCGGTCTGTCGGCGCTCGTTGGTCGGACTCGTGAAGTGTCGTAACCGTCGTGTGCAAAACTCGAATTGTCCGTTCACAAAATCGCAAATATTTCGATGGTGATCGAGAGTAATCCTGAAACGCCGAAGAGAGAAAACGCCAAATGAGCAATCACGTCATCTGAATGTCCCAGATGCGAGGACTTACCGGTGCAAGGAAGATTAGAGTCTTTTCGAGATCACGGAGTGTTTTGATCTCTTTATCTCCAATTCGTAATGGCACACTCTCAATGAGCTCATGGAACTCTTTGAGAGACTCTTCACGAAGAATAGGCTCTACGATATGCTTGTGAATCTGCTCTGCGGCATATTTACTGAGACCACGCTCTTCATCGGCGGCGCTCGACATGGAGTCTATCTGATCGGACGGTGTGGAATGAACGACTGGGGTGATGTTAGAAGGGGGTGATGGCAAAGACACGTTTGAGCATTTCTGACCAGTACTGGGAGACGATTTCTCAATTTCCATCGAATCGGCGATACTAGAACCAAGGCCGCTGTCGGACGAATGGCTATGAGTGCGAGGTCGAGCGGTGGGCGTGCTGTCTCGTGAGGCTTCCGTCACGGTCAATTTGGGCAATGGAAGAACTTCGGGCTCGCTGAGGATGCCTGCTAACGCCTGCTTGGAGTTGATGGCGACGGCCTGATCGACACGTTCCAGCAGGGTCGCTACACGGCGCTCTCCCGCGCCGACAAGAAGATCCTCCAAAGCTTTGGGAGAAGTGGTGGAGCGCAGTGTAGAGGGAGTGCCGATTCGTTCTTCGAGTGGATCCCAAAAGTCGCTCTGGCAGGTATTCGATTGTGGGTGAAAGGTATCGCCTTTGCGGATTGACATACTTTGGAAGCAATCGGCGAGGGCGGCAGAGTCGGTGGAGGAAGAGGCGGCGTCACCAGCGCGAGCCGGCCGCCGGCGCGGGTTGGAAGATGATGGAGGACCCGACATTTTGCTAGAGTTTTCTTGTGACGTACAGAATCGCGGCACAGTGTGTGGCTGAGCGAAGTCTCAGCGGAGGTGCACAGCCAGAAGCGTGGTGGAGTATCGGTGACTCACAGGTGAGTCTCAACTACCAGCACACGCAAAGCAGTAACCTGTGACCTCTTCTGAAACCGAACAAGCGGCGACAGAGAGTCGAGTCAAATCCGCGCTGCGATTGCGATATTGGCCGGCGTTTGACTGGGTTCGCACGTATTGGCTCTCTGGTATGGGTAGAGCTGGATATGTAGTCGTTCGGAGTGAGATCGAGCGGAGATGAGGGTAATCGTCTGAGCTTTTGAGGTGGTTCAAAAGGGAGGCGACGGTGGCCAATTTGTCTGCGGACGTTTGTTGAGAGTTGGCGAGCAGATAGCAAATGCTGTATGTGAGCGACAATGGCAAAGAAGGTGAGTGATGTGAGAAGTGTGTGTCCAAGAGGATTTGCGGTGGATATAGCGAGTAATGATTGTCGGAGCGCAATTGTGAAATGATGACAAGCGGAGCGGTAGAGGAGGTAAGCACGCGGCCAGAATAGAAGTGGAGTAAAGAGGAGCGAACCCTGGAGGAGTGACGAACGATTTGATTAGCAAGCAGATTGGCTCGCCTACGCCCGCCTGTTGAAGCGCCTGAGGCCAAGATCAGGTCTCGCCATACAAATTCTGGTGCAAACCTGGGAATTCATGCATACTAGGTACGGCTCCAGGCACCAACATCGTCGCGTGGACGTTGCTGCCTAGTCCTCTCCTTCCCTTTTTCGGTTCTGGGCCCCACATTCATCGCTCACTCCGCCGCCGCCGCCAAACGAGTCATCACAGCCCTGTCTTGTCTCCTGCTAGAGAGCGGAATTTGTCCCTCTTCTTCCAACTCATGGAGATTTATCATGGGCAGCACTCCAGGGCTCTCTCTTCATCATATGTGACAAGCCGCCTCTGGGTTTCTACTGTAGGGACTACCTGGGTATCTCTGGGATTACCTTGTCATGTCCCGATTGCATGTTCCTCTCCCCTTGTGACGCTCTGCGGAGTATGCCTGTCCGACAATGATCGCGTAGCTTCCATGGTATAGACTTTTCGAGAGTCATTATTCTGATATGCAGGGTGGATTTCTGTCGGTCACTGCAGCTGCAACCGTCCACATGCCGAACAGATGAACGATACTAGATATGCACCTGCAATGAGACTCTTTCTGTTCCTCTCCAGGCAGCGAGTCCAGGCAGCAATCCCAATACGTAGGTAACCCCTGCCTGCGCGCCGCGTGGAGAGATGCAGCAGGGCGGCCTCACTTTGCGTGACAGCCCACGCCAAGCCGAAACGGGAATTGTCCTGTTGTCGTCGTCTCTTCCGGTCCTGTCACCTCATCGGATGATTCGGTCTTTGCGACGTCGTCATTCTTCTGGTCCGGCATGTGAAACGAAACGCATCTGTTTCGTTGTCATGACTAGCATTTCCTGACTGAGGACTTTGTTCAGCAAAAAGTCGGGAGAGGAGGTGTAGAGACTGGTGGTGCAAATCTGAGCGCGGGTGCTGAGCAAATCGTGCACAGACAAGACGCAATCGCAACTTCAACAGACGTCAAGAAATGAACTTGTTCTTTGTGAGGTAAATTCAGATCGGATAGATCAGACGATATGTAGGTATATATATTTGTGCTTGTCGCAACACCTTGACCAAAGTTATAAAACAGGGACTGAAATCAGGCAATGAAGTGCGATGACTCTTTTTCGCCTTCCACGAGATGCGCAAGCAGGCACACAAAACATAGGCCACGACTTGACTTCTGGTGCCTCTTCCTTCGATAGGCACCAGAGGCCATGGCTCGAGCAGGAATCTGCTCCAGGACTGGCTCCTCTGCCTGTTCTTATACGCCCTCTGCCTGCTCTCGTGATGCTTCTGCCTGCTGCCGATTATCTCTGCCTGCTGTTGGCTACCTTTGCCTGTCGCGGACTACGTCTGCATGTCGCTGCCTTGTGCTTGTCCGTGAGAGAGAGTCACCGTGCACTGCTTTCATCGGATAGAGAGGGGGCATACACGCACAGTTGCCATATATTCACAACGATCAAGTTGAGTTTCATCGTCAAAGCAAATAATGCCATTTATCCCAGAACCACGCATCCACGCCGGCCTCGGCCAGATATGACACCAAGACCTCGTCGAGCCAGAGTTCCCTCGATCACAATTTTTGTGCGATACATCCTAGGAGACTAAAGAGTCCGGGGCGGGCTGGAGTTTCATGTTCATGTCGAGTTCGTTCTTCTGCGAGCTGGGTTAAGAACAGCAACGCTTCTATACGTGATCAATGATATTCCAGACATCGTGCTCACAGACATGTGTCATGGTAGAGCTCCAGGGTGAAATCCGATCTGGCCGAAGGTTTTAAAGGGTCATTAATTCTCTACAAAGCCGAGATTATGCATTTCCATACTTCCTCCCGTTCAAGTGTCTCCAACGCTCAAGATCAAAGGTTCCATCGGACAAATCGTTTGGGTTCCCGCAGAACTCAAACACATATCCATTAACCTTGGTAGTCTGTCCATTGCCATCGGTGTCTTCGATTTCTATGATGCATGGTTTCGGCCGATAGCTGTTAGTCTCATATTTCGCAAGCCTGGAGGCACTTGCCTCGTCGGGGACTTCGAACGCGAGGCCTTGGAGATGTCCATCTGGTTCTGATGACAGCGCGGGATATTGGCCCCAAAGCCGAACTTTGTAGCCGACGATTCGTGCCGGCCGAAGGGCTGGAGGAGACTTGAGGCCCAGAACATCGCTCAGGACATCGGGGTCTTGTAAGGAACCGTAGAAGAAGTAGGTTCCCGCAAATGGTGTTATGTAGTCCCAGAACGATCCGGTAGTTTGACCTTCAAATGCCCAGCCATGTGGGGCATCTCGAACTTTGAGTGCAATCGACGCCTTTTCTGAACTGTTCTCGTGGAGTGGTGGTAGAGGGGGCGCTGGTGGCGGCGGCGGCGGCAACGTGTTTTCTTCGTTGAGTTTCTGATTCTCCATCGTTGTCGACATCGCCAGAGAGATCAGAATGGATGGTGTTGTGCACCTCAAGACTGCATATGTAGAGAGAATACAGCGGTGCGTCCAGCACCGCTGGATGTTATCCCGCTGGAACTTGGGCTGGCAGCCAGCACTGTGGGCGGAATGATAGTCACAGCATGACCATCTCTGCCTGTTCTTTCGTGACCCTTCTGCCTGCTACTAATGATTCCTGGCAAACTTGACTACACAGCAATACCATCGCGTCAATGTCACAGACACAGCCGGAAAGAGAAATCGAGCAAAGCACTTCTAGTCTCCATGTAGCGTTACCTGAATTCACATGTAACCATTTTCTAGAGTAACTATAGACATATCCTCAAGACCAGCCGACAAAATGACCAGCGAATATACGACGATCTCAAAGCCACTGCAACTACCTTACTTCAAATCCGGTCTCCCTGCACCTCTCCCGACCGATGCTGAAATCGACGCAGCACCAGACCTAACACCCTACTATGGACACCGCCGAATCGTACAAGTCAACTCACACTATGTAGTGAAATTCGGGACGAACGTCGACCTCATCGAAGGCGAAAATATGCTCTTTGTAAGCGAGAACGCCGGAATACCAGCACCCATCGTCTACGCGTTATACTCGCGTGGGGAAGGAATGACCAAAACCAATTACATCGTGATGAGTAAAATCGCAGGCCAAACGCTACAATCGCTATGGCTCAGCTTGGACAGCAGCGACAAGAAAACCATCACCAAAATGTTACACGACTACGTGTTCGCGCTCCGCAGCCTGCCATCACCGGGCTATTACGGCGCGCTCCATAGGCGTAGCGGACTACTCGAGAAAGTCCTATTGGCGCCATCCGAGTATCCCGACGGACCTTTTGAGACCGACGATGCCCTCACCGAAGCTCTCCAAGATATCCACCGACGGATGTGTAGGGACGGAGACCGCGCGGAGTGGTATCGGAGGAATTTCCCGCGGGTGCTAAAGCATGGGCGACCGACGTTTACTCATGGTGACCTGGCGATGAAGAATATTATGGTTGAGGAGAGGAAGGGGAGCGATGCGATGGGACGGGAGGACAATGATGATCGTGGTGATGGTCGTAGGCAATGGAAAGTTACCATTCTCAATTGGAGTTCGGCAGGCTGGTTGCCGGTTTATTGGGAATATACAACGGCCGCGTGCGGGTTCTTTTGGAGGAAAAATGGCGATTGGGGACTTTGGTTTGATGAGGTCATGGAGCCTTATCTGGCCGAGGCGGCGTGGATGCAGGATTTCGGGTATGATGGCTATTTCGTGTATTGATGGGACCATAGTTCTGTGTTTGCAGTGACTTTTCACGTAGAGGCAGAAGGCAGCAACAGCGAGGCCAGCAATGGACACGAGCGAAGTCAGCACGGTTGGGAGGGAATGCCCCGTCCGCCCGGGAATTGATTGGACGACAGGGCGCGCGGCTGCGTGTTTCAGCTTGACTAGCGGGGCCGCACGTCGAACCTCCCTCTCTCTTCCACTTCATCAGTACCACGAGTACACACATGATGATGGTCTATTTGTCCTGTCACAACCGTACGGGCTCTTGCATATCCCTTTCTCCGCACAAAAGAATGTGATTGTTCCTTTCCCGCTAGGACACAAATCTGAAACAAGCCTCATGGTCGTGATGGACGCCTTCCCTTGGTTGTCGATCTCTTTCCTTTTAAGCGCCGGCGTTCCATGGCGGAGTGTTCTTCCCGCTGGGGTATCTGGTAATGCTAACTATGCATTTGCTGATCATCCTTAAGAGGTTGCAGGTAGGCTCGTCTTTCTTTTGATTTGTGTCCTTCTTTGTCTCTCGTCTCTGCTGCACTGGTTGCAATTATCATTCCATCTCTCTATTCGCTTTCTTGTTTTCATTTCGGGGCAACGTTTTCCTTCGTCACCACGCTGTTCCACGTCGGCAAGACATATCCGTTGAACGACATCAATTTGAGCCATCTCACATCAGCTTTGTGCCCAGCTCTATCAAGTCGCAAGACCTCCATAGAAAAATAGAAGTATCCTGCTGGCCAGGATATATTTCGCACAGCTGTCTCTCTTTCACTACAAGACATTTCTCGAACTATTTCAATAGACCAACAAACTTCACCTTCAAGATGCCTCGTCTATCAACCTGGACCTCCACAGTCATTCTAGCCCTCGCTACCCTCATCTCCGGCGCCCCCACCAACGACACCCTCATCTTCGGCCGCGACAGCACTTCCCCAAGCGATCCCAACGCCGATATCGAGAAGCGCTTCACCGCCGCCTCGATCCTCAGCGTTGCCCCGCAGACCTCCTCCTGCGACTTTTCCCTCCTGGAGTGCGCCACCGCCGCCACTGCCGCGCCCGCCATCGCCGTCTCCTTCGTGAACTGGCAAATCTCCTCATTCGGCGCCCAGGCCGCCGTCCTCTCCCTCATGCTCTTCGAGAGCGGAAACTTCAAATACAACCGCAACCATTTTCCCGCACCGGGCCGTCCGGGTCAGGGCACGAGGAACATGCAGATGCCCGCTTATAACCTCAAGTATGCGCGCTGGCTGGCGGATAATTGTGCGAATTGCCACATTTCCGAGGAGCAGGTCGATGCGGCGGAAAAGGCTGGACCGGATGATGTCCTCGCCTTGGTGAATGGGCTTCAGTGGAGCTTTGGCTCCGCGGCGTGGTTTTTGAAGACCCAGTGTGATCCCAAGATTCTCGAAGGTCTTGCTGACGCGAGTGAGGCGAGTTGGACCGCGTATATTGGTTGCATTGGGACGGAGGTCACGGATGACAGGAAGGAGGGGTGGAAGAAGGTTGTTGCTCTGGGCAAGTGGTGAATGAAACTGCATGGAAGTTAAAGAAAAACTTGGGTTACGTTCGCGGGATACTTTTTGATATATTTGGTCATTTCGACATATCGTGAAAAAAATATTTAGATTTCGTCAACTGTTGCAACGCTGCTTCATGGCGGACCAAGATTTCAGTATGTGGTAGTATATGCAACATTCAAAATAAATGACTCGTTGGTATGCTCCATCTCGTCATTTAGCTATTGCACCTGCATGGTCGTAACAAAATGTACCTCAAGATGCGAATGATGTCTAGACCTGCCACCAGTCAATATTGGCTTCATTGAGTAAATTGCGTTTCGGGAATGAGCGCTCACATTCTTGGGACCCCCAGGTCGTCCTGAACAAGATCTGGAAATGACTATCATATTGCCTTCTAACATATTGCATTTGCGCCGAGATCCGATCTTTTATTGACATCAGGCATCCGATGGACGTGAGTTGTCCCCTGCTCAGGGCAGCATCAACCCCAACCCTAATCAAAGTAAGCTCGACCGGCCGATGCAGGTGAACCCCGGATTTCGCAGTCGCTGACGAGATTTGATCGAGTCTACAATTTTAGCTCCGTCTGGCTGTCAGTCACCATCATCTCCACCACATTGGAATTCAGTCAATTATCGCGATCACGCGACCGACACCTTTTCCTCTCCCACGATCGAAGATAGACATCGTATACATCACCGTCACTACATAAAAATCACCACTTTGGCACCACAACAACATTCATCATGGCGTCCGCACTCCGGACGGCCCTTCCGCGCAGCCTCAGCAGAGCAACAACCACCGCTCGACCGATCACATTGGCCGCCGCCTCATCACTAAGAAGACATTACAGCATCGCACCACCTCCTCCCGCAACGACCTTGCAAGCCCCCGACGCCGCCGACCCGCGCCTGAGCAAAATCAACACCTCCACCCTCACCATCACCAAAACTACAACGCCGAAAGCCATCCTGCCGCACAATGAGCTCGTCTTCGGCCGCAACTTCACCGACCACATGCTGCTGCTTGAGTGGACTGCTGCTGACGGCTGGCTGGACCCGCGCATCACTCCTTACCAGAATCTCTCGCTAGACCCGGCGACTTGCGTGCTGCATTATGCCTTTGAGGCATTTGAGGGTATGAAGGCATACAAGGATCGCGCAGGCAATGTGCGATTGTTCAGGCCGGACAAGAACATGGCGCGGATGAACAAGAGTGCAGCGAGGATTGCGCTGCCACGATTCGATGGAGAGGCATTCATCGAGTTGCTGAAGAAGTTTGTCAAGTTGGACGAGCGATTCATTCCTTCGTGAGTCATCACGTCCTACATGTAAGAGTTATGTAAATGGAAGATTCGAATTGCTGACCTGACATGTCGTTATACAGAGAACGTGGCTACAGTCTCTACATCCGTCCCAACATCATCGGTACCCAGCGTACTCTCGGCGTCGGCCCACCCGGCAGCGCCATGCTCTACGTCATCGCCTCGCCCGTCGGACCATACTACCCAACCGGCTTCAAAGCCATCTCTCTCGAAGCCACCACCTACGCTGTGCGTGCCTGGCCCGGCGGTGTCGGCGCCAGCAAACTTGGCGCCAACTACGCCCCCTGTGTCGTCCCTCAGGTCCAGGCCGCAACCCGTGGCTTCCACCAAAACCTCTGGCTGTTCGAGGACATCGACCCCGCAACCGGCAAGAAGGAGGACTTTGTCACCGAGGTCGGAACTATGAACCTCTTCGCCGCAGTCGTCGGTCGCGACGGCCAGAAAGAACTCATGACCGCACCACTAGACGGGACAATCCTGGACGGTGTCACACGAGATTCCGTGCTCGCGCTAGCCCGCGAGCGCCTCGCACCCCAAGGCTGGAAGATTTCCGAGCGGAGATTCGCCATGCGGGAACTGGTCGAGGCTGCAGACGAAGGCCGCCTTTTGGAAGTTTTCGGCTCGGGAACCGCGGCGGTGGTCAGCCCTGTCCGCGCGATCAGTTACCAGGGTAAATTGGTGGAGTGTGGATTGAAAGCCGATCAGGAGGTGGGACCCATCACATTGCAGATGAAGGATTGGATCGAGGGCATTCAGTACGGTGAGGAGGAGGGACATCCTTGGAGTGTAAAGGTTTGAACGAAGTGGGTGGCATGAGTCTGTCGGAATAAATGACGCAGGGTGTAGGAATGATCTCGCGTCGAGGTGGTTTTCGGCGTGTAGGTGTGTGGAATAGATGTATAGAAGTTTTGAAATGCGGCCACATGCGTCTTTCTACCGTACGTACGCGAGTAGAGAAGGAACGACTGCCGCTGAAGAGATATCCTCAAGTAGGCCTCGGTCCTAATCCCACCCTTTCACTAATAGATCATCGAGGTCGATGGTCGGGAACAGCGGTTTCCACAGATATAAGGACGGAAACCCGACTAAGTCGTCCAATGTTTGTCAGGAGTTCATGCATTAAGGGTGTGGCAGGTGGAAAGGAGAGGTTGAATGCCAGCAGGTTTAGAAATCGAAGAAAAACAAGCAGGTAGGTATCATATCATTATAAATTACAGAACTTCATGCCCTTCCCCTTTTCTCTATTCATCAGAATTCTCTAGTTCTTCGTTGCTTTCTCGCATAGATCATATTGTTCACTGCAGTCGACGATGAGGGTGTGGTCTCCAAGAACAAAACCGCATTTGCAGCTCGCGGAGCGAATTGCTCTGGCAGTGACGCGTCATGAGGCTCTTTAGCTGCGTCGACAAGTTTGAAGTCTTGGAAAAATGGCATTGATTCGAATAAATTCGTAGCCTGCTGGTCGCTTGCTTGCTAGTGTTTGTGATGTTTTCGCATCCTCACGGTTGGGAGAGAAGAAAATTAAACGTTGCTCTAGATATCCTTGCGGGCGTGCTTGGAGTGGTTCTTTCGGAGTGTTTCACCGTACTGCAAAAGGAAGAATAGCGTCAGCATCAATCCAAGGTCTCCCACAACGGAAGATAGCCGAGCGGAGCACATGAGGGGAATGAACATACCTTATAAAGCACGAACGGAATCGGGATAAACGCGATGCCCAAAAATGCCAATAAACTACTCGCCCAGCCCACGCCGAGGTTGTTGTACATGGCACCGGCAAAAAGCGGGAAGCCTGCACCGAAACTGCTTCGCATGAGATCGTTTCCGGCGAGCACACTGGCGGCGTATTCCGGGTAGGCGTCCGGGAGATAATTGAGGATGCTGTTGAAGAGAAGGACAGCCCCGATAGAGAAGAAGGAGGAGCCAATGATGGGGACGATCCAGTGGATTGACGCGCGGGAGGTCCAGCCGAACCAGAAAAGGCAGCTGTGAAGACGAGTGGTCAGTTTTGCTGCGGTTGGAGAAAGGAGGGAAAAGTGCAAGGGGACTTACATCGGGATGAAAAAGCATCCGACCATGGTAGGTACCAAGCGTTCTTCTGGTTTGACATTGCCGTTCTCGTCGAATTTGGGCTCGAGCACATACTTGAGGTAGAGGAAGTAGGGGACAATGACGACAAAGGCTCCGATCACTGTGATGCAACTCCGTCAGCAAATGGAACGAAGCAGCGTTATGCTGAACTAGGGAACATCTGCGGGGCGAAGACTTACGGATACCGAAATAGGCGAGACCCTCGGCGCCCAAGCCGAAGCCGTAAATCTCGACGAAGACGATGACGAAGGATTCAAACCAAACGTAAAGCAAGCCGTAGATCAGCGCGATGTATAAGTTGAGAAGGAAAACCTATTCATGGAAGTCAACATTTAGTTTCACAGTTGGTCATCCGAAATGAAGAGAGTAGCTTACCATCGGCTCCGTGAAGTTCAGCGTGAATGGTCTGACCAATGACATCATGACAATGTCCTTGCCGGTCATCTCCTGCGACATGAGTTCCGGCTGAGAGATGAGCTTGTCGTTACCAGTGACTTTGCGCAGACGCTGGGCGCGGCGCACCAGGATGTTGTTCGCGCTGGTCTCGGGAAAGAAGAAGAACAACATGACCAAGCAAAACGCCGACAACCACATCAATTCCCAAATCGGCCAGGCCCAGGGCGCTGTGATGGGATCTGCAACGGGAGCAAATTGCACGGCATAGCCACCAACCAAAGGACCCAAAACTGGACCGCAGATGGCGGCGATACCCCAGATAGTGATCGGGTAGGCGCGAACTTTGGGGCTCCAGATGTCGCCGATGGACGCACCGCCAGTAGCAAGCACAGGCGAGCCGAAGAACCCGGTCAGAAAGCGGAAGGCGAGAAGCATACCGAAGTTGCTAGCCAAGGCGGTAGGGGCTTGGAACGCGACGAATACAGCCAAGGTACCGAGGTAAATGGGGTTACGTCCGATCTGAGGAATCTCGCTCATGGGAGCCCACAACATAGGTCCGATACCGTAGCCGGCGACGAAGAGCGTCAAGCCGAGTGTGGCGGCGACTTTAGAGACGCCGAAGATTTCCATGATGTTCATGATGCCCGGAGTGTAGATGGAGGAACCGATGTAGACGGAGGTGGTGAGGAGGCAGATGAGGCCGGTGACGAAGCATTTCTTGAAGAGCGACCAGTTCTGAGGGTTCTCGGGGTCGTTTTCGCCGTACCAGGAGACGAGGTGGATATCCTTCCCCTTCTCACCATCGACCTTCACGCCGCTAGCATAATTAACGTTCTCGCCTCCCGAGGGAACACGGGTGCCATCAGAGTCTTCAGGGTCTTTCTCCTTCTCGTCGTCTGAGTGCGAGTGAAGGTCGCCGGTGACGCGTTCGGGTGAACCTTGACCTTCTTCTGGGGGCTCGGTGGAGCCGTGGTGAGCGAGATGGCCGGAACCTTCGACATCGACGTAGCGTTTCCAGATGGAAGGGTCTTTCTCGTCTTCAAATTGGAGGATCTTGTTACGGGTAACGATACGTAACAGGCGACCGAAGGTCGTATCGCGGAAGAGCTCGAGCATGGTTGTCTCGTTCGACTAGAAGTCGATGAGCGCAGTGAGGGTGGGGAAGTTGAGGACGGATCGCGTCTGGCCCAGTCGGTCGAGAGATACAGGAAACGAACAAGCACAAGAGCGCAACCTACCACGAGGAATACATATTATATATGACACAGTTGTTTCAATCGCGTCAGGTACCCGAAGGGTCGTCGGTGCATCAATAAGCAGAGGACACGAGCCATCGTCATGATGAGATGGCAGTTGGGAAGCGCGTCATCGAATGCATTGTACTTTCACGCGAGGTGATAACCATGTGCAGTACAAAATGGTACATGCGCGCGCCTGTGTGAGTGAACGGGCTAGTGATCGAGAAACTAGGGCCAGCCACGATCTTGAGCGGATCTGCCGGAAGGTCTAGACGACGAGGTTCTCCCTCATCACTGCAAGTGACATGCAAAGAGTGCCGCATGCGCATCAGAGACGATCTTGATAGGAAGAAGAGACTGTTCGTCCGGCAGCGGCATGGAACCGGGCCGGCGAGATTCTCCAAAGGGTTGTGTACTGAGCATTGTGCACTTCTATCGTCATGTAGACATCATCGTTCCTCATCGCAGAACGACACGCTAGTGGATCTGCCTAAGAGTTTCTTAGCCACAAGCTCGGATCTGAGCAATAAGGAAGCAGAATGCACCCGCATCCGTCCACGGATAGTGCAGAAGAGAGGGTCGGAGGTAAAGGAAAGTGCGAATTCCCGGCACGCGCGCCGTGCCATGTCGCGTGCCTGGTGGGCGGGTCATGAATGATGGATGCAGCTGGAGGGTATGAGTGTGCTGACAGAGCACAAAACGCGCGCCAGCAAGAGAAAAAAATGTCGAGAAAACAACGATCTGCGCCGGACAGACAGATTCGATGTGATGCGATCGTGAGATCGACCGAGGAGGAATGAGAAGAGTGAGGTCTTTAGTCTTTGACACTAAGCCCCGTATGGATGCGCTCGCTGCTAAATTAAAGCTTGAATGACGTCGTTGACTCTGAGGTTCAATGGGGTGGAGCTTATGTTCGACTACAGCACGGAGAAAGAAATATCAGTACCCAGGTATGCACAGATCTACTGGATGATGATTAATGATTGAGGGGAATCCTGAAAGATTTCGTATGATAATGCCGCTGAAATCCCCAAACCCGAGAGCACCTTCGCAGCTGTAGATTATCTCACCAGGATTTACAATCGAAGTAGATACAAATGATAAATAGTGTTTGGCGAAGTCCTTCATTTCAACCGCCCGCTGGATAGATTCTCTCGTCCGTCCGGTCTGGCGAAAGCCTTGGCAGTACATTCCTTTCGCGCGGCGCGGACGAAAAGCCATTACAAGTGGACAAGAATTCGTCCGCCTTTCCATCATAAGTGTCTTAGAGGCGATCGAAGGATCGCATGTCAACGTCAATGGGGAGATTGTTACTTATTCAGAGGAACCTCCACAGAGGAACCTCAACAGAAAATCTCACATTTTGTAGAACTGCTGCCTTCTAGTGAATGACTTGCTCTTTTTCTCGCTGGCCCTTCAATCTCTCCATAGCTTAGGCACAACTTTGATCGCCTTCCCTCCTTCAAGTGATGTGAGCGTCATTCTCTTACTATCCTTTAAAAGTCCAATTCGTCTGCCTTCTGCTGCTCTGTCCTCCGTCCGCCGCGACCGCCACGAATCTTCTTGTCAGCCTCGACCTCCGGGTCGCTGTCATCACCAATACCCCATGATCGGCCACCCAGGCGCGAGCCCATGCCATCACCAGCCGTCTTGAAGATCTTGCCAATGGGCATCTCCTCACCTCCAAAGTCCCAGTTGGATCTCATGTCAGAGCGGGCGTTGTTACGGCCCTTGTTAGCGGCGGCAGCGGCGTGAGTGTTGTCATTGCCGCCGCGAGTGGTGTTGTCGGTAACGTTATGGTGTGAGCCAAATTCTTGACCACGGCGCGTGTTGTTTACATTGGTGCTAGTGGACTGGTTGACGCGTTCATCTTCCATCACTGGATCGTGATAGAGACCCATGCCCTTTTGGCGTTGGAAAGACTTAGCCTTTTGGCCTGGTTCCGGTGCGGGTGATGCATCGGTCATTTGGAAGTGGGTCTGAGCATCAGGACGAGCGGCGTGCACAATGGGGCGCTTCTGTGGGGAGTTGACATCTTCCTGTAGGTGATGAAACATGTCAGTCGCTTGTACAAAACATGTGAAGATTGAGAAAATCAACGTACCGCATCAATACCAGCACCCCAGTGGCGCTCATCGCCTGGGCGAGGCTTTGTGCTAGGCTTCTGAGGAGTGGCCCTGTCCTCAAAACTGAATGCAGCAGCAGGCTGGTTCTTGCCGGCGCGGCGGCTGTCAGGGCGTAGAGCAGGCGCATCCTCACCATCACCGAACGCAAAGTGCTCGTACTTCTGGCTGTAGGTGCGCTTACGCTCGGGCGAGGATGGCTCCGCTGGTGGCTCGTCCTGGTTGAAGAGGCGGATCTCGCTGAAGTTCTTGCCAGCGCCAGTCTTCTTGTTCGGCGACAGAGGGCGGTTGTCATCGTTGCCACCGCCCTCACCGAAGAGCTCTGTGTAGTCACGTGGAGGCGGTCGGGCTGAAGAACGAGTCGAGTGCTTAGGTCCCGCGTAACTGCCATTGTCCTCGTTGGGATCGCGTTCGTTGAATAGTGCGAGGCTCGCGTGAGGGTCGCCAGTCACTGAGACGCTCTCTCGGTTGTGTCTACCACCACGAATCGGCACCTCAGAAGTGTTGCGGGGTGCTGCTGGCTGCTCAGCTGGCCGAGATGGCTTGGAGCTACCCGTGTCAGAAGCGTTGCCAGCCTTAACACTGCTGGCGACCAAGTCTGTCTGAGCCTTTCCATCACGAATGGGCCAGTTCCGACCAGTCTTACCGATAGCCTCGACCTGTCGAAGGAGGGATCCTTGATCCCAGTAAAGACGAATCTGTTGGATGCGGTTTTCGCTGTCGAAGCTGACGACGTGTGTGAGGGGAAATACGACGGTGCGCTCGTCCAGCAAGTTGGAGTCGATGGAGGGCAGGTAGGCACCACCGCCATTGCGGAATTGAAGAGTCGTAGATGTCTCGATGGCGGCTCCATTGTCATCGTTCACCACATTCAAGACCTTCTCGTCCTTCTTTTCCACCTGTTTGGCTTGAGCGGCGAGATGCTTCAGAATGGCGGTGGGCTCGCTGATAGTTGTGGTGGTGGTGATGTAGTGGAGCGAGGCATTGTCGGCGAGGCCTGCAGTAGTGGGCGATTGAAGCCAACGAAGGTAGGTGTTGCTGGCCATTTTGGGTGATGCCTGGTGTTGTGTGGTTTGAAGTGTCTTCACAAAGGCGTTGTGAGGGATATAATTCACCAATGAAGGTATTGTCCGCTAGCAACAACAAGAGCGTACACAGCGAAAATAAAAGCGAATATCACTCAATGTGTTGGTACATAAAGTGATGAAATATTGGAACAGGATGTTGTTATTATTTCTAGGTAGAAACAACTCTATAGTATACTTGTAACATGTAAACAATTCCTTGGAGCTCCTCCCGCAAGCTCTCCAGGGCTCTCTCACAGTAGTCAGGGTCCGGCTTGCGTTAAAGGGTCCGAACCGTTCGAGCTTTCCTGCATTCCTCAAACAAAATCTTGGAAATCCCTGGGAATGCCCGAACTTTTGGTGGGGAAAGCACCGTCTGTGTGTCAAAACGTTCCGCCCCTTTTATGTCATCATCAACTCTCAACACAACAAACCCCTCCGAGATCCATGCGCTTCCAGGTTTCAATGAAACTCCTTGATAACATGCACACATATCTCGTCGATATCAACACGTTTCAGGCATAGATCTCACAATTTGAAATGCCTGTACGAGCCCGCGGAAATGTATCCAAGCTGCGACCATGACCGCCACATGGAACGTTTGGTGACTGGCGCCCCATATATCAAATCGATATGGTACCCACCGTTCAGGGATCTGGAAGCCAATCACTCGCGTCAGTATTCAGATCAAAACATTAAGAAGACCCCATGTTCTTTGCAGTGAGTGGAGGAGTGCTAATTACTTACACGCGCCGCGTAAATTAATGCCCCTGTGATATTTGCTGTCGCCATCCAGCCCATGTAGACCAACGACATGCGTGCTTTCTGAACCTGCCATCCAAACAAGAGCAGCCCATGGATCACGAAGATAATCGAACTGAATCCAAAACCAGCATAGAAACAGGCGCGCCAGTGTCGGAAGGCAGGTGATGCAAAATGCGGATGTAGGGTCATGTAAGTGCAGCACAGCGCCGTGCCTGTTGTCTATCCGAAACAATCAGCTCTGCTCGTCGCATGCACTCGCGCACGCGAGACTGGGCACTTCGAAGCCTCATTCGATCGAAAACATATCACGTACCATCGACCAATATATTCGCTGAAGATATGGATTGCAAAGGAATCCATAGTAGATAGTTGGAATCCCGGCTCCCCACATCAAGACGAGAATTCCTAAGTAATCAAGTTTATTCCAATACAAGGCAACGGAACAGCTGTGGTTGCAAAGGACATGAAATCTGTTGTTCGACTTCCTCAGCACCCATGCGTTTGTCTCTCGTTGGATTTCTTGACTCACGTCGCTGAAAGAGTGAAGCAGATTGACACTCCGTAACAGTAAATGGCAACCACGATAAGGTCGTCAGTCCGAGCGTATGGTGATGTTGGTTGTATAGCATAGTGAAAATAAAGAGGCAATAGGGCGAATACAATCGCTCCAAGGTAGTGTGAATAAGAGTTTATCGTCTGGTTGTTTAAGTAGAGAAGACTCTCAAATGATGTCCATATTGAGCCAGAAGTGTGCCTGAATTGTTTGTTTAGCACACAGATCGATGGAGAGAGAGATGATGATCCTCACCGATAGGCCGATAGTATGAATTCGTTGTCATGCTGCCACGTTGGAATCTCATTCCAATGCAATAATCGTCCTGTTACGTGTGAAGAATCGGAATCGACCTGCTTCAACTTGTCGACAGCGTTTCCACCACTGGCGGCCGCAGACGACACCGGCTGCTTCCGTCGGGTAGACATTTGGCAGAGAGGAACACGAATAGGTCGCGAATATTCAGATAACTTCCCGTGTTGCGCTCGAACAGCAATTTGAATAATGTATCAACGATCTCGGCTCGACCTTCACCGAAGATAAGAAACAAAGGCTCATCCCTGTCATGTTGAGGAATCATAGTGTCAAATGGTCGGTGCTGTGCTTTGCCGCTGGTGGCTGAACTAGCGTCTGCGCGTGGGTAACCACAGCGTCGGGGGCGTGGTCCGACATCGCGAATACTTTCGACACCGCTGATCGCGCTTCGTGGAAAGCAGATCTGACATGCGGAATGACAATAATTGATAAGTTTCAATTGTGATGTTCAACAATCGCGAGGGAGACAGACACATGCAAAGAAGATACGAATCAAGATTGCTCCGAAGTGATTTCGGTGGAGAACGTGCAGAGTGGTTTGTCGAAAGCAACGCCGTGAATGGCCAATATGTCCCGGGCGCTTATCAATGTTTTTACGACCTGCATCACGCAGTCGATGCCGTTCAACCTTATCCAGAACAATAATACGCATCTGCGACGCTAGCATTATATCTGGCTTCATCGCGTTGTTTCACATCAGCCTGGTCCAATCTACCGCGACTCCATTTCTGATCAGAGGATTCTGTCCGCGGCTATGCATCTCATACAAGAATGGTGGCCTGCCGAGTCGGATGGCCCTAGTCACTCCTCGCTCAATGCAAACACTTATCCTTCACAATGTCACTAACAATCGAGTCTTTCAACACAACCAGCGACCCTCTTGTTGGCTTCACTCAATCTCCAAATGGTCGAGGAACCTTGACTATCCTCTTCTCATGTCTATTGACACTCAGCTTGTGTGTCTGGTCAGCCGTTCATCTGGACTTACCAAGGCATGGTGAAGGCAGTACACAGTACACCGTGAGATATCTCAAGTGGAGTGTATTAGGAATCTTTGGTCCCGAGCTTCTCATCTGGATCGCGTGGCGTCAATACATTTCGGCACGTGCTCTGACTTCCGCAGTGGAACAGGTAATGAAGCCTTTGCAATTATTATTAATAATAGTCGCTGATCTGATGCAGACCAAGCGGAACGAAAAGAATGCGCCACAAGCACCACAATGGACTATTGTTCACAGCTTCTACTCTGGCATGGGGGGTTTTGTCTTCGACTTGACCGACGTCGAATCAGGCGATTGTCCATCTTTCATTCCAGGCTCGAGTCGACTACACGTAACCTCCCGAGGGATGCGACTCCTGGCACAATGCGGCCTCTTGCCTTCAATATCTAAGAGCGAGATCGAAGACAAGAGCAAGTCAGATGGATCTGCCAAATTCATTTGCTGTATTCAGGTTGTATGGATTGTCGCCCAGACCATCACGAGGTTAGCAGTCGGTTTGTCGGTATCTCCACTCGAGATCAACACCATTGGCCACGTTGCATGCGCGCTCATGATGTATGCACTGTGGTGGTCGAAGCCGAGATGGATTCGAGAGCCAACAGTGCTGCGTGGTGAATGGGTGCACGAGATCTGCGCATTCATGTACATGTCCAGCCAGGTCAGCTCTGAACGGCAACCTCAAAGGGATGTACTCCGCAATTTCGGAGTCAAAACCGAGTTAGCTGGCTTGCTATACATTGTCGAAAACGACGATACTCCCTCCCGCAGCGGCTCTTCAACGGCGGGTTCCGACTCCACATCATTAATGGAACATGGTAGACTACAGTCGCGCTACGATCGCGGCTCTCAGCCAGATGCGATTTCTAAGCAGCCTCGGGTCTCCACATGCTCCGAGCTCTCACAACAGATCCTGTCTGAAGGATATGCTGGTCCAACAAGTCAGGCTCCCAAGGATGTAGCGCTTGAAGCAATGCGGCGAGCTCGCTGGAAATACTGCTGTCAAGCGCTTCAAAAATATCCAGCGTTACGAGATCGGCTGAAGCATCGGGAGCGGACTGCTGCACAGCTGAGGTTCCGGGAAGCGCTCCAACTCTACCCTGGAATGCCACGCGAGGTCCAGCAGCTCTTTGAGGATGCACATCTCGAAGATGCGGCCGTGGCCACTTGCGATAAGATCGAATGGGTCTGCAGTTCAGAGGAGCTTGTCGTTGATCGACCTCGAGACTGGCCTGGCGATGATTTGATCCTGCACATGCAAGGACACCTCATGGGAGTGATTCTCTGGTGTGCCAGCACAGTTTACGGCGCGATCCATCTCGCGGGCTGGAATGAACATTTCCCGACTATCATCGAGTCCTGGTTCTGGCGAGGCTCGGCGGCATACATTGTCTTGAGTGGACTTCTCTGGTCGACCTTTAATCTACTTGGTCATCTTTCACCGACGATCTGGCTGTACTGGTATAATTTGCTCGCTGCGGAAGTAAGGAAGAAGAGCCATGTCTTGATATACATCCTGAGCGGCATCGGTGGGACACTCTACGTGGTAGCCCGGATATATCTGGTGGCAGAGTCATTCATTTCATTAAGAGCTCTGCCTAGATCCGCATACGACTCGCCTTCGTGGGTTCTGACAGTGCCTCATCTGTCGTAATAGCTAGCTTTGTCATATAAGATTTCAACCTGCACCATATTCTTTTTAGATTCGGGAAATATAGCCAATGCAGACTCATGCCACATGACATCCGGTGGACGTCTAGTTCTTCTTCTTCGCGGCCTTTGCCTTTTTCTCCTCCGGGTAGTAATGGATTTTATCAGCACCAACACCTTTCGTTCCAAACGGAGGAGTGAATCGCTTCCGAATGGTCGCCACCATCTTTGAGAACCAGAAAAAGTTGAGACACTGCAGAACGACATTCGCTGCCAAATAGCTCGCACCCAACCACAGCGGCAGATATCGCACTGTCATGTAATGCGTCGTCTGACCGACGGGATCTTCGATGTTGCCGTAATTCGGCACTTGCGTAATCTTATCCTCTAGGTATTGTGGGACAGTGTAGCCAGTCGTGACGGCGCGGTAGACGTCGCGGCCTACGCCGATGGAACCGTAAGTGCCCCATGCGAGGCGGCAGCCGAAGAATGTTGCCATCAGGAAGACGCCATTGACAGCTTGGTAGATGGATCCGGTAAGATCCAGTTTATCGCAAAACCAGTGAATGTTGAGGAATGGGGTCGAGAGCTCGTGTAGTAAGAACACGGGACACCAGAAGTGAATGAATGGGCGCTGTGAGGGAGGAAAAGAAAGGTCAGCTCGATCAGGACCGCATGAAAACCAAAAATCGAAAAACCTACAAATCCGAACGTAAACATGCCCGCCGAAGCAACCGCATGCACGACCATTCCCCATCCGAAGATATTCAAATATCGCAAGCACATGTACAAATCCCACAGGAAATAGCCCAGTGCCATACTCTGCGTGAATCCGGTCATGCCGGTATAACCCCAAATGCGCTTCTCCCAGTTCTCCTCGCCGCGCCAGGCCTTGCGCTCTTCATCGTAGAAGATGAGGTAGAAACTTAGCGCATTCACGATACAGGCCTGGACGAAGCTGACGAAGTGAATGTCCCAGCTGATCCTCGTCCGGCTGTCGAATCCTTTGTATGTCTTGGGAACAAGGACATTTGAGACCGCTGGAGAGACCACGCCCATTGTAAAAGAGTACAGGCCGATCGCAAAGAGAACCTCGTGCGCATGCTGCGGAAGCGAGGGCAGAGCAGCTGCATTTGCGAATCGGACGAGGGGAGCATCGATCTGCGATGGCAGAGAGAGCCGGAAGGGATCGAGCATCTTGTTCGATTTTGTCTCAGTTCACTGTATGCTTGCGAGGATGGCTGCGGAGGATTGTATATTGAGGTATTACATGTGTAGCTTTTAAAATCCCACGAGATCTGCGGAACCGAGTCTTTCCGTCCGAAATATAGCTGGCGCCGATATACATAGACTTCAATGGCTCGCGCGGGTCCTCGATCGTCTAGACCTCCGTCATCGGGACGACCCGTCGTTGACGTCGCTCCAATAATCATAAGAGCGCATTCAGCGAAAGGTGTTGTCAAAAGCGAAAGACATGAACAGCATATATATCGCAAGCATCATGGATCCGGAAATACAATGTGGTTGAAAACCGTTAATGAGACCGCCCAGTCAAGGCTCCGCTCACGTAGTCATACATAAACCGATGAAATGCCGTGTGCATCAAAGGAAAGTAAGTGCCTGCACTATGGACTAGGTAATTAAAGGAAAAGATCTCGTAGTGAGAATGAAGAAAAGGGAATCGTCTACTCGAGGCTCGAGCTTCAACAATCGCGCGTAGCAAGCCGCGGGAAAAATCGCGATGGGTATCGTCAACAATAGCAAACAGAAGAAATGCTGCTGATCAGACAAATCAAAACAAACAAAAGGAAATTTGAAAGCAGGCGTCTTGCACCTCCTTCACCACTCATCATCATCAGGACTGTGAGTTCCAGTGCCTTCTATTGACCGCTCCACATAAGACCGATCGACTGCCCAGATCCACTCTCCACGCTCCGTATCATTCCGACAGGCGAACAACCATGCCTTGTTAGTAGCATAGACAGCCCATACCTCCATTCGGAGATTCGGTCGTTGCAGAAGCTGGGCGATCTGCGGATCGGCGTCTATGCGAGAATTCGTAAGATTGATGGCGTTGACCTCATCGCCTTCCTTGCTGAAAAGGTGCAGGTATGGCCGCCGAAGCTCGACGTAGGTCCGTACCCAATGCTTGCCGGCAGGGTCGGGACAGAGTAGCCAGCCGGCTTTGAGGATGGTGGAAGATTTAAGATGTCGCTCTACCACGGCGGCCAAGGGCGTCAATTTGTCCTCGTCTTCGCCATCGGTCTTGGCGATGTCGCTTCCATTGCTGGTTCGCGCGCTTCGTCGTGGTGATTCTACGTCGGCTTGTAGAAGCATGATCTCGCCAGCAGAAGGACTCGTCTGCCAGAGATCCACATACTTCTGCAATAGTGCAGTTTGTTTGTCACCCAGAGGCTCGTCGTTGACTTCGGTAGCCCTGATCGGCGGCGAAAGTGCTCCCATGCTGAGGATGCCTCGCGCTGACTCAATTTCAGCAGTCCGGCGCTGTTGCTTGCAAAGATTCATGAAGTCTCGGATTAACGACACGCCACGAGGCGCCCAGCTTGAGAGCATTTCCTGTCCGGAGATATACTCTCCAGTGGTGTCCATTCGCCACAGGTCTCCGACGCGTTTTGCGGAGCTCGGCTTCAGTGTCACACAGTAGTTTGATGCCGTCGACCGGACTACACGCTGGTTATAAAAAAGCTGGCCCAGTAGAGAAGCTTGTCTGAACCATGTCCGCGGTCTGGTCTGCACAGAAAAATCGAAACTGAACTTGAGTGGATGAGTGACACGTGGAGACTCTACTTGCCACTTGAGTGTAAGTTGTACCCTGTTCTTGTCGAGTTGCGGTCGGTCGAGAAGCACAGAGTGATGCGCACTTGACTCCCACTGGCAGGTGATCTTAGCTTTGGTGGTGCCTTCGGAAGACGTTCGAATCTCTGCTGGTGAGACCATTGACAAAATCACATCTGCTTGATTTGAGTCGATGTCCGATACCTTGCCAGAAGAATCCAAGAGGCGTACTTGTCCAGCCTGTAGTCGATCAACTTCCTTCCACGGCAGGACATTGCCACCATAATGCACCAGGCTGAGGACTATTCGCCTCTGCAAACCTTGGTGCAATTGATATGCACCCTGGTCAAGTGTGTCGCTTTGTACGACTTCAACAGGCTGGTAGTTACCCTCTTCGTTGATTTCCAGAATCTGAAGGCGAGCAAACACGTCATGACGTTCGTCCGAATAGTACTCGTGTTCCGGAATTCGTGAATGCTTGCGTTTCTTCTTGCTCTGCACCACTGACGTAATGGAAGCATCACGCATGTCATCCCAACTCAACAATTTATCAAGATGCATCGTTGTCACCTTGGCAAAAATGCTAACGCGAAGGTTTGCATCCGGGGGTGCTGAAAGCGGCAAGCTCATGCTGTGGACACTTTCGAATCTGACAGCACCTTCACCAAAACCGGATGTCCACGAGGTTGTGGTAGCGCCATCTTCCTCCGAAACTCCCGGAATGAAGAGCTGCGCATGTACATTGGTGCCCTCCCGTTCTGCGAAGCCGATAAGCTCATGCATGACGACATTAAATTTCAGCGTATTGCTAGGTGCTTCGGCAGAGCTGGGCTCAAGCGACAATCGCACCACGCCCACGATGCTTGACGTGTAGGGCGAGTACACATCAAGATTAAAGTCCTGCACTCGACACTCAAACACAGCCGCGAGCGGGATGTTGGCATCACCAACACGCGTGTACTCCGGCATGCAATCCTCGTCGAAAGGATTACCAATGCTAAAGTGCTGCATATATTCTGGTCGGTCGAGATATTGCAGTGTCTGTCGCATCGCCCGCACGCGCTTATGGAGCTTTTCCATCGACCACAGCGTGACAACGAGGTTATTGAAGTCAATCACTCTCACGCCAAGGCATGGCTTTTGTGCATTCTCGAGCTCTGGGTCATCGCTATCTTCGGCGGTCATTCCAGTCAATACGAGGTCGTAAGAAGAACCAAACGTGTGCCCGACATCCACAACTGTAAATTGGAAGACGATGTTTCTCTTCATCTGCTGGCTCATGATCTGTGCTTCCTTGAGGGTGCTGGCATTCTTGAGAGCGTTTGCTGCCATGGCCACGTATCGATGCTTTTTCCAGTGATCAATGACATATTTGGCAAGATATGTGTCGCGCTCACTCAGACCCAGTTTGCCTTGGCTTTTTCTTCGTGCCTTTGGCGCAACTCTCATTTGCGACATTTGCCGATGGAAATTGGCCTTTTGCTCGGCTAGCTGGCGTTGCATCTGAACTTTCATCTCCTGCAGAGACTCCTCCATCTTGGCCTTTTCAAGTCGCATGGCATCAAGATCCATGCTGCCTTCTTCTGCGGTCCCGAGCTTCTGTTCGAACTCTTCCTTGGTCTTGTCCAGCTGGGCCTGCATGCCGTCCTTGGTTTGCCGAAGTTTGTCTTCTTCCTCGCCATGTTGCGGCGTCGAAGGAATCGTCAGCATGGTATCCAAGCTGAAATTATCCAATGTGCCGTTGCTAAGATACTTTTCACGCACGGGGTGTGACGCGATCGACTCTGTGTCAGTGTCGCCACCAATCGACTCAAGCAGCTTGCCTTCGGATCGCCCTCTACGGACTGCCCGAACCCGCTGTAGATCTTCAAAGAGTACATCTAGCTGGTCATCCGTCAAGTCGGACATCTTCTGGTCAGGTCCTAGTGTCGAAGATATGGCTTCTCTCCGCGCGAATGCCCAATCGTTATCGTGGCTATGGCGCCATGGTGCCGGTGATCCAGGTGTATCGGTGCCACCTTCGAAGTCGGACATGAGTCCGCTGATAGCACTGGCGCTTCGATCATGTCCAGGTCTTCGAGACGGTGTGTCGTCAAGTTCATCAGCGGTCACGGAGTATTTGAGTAAGCTACCCTGCTCGGCTCGCTCTTCTCGTGCTTCCTGTGGATGATTGAAACGGAAAATGTGGAAATCTCCCAGGATAACACGGTACCCTGACCGGAGTCGATTGGGCACGTCGATGCGAATACCATTCACCATCACGGCCGCACCATCCTTTGGTATGACGGTCACAACACCGTCGACGTTTTCAAATGTACAGTGATCGTGCAAGATCTTCGAGCCGTTTAAACGAATATCAACCGATGTATTTGTCGCAGCATCAGGCTCGCCGTCGGCCGTAAGTGGATTTGTTTCCACGTTGCCTACAGTCGTTGTACCTGGCTTCAGATTATACACCAGGCATTCTGCAAGCAAAGGATCGTCGCTGAGATTGACCAAATGAGGCATCTTCTTCGGTGTGCTGAGGCCGACATTACCCTTCTCGATACTGATACCAAGCTCTTCCAACGCAGCTTCTCGCTCCTTGTGGATGAGTTCGGTTTTTGTGAGTTTCTCCTCCCATGTCTGATTGAGGTCCTTGTAAAGCTTCTCAGATTGCGAAAGTTGTTCAGCGATATCAGCTTTGGACACCTTTTTGATTGTGCCATCGGCCTGCGTAATGCTGACGATTTGCTTCTCGAGTGGAGTGTCGGCACTATACTGTTCTTCAGCGATTGATCCGCCGGTGCTGAGTTTCGATCTTAGTTGCGCTAGTTCCTCTTTCAGCTCGCGGATCATGCGGGCGTTTGGATCTTCGTTGACCACTGCGTGATTCTTGATTCGCTTGGCTGAGTCGGCGTATCGTAGCGTGGATAAAGTTTCTTCGAAATTGATGTCTGCTGGTGAAATGGCAGCGATCATCGCTGTCATGCTGTTTCCTCCCAAGCTGTCCTTCAAAAGCCAAGTCAAGACTGAATCTCGATATGGCACTTGAATCGGTTTCGATTTTGCCTTGGCGCTGCTCAGATCTGCGAGTGCTGCAATGACACGACCCAAAGTAGACAGAGATCTGTTGATTTCGGCACCTTCTTTCAATCGAGCTCCTGTGGCACCTGTGCTTGTCGCGCGTTCAGAACCTGCCAAATCGACCAAACTGATCTTTGCCACCTTTTCGGTGTCCATGTTGGTCTCCACATCGTGTCTTTTCTGACTCAAGGTGAGGGTGAAGACGGCGTGTGATCGGGAAGATGTCTCGTTCATGTTCGTTGCAGCGACCGTTCGTGCTTTGTTTCCTTCATCCATGAGATGATCAATCTCCGCGAAGCTGCGCACAGCCAATTTGGCGAGATCCTCGACGTACGGACCCGTGGAGGGATGCTCACGCACTTTGAGATTTCCCTTGGTCGTAGGATTCAACAAGTCTCGAACGCGCTCGTTGTAGATTTCCAGATATGACACTTCCACCGTGCAGCTCACGTTTTTGTCCTGACCTTGCACTACATCGATGCGCTCAAACATATTCCGACAGATTTTGGGAATCACACCTTCCTCCTCTCCATATCCCATCATACTGTAGCTCTTTCCCGAACCAGTCTGTCCGTACGCGAAAATACAGTTGTTGTAACCCTGAAAGGCATTGTCGAGGAGTGGCCGACCCAGGTCAGTGAACAAATTCTCTTGACCTGCATAGTTTGGATCCTTCTTATCGAATGACCAATATGACTTGTCGAACGCGAAGGTTTTGCTTCCTTCGAGTGCTGCCTTGATTGCCTTGCCCTTTTCTGCTGGTGGTGGTGTCAAGACCGTCTGGGTCTCTTTCATGGAGACGATACATGTTGCATTGCGGGCATTTTCACGCGAGTTGAAAGGCCGGACTCGCACCACCACCTTGATATTTCCACCTCCTGGAGCCATGGTGCGGGACAATTAAGGGTTATCGACGTTGCATATGGTGGTCAGGACCGCCTCAAAGGGCGTCCAGAGTATGACTGAATACGACCGCACGCGACGATGACAGGCGAGGGTCGAAGTGCGCGTTTTGCGAGTGAATGATGGCGTGGATGATAGGAATATTGAATTGTGGAAAAGGAAATGAATGCTGACGTCGTTTGCGATCGTGGAGAAGACGCGAGAGCACTACCCGCACTCCGAGCGGATGAGGTTGGGCTTTGGGTTGGGCCGGGGGGTTGACAGCCGAATTCATTTTAAGGACCGACTGCAGCAGCCACCAACCCTCCACGCTGTACCTGTCCCGAAAGCACGAGCCGTCCCGAACTTTATTGTTTCTGTCTCGCATTTCCACCCTCCGTCTTCCAGTCGTAGTAATCGACATCAGCACGTGATCGTATATCATTAACGTGAGCAGTATCGCCTGACAGAGAGAAAATACCAGCATCGTGAAATCCATGCGTAGACCCTGAAATCTGATCATCGAGGATTTCGCCGAACATTGGATGGACATGGTCGCTAGCAAGTACAAAAGATAGCTCAAAGCAAAGCCTCCAAATAAGCAGAGGAAATTTCAGCATCCCCTGACTCATGGCCGACGACATGTGGAAGACACCTGCGAATCGTTCCATGCGGGTGCTTGACCGGTCACTTTTCAGAAAAGATGTCAATCTGAAAGCTGCTCGAATCTTTGAGAACAAAGACATTTCAAGATGTGCGAAAGCACTCGAAAAGAGCAAAGACTCACTTCATCTGACAAGATTCATGCCTGTCCGACCAGACCCGGACCCAGAGCTTGTCAAACTTGGACGGAGATGTATTATTCTACGACCAGAATTCAAAGAGGAGGTTTCAGAGCCGTCCAGTCCCGACACCGGGTCTCACTCAAGAACGCCGTGGCCATACTCGGCAACTCTCAACGAGCTCGTCGAGCAAAAGGTCATCTCCATCATCCCCTTTCAACTACAAATCGAATACAAAGACTGGACCTATCATGAAATCATCTCCGCCATCCTTCCCGAGGATGACCAAGACGAAATTCCCTGCGGCTTCTCCCAAGTCGGGCACGTCGCGCACCTCAATCTGCGCGAGAAATACCTCAAATACAAAACCCTCATCGCACAAGTGCTCATGGACAAGAACGCATCCGTGCGTACGGTGATCAACAAGATCGACGACGTCGGCGAGGAGAGCGAATTCCGGACCTTCAAATACGAAGTCCTCGCGGGGCCCGACGACATGAAAGTCTGCGTATCCGAGGAGAACTGCATCTTCGAATTCGACTACAGCAAAGTCTACTGGAACACCCGCCTCAACACCGAGCATCGCCGTCTGGTCGCGACCTTCAACGAGGGCGACGCCGTCTGCGATGTCATGGCCGGGATAGGTCCGTTCGCGGTTCCCGCGGGGAAGAGGCGCGTATTCGTACACGCGAACGATCTCAACCCGGACAGTCACGCGAGCATGGCGGAAGCCGTCGCACGGAACAAAGTTGGAGAATTTGTATTCCCGCACTGCGAAGACGGCAAGAAATTCATCCCGAATTCCATCGTGCGACTGATCCAACAGCCAACTTACCAGGTCGTCCTGTCCGAGAAGACGAAGAAAGCTTCCCGAAGAGATACCAAAAAGGATAATGATAATAACAACAAGGACGCCAGAAAGAGATCCCCTACTCCACCACGATCACCACCAACGAAGATCCTCGTCCAACCCCGTCTCTTCGCGCATTTCGTAATGAACCTGCCCGCCAGCGCAATAACTTTCCTCCCTTCCTTCATCGGCAGCTACAACGTCCCGGAGATCCACTCGCTGCGGAGCACACAGCCCGAGGAATTCCACCTCCCGCAGATCCACGTATACTGCTTCAGCACGAAAAGCGAAGACAACATCGCCGAGGGATTCAAAATATGCGAGGAAATCTCACGCCAGCTGCAGTTTGAAGTGAAGCCTGGAAAGATCTCTGAGGGCGGAGTGGAGATCTATGATGTGAGGGATGTGGCGCCGAACAAGAGGATGTTTTGCGCGAGTTTTCGATTGCCGGAAGCAGTTGCGTTTCGGGAGCAGAAGTCAGAGTAGGAGAGGAACGCATATTGAGTATGTGAGAGCTATTTGATGTGACAGAATAGTGGTTTTGATGATGGTGATGATTGTTATATTTCAACACTGCAGAAAAGATTTAAACAGAAGAGCCGTTGGACTCTATCCTCGTGAGGGGAAGAAACTGCACAAAAGCCCATCCCTATATCTATATATCCCAGGAACTCCCCATTGATAGAACTTTTGAGGGAAAAGGAAAAAGAAATCGGAGCCACGAAAAGCCCGACGAAACCATTCCATCTCAGTTCGTCCATGTCTCGGCCCGTCGATGCACCCGGCTCATTTCTCAAGAGAGAAAACCCATTATGTCGTCGTCCACCGACAAGAACACCCACCACTCCCACCATCCACGCCTCCCGCCACACTCCCATCCTTCTTGCCAAGAGGGGATAAACTCCTCGGCACACCCGCCGCACCCACAAGTTGCGCACCCCTCTTCTCATCGACCCAGAACTTCCTTCCTCCATTAACAACGCGATTCGTGACGGGGTCCATTTCATATGCATAGACGCCCTTGGCAGTGGCCTGGCCGCCGTGGCGGTCGAGGGTGAATGTGACAGGATACGGGAGGGATCCAGTGGACGTGAAATTGTTTGCGGAGGAGTCTTTTGCCGGGGGCGAGTTGTCTGTGGAGGAGGACGAGGGGAGCGAGTGGAGAGTGCCGCGGCGGGTCCAGATTTGGACGTGGAAGCGGGATTGTGAGAAGATGAGAGCGTATTGGGTCGGCGTGGTGGGAGATGATGAGGATGAATTGGAGGAGGATGTGAGAAGGCTGATGTCGTTGGCGTGGGTGATGTATTGGATACGATCGAAGTAGGTGTAGAAGCCGTAATGCTCGGTGGGCTTGCCGCGGTCGAAGAGCCGAAGAGGTTGCGCAGCGACGAGAGGGTATAAGATGGGCGATGCTACTCGACCATCTTTCTGTGTCGTTATAGCGGGTATCACAGTTGGTGCGGTGCTAGGGATCGCGCCACTGATGACTATGGGAGTGGTGCTTGGTTGGCTGTTGGTGTTGCCGCTTGGACCACTGTTGCTAGGCTCGTCATTTGTTGGGTATGGGAAAGCTGAGTCTGCTGGCATTCTCTTCGAAATCGCTTCATCGCTTCGCTTCGAGAGAACCTTAGGGCTCAGTAGAGAAATGTAGAATGGCGTCTCCTCGCCCTCAAATGGAGCAGTAGAGATACCATCCGTCGTTTGCCCGATGAAGCGCATATCTCCAATCGTTGGCGGGTTCGGGGCAGGAGTAAAAAGAATATCGGTCGCAGAATCGCGAGCGTGCAAACGATGACGAGGCACGATGCGAGAATTGAGATGCCGTGACAACAAAGCCGTCTGGCTGCTCGGAAGTGTCCCATTGCGGAAGGAGACCTGAAGGCGGAAATTCGGGATACCAGCATCCTCGCCGCTGCCCATTCCTTGTTCATTACCAGCGTTGCATGACCAAAGTGATGCCGAAGGCATACAAGTACCGTCCGCTTGTGCAAGTTTTGGCTGAGCAACCGTACTGACTCCGACAGGGGCCGCAGGGAATCCAGTCGTGTTGAGCCATGAAGCCTGCACAGCGAGACCGGGCGGTAACGATGATGTTGGAGCCTTGGGACGAACGAACAACACTAGTAGCACGACCATCAGAGCAAGCAGGACTGCGACAAATGCAGCGATGGGCCAGAAGAAGCGGCGGAACCACGGTGTCTTTTTTGAACGTTCACCCTCCTCGAGACTGGTCATAGATATGGCTCTTTCCTTCTCTGACGGCGCTAAATCGGAAATTGTGTCTTTTGGCGGCGGAGGTGGCAGCGAAGGCGGACGTGCAGCCTTCTCAGAGGTGATACCCAGCCCATATGATTCTTGTCTCTGGTGGCCGAGGTGGGCTGGCTTGGTGTCTGCGACCTCTGGTTCGGCGATGTGTTTCGAAGCTTGATCTGACGGCGAAGATCGACGTGAAGCAACGTCGACCTTTCGTGGCTCGCCAAATGATGAATCAGGTCCCATGAATGTAGCCATATGAGCGTGTTGTACGACGGGTGTTGCAGAAAGCGGCGACATGAGCGAGTCGGCCCCGGTGACCTGGGTTTGAGATCGGCTTGGGGGAGAGACGCCAGAGAACATGGTTTTCATCTCATCCGCTGAAGGCGAAATGAAAACGTTACGTTGGATGCTTGGTTCTCGACTTGACACGTTCAGAGACGTGGTGTCGGCGTCGTTTGGAATGGCTTGAAAGGTCGCTTTCGGTGTCAATTGGTCTGGACTGAGGACAGCACCCCCACTCTTCTCAAGATCGCCTTCGACTGTTCGTGGGGCCATGAAAACACTGTGCGACGGGCTCCAGCCGACAAGGTCATCATCAATCCCACCAAAGGTAGCTGCATCGGGGATGCCGCATACGCTCGGAAATCTTCTCGTCTCATCGAAATATGCATCTGCCTCACCGCCGTGCGCGAGATCATAGATGCTGAACTCTTGGCGAGCATGAGGGTCCAATGCGCCAGGTGCTGTGCGTGAGCGCTTGAGCGATCTGAATGGCTTCAGGTTGACTCGTAATCGACCCTGATCATCACCAATGCTCCGATCTTCTTGGCGAGACTCGGGTCGAAGATCAGTCATTTCATCATACTCATCGTTCAGTGAGGGCGAACGCGAGAAGAATGAACCAGAGCGAGCAGAGAAGGGGGATGTGAGAACATTCCACCATCCATGACTTCGTTGAGGTGTTGGCAGACCAGGCGTCATGCCACGCATGTCTCCAGGGAGCGGCGTCAATTGATCGAGTTCTTCTCGAGCTTGAGACGACGAAGGAGAGTTCTCGCTTCGTGCACAAATTGAAGCATGGTCCTCCTCGAAGTTCGTGCCTACTGAATGGTGAGGCTGCGATACGATATGACCCTTACCAGTAGAGACTAATTGGAAGGGTGGGACGTTGGGTAATGGTGGCGCATGGCTGTTGTGACTGAAATTAGGAAGATAATTCGTATACCGAGAGTAGACACTGGACGCAGGTCGATGAAGCGTCAAGGCCGATGATGGGTCGGGTGATGGTGTGAAGCTTTCGCGAGCTGGAGTGATGATGATACGGGGCGTGGGAACGCCTTGATGTAATTGAGGAGTGAGACTTTTCTGTGTGTCGTAAGTTTTGTAGGCAAGGATCTTTGCACTCCGCATAACCTCCACCTGTCCCAATACTGACGGCTCTGGGAGAAGTCCCGATGTTCCATTCACAGCCACCCTTCCATCTCGCAAAGAATCATGGTCGAGCTTTAATGGTGAAGGACGACGTCTGCTCCCGGGCCTGCGTAGACTAGGAGCGCGTCGTTGAGTTTTCCTGCTCAAGGCACGTCGTATCGCAGTAGAGGCAGAGATGATGTCCGTAGAGTACGGATCAGAGACGTTCTGATCCGAAGTGATCGCAGGGAAAACCTGCTGAGGAGCAACAGCGCGATGCCTGCTGAAACTGGTGTCAAGTGCGAGCTTTTTGTAGGATGCCTTGGGTTTAGTTGGACGATTCGATTTGATGTCGTCGTGATCGTTAGAGAATGCCCGCATTCTTCGAGTGTGTGGTTGAGAACAGCGCTGAGGTCGAATTCAAGATTTGTATCATTAGAGCATCCGATTATCGTCTCATTCGTCGTTGGAAAATGCCCGGAAAATCGTGATGCTGAAATGCTGAAACGTAGCGACCGGCGCGAATGCGAATAATGCTCCAGAGCAAACCCAAACGAAACGACAGTCGTGGAACAAAAAAATGCACACAAATGAAACAAGATGAAAGAGGACAAAGAGAACAAGGAAATACAACGATTACGAACAAAAGACGCGTCAACATCGCATACAAAACTTACTCTCAACGGTCGCGGTCACTTACCCTCATCTTCAAATACAGAAGAGTTTTCGACTACAAGGGTCATAGAGGTCTCGATGAGTACGAGGTCAACTACCCAGACCTCGCGCCATGATTGGCTCCTATGTCCAGCGCAAAGACTATGGAGGCGCCAGTACGCCACGAGTGTCGCAGAGTCGATACGACTCCAATAATTTCCAGATAATGGGTCCTTTGCAACGGTGGCACGAGCGACAAGGATGAGGATGATAGGGAGGGCCGAGCGCGAATTGGAGTGTTTTCGTCGTGAAGCCAATGGCCGTTGAGTTTCGCGAGGCTGGCACGAAAAATAGGCGCCCGATTTAACCGCCCATTCATCAAACGTCTGGGCGGGGAATTTCTTATTTTTGGCTTGAGCAAAATCTCCTGGTCACTCCCGGCTTTTTGGGAAGCATTATTGATGCTTCGTTTGGACGACTGGATGTCCAGCCATATCTTCGACAAGCTGCTCGATGGCATAATGGGAGTTATCTGTCTCAATTGGATGATGAAGCGATGCGAGATATCGACAAACAGAGGATGATGTATGGCAACGACGTCCTGGTGACTGCGGGAACTTTGGGTTGTTGCCTGAGGCAAAAGCTTTGTCAGTCTGTCCGTCATGATGAGTAAGCTGGCGGGGTGCTGTCCGTCTCCGCGCACAAGAGGCCAAACATGGTAATTTCGTCATCGCACCCGCAGGCCTTTCGACTCAATGCCCAGGCCCTGGCGCAGCGGTACGAGATTGGTACGAGATATGCGATAAACGGCTACTGTACAATACCATAGACACGATGAAGGAGACGAGTCAATAGATATCTACCTAGGCGTATAGACTACGATCGACCAGCCACTTGACAGTGTGAATAATCACTACCCCGCTTGATCCGACAACATTATTACCGGGCATACCGCAACGAGATACTCAATCTCGTTGTTATCACGTTTTCAACCATAACGTAATTCATGCAGTGATAGAATATCCCTGACAAGAATCCATAAATCTATAAACCAAGCGATAAGACCACAAGAAACACCATCATAATGTCTGCCGTACCGATACCTGACACCGTCACCATCCATGATCTCTCCGGAGAATGGGTCATGGACAAGGCGCGATCGAAGGGCATTGAAGAAGCCATGGTAAGCTCTCATGCGGCTCCAGAAACAGCTCGATATCTCCTTGGGAGAAAGAGGACGAAGAGATCAAAGAGGAATAAACCTACACATGACCACAACAAAACATCTCCAATCGTCTCGAGACTGATATATCATCCCACAGGGCATCCAAGGAATATCCTGGTTCCTCCGCAAGGCCATCGGTCTCGCCACCGTCACCCTCAAACTGACCCACAAACCGGGCTCCATCGAGACCCTCTCCCAAGGCACCGGCGTGCCCATGTCCGTCGCCGAAACCATCAACCTCGACTGGACCGAGCGCGACAAGAAGCTGCCCATCTTCGGCGCGGTCAAGACGCGCAACCGGGAAGTCACCGTTCAATCCTCCACAACATCCCTCGAAGCTTCCTCCTACGGCGCCGACGCAGCTGCGGTGGAGAACGCGGAGGATTTGAGTTGGTTGTTGGCGGATTGGATCCGGGGTGAGGATGGTGGATTGGAGATCATTGAGAGTCAAGTGCTTAGTACGGACGCCGGGTGGGTGTCGCATCAGGTCTGGGGGTTTGAGATTATCGATGGAAAGAAGGAGCATGTGAGGAAAGTTGTGCTGTGGAAAGGGGCGCAGAAGACCAGGGCGCATTTGATTTACCAGTATTTGGGACCGCTGAAAGCATAGGGAGGATCATCGCTGCGGCGCGAAGGCTTCAATGGTGACGAGGAGAGCGAAATAGGATGATCCGTTGCTTGAACGACCATTCTCTGGCGAATTTATAGCCCTCAGGTCTACGAGATACCCAGTAGCTTTGAATGTTGTCTATACATCTGGCGGCATAGATAGAGGTGACTGTTAAAGACTCTCAGAAAGAAAGAGGAATCCGACATGCACAAGCTCAGGACTCGTGACATTAGGGTTGGCACGCACCTGGACACCACGTTTGTCACGACGACCAACACAGCATCTTCCCTCTCTGCTGTTCGCACCGTGTGGATCTTTTATCATATCTAGGTACCTGCCCGTGGACAAAAATGGCGATTATTTGAGATCCCCATGCCTATAATCACCTGTATATCGGCACAATCGCGGCATGTTCGGCACCTGGGTCTTGTCGGATACCTGCAGGTTGTTGTGCACTTGTTTGTCGCTCACGCAAGGGCGCGCGTTGGTGGGCAAACACCTCCCAGGTACCTAAGTAGATGTAGAAGATGTCACCGAATGTGTTTCTCAGTTGATGGACAGCGCGGTGATTTCCAGACGTGAAGGCAGTGTGCCTGTAGTCCCGCATCTCGTGTGCATTCTGGTGACGGGTCCAGGCTCTCCGCTAATCAAAACCGTCCGAACCACGAGATCGCGGGCGGATGGATGGCCGGCTCTTTCTGCTGCATGATCTGGTCCCCATACCGCAATTTGCACTGCACCCATTGATCATAGTCAGTCGGAGTTGTCCTGGCAGAAGGATGTCCGCGCGATGGACGGCGTAGATTTCATCGGAGCTAATGCTGCACATCGGGACGGGCGTGATTCCTGCGTGGGAAATAAGCTCGCTCGAAAGCTTCCCGTCGGCTGGACTAATGAATATTTCATGTTCGGCCGTCTGTCGCTTGCCGTGTAAATCTCACTCCTTTGGGCCCTTTTCTCCGTTATTGATCCTGATCATAATCACCACCAAATCAGGACGAGACGAGACTCTCGTAGTCATTTTATTGTCTCTCGTAGTACACCGGACACAGCAAGGTCCCGAGCTCGTCTTGTCACATCCGCCAACTGTATCCGACTTCGCTGAGGGAGAGAGCGGGGCACACGCGGCCGGGCATTCCGAATTCTGGCGGAGACCAGAACAGGCCCAGACCTCGACGACGTCCAACGAGGTCAACATCAACTACAAGCAAGTCCTCGAACACCTTCCTTGACATACGCGCGGTCCTCAGGGATCATCCCTTTCATCATCGCGTCTCGCGGGATCTTGTCTGATCGGATCATTGACTAGTCGAGTCTCGGATCGACGCCGCGGCACCTGTATCGCTTCACTGCTTACGGGAGGTTCCAACAATTCAGACGGACAGTCACACGACCCGTCCAAAGATTGCTGAATTCCAAATTGACCTTCCCAAGAGAGCTTGTGTCAAAGTTGATCACAGCAGCTGGGACAGCCGGTCCCCGGGAGCCTGCGGTAGAACAAAGACCCATTTACAAATCATTATCCACCTAGACTCCCGTGAAGCGAGATAACGTCAGCATCGCACACGCACAAGAGCTCTTCACGCTGTAACGCACCCGTGATCGCGATCACCGTTCGATTCATCGTGACGAACATTCCGAGAACGTCGCTCCTATCACATCCGATCTGCGTACCCATTGGAATCTCAAATTACATCAAGGACGTGCTGATCAACTCAATCGGTATTTGACCAAAGAAGATACCATCTCAAGCATCAAGATCAAGTCATAATCTGTACTTCTTCACCGACGCGCGAACAATATCAACATCTGCACGCGACACCATTGTAGCCATGGCAGGTCATTTACCGTCACACCCAGGTGTGGCACCTCTACAACACTACGCGAGCACAGTCAGCGATAGTGGATCCTTCTCTGGTACAATCTCACAGTCGGAACTTTCAGACTCGGGACCATCGTATAGCGTTGAGACAAGGAGCATTGCAGGCGTACTCACCCCACCTCAAAACCGCAAGGGCCTCACCAAGGGTCGGTGGTTACGAACGCAACGGACGCCTGACAAGTGCTGATAATGGATTCACAGATGGACGAGAAGCCAAGAAACGCGGTCCCAAGCAAGACAGTAAGCCGGCAGCCAATAGAAGGCAAGAGATGAATCGCAGAGCACAGAGGTAAATGTCTCCACATCTCACGCATGCTGGAACACTTCTAACACTCCGAACCAGAACCCATCGTGAACGTAAAGAACAATACGTCAAAGAAGTGGAAGCACAAAACCTTCGAAATCAGGAGCTGAACATAGCCCTCTTGAGAGAGAAAGAAGCCATGGCCCGAGAACTCCAGCGTCTACGGGATCTCCTCATTTCACACGGTTTGAACCCCGATGATGTGCCGCCGTCACATTCGGGCGGCGGCGGCAACGCTGGCGGCGGTGGTGCTGCACCCAGCTCCAGCGGTAGCGTCTCAGGGAGCTATGCCATGGATTCCGCAAGGAGTCAATTCACCCCGAGCACGAGCCCTCAGCAATTCGATACGCCGTCTTCGTATCATAATCAATCAGGTGGGGGCTATTCACGCACTGAACAGCCTTCTCTGGACTATGACCAGATCGGTCTCAAATTCGTTCTACAGTACGATTCCTCCTTCAAATCGCCAATCTTTGCATCTTCCACGTCGCTGGTACTATGAAGTACCATCTTCCCTCTCACCTCACCACTTCCATCACGATGCGATTTCGCCCCAGACAGGTTTCCGATTGGACGCCATCATGGACCCCCTCTTGCTGCATGCGCATAGACAACGCCCTATATCACCTTTCTTTCCACCACATCCCGAATCCCATACACTCCCAAGCGCGAGAGAACCCCCATGCTGACTCTACTCCTCTCCTCAGTCTCGAACGCCCCTGCATGGACCACCAACAATACCTACACAACCGGGCCTTCAACCCGGAAAACCAACCCTTCCACCACCCCGCCGAGAACCCCGACGACAGCGAACACGAGCACATGTGCGGCCACGCGCTGATGTGTTCCGCCATGCCGTACAGCCACACCATGGAGCGACCCGGCGAGCCCTACCCCTTCCAACTGCCGCCCGATCTCTCCAAGGACGGCCTCACCCGCCTGATCAACCTGTGGGGCCAGACGAATTTGAACTTCGACCGCAATGGCGAGATGAACCCCATCATGGCGTGGCAGTGGATTTGGAAACACGAACGCATCCGGGAGCTCAGTCCGGAGGACTTTGAGAAGTTAGAGGGCCTGTTGGGGACGAAGAGTCGGTGCTATGGGTGAGTTTCTCCCTTTTGCCTTTCTCTCTTTCTTTCCCCTTTTTCTCTCTTTCTCTCTCTCCTGCTCCTCCTTCATTCTCATCTCTTCTCTCCCGTCAATCCTCACGACGAGAAAGCAACGAAAAGGAGCTGACATAAGAGAAAAAACCAGCTTCGGAGCCGTGGTCGAAGAATTCGAACTCCACGATGCCATGGCCCAGATCCTCGCCGAAAGGGAAGATACCGTTCCACAGCTGGCTTTTGGGTTCTCGCAGCAGCAAATCTCCGCCTACTAGATCGTAGCTGTTCGGTCCGGCCCGCTAGCTCGAGAAATGGGCGTTGGGAGGTTCGTAGAAGGGATAGGATTTCGATCCTCGACGTTTCTCTTCGGATCTCTTCTCTCGGATCGAGATTCCTGGCACCTTGCAAGGAGAGATTTGAGGAAGGTCAACGCGCTCGGGAGTTTCTCTTTCAGTCTTCCCAATGAAGTCGGGGAGGAACACGGCGAAGTTGCCTGTCTCTCGGAGAAGGTGGTTGAATGGTTCAGATCTTGACGTGGGCTGAATGGACGGATGGATGGATGTCTGACTCTCTTCCGTCACGACGAGCGACGAGACGAGATAAAGATTGAGGAGGGGAGATGCCAATCGATCAGGAGAGGGGCGGAAAGCCACACAGGATATCTCACGACGGAAAATGGAGATTGTGGAATATGTTGATAATTTCCTCCGGGAACGGAAATAATGATGCTTTTTCTTTCTTGTTCAATACAAATCTTCTCTACCAGCGAAATGGTCTCTTTTTGGGTTTCGTCTTCTTTTACATAAATACTCTATGGTCTGCCATTGTCTGCCCTGTTTCTACTATTCTCCCCAGGAGCAGCAGCAGTTTTTCATTTCCCTTTACGATCTGCGTCGCTTCATCCGAGGAGAAACTAGCGGGGCCATTTCGCGAAATTCACTTTGCTGCTATACATCGGAGAGAAACCCCCTCGAGCATGCCCTGATCTTTGTCAGATTTGTCGTTCTCGGGGTCTATTCGATGGGGATCTCCGAACAGGGACATCGTCTCTCTTCGCGCGAGACTCGCGACGAGAGTGGTTGTGGCAGTAAGCCCCTGGTCGTCCTACGCTGTACTGTACCTCTTGCCCAGATTGAATCCTCTCCGCACAGTATCGTGTCCGCTCCAGACATAAAACGCTTCCGACCGCCGGAGAATCGTGCTTGCTACATGGTACAACGCATCGGAAAGTCCCCAGATCCACGCAGCTAGGCTTGGCTGGAGCCATGAAAGGTCGCTGTAGAGCGACGAGAGACTTCAAGCCACCCTCCGGTGTCGGTTTCAGCTTTTTACCCTTTCGATCTTCCCCTGCAGATTGCTGTACCGTTCCTGACTTAAGTATGACAGTCTGGGTCGTCGAACAAGGTGCACTGCAGAGCTTCCCAATGCCCGCCGTACCTGGAGGCGCGGCTGGATGTCTGGATTCCGCATGGCAGGCGACCGTTCAAGGCAAAATGAGGTTCGGAAGCCGGATCGATCTAGTTCTGAGACAGTGGAACGAGGACAAAACGAGGCCAGGTGAGACATAAACGGATTCGCGGAGAGCGGTGCATGCAGGAGGGAATTCCAGAGACCAACCCAGTACCGATGTCGCACATGGTCTCTATGCATGGTGAGCGGCTGGTTACTCGTATCTCGCGCGAAAGTTCAAATGTTGGGCTTCTCCGGGAGTCGGCTAGATTGTGCTTTTGCTCAGGCGACCATGGTACTGTGCTTGGACGGAAATGGTTTTCTGCAGGCTCAAGACGGCTGCCATTTTGCGGATGATACCAGGAACGGCTCTAGAACGGCGGTCGTGCCTTTGCTGCTGCTGCACATCGAGCTCTTGCCGCGTGGAGTACCATGGGTGACGGGCTGGGACCTTGACTAACAAAAAATACCCGTTGAGACTTGCACATGTACGAACCGTGGCGAGCGTTCCAACGGTCGTCATCGATTGTGAAACCGTTTGAAAGACCTTATTCGAGACGATGACCTTGCGGGCGCAATTTGATGCGTTCCGATGCTACTGTATCCATTTTGACAAACTGCATCACGCAGGAGGCTCCGTGATGGTCATTTGGTATGCGCTGATCCCCCTCGTCGATGTGGATGGAGGAGCGTGGCAAGTAGTAGGCTCACAACTTGCTCTACGCTGCGTTGTATGATAAGTGGCGATTCGGACGATGAATTTGTTCTTGCGGCTCGCTGGATCATGCACATAGAATGCATACGCGACGAACTCGTGCGGCTGCAGTGCAATGTCTCTGCAGTGTCAATGGGCTAGGAAGCGTTCACATTCTCCTATTTCAGCTAACACAATGGATAGGTCTTCGCGTGTTTCTTAACATTACCAGAGTGAACATTCTCTCAGGGCACGTACTGATACGTGCCTCTTCACGCTGTGAACATGAATCACCGTCTTACGGCCTTGAAAGAGCGTGTTTTTACTCGTGTTCACCACGTGCCGATTCATCTTCTGAGAACATTCATGTTGCGCACATTGCGCGATGCGACGAATACACGTTGACATTGTCGACTCGACTGACGTCCATCACGGCAAATGTGAAACGTTCTTGTTATTTCGTGAAGACATTGTTGTAGTAATACGCCATGAAATGAGAGAGATGTTGTGATATTGGGGCTGAGCGAGAAAGTCCCGGGACCCCAGCCGGCTATCCATCAAGCCAAAATCACTTCCATTGTTCGTTGACATCCAAAATATTCGTAAACCACACTCCGTCGAATGCGCAACAACACGCGCATCTCGACAAGAAGCGCAACATGATTGATGTTTTGGTCCCGTTGATCACAACATCCTTGATATTCGGCGGATGCTGCACCAATGTCTTTGCCCTCGAGGGCATCATCAAGTGAGACAGTCCGCAGCTTCGCGCAGGGTCTACGAGAATGCTACTGACATTCTCTTTCCAGGAGCGAGCCAAGTAGCGGTAAGAACATACACAGGACAGAAGCACGGTAGCCTTTGAGGACCCTGTATACTGATCATCAATCACAAAACAAGGCCTGATCATCACATTTTTCCAATTCGTCTTCACCACAGCGTGCGCATATCTCACGCAATGCGACCCGAGTCAAGCATACACGGTGCGAAAACCTCGCATCCCGATCCAGAAATGGGTCTTCGTGGCCGCCCTGTTCTACAGCATCAACATGCTCAATAATTGGGCCTTCGCGTACAAGATCAGCGTCCCGGTGCACATCATCCTGCGCAGCTTCGGGAGCGTCACGACCATGATCGCGGGAGCACTCCGTGGCAAGCGGTACAGTACCTTGCAGGTAGCGAGCGTGGTTCTGTTGACAGTGGGTGTGCTGGTCAGCGCATGGGCGGATTCGGAGGGCAAGGTGAGTCTCCTCCTTCCCTGACTGCAACGGGCGAGCATATCTCGACCCGTCCGCTTGCAGCGGCCATTGAGCAGTGCTCATGGTACAAATCCAGGGCAAATCAATGTCTGTGGGCAGTGAAGCATCAGCATCGGACTTTACCACGGGTCTTGCCATTCTCCTGCTGGCGCAGCTCCTCGCGGCGTATCAAGGTGCATATACCGAAGACCTCTACGCGCAATACAAAGCAGAGTGGACGGAGAATCTCTTCTACTCCCACCTGCTGAGTCTACCACTCTTTCTGCCCTTTGCAGAGACCTTGCGGCACCACTACACTCGACTCGCCACCACCGCGCCACTGCAGCTGCGCTCCGTAGCAGAACCCTGGCTCGCCTATGCACGTCGCGAAGGGGCACCCACAGGATCACTATACAAGACACTCGAGACGCTCTGCACGCTTCTAGAGCGACCGCCGCGCGGCATCCTGTTTCTGGTGACGAACGCCATCACGCAACTGTCGTGCATATCGGGAGTGAGCCTCCTCGCCGCGCAGTCGTCCGCCGTCACGGTGACGATCGTCCTGAACATTCGCAAATTGGTCTCGTTCATCCTGAGTACGCTACTCTTCGGACATGTCATGAATGCGAAGATGGTGTTGGGCGCCACGTTGGTTTTTGGGAGTGGCGCTTTGTATGGCTGGGAGACCAGTTGGCGGCTTCCACGTGCGCGGAGACGGCTGGCTTCATTGGAGGCGAAGAATCCTGCTGGGGAGAGGAAGCATCAGTAGCCTACGCTGTGGAATACAGAGGTCGAAATGGAGGGTATCGGATGATAGATTTTGCCCATGGTGACAGGTGTGGCATCAAGTCGCTCACTTCTGGAGAACCGTCTCCTCATACGGAACAAGAGATCATCATAGAAGAACTGCCTCGAGGCATTGCCTCGAGGCTATGTCACTCGAGCATCCTCACGTGATGTCTACATGTTGAGCAAGCACAGTGTCATTCCCTTCTCCTAGTACTCTGACACTGATGACTGTCAAAATGGACCCGTGATGACGAAGCCGTCTCGTTTGGAAGGAGTTCGACATAACCTTGGAAACCCAACGTCTTAGGGTTACAATTCCAGCCCTGGACAGCATCAACCTCAGAACAGTATGGTTCAAATGGCACGCTGTTGAATCTCCTAACAGAAGTATGCATATGTTGAGCCAGTTTCCACGAGATACCGAGGCTCCTTTAGCATGTTCACTTAGTAACAATCACCGGCATTCACACTGACGACGGAAAAGCCCATATCAATGTGATTCACGTGCATCTACGTCACGACGTCATACCGAGTCCTCATCACAGGATCCTCCATAATTCCCAAGATTGCATTTCCCCCCTGAGGGAATCGCGTCAGAGACGTTGAGACGAAAATCGTTCTCGAACAATTGATCGTCGCCTCCGGGTTTGTCATTGTCGTTGAGAGGGATGAGCGTGAGGGAAAAGCCCCCGAGGGCGTTGATGAAAAAGATTTCATGGACTTCACTGCCACAACGGTGATCATCGCTGGTAAAATGAATTCATGCCTAGGGAATGATCAGCGCGGCAGCAGAAAATATTTGACATCGCAGCGGAAGCAGGGCCCCACATGGACACACGCGCAGACGACGCCCGCAGACACGTGAAGGGGGATCCGGTCGGGGGGACAATGGCACACCTGGGCTGCTTTCTTGTGCCCGCACGCTGCCGCCATGTGAGATTTCTCACGAGGTCAAAGATCATTTCCACGACCCGTGATGAGCAGCAGTGGACACGTGCCCCGATTGGTGAAAGGGTAGAGCAGAGATCCGCGGAATCCCTTTTTTGCTCCCTCAATGCTTCCGGTTGGCTGCTCTCCAGCGTGCTCCACGTCGTCTTTGAACATCATCGCATCCCGAGGTTCTCCATTGATGATCTCACGTAGGCTAGGTACTGTCCTACTGTATTGTACATAACGCGCACCTTGACGGGCCGCCCAGATAGCAGGCGCCATCATCACCAACTGCGGAAGTGGACAACGTTGAGGCTAAGGAGAAACGTCCCATGGGTGTTTCAGATCTCGGGAGCCAACAACTGATTCAAAAGCATGACTCGCGAGGCGTGCGAGGAAGATGCTTCCTCGAGGGGATGTTGATTTCCCAAACGAATGCGATGGCATCAAATCACACGTGTGATGATGAGGTTCCGGATTGCTTCATCGTGTCCCGAGGATGTTCGCCTTTCGTGAGTAACTAGTTCGAGAGCATCGCACGTCTACCATGCCTCCGTTCATGAGGCCAGCACTTGATATGTCGAAAACCCCAATATCGCCTGGGCAATATAACTTAGAGTGAATCTGGAAGGGGATGATGATATAGACGTTGAATATTCCGAAGGAGGCACATGTGTGAAATATGACCGTGGCTCGGTCATCAAGAAATGTGGAAAGTGAGAATTGTCTCATCACATCGGGTCATATGTGTGTGTGCTGTGGAACCATGGATGTCTGAACCACCACGATGGAATTGCTACGAGGGGCAGGGTCATCCGCATGGCTCTACGCGGCATGCAATGCAATGCAACGATGATGATGATGATGATGAGGATGACGATCATGACAGTCCATGGGGAGCCGCGGATGAGAGATGAGATCAACGACTAGACGGAAAAGCTCATTTCACTTCTCCCATTGAAAATTCCATCCATCATCGCCGGAACTTCCCCAGCGATGCGGTTCACCCAACGAATGGTGGATGGATGCATGGACAAGCGCTACGCTTGTCATGTCAAGTGGTTTTCGATGGTCACCTCGCCGCACTATTGCCCAGTTCGCGTCCGTACCATCTCCCATCAATCTTAGCCCGACCGCTGGTCTGCAGTGTCAATATATATCGTGCGTAAAGCTTCTGCCGAACCATGGTCGTGCGACCCGAATCCTCGCCTTCAATCAACATCTATAATGATGCTTTCATCATGGGAGTATCAATAGATATCGTAAAAGCCACCACCCGGGTGGCTCCGAGGCCTAACAAATTGATTGTACAGAAAGTGCCCATCCGCTTGCCCCGCGAAATTGGAGCCGTTGGAGAACCTTTCATCATCGTCATCATCATCATCAAATCAGGTGCAAAATGAGAGAGAATGATGATGACAGTAGTAATGACGCTTGATCTTCCTCGTCCTGCCGTCGGTCAACTTGCCTGTTGACATACGTCGCATCTCTGATCGCGCCTTTCCATTAACCCTCTAGACGTCGGTCTGAAGGTTACCTACCAGCCCCGTGTGCGCCAGTTGTGTGGTGACCGACTGGTGATTGATTCACGATTCATCATGGCGCACGTGTGTGTGGTACGTCAACGGCTCATGTGGGCGCGGGAAAATGCGCTTCCTCTCAATGGCACACACCTCCTCTACCGACCTCGGGACCCCGAGAAAGATGTCGTTACCTCTCCGGATTCTTCCCGAGGATTCATTTATTTCGCTTGTGTCAACGTCGCGATACGGGAATCGGCCGGAGCAGGGTGTACGGAAAATTGACGACTTCCAAAGAATTATTGATGAGGAGCGAATATATAGTGATGCTGCTGCCCAAAGCCGACCTTGCAAACCAGCTCATCAAACTAGACCGGAAAACTGGCGTGTTTCATCCTTAAAAAGTCTATATTGTAGAGAGAGCCGTTACAGTACATAGACGCTAGAGGTCAATCTGCTGCCCATCTCGCTCAATCACAGGGGAATATCGGACGGGCTGCAAAGCGGAAACGTTTCTCGTTAATAGATCACATGTTGATGATTTACACGCAGCAAAGGCAGAGAGCAGCCGTTGGAAGGAATGCCAGCGGCAGTAAATAAGAAACCGTTTCGATGCGAAACCCTGCATCAATTTCCCATGTGTACATCTGTACAACATCCCTCCATCAGGTGGGTGGTGGCTGCCATCCAACTATGCCCAGCTGCACATGTGCGTGTGTCCGTTATTATTATCATCATGTGGAACGATTTCCTCGTAATCGACGGTGTGTGTGATTGCGAGAACTGCCTCGCGCTTACAGGTATCCCCCAAGCATGCTGTGCTGAGGACATCGCATAACCTACACTCTCCTGGAGGAATTTCATTCGCGCTCCCCACATCCGTCATCAAGCATGGTTCTAAATCATACCCGGCCTGGGCGATCTCGTGATGACATGGGTTCATTTCTGCCGACGATTCGCGATGACAAGGTATGCATGCTCACAAGCAGGGGTCACCCTGGCATCTCCAATGGCGTAGACAACGCTTGGTGATGATGAAGAAGAAAGACAAGGCACAAAACCGTTCCTGCTAACTCGTTACACTAGACAAGGGTTTGTGTGACTTGAGGGCGGGGCACTGAATGAATGTCGACGAACGATTTGATGATGATCATAATGATGGATGGGGATTGTTGGAGGGAGGCCTGATGTCCGCTCCCTCTTTCACTCACGTGGTCTTTTGGACGTTTATTAGTCAAAGTAATTTGCGCCTTTATACACCCTGGTCAGCTTTCTTGATTGCCATCAGCCTAACTTGTCTATCGGGCGGTCATTTTTCCGTCCCTCGTTGACGACACGCACGCTTTCTTTCTCTCTTCGCACGCCGTCTGTCTGTTCGGCGCACATGGGGAGATTCTTGGCAGGTGCAATGGCCCTGTCTGTTCGCCCCTGGTCGGGAGGTTTGTCCTCGTGATGATATCTCCGCCACTACCTACCCAACACAACCTTGGAAGGGGAATTTGTCAGACTTCATGCTGTCATATTGTGTGCGCAACAACATCACTGCTGTGCACCAGTGGTACCACCGCCCGCGTAATCATGATACGCGCAGACTTTTGTTTCGCAAAGTGATAGGAGACAATGGGTTGGGTAATGACATACATCCCAAGGCTATTGGGTTCTTCATTGATCGTAGCGCGCTTATTCACCTTCAGCGTCGAAGACATGTAGGTGGCCTATCATCGCGCTGCTGCATCTGCTCCATTTCGTGAGATCCTTCCCGTCGGCACCCGGCAGGCCGCCTGCTCATCAAAACAGGACTAGAAGTCGGCCTTTACGCCTGCTGCAATCGACAGATCAACTATTTCATTCACTACTGCAACTTCATCTGGGGCAATCGGCACGGGAGGTTACACCCACAGGAACTGGCGCGATAGGTAGCTCTGGAGGATTCCTGTTGGTTTTTTCGGCCCCGCTCCCAATTCCAGCCTCACATTCCTCGGAGCTGGCCATCGCGGACTCCGAAAGGACACTCGCCAGGGCTAGCTAGGAACGACCTACACTTTTATATTGTTGGTTGTTTGTAGGGTCTTCATTGGATTAAATCCGAAGATCTAAATATTCGGCTTCGGCCGAGTTTGCCGCTTTCATACTTCGACGTAGCAATGCCTCCATCCATGAGGATCATCAGGCCCCCTTCATGCGTATGTGGGTGCAACGTGCCGGAAGGAGTACATGTCGCAACGCCAAATCGTGGAGTTTCATCGCGGCATTTTCGGCTCAGACCGAGCTTCATCAGCCGCAGACTCCAGGGTTCCAGGGTGGACTTTGGGCCTTGGCGGCTGCTTCGTCGTCAGCCGCGGACTTTGGAATTGTCCACCCATTTCCCGAGAATTGTACCAGGTGAACGACCGACGGGCCACCTTTGACGTCTTCCCATGCCCGTGAGCTCTTGGTCAAGGGTACGGCCATGCCTGCCATCATCATGCCCTTGTTATCATGACCGCATTACGGTCATTGGGCCGCATGATCCTTGCCGAGACGGCCGATGATTTGTCCCATTTGAGTAAATGCAGCTGCCACTTCGGGGAGGTAGCCTTATCGAAATGCCCTCCATCCATGCCAAGCACCGATGCTCAGAGACAGAGACTCTCTCGTGTGCCTACTCCAGATACTCTTCGCACTTAAATCACCATACAGTAGAGTGGATGATGATTCGTTGCTCGGCTGGAGTTGCGGACACAGGAACATGATCATCAACATGACTCAAACGCCCTGCATTTCCAGATGATGCAAGGACGATCTGTCTCAGTCGTGCATGGACGGTAGCAAGCAAGCAAGCAAGCAAGCAAGCAAGCAAGCAAGCAAGCATTTCCAAAAGGGAAATGTACCAGGTGCATCGCTTCCCACGCGCGTTTTCCAGGGATTGTGACAAACGCTACAACAACCTGATGATGATCATGGATGATGAGCTCTGACAAATGCACTTCCGGTTCCGCAGTCGTTGGCCCTGCAGATGATTTCCATGTGAAGAATCGTGAGCGGGACTGAAGGTCGTAATCAAGTACCGCACACGACTGCCGATCCGGTAGCGTCTACCTATACATGTTCCGCTCTCCGGCGACTTTTCCTGCGCCTTCGCCCTAGCCGCGAAATATGACACCATTCGTCTATGGACTCGATGAAAGCACGCCCGCATCGCGACCCTCGAATTAGAGCTCAAATGCGATGTTGGTCAGGTGATGACTTGGAATCACCAAAGATACGTTACAAGCAACAGCGCAGTGCTGAAAGGTATGCCTCGACGTTTTTGCGGAGATGCCCGGTGGGTCCAAAGTGCGCTCATTTTCCGCGCCCGCCCGGACGTTGGAATTCATGGAAATCCAATGATAACGTGACGATTTGGACTGGACACGTGCGCGGATGTTTTTTGCGCTATGGGTGGAAAGCACGGGCAGGCATGGAAAGGCCGCATGGTTGATGCGTGTGTGTGTGTGCGCTGCTGTAACCGGCGGGGACCCACTGTTTTCCGTCTTGTCTCTCTCTCTCTGTCTCCGCCGCCCATGCGCTGCACGCACACGCACACACACACTTTTGCGTTGCATTTCCCTCGCCTCGCCTCGCCTCGCCATGTCTGCTTATATTACTGTGGCGTGGCATTGCATGGCGGATGTGCATGTGTGCGTGCGTGCGTGTCTCTCGCGGCTTTGCTGATGCTACCGCGCGCCCCACGCACTGCCACTGCCAATGCTTGATGGCACGAGCGAGCGCATGGCATGGAGATGGGCATCGTATCTGCTGGAGCTGGCGCTGCTGCGTGGGTTTGCGTCCGCCAAGCCGGTAAGATAGGCAATACACATTGGGTTCGTTGTGCCTGTTTCCTTGTTGATCCGCCGCCTTTTCTTGCAGCAGCAGCACTGGTGGTGGGCGACGCTTCATCGGGGGCAAGAGACTTACTCATGTGTGAGCTATTGTTTGGCGCCACCATGTGGAAAGAGTGAATTGTTTGACTCCCCTCCACAGCATCATTCCCTGGCAGAAAGGAGCGCTGCTTGGTGAAGCTATAGCTCGTTCGGTTGGTTCTGACCCGGATCCTTCGCCCGGCGATTCGACGAGGGCAATTCTATGTCTCCTCATCATCTATGGCCATTTCCGACGTACCGGAACCGACAAGCATTGACGAGGAGCAGAGAATTGTACGGGTGAACACTCGTATGTACTGCAGAGGACTGATATACAATCGACAGCACGGGTCGACCGTCCCGTAAACCTGTCTCGTGCGATCCATATATATCTCCAAGCCGCTCGGGATGGGGTTCAGGCGACCTAGATTTCTCTTCTCCGGCCCGGCTTCCTGCTGGACTCGCTCCGAGAGTCGAAGCGCTCTGCTCTCGACCAAATATTCGATCGACCGAAATGTCCAGATTTGGTCTCTACCCACCTGCATGGACATCCGCGTCGAAGTCAGTGGAAATCCTTGGGAGCCAAGTTCCACGTTTCTGTTCCCAATCACTACCACTACTGCCTCCGCCGCGCAACTGTATAGCACATGCAGCAACTAGCGCTGTACTGTACATGGAGCACATCTGGGCAGCATGTAAACATATTAAACGTCGGCTCTTGACAATGCTACCGTACTTGGATCCCCATGTCAATGCTGTACGACCATCGTGGGCGCGGGTCCCGAGGCATGGTCGAGAATTGAGAGCCAAGAACGCCTTCGAACGAGATGCGAAGAGTCCGACGTCGTGGTGGTGGTGAGGTCAGTCTTTTTTTGATTCAGCTGCTTTGCTCCTGTTGGTCTCCCATGTCGTCGGGTTCTCCTGACTGTCGTTGTCACCATTTGCCTCCACTATCCGTTGCCTCCGTCTTTCGTGCATTGTCGTCGGTCTATCAAGCCCAGTCATTCGTTTTTGCCTCTTGTTCATGTCATTCGTTTCGGCAGCCAAGTCCGCATTGCCACGCGGCGTTACAATCTCTCATCTTCAAGTGCCTGCAGTTGTATTCTCCCTGCATTCCCTTTCGGTTTTGATACCCTGTCGTCTGCTGTACAGACAACGTACATGCAAGAGCGAGCGCACCATCACCACACCATCCTTCACGATTCCCTCATTTCGTTTCTACATACGTTCGTAATCTTTTACCTTGTCCGGCGATCCGGTTCACGTTGACCACACCATCTTCTCAGCCCTCATCAATCGTGATTCACTCAAACGACAAGCTATCACCACTAGTCTGGAGGTTTCTTGTCTTGGGTGGAGCTTTCGCGCGCCTTGCAGCAGCAGAACAGCTATCCGTCCGCCACCACACGAGGTGGAGGCATTCTTACCTACGCACTGTACCGCCGGTGATTCACACTGTACCCACTTTGCACCACGCGCGCGAAGTTGCCGCTATCAAACTCAAAATCCGCTCTTGGCCTGCAACCGATTACCACCATCACCACCATCCGGTCAGCGTAACGTGGCTGCTCCGACTGCTCCGCTCGCTGTTGACCAAACGCCCTCTTTCCACCGTCACCGTTTGAACACGCTTCTGCCACCCATCGTGAGCGGAGACTGCGCTTCGCTGCCCTCTCATCTCAACATTGACTCCTGCTCACTACGCTCACGAGCTTCCGATCTTCGAATGCCACGGTCGCTGCGCGATTACACATTCGGATCAACTCGGAAAGTTCAACTGTGCATAACGCACCCTTCCCTGTCCAACTCTCGATCTGAGACCGCCGACAGCAATCGGTGTACGGTACTAAACCTCGACCCTCTAGTCTGGTGCAACCTTTGACGCCCCTGCCCCGCCTGGGAAAATCCACCGTCCGCTTCTGCCGCACTGCATGTAATCCATCACACTGCTTTGTGCACAGAGGAGAGCTCCGACGACAATATTCATCATCACAACAACAACACAGCAATCTCGTCTGCAAATTTCTCCCATCCATCACCATCACCATCACTCTCATCACTTCATCCTGACCTTCATTTTTTATCCACTACGACGTCGTCGATATCGTCTGGCCATCACAGTCGCATTTCTGCCAACGCGTCTTGCCTGCACCGATAACACAGAAGCTCGAGGGCTTTGCGCCAAAGTTGCAGTGGAGTCTGCTCGGCTCAGGCGAGAATACAACGAAAGAGTGGTGAGATACAAAAAGGGTGCAACGCCCGCCGTGCCACGCACCCACCCACACCTCTCATCAAAACGACATCCCGAGCTGTTTAATAAAACAAACGTCCTGCTGGACAATACTTCTTCGCTACTCGTCAAATCTCAAACATATTATACACACTTCACCACACCCACACCCACTCACAGACACGCATCTCGGGGGAAAAGAAAGCAGCAGCAATCACTCGCAGCACAGAGCAGCCACCTGGATTGATTTGACTTTCCCGGCCTCGTTCCTGAGAACGAAGTCCACACACCACGCGCTGATCGCTCCATCGGCGAAGGGAGCTACTTTAGCCTGCAGGGCACGCACGCACGCACGCACACACCACGCTCTCGAGGCACTTTGACACTCTTCTGCCGTGATCTGCTCACTTTCGTCACCGTCGGTGTCGTCGATCCAGGCTCCATTTCCCTACACGACCGTTGCCGACAGCGTGGGTCGGGTCCACTTCCAAGGTCACTTCAGTCTTGCGTGCCGGCTGGACGTATCGTGCGTTCATCGTCGTCGTCGGCCTCCGTCGTGGGCGGCCACATACGATCGTCTCGTCCGACTTCATTGTTCCTTTCTCTTTTGCTTGCGCGATCTCTAACAACCACTCACCGTTGTCACCACCGCCTCCTCCCCCGATCACCTTCACAATGGCTTCGCAACAGCAGCCTTCGTCGCAGCCCTCTCCTTCACATCCTGCCCAACACCACCCACAATCACAGCCGCAGCAACAACATCAGGGCCTACCTTCCATCTCGAGCCTGACTAGCAACTTGCCACATGGCGCACCCATATCACCGGATCAGAGCTCACTCGCCGATTCGACACGAGATTCTGGTACTTGGCCACAGCCTGGACAAAATAAACGTAAGTCATTCTGCGAACAAACTCGACATCGGTCGCGCATCACCGCTGCGTCCAGCAATGCTGTTGAAGATGCCTCACTTTGTCTGCGCCGAGGCTCGCGCATCGTCAGCATCGCGTCGCGCCGCTCCGCAAAGGTCTGTTGCGCAATCAGTACTGACCTCGATTCACATATAGCATTAGGGAGTCAACTTCAAGTGCACACTCTCCTCAACCCAGACGAATCACCTTCCCGGCAATCGCAACCCAACACACCCAACTCGTCTCGCGTCCCCACTCTCACAACTTCGACATTGCCCTCGATCAACCAAGGCTTCCATGACGCACACAATCGCGACAGCTACAAATCGCGCGACAGCTACGCGAGTGGTGGGAGTTACAATCGGGACAGCTATGCGAGTGGAGGCAGTTACAACCGTGACAGTCTCGGACGAGAGTTTGGCCGCGACAGCCGCGATCTAGCACCCCACCTCGACTCCCGACGCAGCAGTGTCGACAGCCGCATGCAACATGGATTCGGTCAACTTCACTTGAACAACGGAGGTAACCCCGTGTCACCATACGAAGGTAGCAATGGCTCGCAGGTTTCACTCGCCGCTCTCCGTCGACCGCAGACTGGTCAACCGCTCTCACCGCTCAGTGCCCGAGGGAGCACGAGGAGTAATCCCGCGCCGCGCGTCGCGCCGCCAATCATGCCTGTTGGACGTGGTCCAGGAGGAGACATTGCGACCGCCGCCAACCCGACGGCTGGTTATGCTTGGGCCTTCCCTGATGGCCCCAGTCCCGAGGAACGGAGGGGATCTGATAGTGGCGATTCTAGCATCGATCAGAGTGTATCCCGCCAGAATAGCTTTGCAGCATCATCTGTCCGAAGCATGTTTTCCACGGATTCCTCGCAACTGCCTGCTGGCCAACGACGACTTGATGAGGGTGGTGAGTTCTGGCATGTCACAAAACGATTTGTGGACTTTAACTAAATATCTTCTACAGAAAACATGACACATCATCACAGCATGGCCCACCGAACTATACAAAACCTCCAAGCTGAAGGTATGCCGCCCGGCGTCGGCAACTACAGTCGGACACCCGAACTGCGCGTCAGCCACAAGCTTGCCGAGAGAAAGCGCCGAAGTGAAATGAAGGATCTCTTCGAGGATCTGAACAAGGCTGTTCCTTCCAATGGAGGCACCAAAGCGAGCAAATGGGAGATACTCACCAAAGGTATAGTCCGAATGTGAATGTCGATCAAAATGCAATTACTAATAATTCACAAAGCCATCGAGTACATTCGCACCACTCAGCACACTGAACGTCAACTCCACGCCGAAGTATCCCGTCTTCAACGCGACGCAGAGTACCACCGTGAAGCCCACAAGGAGAACGACATGCTCAAGACTGAGGTACAAGTCATGCACCAACATCTCCGACGCCTCGACCCGCAAGCCTCCCATGTGTACGGCCACTTCACATCACAGCTCAACCAGCAGCAACAGCAGCAGCAGCAACCTCCCCCATCATCAGGATCTCAACACCAGCAGCACCCCCAACAATCCAACGGCGCTGCAGGTATGTCTTTGCCGCCGTTGAACGCTGGACCAGGTCCTTCACAAGGAGGTCCGCCGCCACCCGCGCCAATGCAAGGTGTCGAGTACGGATTTGCGAGATGAAATATCGGGGAGAAATGAATTTTCGTATTGCTTGACGAGTCCAATTCTGGACATTCGTCTTCGGAACCTCCTGTCTGATTGCAGACAGTCACATAGCGGCGACGCGACCAAGTCTCCGATATGAATTGGTTTGGCCCAAGAACATACACGCAAAATTGGAAGTTTGCCACACAATGTGGAATATAATTGGCTTCTGGATCTACTCGATAAAGTGGCACGGCCGAAGACAGCCAGCTTCTGGGAAAAGACGTCGTGTGCATCTCTTTAGTCGGAAGCAGAGCCCCCGTCAACTGCCACGTTTTTACAAATGCTCACCTGCAATTCCCGCTTTTGCAAATGCGACGCAAAGACGAAACCCACCAAGGTTTCGTGCGATGTGTGTGAAGAAACCGAAGCAACACGTTTTGGCATCCGTTGCAGCTGGCTGATTCTCTACACAACGAAACGAAAATCGCAACCCCCAGCGAAAACCGCTCGCAGCTAAACGACAGACGACGATTTGCACTTCCGCGCCTTTCAAATAGCAGATCCTCTGACATAGCACCAACGCGCTCTCCACGCCAGGGAGCTCGACGCCATTGCGCCTACAGGATGAACCGCATTCTCGAGCATCATCGAAGTCTGGATCGCGCATGTTGCTGACCACACTGGCCGATGGAGTCAACGTCTGGGCACTCGATGGCATGGGCACGGTCTTGACTCTGAAATGATGACTCGCTTTTCCGTCCTTTGTGGCCACGGATCTCCAGCGCGCAAACCGCGACTCTGACCATGATCACCCTAACGAGAGACATTTGCTTCTCGTGTTCTAACATGATGCCCTCTTTTCCGCTGGCTTCCTCCTTCTCTTGATCTTTTTCTTCTCGCCGCGAAAATCTTCGGTCTTCTTCACTTCTTCCTTATCTCTCTCTGTTGCCGTCTGTTGAGATTTTCTGAAATTGTGAATATCTGTTGTTGCACGAAGTCTGCACGAAGCACACGCACATGTCTGTCTCTCTACCTCTGTCTATCACTCTCTCTGTCCCTACTATCCCCACTCTTTATTACTTACGCTCACTATCATTTTTGCTCTCCAAAAAAGAAACTCTTTCGCTCTGACTCTCTTGATCCCTTTACTTCTGTGTCCGATCTTTCTATTCGCTTTTCCCGAAAAACCACCCCGTTTTCGATTTTTAATCATTTTTATTAATGAAATCTCTTCGCCGTACTTGTTATTAAAATGAAGAAAGTCACAAGCCACGTTTTCTTTTCTCCTCGCTGAAGATTTTCGATTTGATGCTCTGAAATCCACTCCTATTATAAATCCATGTCGATGAAGTTCCAATGGTCCCAAGAGATGGCTGATGATGTTCTCCTACCCTTTGCCTCTCGTACTCGTTCATTCTACGCGTAGTTTTAATGGCTCCCTCTCCCTGCTCCTCGTCGTCGTTATCGTACACTCGTACACACCCCTCGCTCCCTGTTTTACAACAATGCGTAGCCGGGCGCTTATCGAGAATTCACTTTTACTCGTTATATATACTAGAGAGAGAGAGGCTCGACTGTCGTTCATCCCGTAAAGGCCCCGGGTCATAACCAGATTGCGGCGGAGGATTCCAGCTTGGGCAAAAAAGAGATTGTGGCGAAGACTGTGATGTTGCGAGAGCAGTGGTTTTTCCCGGGTCGCGCGGAAACAGGATTGTGTATCTACCTGGTATGCCGGATAATCATGATGATTGATCCTGACAATTACCGCTTGGGTTACGATGACTTTTGAGTAAGGGAGATTTTCGGTTTCATCGGTTTTGCATATTCTTTGGTCGCATCATGATAGAAGTCTTCGGGGACGGCGAAACACATGTAAATAGTATAGTGGGAGAAATGATTTGGTCGGCATATGTTTTTATATCGACTCTGCAGGATGTCTTTTTCATCCTCTGACCTGAGCTCTACCATTGCTACATCATCCCTATGACCTTGTTTGATGTGAGCGTGGTAAGGACGCCTTCTATGGGTGGCTTTTGCAGTCGTCCGACTCATCGCCTTTATTCTCTTGACTACGGTTTGCATAGTTTCCTCTGTCGCCCAAACTTCTGACGTCGTTACTACCGACTTAATGTCCTGTCAGACCGTGGAGCTTCAGTCGAGGCTGAGTCGGACTTCCAAATCGTATTAGACTCTCAGTGGAATAGTACCTTGCTCTCGATTTGTTTTTGATGCGCTCGAGCTCCACCTAATCAACAATGGGACCGGATCCTGGCGTGTCTGTTCTTTAGAAACGGTGCTTCCAGAGTAATGCCGACATGTGTCAGGCTGGATATGCGCAATGCTGATGCGACGACGATAATGAGTTCAGACGAAATCTTTTGCCAATGCGTCCGTGCAGGTCGACCGGCCTAGATGAACAAAGGCAGAATGGAAGGCGCAAGCATTAATCTCGGATGTGGCGCGTCGATTTCTTTCGTTCCTCATGCAGAATGTCCCAATCCTGCGAATCACAATTGCGCCTCGAATTGCGGTCGTGCAGCGATATTCGAAAGTAGTCCGAGCGATGCATTCTTCGGAACAGTCTCGGCTCCCTCGAACCCCCAGACCAGATGAGCGAGGTGGTTGACAAAAGAGACAGAGGGGATTTGTGTCCCTCTCGAGGACAAATCCACTTCATGATTTGAGCAATTTGTTCCTCTTCTCACGACGTCGTAGCCGCTCAACACGCTTTTTGTGCATTTTCTCGGCCATCTTCTCATATCGCTCCTTTTCCTCTTTGGCTGTGCGTCGATCTTTGATGCTTTGAATACGCCTCTGTGGAGATTACTGGCATCAGCATAGGTCGGGAGTTTTCAAGAGGACACTGCGAGACTGTAATCATGGTAGACTCACCTGGCGCTCTTCTTCCTTTTCCGCCTTCATCTCCTTTTCGATCTTCTTGACCTCATCGGCTTGTGACTGCTTCATCATGCGTTTCGCGAAAGTGGTCAATCCACTAACGGGACGAAAGGCTTTTTTTGTCTCGTGCCATTGTTTGCCGTTCTTTCGGATTCCTGGCGCGGCGCTGGTAGTATCGGCTGCTGGAGCCGAAGCGGGAACGGTCTCTGCTGAAGCCATGATCTCGCAGTGTTGTTGAAAGAGAAGGCTAGCCGTAGTCAGGGAATTGAAATCTTCAATGTCGAAAGGATAATTTTCGAGCGAACCGATAACCCTGGGAGAATTCAAAAATTCCGGGTTACATAAGCAGCGGGATGACCCAAGAGATCTAGCGGCATCGGGGGAAAACGCGCACGGGCGGTGGGCTTATCGATAAAGAAAACGGCAGCGGGCCATTGTATGACGACGGAATTGGGTACAGTCAAGCACAACTCATCGCGTCTCGTTGGCCCAAAATCTCGCATTGACGAGACGAGACGGAGAAGGCCCGACAACCCACGTCGACGGGGGAAAATTCTTCCACCACACTCGACATTCCTTCGTGTCGTCTTGGCTGGCAAACAGGGAATATATAACATCCCACGACCGCCCCATCTGGATCGCGAAGACATCTCCTTGAACTCCTTCTCCGGGTTCTGTCAACGCAACGACCGAGGAAGAAGAAAAAAGCCGCGTCTGCGCGCTTGCGCGTCGATGACCAGGCATTGCGGGACTTTCATGTGCTAACTACATAGTCTCACCACCAAAAACGTCGATCTGTCACCGCACCATTGCGATTCGTGCGCGATTTACATCAAGTCGGAATAAATAGAGAAGGCGACACAGAGTTCTCAGTGACGAGCAGCAGATCGTCGTCACCGACTCTCCCAGAGATCTCGGCTTTTTCTACCCATTGAATCACAGACATGATTCCACGATAAGGCGGAACAAATCCTCGCGCTCAATCTTTGGCTTGTGGCCAGAGAACGCCACTCTCCAACCAATTACAATAAATTCTCCGAGATCGATACCTGCCTTGGCCGCCATGGAGACCAAATCCGCCTCATCACCTCTCCACCTCAAACCCACCACCACCACCACCAACTCCCCAAAATCCCTCCAAGAATCCCTTCCTCCCGCCACAACCAGCCTCGTCTCAAACCACGCCGTAGAAGCTCTCAAGGACATCGGCTTCGGCTCCATCGCCGGAATCGTCAGCAAATCCCTCGAATACCCCTTCGACACGGTCAAAGTGCGGCTCCAATCCCAACCCGACCACCTCCCACTCCGCTACACCGGCCCGCTAGATTGTTTCCGCCAGAGCCTCGCCCAGGATGGATTCCGCAGCCTGTACCGCGGCGTCAGCGCCCCGCTCGTCGGCGCCATGGCCGAGAACGCCTGCCTCTTCTGGGCCTACCGCGTGACCCAAGACGTCCTGCGCTCCACGCCCTTCCTCTCGCGGCCCGCGGACGAGAAGCTGCCGCTCGCCGCCCTGATCTTCGCCGGGGGCGTCGCCGGCAGTTTCACCTCCGTCGTCCTCACACCCATCGAGCTCGTCAAATGCCGCATGCAGGTCCCCTTCGAGACCGCCCCGCTGTCCCCCGGCCAGACCGCGCGTGCCGCGAGCCCGCTCGCGATCATCGCGGACGTCTGGCGGCGGGACGGCCTACGGGGCTTCTGGCGCGGACAGCTGGGCACGTTGCTCCGCGAGACGGGCGGCGGCATGGCGTGGTTCGGCAGCTACGAGACGCTCACCATGTACTTCCGCGGCGGGCTGCGCGACCCCGACGCGGACAGCCTGGCGATCTGGCAGCAGATGGTCGCCGGCGCGGCGGCGGGCATGAGCTACAACTTCGTCTTCTACCCCGCGGACACCATCAAGAGCAAGATGCAGACGATGGACGTCGGCAGCGGCGGGGCCCGGCCGACGTTCCTCGGGGTCGGGAAGGAGCTCTGGCGGTCGCATGGCATCAAGGGCATGTATCGGGGCTGTGGGCTGACCGTGGCGAGGAGCGCGCCGAGTTCGGCGCTGATCTTTACGATTTACGAGGCGTTGAGGAAGAATCTTGGGTAGGAGGGGAGAAGAAGAGACGGAGATGGAGAGGGAGAGAGAGTTGAGTGGAAATGAGAACATCTATACCTATTTGGAATAGCGGCTCATCGTCTTGCGACAGGAGGGATGGATAGCAAGAAGTGTGGTCAGGATCTCTCTCTGGTCCGATGGGCGGGAGTGTTCTCGAGAGGACCCTCAAGACACACACACGAAAAAAAGAAACAAACAACGGCAGCAGCAGCAGCATCAGGCGTGCCCCCGAAAGAAGAAACCGATTGCATGAAAGAGTGATGGAGAGAAAAAAAAGGAAGAAGAAACCCCCCCCCCCCCCGAAAACATAGAGTTATAGAAAGAGAAACAACAAACCACGTGTTCCTCGAAATCAAATCTGATCAAATCAAATGAACGTGAGAAGACGATTCCAAAAAATCGGCCCAGAGGAGATATCAAAGTTCCACAGTCACCGTCACTCTCACCGTGGCGCACGAAGCACACGATCATACGCACACACGTGTAGCACGAAAGCCAGACCCTCCCATAACAACCAATCATACACGACCATTCCATGTCCATCGCACCAGCAGCAGCAGCAACAGCCTACAGCATCAGCTCACTCCCCTCCCACCTTCTCCCCCAGCAGACCCAAGAAAGCCTCATGTACAAAGCCGGTCAGATCGCCCGCCTGCAGGCTCCTGCCTTTCTCCGCGAACGCCAGGCGCGAACACTCCCTCGTGATCGCGGACCCGCCGAACGCCGCTAGGGCCAGGAGTTCCGCGGCGTCGAGGCCGCCGCCGTGGGGCCACAGGCCCTCGAGGTAGGCCCTGCGCCACGCGAGGAAGGTCGCCACGCAGCCGGTCAGCGTGTCGCCCTGGCCGCCCGACCGCTTGAGGCCGCCCGGGCCCGAGGACACCAGGGTCGTGGCGCCGTCCGAGATGATGTCCTCGTGGCCCTTCTGGATGATGGTCACGCCGCCGAAGGAGCGGGCCAGGCGGGCGCAGGCCTCCTGCCCTTCCTCTGGTCCTCCTCCTCCTCCTCCTTTCCCTCCTGACGGGGAGTCCTTGCCGGCGGAAGGAGGAGGAGGATGTTCGAGGTTCAGATTCTGGGACTTGGCCAGGCGTTGGAATTCCACCACGTTGGGCGTCAGGATGCACTCCTTGTAGCCGTGGATGAGCTCCGGCCGCGTCTGCACGAGGTAGAGGCCGTCGGCGTCGAGCACGACGGCGAGGTTGCGCTCCCGCGCGGCGACGAGGACCCGCGCGCACGTCTCCTGCATCAGGGCGTCGCGCCCGAGCCCCGGCCCGATGACGAGCACGTGGAGGCGGTCGAGCATGGCGATGATCTTGTCCGCGATGCCCTCGGGGGATTCGTCCGCGCCGAGGTTCTTCTCCTGTCGCATGTAGGGGTGCACCATGAGGTTTGGGGAGTAGGTTTTTATGACGTTGGCCGCGGTGGGCTCGCAGATGACGTGCGACTGGTGGGAGAGGAAAGGGGTTAGTGAGTAGGTCGGGTCCGTGGAAGGAGGAATGGCTTTTTTGGCGGTCCCGGTTCGTGTGTGTGTGTTTGTGATTGTTGGAATGGTCACACGCGAACACTTACCATGTCTGCTCCCAGTTTGGCTGATGCCATTGCGGAAAAGTATGGCGCTCCAGTGTAGTCTTCACTCCCCCCCATGACTGCCACGCGGCCGAGTTGACCTTGAGATGGAACGACCGTCAGTCAAAATGATGCTTGGGGCTGTATCAGGCTATTCGATATAGATTGATCAAATCCTCGACATGTGTGCTGTTGATCGTGAGGGATGAATGCTACCTTTGTGGAATTTCTCCAGCATAGGCGGGACCATCTTGTAGACCTTGCCCAGGAGCTCTTTTCTCGAGATGTTGTTGGCCATGGTGATGGTGGTGGTGGTTGTTGTTGTTGTTATTCTTTAACCGTCTGGAATTGTCGTCTCGCTCGCGTAAGAGGGCCGTTTGATGATCGAAACCTCCTCCACGCTTGGCTGATGAGTTTTGTTGAAGTTGTTAATAAGGGAAGAGGAATTCTTGATCGTGTCGTCGAATGATCATTAATGCATTAGATGGTGTTGTCGTACCATCATTGATGCATCAGATGGTGTTTTCGTACAATTATTAATGCATCAGATGGTGTGTCGTATAATCATTAATTCATTAGACGGTGTTGTCGTCTCGGAGATGATGCATAAAACAACATCAAGTCGGAGAGGCTGATGATATGCGAGGAAATCCGACCATCGTCATGTTCGATCATAATTCGTTCATAAAAAAGGACACCCTCGAACATTCACATTCACATTCACATTCACATGCACATTCACATGCACATGCACATGCACATGCACATGCCGCAAACCCTTGGAAGAGTAACAACTACTGTGGTAGTAATAATGATGACAAGCCGCGCCCCACCAAGGTTCCATCATCGGCAGCAGCAAAGCGACGGTCTCTCTCTCTCTCCCCCGCAATTTCTGGCAGTGACGGACCATGACGTAGATTGTTTCGGCGCGGCGATGAAAAGAATCGTCAATGATGATGATGACGATGATTTTGGTTCGTGTTAGAAATACTCCGTGACGATTTTGATCAGAAGAGAGAAAGAAGAAAAAACCTCGTTGCTTTCCTCCTTCGTCTTTCGATACTTTTACAACGAAGGAAACTACACCTCCAACAACAAGACTCCCCACCCACCCGATCACCACAGCCAAACCATATCCATCCCAAATATGAGTTCCGAAGTCCCCTCACAGCCCCCTCACGACCAGGCCTACCGCACGGCCGGCAATCCCGTCGATCAGAAGCCCTTCGAGGCCAAACGTGCCGATGACAATGCCCAGGCCGATGCAGTCCCGATGTAAGTCAGCATCCACCCAGAAAGAGAGAGAGAAAGAAGGAAAGAAAGAGAAAAAAGGAAAGAGAGAAAGAAAGAAAGGAGCCCAATCCCAGTCTCCACAAAACCCACACCTACACCTACAATCCCAAATCCACAACAGTCACCCACCCTCCTCGCAAGACCACCCGCCGACTCTCTCTCTCTCCGCCTCTCCTTCTGACGACCCGCACAGAGGCCACCGCCGCCCACACGACGTCTCCGCCGAGCCCGCCCCGACGTCGCGCGCGCGCGGCATCCACGGCGCGCCGCCGGGCGAGGAGGTGCACGGGCACACGCAGGCGTCGCTGGACAGCGCGGCGCTGGACGCGGCGCAGATGGGCGCGCCCGGGGAGGGCAAGGTCGCGGACGCCGTCGGCCGGAAACCCGGCGCGTCCGGGGCCCAGCCGGGCCTGGAGAGCGACCTGGAGAGGAAGAGGGTGGAGCAGGAGCCGTTGAGACAACAACAGCAGCAGCAGCAGCAGAGTGGAGGAGAGGTGGATGTCCAGGGGGTTTTGGCTTCGAGGGGATAAATCTGTTTGTTTGTTTGGTGGACCGGAGAGAGAGAGGTGGGTTTTGGAATGCAGTCTGGGAATTCGGGACAAAAAGTTGGGAATTGCATGTTTGGCGATGGCGGGATCGAGATGCACGATGATGATGATGATGATGATGATGATGACAGGGATGCTTCGATGATGCCATGAATCGGAAAGGGAAAAAAAAGAGATAGCGGTTCGGGAAATCGAGTTTTGTTCGTTTTTGACAGACAGACAGACAGGCAGGCAGGCAGACACACGTATGAATATAGCATATCCCAGCGATCATGGCGAGTGATGGGAACCGAGCGGGGACATCCGACGACGACGACGACGATGAGGGTCATGGTTCGGGCGGACAACAGGACCAGGGGAATGTCATGGATGCAGAAACCTCCCTTGACGGATCGATGGGGACCACTGCTACAGCACATCTGATGATCACGATGGACAGCAGAGCAGAGCAGAGCAGAGCAGGGATTCTCCATCCCGTCGATCCGCTCATCTGGAAAAAGGCTCCCCTTCCCGGCAGCGGTAGCGGTAGCGAGAGGCCATGCCACATGCGAAAAAGAAATAGAAACAGAAATAGAAATAGATTTGGGGTTGGATGTGAGACTACAGCCCATCAACAACCGTCCGTCCCAAGGTTCCCCAAAAGGATACCCAACCTAGGTGGGTAGATATGCATCCATTGGAGAGCAGAGGAGAAGAGGGGATTTTGGGTACAGCCGCGTGTCTTTCACCGTAAGAATTAGGTTGCCGTTGTGAATTTTCTTCGCCGAGAATGGATTTGGTTTCTTTGTTTGGCTCTGGGCTGTCTTGGATTGAGAAGGTGGTACTTTGTAATGCAATCGGGGAGGCGGCTGTTCGGTGGGTGGGTGGGATTTGATGGCGATTTGATGGTGATTTGATGGCGATTGGGGCGAAGATTTGGGACGGGCTTGTCGAGGAGAGAGATGGATATTGATGATGGTGTTTCGGGCATCCCGCTCGTCGACATCACCATTGTCATTATTATTGTTACTATTGTTAGTATTATTTTCATCATCATCGCATAGTCCGCAGAGTATCCATGGAGGACTTGAGTGGTTGATATGCGGGTGCCCAGGTGGGAGTGGAGATGTTGGACGTATTGTAGAAGGGATAATAAGGATGAATTGGATTCAGGGTCAATCTGCGCGTAGGATATTCCATGCATTCTCCCAATGGATTCAATGGTAGAGGGCTGAAATGGGTGGCCCATCAGGTGGATATTGGAACCAACCGGCAAACTGGACCGGGGGGGTTTTCAACGTCTTCTCGTCTTTCCCTTCCCATCACTGTCTCTCTCTCACTGTCTCTCTCACTGTCCCTCCCATCGCGTCTCCTCTCATTCTTGCAGGCTTCTCAACCGATTTCAGTTCCCATCAGATGGATGTGACAGTCTTGTCATTATGACTGATAACCTCCTGCAGTGTCGGTCTGGGTATCGTCCCGCCGTGGTTGGATCCTCGCACCCAATGAATGGATTAATGTGGAACAGCGAAATCGATCATGCCCAGGTGTGTTTCGTTCGTCCCATCTGTGAGAGCACAGGGAAGACTCCGCCCGAGTTGTCAGTCACATTCATCACAGGGAAGACTCCGCCGCCGACCCAACATCAATATCATCAATGTCATGTCGTGTCACTGTCGTATGGGCGAGCGACTTGGGCGATCCTCTCGCTGCAGCTTCTTCTTCTTCTTCCCTCGCGCCTGTCTGTCTGCCTCATCGGTCTGTCTATCGGTCTGTACTGGCGGCAGGGGATATATGCTGTCGGCCGTCATCAATCAAACTGTACAGTAGGTGGAGTTTGGTGGTGATGGCACAGACAGACAGCGTACAGTACAGTACACTACACGCCTGCACACGTTGGATTTCGGGGAGAATGCACCAACCGATATACGCGTACAAATGCAGCACCAGTACAGTCCAGTATCTTCCACACATATCCCTCTCTCCATACTGTCTGTCTCTTCACCGTGCTCACACGCCAAGTCCGTCATTGCCCTTTCTCTGCTTTCTTCTACATACGCCGGAAGTGGCGTTCGGCTTCAGCCACCTCGACCTGCGTCTGTCCACTTCTCTCTTCCAAATCATACGCCTTCTCCCAGCATTTAAATCGATTCCCATCCATCTCTATCCACTTCCTCCTCACCATCTCCGATACAACGTGTCAGAGCGGCGTACACCATCTCTTCGGGCCTTTCTCCGTCAAACACTGGCTCGGGCGTACGGCTGTGAAGGAGGCTAACGAAATGACCAACGAGTCCGTCTTCTCGTCATCTGATCTCTCCACCAACGAGACCTCCCGCGTGCGACTAATTATATCAACGCGGCCTCCCATTCGCGAACGAGATGATGGGGAAACTCTTCTAGTGCTGCTTCCATCACTTCTCGTGCCTATCGACTAATCACCGATCGAGTATGGTCCCAGGGGAGCGTCCCTTCAACACCGTTTCGAACGCGCAACGATGGCGACTTTTCTGGACGATTCGGATGAGACATCGCTAGTCTCAATTCCCCTCCAGACCCGCCCGGCGTCCGACCACATCAGTGTTGCATCCGCGCCCTCCGTATCTTCCTCGACTACAACTATCACCACTGTCCCGACGACGGGATCGTCAGACGATGGGCTGCGCTCCTCTTGTTCGATTTCTTCGAGTGATACAGCATCCATCACCACCACCTCTGACGACAGCGGCAGAGACGGATCTCCCACCGGAAATAAGCTCACTGCGGTAGAGGGCCCCCCGCCATCGGAGCAGCCTCTACAAGGAACTGCATTCATCGATGAGTGGGAAGCGGAGGTCCTCGATTATGCGATTCCTACCCTGAACAATCATCTCACCCGAAAGAAAAGCAAAACGGCCATGAAGTACTTGCGTCGCGACTCTCGCGAGTCCCTCCAGGTTCATCAACGTCGACGGTCGTCCTCCTGGAGCGGACAGCAACGACCCTCCACCCCGGAGATAGAATATCCTCCCATGCAAAGCCTCAGCGACATCGCAAGTGAAAGCTCCATCTCCGACCTGTCCGAGACGCTCTCCACGATTAGCGATGACGATGATTTGGATCTCCTCGACGAGAAAATCCCTCCGGCTCCGCTCAACAGCCGTACTGTCCTAGTCGCGTATTGCAACGACGGCCCCGCGTCCCTCGATCACAATCCCGACACCACAGTTCTCGATATGCTGGATCTCATCTCCTGTCTCAGCGACTATGACCCCGCCGGAAACAAAACCACCGACCCGCCGAGCAGGACTGTATCCAAGCGGATGTCTCACCAATCGATCAACGCCTCCAGTCGCAAACTCGCCTCCCTCCTCGGCCCGGATTTCCACGGCAAAGCGACCAAACCTTCTCCAAGCGCACAACAACCCCCATCAAAGACGTCCCTGTTCCGCCGCCGCTCCCTCCTCCCCCTCCGACCTTCGTCCTCCTCAGCATCCCTCGCCGACCCCGTCCGTCGCGCCAGCGGTCCAGCCTCGCCATCATCCCAACCAAGCCTGACCTCGTCCCGCTCCTGCGACTTCCGCGAGTCCACCACCCTCACGCCACGAAGTTCGTTCCTCCGCGCATCCGCCGGCAGCACCAATCCTCGGAACTCCTTCCTCAGCGTCCCCGGCAGCGACATCCACCACCACCCCACCCCAAGCCTATCCCGCTCCTCCTCCCACACCGACGACGGCGAAGACAACGACGATGAAAACGACGACCTCTCCTGCGCCGCGCCTCCCGACATCCCCCTCGCGCCGACCCACCACCACCACTTTTCTCTTCCACCCCACCCGCTATCATCATCATCGTCGTCACCGTCGGGCGCAGCAGGCCGGACTCCAGCTGCAGCTGCGGCCGACCCTCCGGAATTCTACGTCCATCCGATCTACGCGGGCGGCGGGTTCGGCCGTTCGAGGTTCTCGGCGTTTCGGCTGTCGCCGCCGGTGAAGACGGCTTGGTTCGTCAATCGGGAGGGATGAATTTCTTTCTTCTTTCCTTTTTTTCGCTTACTTTTCGCTTTCTTTTTTTCGTTTTTGCTCCGTTTTTTCTTTCGCGTTCCAGGGCGGTGGTTTGGCCTTTTCTTTTCTTGGTTTCTTGGAACAGGAGCAGGAGCAGGAACGGGATGAGATTGATGGATCTGTATGAATTGGACGATGGTTATGGGTATGTGTATGCTTATGTGTATGTGTATTTATATTTAACGAGTGTACGTTTTCCGACGACGATATATGCGTGTTTTCGCTCGATGCTCCGAACTTTCCCCAGTCGTCGTGGCATCCGCGATGGCAGCCGGAGGGAGAACGTCCCCGCCGTTCCCTCTTGTTGTTTTGGATCTCTTCTTCTTCTTCTTCTTCTACTGTGATAAAAGAGAGAAAGTTTCCGTCCTTCTCGTCGTCGTCCTCGCAATCCATCCTCCATCCTCCTTCCTCCTTTCTCCTTCAATTCTCTTCGACGAATACTCCTACGTGTTCGTTTCGCCCCGGTATCCTTTTTTCTTGTGTCCTTTCTTTGCTTCCTCTCGCGATAGCCACGCCGACGATTCCCGTCCTATGATAGATGCGACCCTTCCCCGTCACGCAAGGGGGAGTGCTTTGACGTCATGCACAAAGTGTCTCATGCCCGGGAGACAAGCCGTGGCTTTGGAGATTTCTCGCCGGAGAAACCGCGAGAGCACGCGTCTCTGGGGATGCTCACCCGCCCAGCCAGCCAGAAGGACAGACAGACCCGGTTGAAATCGGACGGCCATCTCCGACGGCGCATGGAGAAAATGTACAGAGCTCTCTAATTACTAACAGTGGGCAGGCCGTTCAAAGCGTACAAACGGCAATTGCTTATCGACGCATCCAGTGCTTGGTTGGTTTTGGTTCATCGGAGTGATAGTCCGTCCAATTCGATCGAGTCTTGTGGGTATTAGACTGTATTTATATCTATATATGCCTCTTTGGAATGAATTCCACCGTCAACGATACGCGGACGTTCGCATCGACAGCGACCGACCATTTCCAGTCATGTCATTCAGGTCTTCAGCGTGACGTGCAATGAGACATTGGGAGTACTTCCTGTGGCTATTGCGGATCTCATGATCATTTGTCGGCGTGATGTTCTCATCGCTGTTGTCGTTCTCATGTCACTATTCCCAGAGCGGAGTCTAGAATAATTATGATCTTAGCAATAATTGAAATAGAGATATCATCAAATCAATCGTAAATCCAGATTCTGGGATCCACTTGCAGGTGAACGCATCCGTCAGACAGACAGACAGACAGACGAACAAAAGACCCCTGCACAGGTGGGCAGCTCCTCCCACCCTCTCCTTCAACATGCTTGCCATCGTTTATTCTTCGGCTCTCTTCATCGCGCAATGTTCAACATGGACAATAACTCCCGGGATTGGTCATTGCGCTCGATTCGCTTCGATACCTAAGAACAACTTCGGCATCGCCAGAAATGTGACTTATGATCATGTGAGTCCCATGATTTTGCCTCCTCGCGTGGGATACGCAAGAAGGAGTTGGAAACCACCATGCCGATGTGTAGGTCATTGTCGGCGGAGGCACTGCAGGCTTGGCCGTGGCATGCCGCCTCGCTGTCGATGGCACGAAGAGTGTGGCGGTCGTAGAAGCCGGAGGGCTCCCTCAGCTCAACGATGGCAACACCTGGGTCATTGCGGCCTACTATCCTTTGTATGGCGCGATCACGGAGGAGTCGGTCCTTGGATTCGATTCCCTTTGATTGAATGGGGATCTGTCACGTAGCCGGAGCCAGGCTTGGGAGGGCGAAAACTTCATTATGGGCGTGGAAAGACGCTCGGTGGAAGGCAGGTGAAGCTTGAACACTGCGATAAACGTCAGGTACTAATGTCGGGAAAGCTCAGCTCAAATTGCCATGGTTTACAATCGCGGCGCCATTGGGTCATGTCAAGCCTGGTCGGGTCTTGTAGGAGATCAGAGTTGAGGTTCGACAATCCCCTTCCTGGCCTCCCACGCAGTATCCATTGCTCCCCGGCGAATGCAAGATTTTGAGCGGCGAATGCCAGCGTGCCACCCCCCTCCGAAGCATACAACGAGAGCGCTGGCCCGCTGCAGGTCTCGCATCCCAACTATGCGCAGGTCTTCTCAAGCTATATCAGCGTCGCGATGCGCGAGTCTGGCATCTCCGAGCAGCAAGATTCCAGCAGCGGTAGTCTACTTGGTAGCCAATACGCACCTCTGACAATTTCGTATCCCGAAGAAGAACGCGCCTCATCAGAGTCGACATACCTCCGTGCTGCGCTGTGGGGGTTTGGCCCTGCGATTCATGATGCACCATGCGCATATTATGAGACGTACAGATTCGGGTTTGATCCCGATCGGATATGCTACGAACTGACCGCATCATACTTGGATGTTTGCACGACTTATCGTCATTCTACCTGTCATATCGATCCGCGCGGCTCATCGTGCGTTTGTTGGGCAGATATTGTCCAGGAGTCGCAGGTGAGGTCAACTGTTAAATGTGGTAGTTTTGATCACGAACGGCGAATTTTCCATCATTTAAAATGACGGGTGGTCCGCCTGAAGTCAGGCTCCATCGCCTGTTCCACAGATGTGCATGCGTTCGTGGATGTTAACAATTTGTTGGTTGATTGTCTGTTGTGGCTACCTAGGTATCTATGAGAAGTTTCAGAAAGTGAGAGTCTCAAGATGGCCTGTGTTCAAGTAGACGAGGGCATAGAGAAGAGATGTTTTAATCCCGTCGCGTGTGCGAAAGAAACTGCACGACATGACACCCTGCATGGCGTTTGCTGCACGTGGACGGCCCCACGTGAAGTGTCCTGATTCAGTCGACCTCACCTCCCACGCGATCGCGGCCAGCAAAATTGCCAACACACCCACACGTGCTTCTCATCTTCATCTTAACACAGTCTCAAACCACAAGCCCTACTTCCTTGACAATAATAGCCAAAGAAATCCCATTAATCAAATCTCCTTCCAAGCGAACGAATCAACAAACAGCACATTGACCAGAAAAAGCAAACCAAGCGCATGGGTTTATCCCTGCAGCCAAGACAAGAACCGAAGGATCGACAGCGCCACGGCTGAAACGGAGATCCGTGAGAGGACGAACGGACTACCCCTCCAGCTCTAGACTCGAATTTTCATCCTCTTTTGGCCATCGTATGTAAAAAATGTACTTCCTTTGTTCCCACGAGGGCTGTGCAATGCAATGTATTGTAATGTAATGTAATGTAATGTAATGCATGTGGGCCCTGCCGTCGCGTTGTTCCCCAGGACTGCACCGCACCACATCACGTCCCGCTTCTTCCCTTTCAAGCGCTCGCCCGTTCGTGCTCGTCCGCTCGCGTGGCAGCCCGAGGACCAAGCACATGGGATTTCCGGGGAAGGGACACAAATTGACATGCAGCGAGAGGTGGGTAAACCGTCTCCCACTGAGGGCCGGCCTCTCGCTTAGCATCGCACGTGCGAAAAAAAAACCAATGGCGAGTAATATCCCGTCGATCTCCCATGGTCTCTGCCCGTAGTCCCTGGATCTCTGCACCTCTGCCCAGTTCTGCCTGCAGCCTGGTTTGTTGATCATCTCGCTTGGTCACTTCATTCCCTCTTCGCGTGGGAGGCTAGTGAGCGGACGACGAATCGGGAGGGTTTCTGTGACGAGATGCGTTGCCCTGATGCGGCGGCGGCGGTGTGCTCGGTGGAGGATCGATACTTTTTTCGTGCCAGCACATGGGCGGCCCGACGAGCTGGGTGTTATTTTGTGGAGGCTGTGATGTTGCGCCAATGCCATGCCAGAGCTGCGGGTTCGCCAAGTCCTGCGAAACCTCATGTCGTCTGGACTATATAGATGAGACGATGTCCCGAGTTTGAACGAAGAAGGTTTTTTTTCCAGTCCTGTAGTGCACGTCTTGACATTAACCATTCCATACTGATCTGGAAAGAATACACGCTTCCCACGCGCAACACAACACGACACCTCTCGTCTCTTCGATCATCATCATGCGTTTCGCACTCGCAGTCTTGTCCATGGTTCTGCCATTGGTCGTCGCGACCGACGAGGAGGTCTTCGGCAAGCACGAGACTTCCTTTGCGGATCCCTTCACCGCGCTGCTCGAGCGCCGCATCTGTCAATCTGTGCCGGTCCGCTTGTACTCCTGCGAGGCGAGTTGCGGGACAGGCTACCGGTCATGCGTATACGACACCATGTGCTTCAACCCGTCGGCGGGCGAGACGTGCTGCTCCACCGGACGTAAGTTCCGACGATTCTTGGAAGCTCCTTCCACAACAACGTCCAGTTACTGACCAGGATGTGCTGCGTGTAGAATATTGTCGATCGGGCACCTACTGCACATCGGGCGGCTGCTGTCCCAACGGGCAGACCTGCCGCGGCAACGCCATCGGCACATTGCCGGGCTACCAACTCACGCCGACGACGACGACCGCGCGTGCGACGACCACGCGTGCAACGATTGATTACACGACTACGTCAACCCGGACTACCACCTTCACGACACCGACGACCACTTCGACCAGGACCACCACAGCGACGACGGCGACGACGACTTCCAGCACCAGCTCCTCGACCACCTCGACGACAGCCACCACGAGCATCGCCTTGGGCACTGGCGGTGGTGGGGTCATCGTGGGTCCTGCGACGGGCGCCGTCACGCCGACGACTGCGAGGCCGACGGTGGTGAACGTAGGTGGAGCGGAGGAGCTCGCAAGAAACACCTTTGGGGGTGCGTTGGCGGCGATGGTGGTTGGGCTTTTGGCGCTTTGATTCAGAATGGGCTTATGGGACCCTGTGTGAAGCATCAGGAGCAGGGAAGGAATTAATCATGGAGTGCTGGGAGATGATCGGTGAGTCTATATCTCACCGGGTCAAGGATGTCGCTCATCCACAGGGAGCGACGTGGAAGCTAGGTCATGAATATGCGCCACGAATTAATGACCTCTAAGGAGGCATGTCATTCTCCTCATAACTGCTGTAATCTTGATCGAAGCCGTGCTCAACGCGTCCAGTCTCATACCACGTTGGACGGCCCCAGTCGACAAGAGTGGCGGCCCGTGAAGTAATATACAGCGAATAAGCACAAGGATGCTACCAGAACGACCGGGAGCTTGTCCCATGGCTGAGCGCGAGCTGTGGCCGCAGGTAGACCTTTCTCCAGGCCGTTCGAGTCTCTGGCAGCCACGGCGTATGTCTGATCCGGGACTTCGGCCAACGCTGAGATGGAGCGGATCGATAACGAGAAGTCGCCTTCCTGAGTGCCGAAGAAGCTATGACACAGCATAATGAGTATATGGAACACGTTTCGCATGAATGTGATGTCCGTACCTTCTCATCATCAGGCTGAAGCGCTTGACATGTTCCAAGTCGATGGGCTTCGCGTCTGGTTGGAGCCGACCTCGGTATGTCGCATTCAGGCTCGACCACGGGATGAAGACGACACGATCGGTTGCGTCGCCAGGGATCGTTTGCGGAGGAAGCTCGAAGTCACACTCGTAGGAGATGGAGGCTTGCTCGCGACCGTTGGTCTCATTTGTGGGTAGAAGCTCATCCTTCAGAGTGAGCGTGTATCGCTTCTCTGTTGGTTGAAATCTGTCAGACTCATCGCCGCGAGGCACTTGAATGGGGATTCAATCGACATACTGTCGCCTTTGGCTACGGCAATCTGAATGCCGGCATATTTGGACAAGTCCCAACTGCAATCCTCGCCAGTGGTACGTTGGCTCGCAAAGCCCGCGCCGCCCAAGGTCTGGATGTCAAGGTTCCCATAGAAGCGGCCGATACCGCCCGAGATTTCGAGGTATGATTGTGACTACCAGAAAGAGATGAGTTGTGAGCAAGGATGACTTCATCGCCATGCTAAACCACGACTTTCGTCCTGCTGTCGGAGACACAATGTCCTTGACGATTCAAAGTCGAGGCCGAAGAAGCGTGCCCTACAACTCACCTTTCCGCCGCGAACGCGATCGTCAGATGCAGTCCAATCACCAGCTTCCCATTTCCTGTTCGTTGCAATGAGGTCAGAGTTTATATCAAAAGAGGAACCAACACGAGCTTGCTAAGGATGGAGTACACTAGACTGGAAGGAAGGAATGAATGAGGAAGATTAGCTCCGGAACCTACTTTTCGCCGCCGAACAACGGCAGTGCAGCAGATCGCTTGGCCATGGTTCTGTCCTTCAGCTGGATGCGGGTCCAAAGGGAACGGAATGGATCTCTGAGACACCTGGACGGAGATGGTGGTGCTGGCGTGCGCGCAATCGAGGTCGCTTGCTTGCAGAACGACGCCTTGAGGTACGGTTGGGCTAATCACCGCACCAATTCGTCATTGATGGCTGGGCTGGCTGATCACGCATCGTGAGCCCTAATTTGCCCGCCTGAGGCCGAAAGTGCGAGCAAACCACCGTTTCCGGGCCCTGTTCATGCGCGGGCCAAATTGCCTAATGCGGGAAGGCAATACAATGTATTTTTGGTCTCGGCCAGCGCTCGAAGCGCTTCCGCAGGATCGCGCGGCTGTCGATCTAGTGTGAATTCTGGTGTTGTTTTTGGGGCGAACTATTGGATACGCTATCGGTGGGTTCGATTCCACGACAGCGTGCCATTGTTGGTCCAGACTAGAGGAGCAGACGGGGAAAGAGTGGCGCAACAACAGCACGCGCGAGAAAATTCGAGCTGCCATGAACGGACAAGCGAGTCTCCAAAAAAAGAAATCTGAGATACAAGCAAGAATCGCGATTTCGGCCCCTCAAGTAATTTCCATGTCCACATAATCCGCAACAGTCAGTGTAGCGAGCGAGGCCAGACCAGAGTGCTGTCTGTTTACAAATGGGCAGATAAGCGAAAGCACCGATCTGGCGGGCCAGAGTAAAAGAGGGGACCTATTCTTATCGTCGCCGGTTTCTCCTCAAGCCTCATCAAGCCTCGCCATCATCATGATCATCAGGCGAAGGAATGCGAGATACGGTAGGCCGTGAACCCTCGCAACGACCGCATCGTCGGCGTTTCTACCCCTCGACATGCATGCCATTTCCATCTCATCGCCGAGTGAAGTAGGGCTTTTCTGTTCGCTGCTCGGGAATCACGAGGTGAAACAACGTGGTGTGCGGAGATATCTCCCTCTCGCTCTCTCTCGCGTGGCCAATCAAGCGAAGCGAACCTGAAATACAAGCCCTCGAAGCCTTGTGTCAAACGTTGCGTTGCATGTGCCGTCCTGCTCGCGTCGCACCTAGCCCCATCCTCTTCCGTTCCTGCCGCGTGATGGGCGTCGTGATAGGCTCTGCAGAAGGTGGAGGCCGGAGCCAGGAGCCAGGAGCTAGGAGCCAGGAGCAACACTTGGGAGGGTGGAGGGTGCGGTGGAGATCTATGTATATCCCGCCGGGAAGGAGAACGTGACGCTAGCAAGAGAGCCGCGCAGCGAATCATCGGCTCTGATCGCGATGTTTTGAACGGACCGATCGAGAGTGGTGAACATGCAGAAGGGGGGAACGTCGAGTCCGCGTTACCGATTGCGTAAAGATCGACTTTTGCTCGCAATTTGTTACCGATTTGATTCTCAGGACGGAAACTTTCCCCGTTTCGGATTGTGATGAGCAGGCAGATCTAGGCGAGTGTTGAGCGAGATGTCCATATCCCGGGTTGGTGGCTGCGATAAGCTGATCAGTGATACAAGTGATTGGGGGTATTTTTAGGTTTACTTTCTTTATTTCCACAAACGTACACGACGGAAACGTGACAGGGAGCAAGGAGCAAGCGAGTAGAAGCGCTTCGAACGATGGGCGTCGATGATGTGGAGGAGTTGGTGGTGGTGATGGTCATGAATGGAGCAACCTGCATGCGAAGGGATCATTTCCACAAAAGCACATCCCCGCCACGCGCTGATTGACCGGAGAGTGAGATCAGGAGGAGGAGGGGGAGGAGAGAAAAGGCGATCGCCGGTGCGCGCACGCGCGCGTGGAGAAAGCAACCCGACGCTTGGGGACCGCGACGGGAACGTGTCATTCTGCTTCTGTGCTTATTGCAGGAGGAGAGGCTTGTTTTTCCTCGCATGCCGGATAGTACATGTAGGCCACACCCAACTCAAAATCCTCTGCACCAACATTGCATGCCTTGAAGCCGTCAATGCGAGACCAGCCGGGGGGGGGGTATATACTTGGTCTTGCATATGAGGAGAATCCTTCTTCGCTTGCTGCGGTCGAATAGCCCTTTCTTGACTGGTGATTCGTCGATGGAGCAGTTATCCATGTCAAGTCTCGCATTTTATGATCCCAGATCAGGATGGCGATCGACACCGTAGGCTGCAACTTATCACATTGTGCCAGTGATGGGTCACATTCGATGGAGACGGAGGAGGAGGGAGGGCGAACATCAGGCAGACGAGGTCCTGTCCCAATCAATGCTACTACTACTGCTGCTGGACGCCTATTCCGGGACGAGCAAGCCAGGCTCCTGTTGGTGATTTGTCTTTTGGGGGGACGAAGGACATGCCCCCAAACCCCACCAACCCACCAACCCATGACACTGCCACACGGCTTTCCGGGCCACGCGGCCTGCGCATGCATGTTGGTCATGGTTTCCGAGGGCGATCCGGGATCAGACCGGTCGTCTCGGTTGATCCGTTGTGCCGCGCGTGGATTGTTGCGGAGGGCGCTGCGCGGTTCGATTCATGGAACAGGTGAATTGCGTTCAGGTCAAGCATGATATTTCATGGGAGTGGAAATGATTGTGGGTCCGCAGACAAGGTGTGTGTATTTCATCGAAGAGAGACTCGTTTTGCAAAAAGAAGAAACTCGGTCATACCGCTGTGTATTCAGGTATTCACAAAAACCAAAAGTGATGATTGGGTGGGGAATTTAACCATAATACCGTGATGCCCTCCAACGCCGTCGCTCCTTCGTGGGTCTCTTGATGGACGTATAATGACAGCAATCAAAATGGGAACAAAAATCCGCAACCGCCCGCATGTTCTCGCAAGTAATGCACAAAACTCCTCAAGAAACCAACAATCTGTGTCGTCAAAGAACAATACGAAATCACCATATGAAAGCAGACAGTCTTCGCTCGTCGTTCTCGTCGTCGTGGCATTCGTGACTCTCGCCACATGAGGATAGCGGCGGCGTCGCGGGTAGCCAGACCAGATCCGGTGGAGAGCTGTGCTCGTAGAAATCAAAGTTGGGATTGGTGGGAGGGCTCATCGTCGTCTGTCGGAAAGAGTCGCAAATCAGCCTGGATCTCTGGAAAGGGGAGGAAATGGAGCACGGGTGGAGGGTTCTTTTTCTCATCGACGGGCGCCGTGCGGTGCTTGCTGATGTTGACGGTAATAATGGTGAGGTCTGGTGTTACTCACATAAGCATCTCCTGAGCTGGCGAAGCCCGCCTCGCCCGTCACCGTCTGGCGAGGATATTCGCCATTTGTGATCGGTGCATAGCTCATATTGTAAGGACTCAATCCATCTTCGGCATAGTATTCTTGTTTGATGGCAGGAAGACCGATGGCTTGGTATGGAATGTTGTCGGCATAGGGTTGTTGCTGTGGAGGTGGCAAGTATGGAGATCCCATGCATTGTGAGTATGCGGAGGTCCCGAAGCCGGGAGCCATGGCAGGTTGGTAAGCTGAGTAAGGCGCCGATGAGAAAGGTGGTGGTGACACGGAGACAGGTCGTAGGTTCTGCTGTGAGAACATGCCGCGATCGTCGGTTGAAACCATGTAGTTTGGTGCCATGGCACTGGACATCGACTCGGGATATGAAGGGTGACCGTACGATTGTGGGTGATCCTGCGCATGTGATTCTGATGATTCGGCGTCGTGGTGGTCGAGTTCCTGATGGCGCTGTTCGGGCGATGCTGAGCTTGACTCGGCGCGACGCTCGAGGTCTTCCAACCTCTTCTTCAGCTTCTTGCCTTTGAGTGAGTTAGTCTTCCTGATCATCATTATCAGCAGCAGCAGCGGGTCCATTCACTCACGGTAGTTGCGCTGAGCGATGCGATTCTGAATCCTCCTTCGCTCTGCTAGATCGGAGATCTTGGTCCAATCCTCGTCCGGGTTTGCGCTGGCACTGAAGGCACTACTTGAGCTGCTCGCGGTGGGGTATTGCTTGGTCGTCGGAGGTGGTGATGTTGCTGGCTGTGAGCTCCTCCGCCTGTGCTGTGATGGCTGCATGGTGACAGGGTATGTGATTGTGGAACGATTGGGAGAACGATTGATGTTGATCGTGTCGACGGTTGAACGACGAGGCCGAGTCGTTGATGTAGTACGCCAACGTCGAAAGATGTCGTTGACGTTGAGGTGGTGGTGAGGTGGTGAGGTAGAATGACGATGATTATGATGATGACTACCGGCGACGGAGTCGATCCAATGTGCAATGAAGGTGGTGGTGGTGTCGGATTGTTCAGTCGGAGGAATGGTTGGTATCAGTGGAAGATCCAACATCACTCGGGAAGAGGCGAGTATGATGTTGTATATAACGATTCTCCGAACATACCAAACATGTCATCGGTGACTCGAAAGAGGTTAGCACGACAGCATCACTTCGCAGAGCCCTGGAATGGCCGTGCATGCAGTGTCCTGGCCCCACAGGATGCCGGCCGGCAGTGTCGAGGCGGGCATACCAGAGGAACAGTAGTGCCAAGTGCACGAACATCATTCATTCATGGTGGTGGTGGTGTTGTTGTTAGTGGGAGTGGTAATGGCAATGGTAGTGGTGGTGGGAGTGTTCAGAGTGTTGGTCGCACGCAGGGTCGACGGCCAACCGTTGCGCCCGCACGCGCTCATGACCGCAGCGGAGAGTTTCTAAGATCATGGGCCGGTGGAAAGGTCGATTAGGCCGACAATGCAATACAAGGGAGGGGCTTTGCGACTGCGACCGTTTCGTCCGACCAGCGACCGTGGTGGACCGGGTGTACAAGCAAAGCAAAAGTGAATGGAGGATCATGGATGTGAGTGATAGAGTTCGTCACTCGTGAGGTCTTAGCTTCCGAGGCGGAGCGCCCTTGTCTGTCTGTTGTTGCTTCTCCCTACACGCTAAGGACAGCCTTATTAAATTTAGATGGTCCACTTTTTCGCGCGCACAGACGACGATTCTGCGAGACTGCGTTTGTGGGTAGGTGTGTGCGTGTGCGTGTGCGTGTGCGTGTGCGTGTGCGTGTGCGGGTATAGAGAGAGGGGAGGAAGAGATACGCATCGTGTGGACGTGTGGACATGCGTGCGCAGTGTGCGTGTGCATGCGCATACACTGCCTGCCCGAGTCTATCGTTCACGTCCACAACCACGTCCACGTCCATCGCCGTAAACTTCTCCATCGTCAAAGTGTAAATGCGTGATGAGAAACGGTTCCCACCACCAGCGGCCTGACTAGAGCGACTTCTACCGCGGGACAGAAGTCGTCGTCTGGTACTGGCGGTGTACAATTGTATCTATAACCCGGACATGGCTGTGGGCTTGCAGGCGACTTGACTACTTTGGTATCTAGGCGTGCTAGGGAAGAGTATGGGCATAGGCGGCTGCATAGGCCATGCATCGCGATACATGCATACCTACATACCTACATACACTCTATCACCACCTGCAACCATCTGGACATGCTGTGCTGTATATCCCCTTCTCGCCTACCACGGTCCGATGAACTATGTCACAATTATCAGTCATCAGTCCACCACGGTATCATCTTCTCTGCGGGAAGAGCGAACCTCTCGGCGACAACTGAAATCGCATCATTAGTCCTCCCTCCTCCTCCTCCACCTGCATGCATACATGTTTGGATGGAGATGCCTCCTGCCGATGAATTACAAAGAACGAGGCCGCTATCTCCGACTATTCCTACTATCCGCCACTGCATGGCACTGACGACAAATTACCAATCCGACCATCACGTTATTTCCGTCTAGCCTCCTGGCCCGGGCCTCCTTTCATAGGCACATAGGCACCTGCAGTTGTAGTAGTTCAGGTCGACCTCTTTTCGAGGTCCTTAGGGCTTCGTTCGCACCCAGCAGCGGTCGTCTCGTCTGCACCACCTCTTCGCATTGTCGTCGTATCGCATCTAGCGGGGATAGAGCTTCTCTTTCTCCGCGAGGCCCGCTCGCGTCATGACAAACGACCCGTCGTCGTTCGTTTTGTCGACGAGCAATTTCGAGGTTTCCGCCGCTTAGAAACCCTCTTTTCGCCTGGCCTCCAGCTAGTCCCGGGAGGAAGACGCGTGATTGCTAATGGGATGTGACGATCGAACGTCGTCAGTGATCGCGCGTGTCCCGCACACGCAAGACGGAGGAGCCGGTATCGCTTTCAGATCTCCCGGCGGCGAAATTCTTGTCCAGTGCGGAAAAGGATCCGCGCCGCAGCACATTCCAGGCCTCAACCCCTCCCCCGTCTTTGTTCCCATGAGAGCGCAACGGCCACGAATGATGCTTTGCAGGATCGTTCGCAGCGGCATGCTCTCATCGGTCCTCTTTCTCCCTGTGTGCCAACACGAGCTCATGTACCTATTTGGTCCTATTTTTGACAATTCCGTTCTCTTTGTCGATATTGACTCAATCCTACAATGTACTTCTCGCCTAGCATGTTTTCATTTCGGTCGACGTGCCAGAAACTTGGCAGCGAGACAGTCCTGTACGCGCATGTTGTGTTCCCACGGCGGGCGGTTAAATGCTCGAAAATAATCACCCTGGCCCGCCCGGTCATCCCTGCCCAGGCGGAAGTTGCTGTGCGTGCTGTGGAGAATTTGGGGGCCTGACAGGTCGCTGCTGCGCCCGCTCACAGGCCCGAGTCCAACTCCACTACACGGTGCACACAGTACGACAACACCCCAAAAAAAACAGTCCAGGTTTACTGGACAGGACAGGGGGTTTTGCTCGCGCGTAGCCGCAACATTGCAATACCAACTCGGCCTGCAGCTGGAGATAGGCGGGCTTGCCGGCCGCCGAGTGACCACGACACATCCCTTTCGCAACAGATGATTTCATCGCGCGCTCTGTGCGTCGTGGCCCACGTTGATCGCCTAGCCGGGAAGATCCACGAGCGGAATACGCGCAACGAGATCACGGTTGATCGCTGCTGCTGCTGCTGCGTGCGCACGACGATTGTCGCCATCGAACGCAAATGATCGAACCGATCGGCCCGGGCAATAAAACATGCCCCCGGTCGCCGCCAGCTTGTGAGTCAACGCGGATTTTAGGTAGGAGGGCCTTGTCTTGTCTCCGGCGCCAGCCAGCGGTTTTCGGCCTACCTGCGTTTTCGCACGTCTTCCTCCTCTCTAGCGCGTAACTATTCGAGATATTTGACCCCTTCTACACATCGCCATTGGCTAGAGCCGGATTAAAAATAAGTTTTTCGATTTGCGACGGAACGCTCCCGTTGCCCTTCTGCTGCATTGCGCACCGCCCACTTCGCTAGAGGTATATTCATCCTTCCAAGCTCCCTCCCGCTCCTCGTTCCGTGATGGGTCCTTCTTCGGACGGTGTACATACATACCTGTATTTCTCTTCTCCTCGAGGCGATGAGTTGCGCAATGGGGGCCGGCGCAGGTCGCGCGTGCGTGCGCTTGTGCGAACCAGGCCTCAGCGATGGGGTACCATCCATCCCCTTCAACATTATCCAGATCAGGAGCATTGTCCGAAGGGCGGCACCACTCTTTCCTCACGCGAGGATTAAGGTTTGCTATTTCAACTCGCTTTTTCCATCACATCTATGATCTGATCCTCCCGCCGTGTGTGGGGGGTCGTTGGTATTTGAAATATGATATATTTCCGTCGTCACAATACGACGAGTCGTTTCGAGGCATCGGCACGAGATCTCATTTGTTCGTCTGTTCGTTTGTCTGTCCATTGCAAGGAGTCATGAACGATAAGGGACCTTTGGATGACGGGAAACGTTGGCGTCCTTCATCAAGGAAAGTCTAATACTCAACACTTCGGACGAACGAGTCGGACAAACACCCGGACGAAAAAGAAGGTCAACCTTCGCAAAACTCGTCTTCCCGCGAATACCCCTCCTCCTGCCCACAACGAAGTTGTGCCGTCGCCAGGCGCCCTTGGTGTTTCACCCGTCATTTCTCCCTCGATTCTGCCGAAGAAACGGATGTGGCACATGTCACGGATGCCTATCCACACGGGTCCTGATCCTCGGCCTTCGCAATGGTGCGGGCCATGGACGAGCCTGGACAACGCCAAGGTACCGTTTGAGTCGGTTTTAGGCGACATGCTTGTGCTGGGCGGACGAGTGCCTCCATGCAAATTCCACGGCGAGCGCTGTACTGTAGGTAGAGGCGTAGTTCGCGAAATCGTCTTGATTGGTGGGGTGATTAGGGTTTTCGAATATACTGAACGTCCCCCTGTCATCATTTCATCACCCTCTCGCACTCGATGGGAACAAGCGAAGGGTCACAACATTGGAGGGTTTGCCACTGTACTGTACACGGTTTGACCGGGGCCGGAAGCCGTACATGATCAGGCAGGCAGAAGTACAGATACATGTTACAGTGCTGTGTGCTGTGTGGATATTCCGCCTCTCTCCCGCCCCGCCTATCATCATCATCAACCCACCTGGATGCCTCGGGGCTTCCGAATGTCGCACATGGCATCAACGTGGCTTCCACCACACACAACAACAGCGACAGCAACAGCGACAACACTCGGCGCGCCGATCTTCGAGCCGAATCATCCGGGCGGCCTCGCAGGAGGAGCAACGTATGTATTGGCATGCACGCCGTACACGTCAACCCCCAGCACCCGCCAAGGACATGCCATGTCCGTCGTTTCTTGTCCCGCCGCGACCGGTGTCGAAACGATCCAACCTTGCCGGGCGATCATTACAGAATACAATAAAAAGACCACATGCAAGAACACGCGTATTCTTCCCCACGAGCTAGAGGCCAGGGGGTGGCAGTGACGGCGTTCGGCTTGTTCTTGTTGTTGTTTTTGTTGCTGCTGCTGTTATCGTTGCCAACACCACCACCATCGAAATAGACGGCCGCACAGCTGCGGCCATGGGCGCCCATGGCGTTCCAAGCGATATATGCATATCCACCAGCAGCAGGCCCTACATGCCCCAAGGACAGGTGGAAAGCCAATCATGTGGCGCGATTGAGCCCCTGTTAGCCGATAGGGGTATAGCCCGAAAAGCGCGATCCCCCTCCAAGCTAGCAAATGACGGCTCGTTCGTTCGCTTCTTCCCATACACCATACACAGTGATGATACACTTGCATTAGTTATCATCACATATGGTTTTCCACTTATTAGATCCTCAGTCCAGCATAGTCGCGCCTGGTTTTCCCAAGGCCGCGCGTGCCCAACGAAACATCTGTTGGCTCCAAGGACATGTCTGGCGCGGCCAGCTCTGGACATCCGCAACACCCCTCGTGAAAATCGCCCCCCAAAAGTGCGCATGAAGATATCGTATGATTTTCGCTCCCATTCCGTGCTATTTCCACTGTGTGACGGCGAGCGTTTTACATCGATAACAAACATCAAAGACGCGTCACTCCTGTCCCTGCGGAAACAACTACCTTTCTGCGCAATGTTGATACGAAACTTCAATACTTTTGGACTACACACTGCGAGAGACGAGTCGGTGTCAGATCATAATCCCGAGTCGCGACTCGTGGCTGTGCTTCTTCTCATATCACATTCATACAATCATTCAGCACAGGCTTGGGAATGCGTGTCATCTCGGCAAGGCCCCCTCTTGCATATTGCCAAGGCAAGCCTTTCGGGCTACCTCATTGTGTGAAACTTGCGCATGGATTGACCCGCAAGTGAATCTTCCGCCGGCAAGGAGGGCGAGGTTCTCGACCGGTGAACGTGATCTCCCAGGCACCGGTGCTGTTTCGTCGTCGCCGCCACGGGGTGAGCGTCCACGTCAACTGCTCCTGCGCCAATTCATGGAGCCACGGGCATATGCATGTTGGGTGAGACGCGGCACGAACGACATCCCAAACCCTGAATGATCCTCCCCTGATGCGCCCTGCTATTCCAGCCTCAATTTTCCGTCCTTATTGCTGTTGAATACGAATCGTTGGAGAAGATGCGACAGAACACCTGCCAATGGGCAATTGTAGGGCAGACGTTCTCAGCTGAGGAATCCGGTCCTCGATAGAGAGGCTGTGCAGACCCTGTCCAGCTGTACCCATTGGAACATCGACAATTGCCACGAAACAACATCTCGATGATCGTATTAAGGGCAGGAAGAGAGCCTTCGTGTGTGGCTATGTTCGATTGGATGATCCCGGATGATCTGCTCCGCAGCGCGGGCCGTCAAGCTAAGAAACCGCCGCCCGCCGTCGTCGGAGGACCTGAGCGTGCTGGGCCAAATCAATTCATGCTTACACACTCTCTCTCTTTCTCTCTCTCGCGCGCCAAAGACAGGATGGTCGCCAAGCTGTATCCGACTTGAAAGAGAGAGGGAGAGGGGGAGAGGGCGGAGCAAAACCATATCTGAAACATGCGGCAAAGCAGAAATCTGGTCTGCACAGAGCAGAGACGTATCTCCAATTTTCCTGCTTTTCTTCCGGGAAGGATGATGAAGCGTATTGCGAGCATAGAGAAGCATGTGAGGCCTGTTCGCAGGCTAGTCAAGGCTGCATGGGAGATATGACGATGATTGGGTCCATGATCGTAAAACGAAATCCCAGAGCACCGAGATCCGCCCTACAATGTCTACATGCAGGTGGTGGTGGTGGTGGTGGTGCAGAAGGGCGGATGGGATGGGTGGTGTGGCCGTTTTTCGCGTGCATACGCCGCCATGTAGGTGATGTCCGACTCCGACTGCCAGACCGCCTGGTGACAGAAGTCGTGGTTCCGCTAGACACCCACGTTTTCTGGCGAGCAGAGGGAATGGGTTTCGCGCGTGACAGACACGGGACGGAAGCAGCAACAACTCTCGGGAGCGAAATTGGGACATCGCTCGCTGTTTAGACCAATTTGGGCGGATTTGGCCGTATGTGTTGGAACTGGATTGCATACATTACAGCATTGCTTGATGGGCCGGGCCCAATTGCCCGTATGCACTCACGACACAGGACTGCACAGTCAGGGTGCATGCACGCTCTACACACACCACAGCTGCAGTAGTACTAATTGGACATCATCGCCCTTTCTTTGACTCATGCTCAAGATCATGATCGTCGTCGTCGCCTGTCGTCATGAGACAGAACTTCAAGGATCTTCCTCTTTGGCTCGGCTTCCTCGGGTTGCAACGCTACGACTTTCCCTCGTCGTCGTCGTCGTATCGGACGTTCGCAAGTCCCGTTCTACCGACCGTGGGCGTGCCCCATGCCGAGTGTCTGGATACGGTCGACTCGATGATGCAGCAGGGTTCATTGGAAGGCCTTGGAAAGGCGGGATGATGCCTGCGAAATCTCCGATTAACTCCGCGGATGCTTTCCACGAACGTCAAAGTACCAGAGTAACCTCCCATGTGATGGAACCGCTTAGTATAATCATTCTGCGACTCATGCAGGAGAGAACCTGTCTGTCGACTGGCAACGTCATCCCGCACCGAACTCGATACGACCTTGACGGAGACACCTAGGCATTGCTGACATATCAATATTGTAACGTCGGAATCGAACTTCTCCTTGTTACTCCCTGGACGACTTCGTTCTCTATGGAATTCCAAATTCGGATTGATCGCACCATGATAACGTCCGAGCTATCCTGCGGTGTTCTTCAAGTGGTGCACGCGAGGATTGGTCAGCCGCATGACGAATGTGATTATCACAAGCTTGTTTCGAACCCATGTTGGATGATTCACGTCGCAGAAAGTTTGAGTCACATTTCCCAACCATCAACCGGGATATTGCTGACAACAGAGATGCCGCTAGTTCTCCCACAGCCTTGCGTCGATGATACCACAGCTTCGCCGTACAGCATGGTTGGGAGACGGAGAATAGTCGCCTCTCCACTTCGTATTACATCGGTCAAAACCGAAATCCCGCTCGAGCGTATCGGAGGACGCTCTTTCTAAATCGTGAGGCCTACCCACAGCGTGTGCAGACCTCTTCTCTGTTCGTCCGACCTCATTCGTTCTGCCCGACTCTGTCATCGGACCCCCCGAAGACTAGACTTCCACCATCCTTGCTTCATCCCGTGACCGGCGAACGTCTCGAAATCCCAGACTTCATGTTTCTAACGATACGATATCGGAGTAGATATTCCGCTGACAAATTCCCTTCAAGATGAATCACATCATCGCTCTCCCGTTCATAGCGCGAGGCTGAAACACTGCCCAGAGGCATGCTCTACATCAGCGCGACGACAGTCCCTTGACAAGTACCTCGTCAACAAGGCTTTCGTGCTTCGAGAGCACGACTTTTGCATCGCAGGGAGCACGTCTCCATTCTCGTACGTCCGCTGAATGAGAGCTGTGATCCGCATCTTCCGCTGCATCCGATCAGGTTGTATCCGCGATGTGGCCGACGGGCGCAGCGAACGAGAAGATCGGGGAATCTCGACGCGGAGCTCGGCTGATTGAAGCTCAGGTCGTGCATGGGACCCGAGGAAATGGACTCCGCCTTCCGTATCTCAATACGTGATCGGATTTACGTGGGAATTTCGGATCTGCTTCCCATTATGGCGCCCCTCGTGTTGATATATTGTGGTGCCGATGATCACTGGCGAGTGGATTAGACGGCCAAGAGGTAAGGCCTAAATGCATGAACTAGAGAGGACAGTCGAGTGATTGAAGACGTAAGGTAAACTCGTTTGAACAAATCCTGAAGGATGTGAATGTATGCGATGAGTGTAGACGTCGGATCATCATCCGTCCGAAACATGCATATCGCGAAGATTCGCGGAGACGAAAACGTCGTGAACTTCTAGGGAGATGTGAAGTGCTCGAAGGCAGAAATTAATCCAAGCACGAACTACATGTGAAGTCCAAGCTTGTTTTGCACAATTGGTAAATGACATGGTAATTTTCATATACGTGACTCGAATGACAGGGCTGAAACTCACAGGACAGAAACGCGTTCAGGGCCAAAAATTCAAGGATCGAGTGTCGCCAGAAGGAAACATAATAAATAGACAAACAACTCCTCCCACGTGCACAGGCTTGACCTCGGAACTCGGGGGCTGATTTGTGTCGATGGTGAATGCTGTCGAAAATCGAATGCATCAACCGTCTCGTGCTGCACTGGTGACATGCTGCATTATCCTCACACGCTCCTGATTTCGATATACCGATAGTATATGACTCCCTCTCAGCATCGATAAATCTCAACTTGGGAAATGACTGACAAATCTCCGGTGGTGACGTTCCAGCCCAGCTTAACGAGTGGGGACTTGGTCGCTGAATACCAACGGCAGATTGTTGTTTCTTGGAATGCCGACGTTCCAGACCTTGATGTCATTGCCGACGTCCGTACCATTCTGGAACATCAGGTTGATGATGCCGTCTTTGGTGGTAGCCACGCTCAGCTTGGAAACATCTGATACAGGCAAGGTGAGGTTTTGCGTTGTCGCATCATCCCCGGCTGCTATGATGACATGCTTGGTGACTTGGTTGGGACCGCTTTTGTAGAACAGACTGGTGCAAGTGATATGTTAGCATACTGGGTATTCAGATAACACGCGGAGAGGTCAGACAGCCCCGACGACGCAACTTACTAGTCACTGGATACATCAGACACCGCCGCGAGCGATACACCAGAAGGAACTGTGATATTGAGATTCATCCCTGCGAAACTCGTCAGCATTGCACTCTGGGAAACCCGTGTCAGATTCATCGCATACCGGAGGACCACGGGTCTGTGATGTTGTAGCCGTCGCCGAAAAATTTATATGCCTGGACCACAGTGCTTGTTTTCAGCTTTCGGGCGTAGAGATTCAGGCCAGAATTCTGAATGAAGCTGCAGGTGAGTCCAGACGCAGGGTCAGCCCAGCCGGCGCCTATGCTGAGAGCAACGGAAGCGTCAACCCATAGTTGCTTAGGATTGGAGAAGTCATATAGCCAGACATTGATAACTTGATCGGCGCCCAGGAAGAAGACGAACATCCCGTAAAAGCCTTTGGGATTGGGGTCGGCGCAAGCTGCCAAGCCCCCTGCGGCGCTGGGAAACACCGGCCCGCCCAACGGTACTGGGTCATTCCATTGAGTTTGTTGTCCAGCTTCGCTAGTTGCATTTATCGTTTTCACGAATCCAGACGGGTCGATGTAGATGAGTTGTCGATAATTCTTCCCGTTGAACTGGTACGCAACAGCCCTGAGAGAACTACCCAGCCCAACTTGAGCGCCAGTGATAATGGATTTGTTTGCGTTGTTTGAATCCTGGAATGTCCACTTTCCGTTGACGTTTATTTTCTCCACGACAGAACCATTCGCCATCTGGAAATACATCACCTGTGTGCGTGCATCGTCTGACATGACGGCGGTCGCCAGGCCTCCACCAGCCATCGCGCTGAATGTGCTAGGCATACCTTGTGTAGCTCTGGAAGGGGTTTCATCAGCTGAGTTCCTTAATTGAAGCTCACAAGTGGATCGCACTCACAATGAAGGCGCAGGTTTCTTCTTGAGACCAACTCCTAATCCGACTCCGAGCGCAGTCAACACAACAATTATCAAGGCGATGACACCCAAGAGCATTGCGAGCGACATGCCCAGATACCGCTTCTTGGGCGGCGCGGCCGGTGATGATTGTTTCTCGAGGAAGTTGTTCTGGATCGCAGAATCTCTGTGGTCATTCTGCTCAGGCGGGACCTGATACCCGCTCGCCGAAAAACGTGACTTCTTATCAGCGTAGTTGTCACCGGAGTATTCATTCGCTGAGTATGCCGGTGCAACGCTGTTCCGATAATGACCTGGGGGAACCAGGCTGTTGCGGTCGATGGGTTGATCTGTGTAAGCTGGGTAGACGACCTCCGGACTTGTGGAGTATGGAGCAAACACCTCAAGTCCTTCGCTTTCACGATTTGAGTAGGTGAGGTTGTTGGCATTATTCGAGAGGATACTCGGGTTATGTGACAGAGTGCTCATATCCCGCGATAGACCTTCAGGCTGTGGTACGGCTTCCAATGTGATTTCGGGTTCCTTGGGTGCGACGGGTATGCTCGGAGCTACATGTTCAACAGGATCTGCTGGTTTGGTGGGCTCTGCGGCTTGTGATGGGGTGGATGACTCGGCGGTTTCTTCTTGAGCATGCTTTACATGAAGCTTCTCCGGCACCAGACTTGCTGGTGGAGCATCATGTGTAGTTGCCGTCGCTGGATCCATTGTCGCAATTGTGTGTAACAAGTTTGTGTAAGCACAGAATCAGAACAGGAAAGACGAGAGATACAGGTGTAGGCAGGGCATCCGGGGATGGTCATATCGGTGCCCATTCTCTGGGCGAGGGCAGCGAGGTGCAGTGTCCATAGCCACGCCGCATGCAGTTCAAGGCTTTGTTCATCCTAGTCGTTTCATGTTCTGTGGCGTTACTAGCATCTGAGAGGTTGGCCCTGTCCCGTGCTTGATGCGCTGTGCCGCATCTGAGCTTTTCTGGGGTGATGATTTTATCACAATCTTGCCCGGAGTTGTTGTTACTGCCCTCCCCTCGGCTGTATTCACACGATCTCAACCGCAGTCCGTCGTTGACGATTATCACGAGCTCTCATCTTTGATATGAGTATCGCATAAAGCATATTCATTTTATCGACAGCAGACTCGATGTCCAGGGCTATCCTGTGCTGCGAGTCTTCGGGTGCGGAGCTGTCGAAAGGAATGGAGGCGTGCGTGCTGTGCCGTTGACATGCAGCCCGCCAAGCACAGCCCGCAGCGCTTTTTATAGACACCGTTGAACAACTTCATCTCACGCTAGAGCATCGGCGACCAATCCCCGAACGTGGAAAACCAACACGGCGCGCATATCTCGCAGGGCCATTCTCCCTCGCTTGCACAAGAGGCTGGCGACCAACCGGTGTGAAATTTGGATTTGATTTCGCACAAATTTGCCATGTTTATTTTCGGGACGTCCACAGCAGCCGAGGCGAGAACCTCTCCCGTGCAGCGTGTAGCGTGACGGCAGGGATGTGAATCTATGGCTACAGATCTGCCCTGGATGTCGTGGTCGCAAGCACGTTTGAGAGCTGAAGGACATTGACAAATGGGATCACGCAGTCGCAGATTAATTCCAACAACGGCTCTTTACCCACTTTGGAGCAGTGGTTCGACCCGCGCTGCGGTGCGAACGCCATACCGCTGTTGGCAAGAACTGATTGGAGGCGATGCTGAGCGATTTTGTCGAGCTTTCCCATCACGTGGAGCATTCTCGCCTCCTCAGTACAAGACGATGGATCTGCATCTGTGAGATTGTCTATGTGACCGATCTCACATACCGAGCTTTCCTTTGGACATGCGGCGAGACAGGATACCATCCATCATAAATGTGGCCCGATCGCCAGCGAATCCTGATCACACAATCAATCCCTATCCACCGTCCTCCCCATCTGCCATTATCGCCTTGAACTCCGCCTCCTTTACTTCCCACTCCTCCTTAGCCTTCCTCCTCCGTTCCTTCTCCCTGACCATCTCCTCCCTATCCCTTCGATCCTGACCGCTGATCCAGTTCTTAAATCTCTCCCATCTGCCACGATTTAACATATAGCTGAGATCCGCAAAGTCATGCATTTCCTCCGCGCAGTCCCGACCCCATTGACAACCCGCCATATTCACGAGGAAATCCCGCTCCTTTTCTTGATAATGCACGCCTCGGACGCCGCATTCCTTCATCGCTTCGAGTTTTTCTGGATCTTGATTTTCGGAAAGAGCTAGTGCAGGGTCTGAGACTTTTATCTTTCGAAGTGGCTTCGGGCAGCCGCGTGCAGGGAGACCTTGGTCGTTGCCGCACGCTCCCTCAGGATATGCATTGATCATGCGCTGTGGCAGGAATGCCACGCGTGATCGGATCCAAGGCTGTGTGGTGTAGATGTGGTGGAGGGCGTCTTGTTCTTTGTGCGTCCATTGGGTATGTCGTTGTTCATAACTGATCGGGTCCCACCATGCGTCGAGGATTCGCTCACCCCAGTCGCTACGTCGCACGAAGAAGCTGCCAAGACTGAATCCGCTGCAATCCTGTGGAATGAGCATGTCGATACTAGAAGCTCGATTGTCACCTGCTGCGGATAATGTCGTCGCGTCGAGGAAGAAGGTGGATTCGCTTGTTTTGCTGACGGGATGCTCTATCTTTTGAGGGTTGTATACATTGATATCACGGTAAGTGCGGTCGGTGAGCGAGTTGAAAATATGCGATTGCAAGCTGTAGCTAGGCTCCATGATCACAGTGGTCAAGTCAAGCCACCAAAACCTATCACGACAACGAGACTGGTCAGCCAAGCAGCGAACAATGAGTTGACCCGGGAGAACTTCGGACTCACCATTCCGCATCTCGATGCTTTCTCATGGCATTCTTGATGATGTCTACCTTTTCCCAGCCTGCACGCCACTCATGCGAGTACTCTTTCTTGTCGACAAGATTGGCTACCTCCAGCGTATAGCCCCAGCGATCAGCGTAGCGCTGCTTGTTACGCATGCTGGCCTTTTCAATTGCATATTCCCGCCCACCTTTCCATTCTGATACGCCGCCCCCGGGGTTTGCTGCAAGTATAATGACAAACTTGCTTCCACCGCCAAGGAAACTTGTCCGCCGGTACCATCGTGTCAATGCTGAGACAACTCGTTAGTATCGCTCGTCAACGTGCAATGGTCGGTCATCCACTTGAAGACACGATATGACCTACGTGGAGTCGCAAGCCACCAGATGAGCAGCAGCAGGACTATAACGCCAGTTTGAAGTCTCCTTCTTCGTGTCATGTGTTGTTTGCATTGCCTCATAATGTCCTGCCATTGAATGTCCGCAGAGGCGTTGTTACCCGTGCCTCGCATACGATTCAGCTTCTCTTTCTCCACCTCACGATCATTCTGTTCACCAGCCATCATGTAGTGCCTCCATCGCGACAAAGGTGCTAGCAGCCACTGGACATACGCATTGCGCCCGAGTCGCGATCCGCCATGCACTCGCGCTGAGCTAGCTTTCGCTGAGGCCCACGTTGGCGGTCCCATATCTCGCCCGATTCTCTCGCTCGGGGAGCTGCCTCTGGATCTAGTGGTGTAATCGGCCGGCTTGAGATCAGGTGTGGTCAGGCCTGGAGAGATCCATCCACCACCCCTGCGTGCAATCGGTGCGGCCTCGAGAGACATGGGGCCCTAGCTTTATTTCGTCTTCGCGTTTCACAAATGAGGTCTTTCTAAAGATCATCGATCGCGGTCGATCAGCAATAAAAGCGCCGGCGCTATCATTGATCATCAGGCTCGTCGAGGGACCATGAGCAAACAATGCGATGGGTAAGGAACGTGGACATGTCAATCATATGCGAGAGCGTATGTTGGATCGGTGTGCTTGTGATGTTGGATCAAAAGACACAGGCAGGTGCCGAGCCAGATGCGACCGCAGCCAGTCCGTCTCTGCGATGAATGAATTGTTCCAAGGTTTCTAGCGGTCCCTGCAATCGCGCTTTCCAGTACTTTGCACTTTATTAAACCAGACTCCTGAAGTCTCTCGCAGAGCACGTAAAGGGAACAACAAATGCATACGATGCTAATGAAAAGGTTGATATAATGCGCACGAAGTCCCAGACTTCATACGTGCAGGCATTGGGGGTCAAAGGTTAAGTGCTCAATTGACAGCACATTGGAACATCAACAACTATCCGAATCTCCTGACATGCCGCGACGTCATTGCTGCAGGGGACTACGAAGGCTAGGGTTGTGTTTGGCATTTGGGGTTATTCAAGAACTGGCCGACATTGATCTTCATCATGATTACGCAAATGCGTCCCTGGATGCACAATTGAACGGAGTATCGAACAGATTGTCGAACAGGCAATAGCTATGTGGAAGTATCTACGATTGTTACACAGAGTTCGCACCGCGATCTCAGCCGCAATTGTGGGAAACGTGCAGCAGACCTACAACAGAGGTGGTGCTTGCGACCATAACCAAGACTGGCGATCTTGTATCATACCACTACGCGACACCATACGGAGGTCGATCAGTATGGTTGATTTTTCTCTGTCATTGAAATTGAAATCTATGTTACAATATGAAAACAATTATGCTGACGCCGTCTCTACTTGACTCGCAGCTCGCTTTTTAGCAAGACTTTCTTGTCTAAGCTTCCATCCCATCGCTCCTCCAGAAATGAGGCCAGCAATGTGACCGGCATGATCAATAGCTGCAACACCTCTATACGCGCCCAAGCCGATCCAGGCGGTTCCTAGACCAAGCAGGACCCAACCCGACATGGGAATCTCCTGACCCAGGACCTGCACGTTGCCATACGGATGCAGAGCGCACACCGCGGCTGCAATGCCCAACATGTTCCCACTGGAGCCGAAGATGTACGTCATCCAGCGTTTTCGGAAGACTTCTGATGCCAGTGATGAGAACCCTCCGATGGCACCAGTCGCTAAGTAGAGAGCGACGAAGCCTCCTCGGCCGAGATCTTCGTGGAGGAGTAGTCCAAACCCCCATAACATTGCCACGTTGGTCAGAAGATGCCGCAAGTTATCGTGTCGCCAGGAAGCACCCAGGATAGACAAGGCATTGGGGTAGCCGGGCGTGATGCTGAAGTATTTGCTGTATGTTCGCCAAAGCGGTGGCAAGCGGTTTGCAAAAAAGCTTGTAACGAGCAGTCCTGAGATGACTGCAATAGTGGCCACGGATGGAGGTGTGTCAGGGAACATTCGAGCGCTCTGCGGCGGAGGTGTGTAGTTTGATCCGATATAGTAGCAGCCGCCAAGAGTGATAAGTAAGACCAGGAAGGCAGGACCGAGACGTTGCATTGTCGAAAGCTGTGGAATCTCATTATCTTTGATGATTGCCGCTTGCTCCTCGTAGTATTTCACCCAGGGTTGGCGCGTCACAGGTTGTAGCCACGCACCACTCTCCGGAGATCCTATCGCAAGTTCGCCCGAGCCCGTGCCGACAAGGTTCGTGAACAACGAGATTCGCGGCTGAACTCCTCCAAGCAGTTCAAGTGGGCCTCGCGCTGCATGTACAGCTGCGATTTTTGCTCTCTCCTCTGCCAATTCTTTCGCAGCCTTCTCCAACTCGTACTTCCTCTCATTCTCTTCACGAACCTGTATCAGGACACTTTCTCCCGTCTTCTGGCGACCTTGTTCGGTACCCTGCTTCTCTTCTTCTGGCACAATTTCTACTTCCTCTTCCGCTTTGTACAAACCTAGCTTGACGGCGCGCTGCTTTAATTCTTCGCGCACTCTCTCAGCTTCTTCCTCGGCCCATCGCTGTCCTGCAGCTTCCTCGTCGAATGCCAAATCCTGTGCGCGAATATATTCCAAGCCGCGCAAGGCTTGTTCTCGAGTGACGCCGCTTTCATTCGGAAAGCTGGCACCCACATCTATCAATGCGCCAGAAATGCGTCGCCAGTACATTACGCTGAGAATGTAATTGCCGGTCTCCACATCGAGGCCGCTGCCGAAAATCTTGTGGATATCGGCTGCGCTACGCTCACCGTCTGGTAGAGGCATTCCTCCGTCTGGATCATAGTCCCGCCATGTAAGGGTGGCCTCGTCCGCGGTCTCGTCGGTTACCACACCCTCGGTATAGGCGGCATTAGTTGGAGCAGGTTGAAGTTTCGACTCGTTGTTGAAAAGAGCAGTGGCTCGTGTGAATGACCTTGAGCTGGTCCTCTGCGCTGAGTTGCATTTAAAAGTTGCCTCATGTTTTGACAGTACGAATGGATTCGAAGTTATGACCGAGCGTCGACAGGCGAAGTTGTGGTGCTGGGCACGAGGCGTCGCGCACCTATAGCGAACGAAGCCATTAAACAGCTGTAGTAGAGGTCGAGATTGGAGCTGGCTCGGGCGAGGATAGGAATGAGCGGCTGCGAACGCTGTCGCTGTCCATCCATAATTCATCATCGCAGGAAAGCGTCACTGGCGCGAAGTCGCGCAAGTGTCGACAGATGCATGCATCGATTCAGCTTGCGTTGCGTCAATGATTTACCGAATCGTCAACGATGATCGACAAATGAATAATGATGCGGAGACAACTCGGGAGAGAGGGTTAGGGTAGCCTCTTCACACTCCCGTATCTCACATGTCATTTCAGATCAGTTCCCAGATCAGTTCCGCCTCTTTGTAGAGGCCTGTTTCCGACTATGTAGTTTTCGATCTCTTCTAGAGGTATGCTGTCGACATTACAGGTCAAAATGACAAGAAAACGCCAACAGAAGAGTATTGAATAGTAAATGGAAAAACAATTTGAATCATTGAGCAGCTTTGAGCATGTCGTCATCGCATCGTGCCTACATAGACAGCCCTGGAGTGCTTCTGCATCCTCACACGCGGGACACTTGAAGCAGGCAGGGCTGCGTGATCACATCGATTACAAAGCTTCCACGCCAGAATAGATTAAATACACACCTGCGATTTAGCCAAATCTGATGCAGCATCCTCACTTCAAACCTAAAGTGCTTTTGTGCTGCCAATCAATAAATTGTCAAGATGGCAGCCGTGGGACATTCGATCACGTCCGAAGCCTTCGCCCTAGCGATCAAGGACCTTCCGCTGGAGAACATCTACACAAAAGCCGCAGAATTGCAAAACAGCATCACACATCTGCTGACGTCCAACGTTCAGATGCAGCCCTTCGCGGAAGAGGGCGACGTCGTCTGCCGCGATGCCATCCGGGAGAATGACGAAGTCATCAAACGTATGGAGGAGAGAGTCGGCCTTTGCAGAAGCGAAGTCGAGTCCAGAGGTCAAGTATGGATGGGTGGTCATACGACCAACACGGAAGGGAGTGCAGGCGATGTGGTTCCGAATGGTGTCAATGGCCATGCGCAGGAAGCGAATGGAGAGCAGCCGCGACAGTCAAGTGGGCGACTCAACGATGAAGAGCTACGCCGACAACTGGAGGCTCAGCTAGGCGCGGACGATGATGAAGATGAGGGTGTTCATTTATGATGCGTTACGTACAAATTGTATTTGGTTCAAAATTTGCGGACTTGTCAGCAATGAAGAGTCCAGCTTCGACAAGTCAAACTACAAGCAAGACCACACCTGGCTCGATAGTATCCTTCAAATTTGGCAAACTGCTGGCTCGCCGCGATTGCGCAGTACACACCACCAGGTAGAAACGATTTATTCCACGCCCATTCCGCAGGCTGCAATCAAATTGTCGCAAAAATACTTGCGCGCCATCCGAGTACATGGGCGGTGTCCCAATTCTATGGGAATGAGAAAGGGAACGGGTCAAGACCGATCGGATAAATAACATTGGGTTCGGCCCTGGACTGGCATTTGCTGGGGGTGATCGACCTGAGCCTGTCTGAACTTGCCACAATTTGTTGTAGCGATAGTGATGATCTCAGGTGGATGCGCGACTCGAACGGCCTACACATGCGCGGAATTTGTCCATCCGTGCAAGCTGAAGGTCAGGTAGTGGAATGCAAGCGTTGAAGTTTCATGATATTTGTATTCGTAGGTAATGCGATTGCTTGTGAGAACGTTCTATTCGTATGCTGTTAGGTCCAGAGGCACAGTGCTGATCCGACCTGCGCGATATAGCTTGCGTCCGCCTACGAACTCCCTCGGCTTCGGTAACTGATCGTCAGTCTGGAACTTCCATCTACTATCATTGATGACCACAGGTCTCCCACTGTTGCCTCTCGTCAAAGCCGCATTACTACTTGCTCGGCTCCGATTGGGTGTGGCTGATAACGACTGCAAAGCTGGATTGCCTGCCAGATTGATGCTGCTTGCAGTAGGTGTACCGCTAGACGTGCTGATCTTTGGTGGTGGTAATGAGGGTGGTGGCGGTGCCGAAGCAGAATTGGCTGCCATGGGTGGCGGTGGCGGCGCCTGCCAATGTGTAGTTGAAGAGGGCGGAGGAGGTGGAGGAGGTGGAGGGGCTACTGCAGGACTTCCATTTCGCGCTGAACCAAAGGCATTCCGAGCCGCAAGGGCTGCGGCTGATGGTGGAGGTCCACTGGGAGGTGGAGGAGGAGGCGGAGGCGGTGGCGCGGCTGACATGGGCTGCCCAACATGTGCGGATGGAGCTCGGACTGGAAATGGTGGCGGCGGAGGTGCGGACGGCGGTGCATTGCTTGAGGATGGTCGTGGTGGTGATGGTCCTGCGGGTGCCAATGCGCCAGAAGGTTTACGGCCTGTTGGAGGAGGAAGTGGTGGTTTCTTTCCGATCGGCGGTGGTGGCTTTGAAGGCTTCGCTGGAATATCTGGAGCAGATCCTGCGCTCACAGATCTTAGATTATTCCTCAGTCCTGCTACTGATGGTGGTAGGCCGGGGGCGCCAGACGGAGGTGGTCGCGGAGGTGGTGCTACCCCTGGCCGAGGCGGAGGAGCCACAGGGCTGCTATTCGTGGCAGCCTTTCTCGACGCGGTCTCCGGATCTGAGTCGTACATGTTCACCCCTCCCGTGCTCTTTTTTAGTCGTGGCATGCCTCCTGCAAAGAGCCCCCCGAGCTGCGGTGCAGCGTCCATCCCACCCGAGACTGAATCTGCCGCATTCGTTCGATCGCTGTTGGCTCGAGCACGATTGCCAGTACCTGGAGGCCTGAGACCAGGAACGGGAGGTGCTCCCCCGGCCGGTGGCCCAGATGACGAAGTATTTGATTTGTCGATTATCGGTGCTGAGCGGTCATTGACCTGCGTGACCTTCTTCAGTCGCGCTCCCTTGCTGATATCGCTGAGCAGGGCTCCCTGTCGTCGGTGTGAGTATCTTATTCCACAGCACGATATGTCTGCCGTAAAGTCAATGTCTGTGGTATTTCTCACTCACTCTTCCTTTCGTGGCCGCTGCGGGTGGTTTGGTGGCTCCAAATCCGCCCGGCGGAGGTGGTGGAGGGGGAGGTCCTGTCCATATCTCAGCATCGGTGTAGTCGAATCAGCCAGAAGATCTTACCTCCAGCCATGGCCGGAAACGGCGGCGGCGGCGGCGGTGGAGGAGGAGGCATCTTGTATGATTAAGAGTTGAGTCCGGCCTGACTATGACTTGTCGTGATTCGTGAGAGGTTCAGGTGAAGCAATCGATGTTCATGCGCCGCGTAGGTTGGTTTATCTTAATGACGGCGTATTGTCATTTGCTTGGCTCAGGCGACAAACACACTTTTGTATAACATCTTTGGGATCCAACAGGGTAATGTTGAAGTCGAAGCCTTGCGCTGCGACGAGCGAACGAGCGGGCAGCTGGCGCTGCGTCACTTTGCATCGGGCGCTGATTCTGGGTCTCGGCAGGTACCCAGGTACCTGCGGGCCTTACTCCGGCTGAACCCTCGTCTTAATCAGCAGGAGCATCCAAATGCTGCACCTTCTTCCAAAGATCTATCATCACATTGGTCCGACTTGCGTGATCCGACATCGACATTCAAAACATCGTCAACGCCATGGAGATGAGAAGGGCATTCACGTGTCGGGAATGCCAAGTCTGGCTCCGAAGCATCGAGACAGCACGCTCTCGACCACTTTCGCAATGGACCATGCAGCGTCGCACACTGAGCTCCAGCGCGAATACCTCACCAATTCGGCTTCAATTCGTCCAGCAGCGACGGTATGCATCATCATCAGTGTCGAAGAGCGGGAAGACTGCACATAGGTCTGCTCCATCATCGTCGACCACGTTGGACCTCCAACAACTGCACATGCGAGCCAACGAGCTCAGCGCATCGGCTCTTCGACCTGAAGACGGCAAGCTGCCCTCAGAACAGCGAGTACTTTATGTACTTGAACAACTGCAAGCACTCGTAGAAAGGATAGAGAACGATAAATGCAGTGATCATTCGACGTCGCGCACACAAACTCCACAACAGTCAGCAACATCGGCGCTGCTCGGCAGTGTCAATGCGCGACAGACGACCACTCTGATCTCAAAGGCCCTCGTGTTGAACACAATCAGTTCCAGCGCTGAGCAGATTCTCCGCCATCCAAATGTGTATATCACAACCAACATACTCAACGCCTACGTCAATCTTCAATGCCTGCTTCAGAAGCCTTCTAGTCTTCCGGACATCTTCAACCTGTATGCGCACAAGTCCGTACCAAGACAGACCCGTGACGGCGCAGTCTCATACCGAGCAGCTTCCTCTGTCGCGATCAAGAATCCATCCGCCGCTGTTCCTCCCGGTACTGCGGCTGCTGCTTTGAAAGGCGCAATCGCCGCGCACGATCTCGCTCTGGCAATTGATGTCGTGGAAACGACCTACTCGACCACGTCTTACCGCAACTCGAAAATTGTGCGAGATGCTGGACTTCCACTCGCAGCGACAGGGGTGTTGCCTTTCGCCCTGTGGGCCGTATGCAACCAAATTGGCGCCCTTTCACCTGCATTGTCTCAAGTGAGTGCTACAAACATGGCATTCGCAGGCTTCATGACCTATCTCGGGACCGTGGGGACTCTCGGATATATCACAGTCACCACAAGCAATGACCAGATGGAGCGTGTCACCTGGGCACAAGGTATACCTCTCTGGGAGCGTTGGGTGCGAGAGGATGAGCGGGCTGCCATTGACAAAATTGCACTGGCTTGGGGATTCAAAGATGCGAGCCGAAGAGGCGAAGAGGATGGAGAAGAATGGGAGTACCTCAGAGAATGGGTCGGCATGCGGAGCATGATCCTTGATAAAGTCAGTCTGATGGAGGGTATGGAGTGATCGGTGATGAACAAACTCCCACCGTCATTCTGTCTTCTGGGTAGCACGGCTATAACCCGCATGACTGCTTTCGCAGCGACTCAATCAGAGCAGTCGAACTTGGCTTTGGATGCCTTTCGCAGAGTTTTGTCCGTGAACTACTCAAGCTACGCACCTTAAGATGATCAAGGTCTACGATCACCAGGCTTGAGCCGATATGATAACTGAATCCTGTCGATCTGCAAGACGCGCCAGGTTCCAGAATGTACTTGAAGATACAGCTCATGTCCTCCTGTGGGTATAAGAAGCTTCCGCACAGGGCATCGAATCGACTCGCAAATCTTAGTAGCACCTCACATAGCCGGACTTCTCCGAGTCGGTCTCGATGGACTAGGCTGGATTCCACTGCCAGAACTAGTATGAATCACCGGAAGTCCATGAGTCCGAAATTGCCTTGGCTCCCATTACAAGGATTGCGCGCTGCACCATGCCGGGCACGATGACCAGGAGAAACATGGCGAGACTACTCGCGCCTTCTGGCTGGGGCTATTGATGGCGACTGATCTGGCGATACCTCGATACGGTGGCTCAATCCTATCGACCCCTGCCCAGGTGGACGCATGTAAGCGGCCAGCCAAATACACGGAGAGTCTTTCCGAGATTTATCCACGCTTGGCCTCTCGGAGAAGAGTCTGCATTTGTCATGAAATCTCTCTATTTACGTCGGTCTGCTCCGTGATGGGCTAGACGTGGCTCGAATAGAGTTCCGAGGCGCCAAAGATCGTGAGGTCATTCCTCATGCCACTTGGAAGATCGAGACTCGCTTCTGCTCGTGCTCATGCAATGCTCGCGCCATCCTCGTGCACTGATGCGACGAGATCGCTACGATTTCCTGAGAGGATTAGTGCCCGATATATGATGTGCATGCCAAGCTAAGCCAGAACGCCTGCCTGCAGTCCAGGATAATCGACAGCGCCTGGGCAACAAAAGGAGCCACTCATCGAACAGAGATATACCAGGATTAGCTGCCTCCCGGCACTTTTGGTCGATCAGCCGCATCGCAATTGGCCGCCTCGTGGCTACCCCGCAAGATCCCTGCACGCATGCTAAAGCCGCCATATGGAGACGACAGTTCCATACACGACTGGAGCCGAACATCTGAGCTTCAATATGCGACGGTTTGACATGCAATGGCTCGACATATGATACGATAATCTTGCCATGGGCTCGCTACTCGTCACCATGGTGTCAGGCCTGGCTGCAGCACTGCTCGTTGAGAGTTGAGACATGTGCTGACTGTAAAGGTCGAAGACTACATAAGATATATAAACTCATGCTTGCCGTCTCCTGGATTGAACCGTGTTTTCTTGGGTCATCAACAGTCTTCAGCATATTCAAAATGAAGCCCTCCAGCCTTCTCAGCGCCCTATTCATCAGTTCGACCCTCGCTACACCCACATTCGCTCCCCCAGAACCTCTTCACCCACGCCAACTTCTCTCCGGTAACCCGACGACGGACCTCACCGAGGTCGTCAAGCTCGCTACCGCTCTCAACAAGCTTCTGACAGGCGACAACATCGATCATATCAACAACCTGCTCAACAAGCTCGACACCCTTCTCAATGTGGCAAACCTAGTCAACCTCGATGTCATCATCGACGGCGGCGCCTTGCTCTTGCAGAAGGAGGTCGTGACTCAAATAATTGCCCTCATCCAGTTGCTTACGAACCTGCTGAACGCCAACGTCGTAGGCCAGATCCAAAAGGTTCTCCCTGCAGTACTGGGCCTTCTTGACCCGACGTTCGTCAAGCAGTTGCAGACTCTCCTCCCACAGCTGACCACCTTGCTCGACGCGAACTTCATCAAGCAGCTGCAAGCACTCCTCCCTCAGCTGACCTCTTTCTTGGATCCCAACCTCCCCAAGCAGCTGCTCACCACCCTCCCTCTGGTCAACTCCTTCCTTGACCCAACGTTTGTTAAGCAACTTCAATCCCTCCTCCCGCTCCTGACCTCCCTTCTCGACCCGACGTTCATGAAACAGTTTCAGAACCTCATCCCACTCCTTACGTCCTCTTTCGATCCTAATATTGTCAAGCAAGTCCAGACGTTGCTTCCGCTTCTGACTTCCTCGCTCGACTCTACCTTCATCAAGAACCTCCAGTCCATGGTGCCTCTGGTATCTTCATTCCTGGACCCGGGATTTGTGGGAGCGACGCAAGCCGTTATGCCGCAGATTCAGACGCTGCTGAGTCCAACGTTCGTAAACCAGACGCAGGCCATGGTTCCTCTTGTGAATAAGGTAAGCCATACACCACCTCAGTGGAAAGAAACGTTAGAGTCCCAACAGATGCATGAAATTAATACGTGGTGCTGAACAGGCGTTGCCTCTATTCGGAAAGGCGCAGGGAATTACGCTACCACTTTAAAGCACTGTTATGAACGGCTCTGGCTGCAGGGATGCGTAGATCATCATTGTATGGCGCTGGTCATCTCATGGTGCGCTTTGTCGCAGTGGAAGATCTTATCCGATTCCAAAAAATTGATCCAAGAGAGCTTCCCAACCTGAAGTCAGGGCCTTGGGCGTCTCCGGCATACATCCTCAAAATCAAGGTGTCCCCCAGACAGCGACTTGATGTTTGTAGAATATACGAATTCACCTATTCCCTTTCCCCGTGACCCGTAAAGCAGTCTAATGCGAAGGTGATAACTATCGGCAACGGAGGGCCTTAGATCGGTCACCTCCATACCGAAGCTCCCGTCCACGAACTTGGATAAGGCGCCGACCTGGGCTGTCCCATGGCGTTTCATCCCGTTTGACCATGCTCTGTTGTGAGGGGGTATGAGAAGCCGTCGAAATTGCTACAGTGACAGAACAACATGCGATCGCGAGCCGAGTGTCTGCAAGCTTGTCTCGAAATCATACGTCGAGGTTGAAATGGAGTGCCCGAAATTTCAATGCATTATCGTACTTGGAATTTACTTATTATTTGCCCCCTCGCTTGCCCAACTTCGCTTGCTCGCCCCAGAAGCTCTGCAGCCCTTCCTGCTGACCTTTAGCCTCTTTGGTGATCTTCTCCGCCGAGCCATCAAGCACGCTCTGGAGGAATGTCTCGGCATCGCTCGAAGACAGTGCTTCATATGAGCCTTGCTTAGGGAATGCGAAGGTGTACTCCTTGGTCTCGGGGTCTGTCACTCCCAACGCGGGCCATACGCCTGGTGTGAAGCCGAAGTCTTTCGGGCTTTTGGCCACCGGGCTCTTGTCTTCTGGGTCGATGGTGACGAACAGGATGCGACCTTTGAATTTTGATGCGACCGGTGCGATTTCTTGCTTCAGGCGCTCGCGTTCTTCTCGGGTGCTGGCATAGAGGTAGGCCGTGTAGGTCTCTCGAAGCTATAATAACGGTCAGAACTGTCGGTGCTGATAATACATCTAATGGACACAAACCTTCAAAGAGCTGAGACCAATGTCGAGTCCGTATTCCGAGATGAATGGAGCAGTGTTGTTTTCCAACCATTGCTCCATGTGCTCAAGGGTGAAAAGTTTGTTGAAAGTCTCGACGCTCGAGTCGATATCGAAGTTTTTGAAGGCGGCGATGGCTGGCGCTTGAACATTATTGAGCTTGCCGAACTTTGGATCCGAAGTAGTGGCGAAGCTGTACTTGTTGCGGACCTTTTCTGCGAGGGAGGTGAAGTTTGCCTTTGCCTCGCTCTGCGTGGCGTCGTCGAAGTATCCCACTACCGAAACGCGGTCCTGCTTTCGGAAGGTGTCTAGATCGGATGGCGATGATAGATCGGTCACGAGAGGTAATGTGTTTCGGCGCATGGTGTTCACGATGGCCTCTGCTGTTCGAATTCCGTGGTAGACTGTGGCTTCTCCCTTGCGGAATATCCTCAAAGTCGGGAAAATGGGCACATCATCGCAGATATCCTCCTCCATCGTGCAGTCTACCCGAATCAAGGGAATGCCCTCAGACTCCAGGCTAGCCGCCGCCTCATCGAATTTTGGGGCAATATCTGTGCAGAATTTGCACCAGGGTGAGACGTCTAGGCAAAATCGTCAGCAACCAGGTAATCATCTGCTCAAAGATCGAGTGTGTGCTTACAAGAAACCATAGATAAGTCATGATCCTGCACGAACGGCCAGAATGTGCTTAGTGTCAAGTTCTGGATAGTAGCCGCCGCGCCGCCAGCCAGCAGAAGCGGGGAGATTGCCGTTGTGAATTTCATGTTGCCGTGATGAGAGATTTGTCGAGAGGGAGGATGCCGAGAGGGAGGTGATCTTTCAGATTGAACCGCTTCACGAGGGATCCGAGTCTATGTATGCGACAGCCAGAGGTCCTTCGGTGGGCACAACGTGACGCGTGGACTGCGCAGCGCCTGTCCTTTCTGACGTGCGCTCGGAGAACGGCACAGCCTGCGAGAGAGGCTGCGGGGAATCATCTTTGATATTCACATACATCATGAAAAGAGAGGTGCGATGGCTCGCCAATGACGCCGGCCGCGAATTGGGAGTCCTGCAGATGTCCTTCACCTAGCTGAAGCGAGCGTGCTTGAGTCCTTCACCACACGGCTCCGGCCGAGCCGGCTCAAGCTTTCTTTTGGCTTCCCTTCAGCGTCCTTCGATCGGACAGCGAAATGATCGACGAGCCGCAGTAATTAGTGTTTAGGGCGCGTATGAAGGCCTTCAATCAATGAGGATTTAGTGCGGAAGGACTGCGTGGTGTCAAATTTAGGTGAAGCCACGCGGTCATAATGAAAGTCGCCAGGATAAATTTATGCATCTCAGCCTTCCACGTGCTGGCCTTCCGCCGTCAATCATCGCGCTTAGCGTCATACGCCCCAGATTTTATCCCATACATTACATAAAACAGGACTATTTCGCGACCGGGGCCTGGCACGGTGGGAGCCTTCACGTACCGATGAGACATCATCCTGTCCTTCCACAGGCATTAGCGCATATATCCAATATCCGAAAAGCTTAGGCGCTGTCCTTCTCGCAGATAAGACGAACTAGCATGTTAAGCATATCAGCTGTGGTTGCTTCGTGTGCCGACCTAGGACCGCACGTGGTCTCCAGACCTCGGTGGCCATTTCCACGCTCTCTTCGCTGTCCTTCAATCGTCGATGCGTGCAGAGCAAGCATTCCAAGATTACTCATCAGAAAGAGCTCTTGCCGATTAGTCAATCTGGTGACGTGAGTTCACCTGCGTGGATTTCAGCTTCCCTACGAAGGTTTGATGATCGACAGCCAGGAGCTCCACAGAAGATCGACATTCTTCCAATGCCACAGTCATGACTCTTCGACACCAGGAGTGAGATTTGGCTTCCGTCTCTCCGCTTGGATATTAGCCTCATACACCATGCGGTCCTTCTCGGCCGTCCGGAGAGCAAAGGTGTACCTTGAACCATCCACGAGATTACGTCAACATTGCAGAACAAGCGATCGATTTCCTCGCACTAAGGGCTCATACAGTACTGTCCGCATCACGATTGGGCATAGTTCCGGAGAGCGGCATCTAGCGTCTCTGCTCTACTAAGGAGTGAATATCTGAAGGACGATCATGGGCCGGTTTCATGAACATTGATGGAGTAACGGGAGGACAGACGATGTGCGGGACATTCGCATCTCGATGACATCTCAGTACAGCGAACAACAGAGATTCAAAGATATATAAGCCGCAAGCTGCACCCGATCTGTGGTTATTCTCCACAACACATCAATCAACCTTCCAAGCAGCAACAACACCTCTCCACCTCTCTACCACTCCCTTCCAAACCAAGTTTCAAGTAAGCGAGTCTACTCCCCGCTCCAACGCAGGACTTCTCTAACGATCAACAACAGAATGAAGACCACCATCATCCTCGGTGCCATTGCCGCCTTCTTCGGCGTTGCCCAGGCCACCACCTACGCCCAGTTCTGCAACGACGACTCTTGCAACGACGGCTGCGGTGAATCTGTCTCCGTTGACAACCCCGGCTGCCTCAACGAGAACGGCCGTCGCTCCATCAAGTTCCACGACCTCAACTTTGCTCAAGTTTCCCTCGTGTTCTCCCCCACCCCCAACTGCCCGTGCCAAAACTAGTAAGTTCAACCTTGCGCATTCAACGTACAGGACCGGGTTGCTGACAATACGTAGCTGCCAAAACGAGATCCTCGACTGCCAACAGGGTGGCCTCGCCTGCACTGGCCCATCCTGCTTCAACCTCAGCAACCTGCCCGGTGCCCAGTCCTTCCGCTTCATTGGCGGTGACTGCGACTCCAACAACTGCTAGATTATCTAGCTATACTACACTAGATTAGACCCAAGGGAGGATAAAAGCTCTGGCCACGAGTCGAGCCATTGTGCTTGAGAGCCGTATCATAGTCTGTCCTATAGTCACTCCTTCAATTAAAATTGTCTGGGCCCAAGATCCTTTTCCAAGAAGCGGATGAAGCTGTTGTCATCATTAAACGCTCTTAAGTGCCCCGGGAACCAACAATCGGGCTCGTATCAATCGATGTTTATTCGTCTTGTGATCTATTCTTCAACAGGAGCAACGCCACAATATCGTCAATCCATGTAGGCAAGTACATAATAATACGCTTGTCCAATCACTTCGCATCTTTCAATTGCGTTGAACGCTTGCTTTACAAAATTGCTCACCACTTATTCCTGTCCTCGTCTTGCCCGTACTTCAGGGCCTACACCCGTCCGATTCAGTCGATTCTTGTACGCAAAGTTCAAGCAGCACCATGGACACACGTACTGTATCAAATCATTCATCTACAGCTGTGTCGTGGGATTGTTACCGAGAGGCGGCATGTATAGCAACCTTGAATAAGAAACGATTATCGTTGGTAAGGTATTGCATGATCAAGTTGACCAAGACCCTTGTCGGCTAGGTCAAGGGCATTACCAAGACCACCACCAGTGTTTAGCGGCGCTCTGCGAGTTCTTTTATGGTGATTCTGTTTCATGATTTTGTGCATCGTCGATCTCTGAATGTATTCCAATACCAAAATGTATCAAAAACATCCATGCACAAAACTAAAATTTCTCCGACATCCCAGGAATGCTAGCCTCTCTTACTCAAGTTGAAGCCAGTACGAAGTCGGACTCGCAGCTATCCAGGCCTCTTCGAACACCCAGCCGATACCGACTCGACCGACCGTCGTCTCCGAGCATGGTTCAGTCACCATGACGTTCAATAGACAAATATCCTCCTCCTCATCATCAAATGAGTGTTCCAGAAGTTCCTCCGACAAGTGATCTATGGCTCTGTAGGGCTCGATCAAAAGTTCTGATAGCAAGACGAAATCGACACCGTTCAAGCCGGTGTCGAAAGACTTGTACCAGCTCTTCGGAACTTCTATTCTTCCGACAGCATCTCCAACCGCATCTCGGATTGTGCAAACCAAAATTGCGTTGGGATGATCGGTGTGTGCGAATGTGCCCAGTCCGGTTTCACCGCCACGGATGTACAATTTAGCACATGCAGTCGATGCCAACAGGACGTTGCTTCTTTTCACGCGTATCATTGAACCCGCAGCCGCTTTCGGGTCATGCGCGGCAAGACCTAGTCTCGATCTGGATGCAGAATGGCGCTCAAATTCCGGTATTCGATCACATCGAATCTCTCGTGGAACTGCAGTCCCCGAGGACGCAATGAGCCACGTGAAGAAAGGATCTACCGAGCCGTGATCGAAGATCTGAAGCCCACCCGATCCTCCCTTGTGCCAGCCACACCAGGACCAGGAAGGAAATGGATTGCCCGGACATTCGGTCACTCTTCGTATGTGAGGATTACCAGGTGACCATAGCAATGCGCGATCAAACCATTGCTCTGGCAAGCCTGATATGAATTGGGTCTGCATCGTGTGCCGGAAGACTTTCATCACACCATCGAAGGCGTTCAGAATTTCGGATGGCAATGTAAGCTCCTTGTCACCATAATCTTCAACAACGCCTGAATATACTTCGAAAGCTTGCTCGCTGTCCTCGTACTTGACCCTCCTCAGGTCTGAGCGACATGGCGGGCTTGTGAGTGATGGAAATGCTGCCCTAGAGTTACTCAAATTGGACCATGTTGTGATTCTGGCGGAGGGATCAAGCTCTTCGCAGATTGTGTCTTCACACCTCACACCACCTGGACATTGGAACCACATCTGGTGACTGGTTAAGTAGAATATTCGTGGGGACATCAAACCCTCCTGAAATGTCCAGCCACGCCGGGACCACGAGGAACGATTTAGTACAAAATCTAAATAAGGTTTCGGCACTGAGACGTCAATACCGTGGACCGTCCATACCCTCTGTCTTCTCAGAGTTGCAGATTGTGGAACCTCGATTGAAATGTCATCTAGATGTGGCGCGATGACTAATGTGAATGCCGATCGACCGTAGATATCACACATCTGCTGTATGATCGAAGATTTCACGTCATGATCGTCTTGTGGAATGCATAAAGCATCGACCCAAAGGTATCTTGCTCCAAGACCGGCTGTAAACGTGATTCCCTGATCGACAACATCGCTCAGACCATTTGATCTGCTGAGATATCCGTCGATACTCATCATCTGAGCTTTGGCTCTGGTATTTATCAAGCCAGGTTTCTTCGGCCAACGGTAACTCAGGGCCGTGTATTTTTCGGATGAGGGAAGTTTGACAAGACAGCGTCTTTCAGTATCTATGACCAGCAAGCGCTGCGGTCGCTCTGACAGAAATGGATTTTCGACTTCACCTCGCTGGTCACAACATGTCAAGCCATGCAATGACTCGCAAGACTCGATCCAAGCGCGTCCGAGATCCATGTCCGGCTGAATGCTCATTGGTCGACCATGGAATTTGGGCAGAATCCCTGAAGGAGTAGCGCTGCTCGACATGAGTTGAATGGTTCCGGCGTGAAGTTCACATTCGTGTGCGCCATCTTCGATCGAGGTCTCCCATTCGTCGAAGCTCAAAGTGGGAATGAATATCCTTAGCGTTTTCGCTCCATCGTTATTGTCGACGAAGACTTTGCTATACATCCAACAACAGATCACTTCACCCGTCCCATATTCTTGACGATTAAACCGTGATTCGTTGGCAGTGGAAGGATAAAAGCTCAAGCGCGCATTTAACGACTCGACCACAGCATCGCACAGGACACAGGTCGAAGCCTTTCGCTTGATATTCCGCAGAGGACCAAGACTATAGGCATCCTGAAGCTCTATTTCCTCTGTAAATAGGTATTCTAGGTCGATCTTGGCGCAGACATTACAGAGGTAAGGATCATCTTCATTCCCCCAAAGGTCTTCACAGCTCGAGCCATCGCTCAAATCATCTTGTGTGTCTCGGTCGTCCGGGTTCTCCATCACACATACGAATGAGCGTTCGAATGATGAATACGACAAAGATAGCCAGGAATGGAACTATCACAAACTACCAGGGTCTGTGTTGTTGTTCAGGTTGATGGGCACCCTGCACGTCGAGCGCGCAGACCAGGCTTCAGCACAATAATTCGAGCAGGCAGTGTGATCATTCGAAGCCGATGTTGTCTTTGCTAGGCCTACGGGAAAACAGGAGCATGACCAAATCATAGAGCCATTCATGCCGCCTTCCACGACGCCAGCTACCGTGGTACGTGCAGTGTGTGAACGCTTGCGGGGTGCAATTCTGCCGGCATCGTGGCTATGTTCGGGCGGCCTGACAGCTGGCAAGAAAGACGCATTGATGATGTTCACTTTGAGAAGAAAATTGTACCTTTTATGGCAATCATGTAGCGAAGCTCCAACTTAGCTTCTGACAATGTGACTAGACACGTGGGTAGGTGGTGATCTGAACAAAGATCCGAGATGCACTTAGTTGTCATAGTAAACTGCCCGCCCGAGGCTTGTTGAAAAGAACCCGTAGTGCGCCGGCAATTCCGACAAACCATCAAGATTCTGGGCGAAGCGGGCCGAGATTTGATGGGCGTCGGGCGAAAAGTCTGCCCTAAACTGGCCAAAAGCACCTTTGGTCCATGGCGACCCGCCGGGGACATCACTTCTTGTGCAACATTTCCAGGCCCCTAAATCAATGTACGTTTCGAGAGAAACGTTCTCAAATATTACTTTTATGGTATGATTGGCGTGAACAGTCGGGCTGAATGATGAGATATGGTCTTAGCCATGACGGTCGAGTTGTTGTAACAACGCGGTCGGTCCTCATTTGTATCTTGCGCTGATGCGAAAGTACGATCAATTCATGCAGATGTTCTTCAGCCTCAAGAGGGGTTCCGGGACGCCACCAGAAGGATGAATCCAAGATCACCATGATGATCATGTTCCCCTCAGATAGCGCTGACATGCAGCATGCATTGAGCGACATTGGAGCGAAATACGAACTGCAAGAATGTTCTTAAAGGATGAATTGTCCAACGAATGACTTTTCTCCAAGTTTGTTGGACAAAGCTCGAGTCTTCACGATGCGCGGGTTCACGTACGCAGTGCTTCTCGCCAGCGCGTCTGGCACAGCGTATGCTACAATCCCAGCATTGGGTGTCTTATTGTCACCTGTGCTGAATGGACTGCCATCGGCCACGCAGCAGATACCGTCGAGTGCTGCTCTGCTACCCGCGACATCATGCGCATCCGGCAAAGTTGTCCCGTTGGCTTCAGCACTCTCGACATGTGCACCCGCCAGATCTTACTGCGCGAGCCTCTATACCCAGTCAGTGTATTCTACCGGAATACAATTCGAGTATGTAACCTCGACGGCAATCAAAACCGTCACTCCATGCGCCGTGGCGGGTGGCAACAAGAGCTCTCGACCCACGAGCTTTAGCACCCGCCATGGTCCCATAACCATCACCACGGTCAAGAATTCGGCCAGCAAACCTACCACTACCATATCGCCAGACAACGCTTTCTCTGCTCTCAAGAAACTCCCATCCAACTGCAGATCCTCAATCTGCGCTTCGCTCGCCGGCACGGCCACCGTGACCACCACCGTGATCGCCCCAACCGTCAAATACGTCCCGCCGACCAATACGTACAAACCCATCACCTGCGGCGCGCAAGAATTATGCGATAATTCGGGCACCAATATCGCCTTCTGCAGGCCAAAGCCCGGCCTCAACACCTGCGAGCCAGCCGTCGAGCTCGGCAAAGTGCCAACGTGCAAATCGACAAACGGCTGCACGGGAGGTTGCTACCATGTTCCTGTGCCAGGGACCACCTCCGCATCCCCGCTAGACTATGACGCAAATCCGCAATATTATTTTGATGGTCTCTGTGCGAAGACTCCGGCAAATTCCACTGCGCCTGTCACGTCGTTGCCGATCTGCAACAGCGATCGGGATTGTGGCAGCGGTGAACTATGCGTGTTGGTTGCGCTCATCGAGTACAATTTCAGATGTGTCAAGGCAGCGTCGGAGCTTTGCTGAGTTGGAAAATGAGCTTCATGACTACGTGAGAAAAGTGAGTCTGATGTCAACGACTTATGAAGACTTGAGGCAGCAGATATGAAAAGTAAAGTTTTCGAGCGCAATGTAGACAGAGACGGAAATGAACTCCAGCGGCATTCCAGGGTGGGCTGCTTACTACACAAATTGGTTCAGCGACTTGTCATATGAACGACTCCGTCGCGTTGATCAAGCACTGTGTTCATTATACTATCGACGTGTTCGGTCGCCATCTAGCGGATTGCCATTGCCATCGAGTTCACAGACTGTCATCCAGGCGGGATCTGCTCGCAACACATTTGTTACAGCGACAAATCCGGAGACCGAAGCATCGTCATCCCTCCCGCGCTCAATGGAGGCGACAGCAGTGGGACCATCTACTTTGGTTATCTCTTCCGAAACCCCTTTCAAGATGTGAACACGACAACATCAACGTTTCCGAGGAATATTATCGCGTTCGGGAGGATGATCGACAAAGCTGTGGATCAAGTCACTGTCCTCGCCTGTGTGCCATATGTTGTATCGCTCGTCACGAACGCCACCTTCACGCTTCCCGATCTGCGAATCGACGCCAATCGCTGACCACTGCCCTACAAGGAGACGGCTGTAGTATACATATTTGACGCGTGTCGCCGCAATGGTACCTTTTGCATGGCTTCCGATCCGCTTGCGGGAATTGCTGAAGCTGCAAATATGACGCAACTTCAAAACACCAGCACGACCGAACACACCAACTTCGATGGCTTCTTCTCAGCCCTCGTCTACGGAACCAGGGGCATCCCTGCCTCGCGACTCAGCGGGACCGAAAACGCCGCCCGCCTCCAGAGCGCCGTCGAGCATCTCTGGGGCACCGTGATGACTCAATACCTCAACACACTCCGGACCGACGACGTCCCATCGGATACGCCGAGAGTCCTCGGCTCGACCACCATCCCTCAGGAGTGCCTGAAGCAGAGCGAAACTTCGACGCGCATTCTACAAGGCTTGCTCGGGCTGATCCCGCTGTGCATGCTTGCGTCGTTTCCGTTCCTGACGATGCGGAAGCTGCTGCCGCAGAACCCCAGCAGTATCGCCGCCGTGGCGAGCCTCGTCGCGGGGTCCGAGCTGCTCGCGATGCTGCCCCCGGATGCGTGGAGACGGTCTGAGATGGAGTTGGAAGCGGAAGTCTTGGAGGGTTATTTGTTCAGTCTGGGATGGTGGAAGGATGATGGGGATGTGGTCGGGATGTCGAGAAGGCAGGCTGAGGTTTTGACCGTCCTCTCGGACTACAATATTAGGTGTTGATTATGGGATGATTCAAGTGCCTGGATTCTAGTCCGCGAGCGCCGACTAATAATTCCTCTGCTTCCGGATCGAGCACCGTCTGTTTTAGCTCTCTGCAGAGGAGTCATGTTCCATCTTCCCAAGGCTGTTAAGTGCTGCACGAGCCCTGACGCCATCGCATGTTGTCGGAAGGTTGGTTGCAGCCTAAGGCGAACCCTGACCCCAGTCTTGTTCACGGGTGCCACTGCTCATATCAGTGGGTACACTGTGTCCACGTCGCTTGATGTCCGGGAGCAGTTTGGCGGCGATATTTGCCATCATTCTATTATCCCCAAACCCAACCCTAGTGAGTCCTGGTCGGTTGGTGTGTGCATTGGCCAAATCGGACGGGACGCTCCGATGACTGGTTTTACACATCAAGATTATTCCGCTTCCCTATGCTGCACGTTCTATACGCGTTCACAACACCGACTGTAAACACTTCATTTTACTCATCATAGACTTAGAATTGCACTACATTAGTCTATGCTAAGCTTGGCAGGATACTTTGCATCTTCAGAAATGATGCGGAACATGTGCGATGTCGAGCATTCTTAGCTCGTTTCAATTGAACGATCAGAGCTCACCATCCGATTCACTAGACCTCTATCACATATGGACCAATGCGAGTATACCTTCACAATATAGATTTGAGTACAGTGCAACCACAATCACCGTTGAATCTAACAATGGGGTGGGCAATGCCGACCTGTTCTTTCGGTCGGCAAAGCTTGCGCCGAGGGTGTGCTTGGCAAAGGCTTGAGAAGGCATAGCATACCCGGGTTTCATCAGGCGGACGTGCTTGATTCCGGATACCAAGACTCCTCGCCTGCCATTTAGAGAACTCACAGCGTAATAACAGTTGGAGGGTAGCATGGCGAGGTAGCAACGTGTCCAGCTAGGATACCACTATGAGCCTTAATTACCAATTCGGGGACAAACTTGCGCGGCCTGTCATAATTCAGCTCGGTTGTCCCGCTGATAGGATTCCACCGGCCGGTGCGGTATTATTACATCATCGTCCCACGAATTATCAGGCCCAAAGTATATCTCACCTCGCGTGCCGCACCGCCGATCACCTTCTATGCGTCGACGAATGATCGGACCGAAGGAGACATTCGAGAAGGTGGCTTATCACCCGGATTACGCTTTCTTCCCATCCATGCGCAAGCGTGGCATGGGAAGTGATTGATGCCCGCGTGATGTTACCTTTCGGAGGAACACCTGGGCGAGCACAACATTTCACCCATATCCCTTCTCAGCGCTATCTCCGAATGTCCTTCCAACCAGATGTAGATCAGATCATTCATACTTCGTCTTCAAGATATAATCTTTGACGCCGTCAACTTCTAGCGACTGCGTTTATCGCGATCTAAACTTCCACGTCTTACATGCGCTAGAACCTTTTCCTCTACAGAACTGTGAGCTCGGGATATCAAAGCTCAACATGGCCACCCAAAATCCGGGCGGCAACCTCGGTGGTCCGCCCAACATTCCCGTCGCCGACGAGCCAGGTTCCGCCTCACGCAAAGCTTCCACCGCCGGAGCTGTCAACACCCATGGTCACAACACAATCTATCTCGACACGAGCGTGACGTTCGAGGCGTACCATTTCTGGGCCGAGCGCGCGCGCGAGGAAGAAAAGCACTTCGAAACGGTCGGAGCAACCACTCAGATCAAAGAAGTATTTTCGCGCGCCGAGAAAAAAAAGAAGCAACAGCAGCAGGCGATTGACGCTGCGCCTACAAACGCTGTCGAAAAATCCACCTCGTCGCCTAATGCCGACAACGAATCGGATTCGCGCTTCGGAGTCACCACCAGCGAGTGGGAACATGCAAACCGTGCCGCGCGCACCGCGACATGGGTCTCCATCTTCTACCTCATCGCGACCGATATTCTCGGGCCCTATTCTGTCCCATGGTCACTAGCACAGATGGGTCTCGGACCTGGCATCACTTTATATGTGGTTTTCGCAGGTTTCGCGGCCTACTCAGGTTTCCAGCTTTGGTGGCAATTCACCGGGCTCGACTCGCCCAAATATCCTCTGCGCAACTATGGAGATCTCGGATTCCGTGTCTACGGAAATTGGGCACGCCAGCTCATCAATGTGCTCCAGAGCTGCCAATTCTTCCTCAACGTGACCTTGCTCATCGTTAGTAAAGGACAGGGGTTGGCACAAATGGCTCGAGGCGCGAACCGGCAAGGATTTCTCTGCTTTGTGGTTGCTCAGCTCATTTTCATGCTGCTGGGCTTCTTACTTGGCCAGATTCGGACGCTCCAGCGCCTTGGTTTCCTTGCCAATGTGGCGGTGTGGTTGAACATTTTTGTTATCATTATGTCTATGGTCGTCATTCCTGTCTATGGACCTAATGAAGAAGCTGCAGCCGCCCAATCTGGTGTGGCTATCGGAGAGGCTATCCGAGTTGCGAGTTACTGGCCAGAAGGCTCGGGTGTGACGGATCGCATTAATGGTCTGATGAATGCGGTATATGCGTACGGTGGAGCCACGTTATTTGTCGAGCTGTGAGTATGGTCATACTATGCCCTACTAGACCTTTGCTGACATTCATGTTTTTCCAGGATGGCCGAGATGAGACGACCGTAAGTGAACGTTGCTTTTCAATTTGTCTTTAGGATTCTGCTGACACTGCGAATGCAGAATGGACTTCTACAAGGGTTTCATCTGTGCGCAAGTCTTCATTTTCGTCGTGTATATCACGATGGGAATTGTGGTCTACTCATTCCAAGGTACGATCTTTGACAACTTGAGCAGCCGGCCACGATTGCTGGCAACTTGTCAGAATCTCTTCGGCCGCAGGCTGGTGATGAGTTCATGCGGCAATGACAAAACCCTCGGATTATCCGTTTGCTGACATTGAGATTCTCTTTTGCAGGCCAATACACCTTCAACCCTGTATATCAGTAAGTCGTTACCTCGCAGATGTACAGATGCACATTCATCTTACTAATCGACTCTACAGGGGTATCCCAAATGCTGCATACGCATGGCAGACCGTCGGAAATGCCGTCGTCTTGATCAGTGGATTGATCGCTGCTTTATTGGTACGTTCACCCGTCATTCTGTCGCAAAATATTCACCCAACTCACATATCGATTCCTCCAGTACGGAAACATCGGTATCAAGGTCTTCTACGCGGCCGTGCTCCGTGATGTCTTCCGCTTCCCGCCGCTCGAAACCAGGACAGGAAAGATCACCTGGATCTTCATGGGTAAGTTTGCAATAACCAAGAAACATGAAGGCGAGTTGATACTAACAGCATTCAGTACCGATTTACTGGGCCTGTGCCTTTGTCATAGCCGCTGCCGTCCCACAAATCAGCCAGCTTGGAGCAGTAAGTCCCCTCTCGCCCGAAAAGAAAATTCGCCTTATGTATGAATTAACAATCCTCAAGTTCGTCGGCGCCGCCTTCATCCTCCAATTCTCCTACACCTTCCCGCCGATCCTGCAAGTCGGCTACAACGTCCAACGCGACGCCATCCTCCCCGAAGAGGTCTTCGACCCGGCCACCGGCCAATCCCGACGCGTCGATGGTGGTCTCAGACGTATTTTGCGCGGATTCTCTAAGCAACTTTTCCGAAATACGTTTGATTCCTTGTATTTCATCTGTGCGCTTGCCACGGCCGGTTTGGGCATGTATGCAGCGATCATTGGCATGACGGAGGGTTTTTCGAAGGGCACGGTGAGGAGTTTCTCTTGTCAAAGCCCAACGGGGAGTTAGAGGGTGCTTTTCTTTGGGAGGTTGGATAAGATGGGTGGTAGATGGCATTTTGGGATATATGATGATGCGATTTGATATCTTATTATTTACATCCTTGGATGATTGCTCCTATTCTTTAAAGAGAAATCGTTCGTGCTCAACAACTTCACGATCGCGGCAGTCCTCACACCATGGCGACTACATCAGCACTTTAATTGAGCGGCGCGCTAAAGTAGCATGGAGAGGAGGCATGTGCCACTCCACGCCAACGAAAATGGGAATGACCGTATTACTCTGCCTTGAAATTCCTCTCAGACCGACAATACCTAGGTAGTAATCAATCGAGATTCATTCATCACTGTATGATAACCCCAGGGTCGTCGTTCGACTGGAATCAATGTCCGTTCGGGATTGCATATCGCCCCACTGTGTGCACCAAGCCCCGCGTCACACACGTCATGTCCTGTCATGTCCTGCACAACGCGCGCACACGTTTCCAAGATAGCCAGGAGCGATGTTCATCGATCCCCGAGGCGCTACAACTGGTAGATTTCGTTCGTTTGTTCGTCCTTGAAAGATTGATCTTCCTTGAATCTTATATACGGAAGGTTCTGAAAGTTCCTTGGAGCCATATCAATAAATTGAAGCAGAGATGTCGACTCAGCGAGCGTATTGGAAAGAGAGTGTCGTGTATCAAGTATATCCTGCTTCCTTCCTCTCCACGGGTTCGGGGTCTCAGCCGGGATGGGGAGATATCAAGGGAATCACTTCAAAGCTTGACTACCTCAAAGACCTCGGCGGTAAGCAGCAAAGAATCAATCTACAGAACGCCTTCGCTGACATGACCATCGATATTGTTATGAAGTGGACATCGTCTGGTCTTCCCCTTTCTTCAAGAGCCCTCAAGTCGATCTCGGCTACGATATCTCCGACTACAAAGACATCGACCCACGATATGGTACCCTCGCAGACGTCGACGAGCTCATTGCGGGCCTCAAACAACGAGACATGAAACTCATGATCGATCTCGTCGTAAATCATACTTCTGATCAACACGCCTGGTTTCAAGAATCACGTTCCTCTCAAACGAACCCAAAGAGATCCTGGTACCACTGGCAACCTGCCAAGACTGATGCGGACGGCAATCGTGTCCCACCGAATAATTGGGCGATGCAGTTGGGTGAAGCGCATTCGGCGTGGACGTGGGATGAGAGTACTCAGGAGTACTATCTGTCTCTTTTTACGCCGGAACAGCCGGATTTGAACTGGGAGAATCCGGATGTGCGAGCTGCAGTACATGATGTATTGAGATTCTGGCTCGATCGTGGTGCTTGCGGGTTCCGAATGGATGTGATTAATCACATCTCAAAGGAGCCGGGATACCCTGATGCGAGAGTCATATATCCTGACAGCCGGTGAGAAGAAAACAAACACACCAAAATTGAGGTCATCACTGATGATGGTACAGGTACCAGCCAGGACACGAGCACTACGCCAACGGTCCTCGACTCCATGAGTTCTTGCAAGAGATTAACGCAAAGGTCCTCTCCAAGTATGATTCGATGACCGTCGGAGAGATGCCCTTCGCTCGCGACACGACGGAGATTTTAAAGGTCATTGCCGCTGATCGGAAAGAAATCAATATGATTTTTATCTTCGACATTGTTAATGTCGACGACGATCCCTTCCGATTCTCCCTGAAGCAGTGGAAGCCCAAAGATGTCGCCACGATCATATCGAAATGGCAGACCGATCTCGTGCAGGGTGGTGGATGGCCTTCGATCTTCCTCGAGAATCACGTACGGTAGTCATTCCCATACTTGGATCTTGCTGAGATCTGACAAAACCACAGGACCATCCTCGCTCGGTAACCCGCTTCACAGATGACTCTCCGCGTTACCGAGACCTCGGCGCCAAACTCCTCGCCCTCATGCAGACCACTCTCGGTGGCACGCTCTACCTCTACCAGGGCGAAGAAGTCGGCATGAAGAACTTCCCACTCTCCTGGGATGCCTCTGAATACAAGGACATCGAGACAGTCAACTATTGGAAGAAGATGCAAGACCTTTCCGGCGGGGACGAGTCCAAAATGGTCGAAGCCAAACGCATCATTCAGCGTAAAGCTCGCGACCATGCACGCACACCGGTACAATGGAGCGATGGGCCGAATGCGGGATTTTGTCCCGAGAATGTGACGCCGTGGATGAGGGTGAATGATGATTGCAAAGAGGTCAATGTTGCAGCACAAGCCCCTGGGCATCAGAACACTTTGAAAGACGCCTCCAAGGAACAAGGTGGCGGACTGAAGTCATCTATCTCAAAAGCAGCACAGAAGATGGCTGACAACTTCGCTCCTGTCGGCAGCAGCCTAGGCCCAGTAGTGCCCACACACAGCATGCCGATCCCTTCCTCTGAAGGCGAGCCTCTCTCAGTCTGGCAATTCTGGCAACGCGGTCTGGCGAATCGCAAGGCGCACAAGGACGTCTTCGTGTATGGCACATTCGAGGCTTTGAATGTGAGCAACGAGGACGTCTTTGCATATCGTCGCGTGGGAGAGAAAGAGGCTTTTGTGGTTTTGCTGAACTTCACGGGCGAGACGGTCAGCCTGGACTTGCCGGAGAAGCCTGCGAAGACATCGAAATGGGTGATCAGTAATTATGCTGAGGGTCCCACGGATCGGGCGCTTCAAGGGAAGATTACGCTGAAGCCCTGGGAGGGACTCTTGGGTACTGCGGCTGTTTAGTTCATGCTTCGTGTAGATATGGTATAAGTACATGATGATTAGAATTCCCGGACACCTCGCTGCATCCTGGCTCCGGTTGAACATATATCAATTGAGTGATGCCGTCGGAGGATAGATCCCATCGGGTTTGTTCAGCATTGCTTTGAGATAGACCACGTCCCAAGCTTGTGTAAGATCTTTGACCTTGCTCGGGTCCGCTTTCGGGTCGAGACGAGCGTAGAATGTAGTCAAGACATGTATCAATGACACTTTCACCGAACCCTTGAAGTCATGCTGATACGACGTAAGTCGTTCTTCTGATACACTTGGATCCACTGCCCAGATCCAGCCTGCTTTGGGCAGTGACTCCTTCGCAGAACGAATGGCTTGAGCATCAACGTAGAGGAAAGCATCCCTGCTGATTCCAGGCGATAATGCATCATCGCCTTCCTTGTCGCAGAGCACTCGGAAATTCCTAGGAATAGAAAGTTCAGTCCATGGTCTCCAAACGCAAAACTCAAACGAGACAAAAAAAAAGAACATCACCAAAACTCACTCGCACAACTTCTCCACATTCGCTCCCTTCAAACTCTCCTCCTCAACCCACACAATCTTCCACTTCCCCTGCAACCTCTCCGGCATCTTCGCCAACCATACCGCGGTGTTGACCGCATCCTCAATCTGCTCCGTGAACCTCTTCCAAGCCTTCTCATCGCCAAAGTCCGTCCTAAACGCCACAAAGCCCCACTCCACCTTCCCGGCGTCCTTGACTCGCTCAAGAATGCCCTCGACCCAAGGCAATTTATTAGCGTTCCGGATATTCATCACGTCGAAACTTGCATCCAGTTTCCCTCGAGCCTGAAACACAGCCTCATTGATGGCCTCGACGCGTTTGACCGCGCGACTCTCCGCCACGCGATCCCGCGGCGTGAGCGCATTCGCCATGGCGCCCAGCCTCAACAGTTTGAGATCGCGCGGCCAGCGGATGATGTTGCTCGGCGCATCCCACCGGCCCTTCGTATCGCGGAAGGAGTACCCGCTGCGCAGGATCTGGCATTCCTGCTGCGAGAGGGCCTCGGGGGAGTCGATGGCTTTGTCGATGAGGGCGTCGAGGGTCAGACCGCATTTCTCTTCGCAGAGGGCGTTGGTCTCGGGGAGGGGGTGTCTTGACAGGGCTTTGAGGCGGTCTTCGTCGGTGAGGGTTTCGGGGTTTTCGACGAGGCGGGTCCAGAAGGTTATGATCTCCGCCGGGGGCTGGAGGATGCTATCTTCGGTGCTGTTGTTGTTGTTGTTGTTGCCTGTGCGGCCGGGCACGAATTGGGTTGCGGACCCGGGGACAAATTTACTTGGGATGGATTCTTTGAATAACATTATAGAGATGTCTTGCGGCGAGGTGCTTTATTACTTGATACTTGGTGACTTGATGTGATGTTGGACCCTTTTGCACAGCAGCAGCTGGCGGGGGTGGGATAGGTCCCGCTAGCCATTGGACTTAAAGGGGCGTGTCATTTATCTAATGACCGATGGGTATTTGAGCATGGATATTTTGCACATTTCGTGGCGATGATCAATGAGCTGTACAACCTTGTTGGGATGCAGCGGCAGATGTTGATAAGCACGATGCTCCAATCACGAAGACCCAAACCATAATTTCTAGCCGGACAGGCAACTACGAAACCAAGATGTCGATGATCATCGTGATGGAGACAACGGAATCGGAACTTTTCAAAACATTATCTCAGACCTAAAAATAAATAGAAATCTTCTTTCGATGTTCCACATTCTCGGTCCGAGATTCTCCTCCCACGACAGATTTTCCAAATTTAATTCTCCGGCATCGCATACCAAAACTCCTCTCCCTCCAGACCATCCCGACTAGGGACCTCGCGGACCTTGAACTTGCCAGCCTGGTTCTCACTGATTTCCACATCCGCTTTACCGCCTGCGGAATTAACACTCTCCAGACCCTCCCAATCGACATCCTCCCACCTCAGATTCAGAATCCGGAGGCGGACGCCCCAATCCTCCATCATGCTGACGAGGTCGGTGGTTTCTTTCGTCATGGGCGCTTGGCCGAGGAGCATGAGGAGGCCGTCTAGCCATTCGCTCGCGAGGTGGGCGGTGGGCGGGTGGAGGTCGAGCAGCGGACGCTCAATGCTATCGCCGGGTTGGCCGGTGGTGCCAAGGATGGTGAGTTTGGTGTCCGGATATGGCGCTGCTGCGGCGCCACGGAGAGTCTCGGAGCTGTCCCGTATGCGGGAGGCGACGGTGCTGATGCTCGCGCGGACGGGGTTGGAGTCGGTGAAGGAGGCGGCGAGGCTGCTGTGGCCGTTGGTGAGGCCGTTGGCGTTGGAGGTGACGTTGGAGGTGACGCTGGTGACGGCGTCGAGGTCGATCTTTTCGGGAAGTTGTTCTAGCGGGAGGGGTTCATCGCTGGTACCTTTGGCGGCGAAGGTTTGGTGATGGAGCCAGCGGCGTTGAGGACTGAGGCGGACGTATCGCCATGCGCTAGGACCACCAGCAGGAGCGGTAGGGAACCATGCACCGGCAAGCAGACAGCGGATTCGTTGCTCCTTCATGAACAGCAGGCTTTCGCTGTGCAGTTGCTCGCGGACTTGCACGAGATGAGGACCCCAGGCGTCTTGGTAGACCTCGTCGAGGTTCTCCATCTGCCAGCTACGTGCCGAAGAGAGCGATGCGACGCGGAGGTCCTCTTCAACAGTAGCAATCTCCGTCTTACGATCAACTAAGCCGAGTGTGCGTTCAGTGACAATCCGGACAAGTTCCTCAATTTTATAATAGTCTTCTTGTTCTGCGCCAGCATCTTTCCACAATCGCAGGAAGGTGTTGAGCGCGGCAGTATGCAGACGTCCCCATTGTAGGAGAAGCGGCTTGTAGAGGCGATCGACATCGACGTCAAGGTCGACTGAAACAGGTGCATCGGGATCCGCCGCGTCAATCTCGAAGTGCTCGTAGAGGATCATTGTGACGCTCAGAGAGGCATGGGCGACAGGGCAGCGTTTCTCCTTTGGCTGCATGGATTGCTCCAGCAGAGTCTTCTGGTAGGTATCCTCATTCCGACGACAGTAATCTACAAGATCCATGATGCCGAGGTATCCCGTCTCGTCAAACTCCCAAGCAGGCGACTCCGTCTCGAAACCTAATCGTCTCCACTTTTCGGGGTGGTGTTTGCGAGGTTTGGCCTCGGGGTTCTTTGGGTCGACCGGCGGAGGAACATACGGCTCCGGTTTGCTAAGCAAGTGAATAGTTTTGAGCGCCCGTTTGTGTTCTGAAAGTTCCACGTTCACTGCAACCTCTTTCCATTTGCGTAGTAGGACTTTGGTGAGGGATTGAAACTCGAGAATCGCCGTTGCCAATGTGCTGTCGATGTCGCTAGCAGCCTCTCCACGCATCAGCAAGCCCACGCTGCCAATGACCCCCAAATCTTGCAGGCGTTTGATAAACTTGGGCCATTCGTGCTCGCCTCCCTGTGCGACTGCATCGCGCATCAAGGCATTGACAAGTTGTAAAGCGTTGGCGCAGAGAGTGTGGTCAGAGGCGCTTAGGCGCTGTACGAGCGACTCCAGGAAGTCGGGATGCTTGTCAAGAGCAGGCTTGATAGCTTTGAGGCCATGTTCGGCGGCATGTTCGCTGTTGTTGCTGGTGGGCGGTGGACGAGAGACGACATGTACGAGTAACGACAGCGCATTGCGGACGAGGTTAACCAGTGGGTGAGAGATGGCAAGCGAGACGACCTGGGAAAACGCAATCTCGTCAGCGATCGACCTTAATAATTGATCCATCTCATCTGCCTCTTCCATGTCGGCCATGACCCTCTCGGCATCTCAAGATAACATACCGTCTCCAAAATCTCCTCATCGCAAACCTCCCAGGCGAGGCCTTGATCCAAGAGGACATTCAAACTCCCGAGCGCATATGCCTGGGTGTTGCCGGTCGTGTCCAGCACGGCCTGTCGCAAGGGTTCCAGCCCATCGACGCGAATGAAGATGTCGGAGAACTCGGGATCGACGAGGAGGGATTGTAGACGAAAGACGGCGTATTTCTGTGAGCTTTCATTCTCGGACATGAGCCCGGCGATGAGCATCGCGACATCCGGAGGGTCCTCCATGGCGGTGATTGACGGTGGTGATCGGCGAAGTGGTACGAGGAAACGGTCGCTTGAATGGATAGTGGGGATGTTTTCTCGTCAGTGCGACGGGCGTTTGTATGCGCCGCAGTCTCGTCGTGGGTGCGGTCTATATTCTGCAGGCGATTCCCATGTGAGAGTTGTGGGAATAGCAGAGATGCTGAAAGAGATGTTGTGGTTGCTGTCCGATGTTTGGTCGCAAGCGGCAATGATGGGGTACAAGCTTTGGTTGGCCGTTTGGTGGTGTGGTATAGCGGAACTGGGGGAAATTTGGTCGTTCCTCGGCTGATTCGGTGGTCGAGAAGCCGCGTTCAACACCAAGGTGCACTGTCAGTGTGATCCTGCAGTCCAGTACTGTCGCGACCAATGGCGGTATCGTTTGCGCCGACAATCAGCTTCGTGTGCGCAACACCTCGCACACACTCCTTCTGTGTCTGTGATCCCCTGGTGGAGGAGAGATCAGTTGTTCAGATGCTGAAGTTGCCCTTTTCGCTGACGATCTGAGAGACACGACAGATGCAGATGAATAATAAAATCGAAAAAAGAAAGCGAATATGCCGGAACATGATTCTCAAAGGGAATGTAAAAGACTGTGGTTATAGTGAAGCATTCATCTAGAAAGGATAACGAATAATGTAAATGTTGAGGGAGAAAGTGAACGAGATGTATGTTGAATATGCTGACAGGTGGGGACAATGCGGGAATTGAGAGTCTCAACAGAAACGCGAAAGTCAAATGGAGAGGAAGAAGCCAGTTCTGTCCAACAAGGTTTTCGAGGTGAAGATGACCGCCGATATGTCGTCGTCGTCGTTGCGCGCGCGCTCTTTCCTTTCCAGTGGTGGAAAACAAGGTGGAACAACAGAAAGAGGAGAAGGGGAAATCTGGGAGAGAGGAAGAAGATGAGGAGACGGACACCGAAGCGTGAATGTGTATGTAGACACACGGCACGGAGTATCGATGGCGAAGACCGAGGAGAGACAGGCAAGACGCCTTCGAATGGGCTGATGGTAATTACGCGCGCGCAGCAGGCAGAAGAACAGGCATGATTACGCTTCAACAACGACAACACATGCAATGCAAGAGGCTGTTAGGCGCAGCAGGACGATCCATAGTTGGTGGTAGTATGTGGAGTTATTGGTAGCTCTGTCGGAGAGGACAGCAGTAATCTGATGAACGCGCATGCGGGTGGGCAGAGGCACATTATAGGCGGGACATCCTCATTACCCACCTGCAGGGCGCAATCCACTGGTCATTGCCCGTTCTGCCGCTATTGGGGAGGCGATCATTCTCCCCTTCTTCATGATCCTCAACGCAGGAGGACGGCACCAGTGAAACCTCATCGTGGAGCGAGATGAGATTTGAGCTGTTTGGCCGATCTCTCGCCTCATCAGTCATGCATTACATGGGCCGTTCGCTCTGAGTTTGACCTTGTCCATTGATGATTAATACTGTGTCACACATGTGAAAGACGACACGTCTGAGAGACGAGGCCTCACCGGCCGAGAGGAGTGCAAAGCGGCGCAGCACTGCCAACAATCACCTGGAAGTCTGAGGCATATACAACCGCTGTACAGTACTATGTATGTCAATGCATATCTAGTGTATCTCCACCTGGCAGTGTTCAGTCGCAGTACCTGTACCAAGGTTTGAGATGCCATCGGCAGCCGAGGAGGCGGTGTCTTCAACTGCAGGGTATCAGCAAGAGATACGCTGTCAGTTTTGTGCTTTGTACTCTACTATATCAATGCTCGCCATGCTGTTAAGTCAAGGATGAGGACGACCGCGGGAAAGATCTCATCCATTTCCTCCCTTCTTGTCCTGCTCCACACGGATCGTCTTTCTCCACATCGGCGGCCACGCGTTCATGGAGTCCTTCTCATTCGGCAGTTTCCGATAGTGCTGAGGAGCTAGGAACGCATCGCCATCATCTACAGTACAACTCGATCGATGGCAATCCCTTGGGACTTCATGATATCGATATGTCATCCAAGGGAAACCTCTCGTGTCTCTGCGGGGATCTCAACTGTCCCAAGACTATCCAGACGTTTATCATTCGGCATCGTTAAAGATCTAACAGAAGAGTGTAAAACCTGCGGCAGATGAAGATCGACCCTGTTGTCAGCATGACCCAAAAAGACATTGATGAGATTAATTCTCAGCCAATAAATCCAGATCGTGGAAGTCAAACGAGCGCCGAAATGGTCGCGAAATTTAGAGTTGTGCTTGGACCTTGGGACCCTTCCTCACGCGAAAGTCTGGTTCTGGCGAACGATCGTCGTCGTTTTGAGGTGCATATCTCGAATAACGCTGTGTCCATGGTTATTGCTACATATTCGAGTTTGATAGTTCGACTGCATCATCATTGTCGTCAGCGGCGGCGATCTAGCATCCGAGAAAGAGGGCAGGAGGAACAGGACTATGACTGGGCTCAGTGTAGTCCACAGCAGGACGCGGTGAATGCTTGATGTGCACATTCCCGTGATTTACAGTGCGTATACGCCGTATATGATTGACCGCTTCCGCAAGCAAGCATACGAGGATCATTGAGCGGCGCAAATATGCCATGGCAGTTGAACAGTGGGCCTGTCCCTGAGGAGGCCTCGCAATAGTGGATGGCCTTTTCTGGACTCTTGATGCGAAACTTGCTTCGTGAGCAAGTAACCTACTCGCATCTTGTTGCTGGATGCGCAACGACTAAAGTGAGGAAATGCTCTGTCATCAAATTAATAATTCGCCAGTCATAAAGTCTTCAAGTCGTGACATTTAGCAGTATTGCTATTACACTATCGTGTCTACTATCTACAGGTGTCTTCTGTCATTTTTCCGGAATGTGGACCTCAGGCACAATAGGGTTGGACCCCATATCCGTTATGCATTTATTATGCACCATGCTCAAATCAGCCTCGGGACAATGACCAAGCAAGCATTCGCCATACAGCAAATGATTGTGCAAGGCGTTCGGTTCACTGGTGCGATGCACCGAGTTATGCTCGCGTGCTCTTCTGTGACGTTGTCTGTCCCGCATTCCAACAGCCGACACTCCCACGCACGTCGGTCGGCCAACATCCCGGTCACGGCATCTCGTAACGACGACGTCGTCATCCCGACCAGTGGAAGGCCGACCATATGTTCATGAGTGATCGCATCTCGCAACAAACACATTGGCTCAACATGTAGTCGCTCCTTCTCATCTTGATCCCCTTCAACTCTACTCTCCGACTTCGGCGTTTATCTGCCTCTGCGATGTACCACATACATACACGGATGCATACATATGTGCGACATCTTACGTAGTTCTCCGCCGATATAAGATCGAACAACACCAAATCTTTTAGTTCTGGAACGATTTCTCGGACTTTATAAAACGCATCTTGAACCTGTCGGAGCGGATCCTCCGGCGTTGCAAGAATCACTGGGATCACTTGGAGTCGCGATCTCTGCAAGTTACAATCTCATCACCATTACCGCCACGAACAATAACTTTCAAGAGACGCCTCAACCAACATAGCAGCAAAGAAGCCAAAATACTCCTCTCGTCACCATGTACTCCATCATGTCCGCCTCATCCCCTCCGCCTCCCTCACCCCTCCTTCTCCTCCCCTTCGAACTCCGCGCCCAAATCTTCCACCACGCCCTCTGCGATCCTCCCCGCCTCGTAACCTTCACCCTCGACCACGTCCAGCAACAATACTACAATTCCGCGACACCGCTAGCTCCCCTCACGCGAGTGAGCCGACAAGTCCGCAGCGAGACGCTGCCACAGTACTTCCACGCCAACACCTTCGTACTCCACACCGAAGACCAGAAATTCTACGACGCGCAAGCCTGGCTGCGGGGCGCAATGGCGCGGAAGTTTCTGGCCGATCTCCGCCGGGTCGAGATCTGGGTGAGGTATATGCCCGCGGGCGGAGCGAGGGGTTCGGCGAGTGGGAGTTGGGGGCTGATCAGTGTTGCTGTGAGTAAGGCGAGGAAGGGAGGGGAGTGGGGTGTGGAGCAGGGCAGTTGTCGGTGGGTCACGGTGACGAGGAAGCCGGTCGATTGGATGGAGGATGGAGGATTTCTCGTCGCGTGGCTGGGAGGCAATTTGGGCAAGTTGAGGGATGAGGAGAGGGTTGGGGCGGAGGAGTGGATTGGGGTTTTGGATGGGTTGAGGGATGATTATTGTCGGAAGAAAATCCACGGAAATAGATGAAGTGGAAGAACGCATTATTGGCAGCGGCGGTCGGGATGAATAGGGGGGTGGTACACGGGCTTCGGTTCTTTGCGCACCGCTGGACACTGAATCACTGCCCGGGCGTAATTGAGCCATTGCCATGCTCAAGATATCGCAAGAACCGCGCTTAAAGCTCTGATCACGGTCATCCACGCGGCCACAACTTCCTGGATCTCGGCGTTTTTCAAGCTATGCTGGGCAAAACTACTCATTTGAGAATCGTCACTCGCAGTGATGGCCAGCTATGGGGTTCGTCAACAAGACCAGCAGGCGACCTGATCATAGGAGTACTTACATCCAGATGGAATTTACTGTCGAGAGTATCTCATGAAATCATGGCCAAGGCGTGTCAGTTGGAGATCGCATCCCATGCGCAGCCAGTCGCTAGAGGCGGAACACTGCAACATTGATCTATGAAACGCAAGTCACAACTCAACATGAGAAACTCCGCGAGGTAGAGGCCGGCCCTTGAAAGCCGCCAGGTCATGAATGTCTCGCTCGAGCAGAAGCTTTTCGGACACTTTGGCCATCGAGAAAATGAGCATATCTGAAGCTGCTGAAGCGGTCAGTCCGATGGATCTATCGACGACTACTCAAGCTGGTCAGCCTAGGATCCGGCGAAGAGCTTGGCCGACACGTATCACTGTGCGTTCTCGTCCACAACATCCCAACGGGGCCACCTGCGCACAGAGGGTCGAAGATCACAAAAGATGATGCTGTAATGCCCAATCGATTGCTTGGCTACCGATCATGGGTATATTGCAGTTCTTCTGCCCATGTCGTGAAGTGCTGGTGACCAGTCCGAGCGAACCCATCGTTTCATCGTTACCGCCTTGTCGGAGAGCCCCCTGATACGCTAGCTGGGCCAGCAGAACTTGGGATAGGGATGGGATCAGGGATTGGACGCGAACAGTACAGACAGGGAGGTCACTCATCAATGATACTGTGCTGCCCAGATGTCCAAATGTTGTTCGCGTGCAGGCGAGGCCAGCATTTGCTTCTGTATGATCGTACAGTACCGTGAGGACGTGGGAATTTTGATTAGTTGTACATGTAGTAAGCCGTACACGGCATTTCTGGCGCACAGAATGGTCGGTCGAGGCGACGTCACTTTCAGCGGCAGTTTTGACGCCCGCGGCTCAGCACCGGCCATTTCTCCAGAACCATTCACGGCAGTGCTCCGTATTCAGCTCACCCATGCCACGAAAACGCGTTCGACACGTCCGCGTTCAACGGCCGACTTTTTGTTAACGGCGTAGCAACGTCCGACACGAGCAGCAGGGCCAGTCTACTCCATAATCGCAGCGACATCTCCTTGCAGTACTGTCCATTATTTCTCGCTCATTTGCGCATATCTCTGGAATATCTTATCGAATCTGTGAACCCATCACGGCATCGCAATTGCAGGACGACCTCACGCAACCAAAATGCCTCGCCTCAAGCGAACTCGGGATGAGGCCGAGCTGGATCTACCAGAGGAACCACAGATTGCACCGGAGCTACGGGAAAGGCTGAATGCTTTGCGGAGTCAATGGGAGTTTGCAAGTCTAATGCAATACATTCAACTCTTTGGAAGTGTCGTCAAAATTGACGACAACTTCGAGATTGAGGTGAGATCTGGATCGCGGAGATGCGGAGATGCGGCGCATGCATATCGATCGATCAAGAGGGGCACGAACTAATGTAGCAATGACAGGACCTCGAAGTCGAGTGCTTGCGGCCGACGCCATCAGATACGTTACCGAACATTGGGTTGGCTCTCCTCAAATATGTCTCCTCACACCGAGGTCTCACGTGAGCAACGATGACACCACTTGCGCCGTTCTATACTGATCAATGATAGCCTTGATCTCTTCGATGAATACACGCGCAGACAGTATCAGGCGAAAGCGCCGGAGCGAAATCCTTTCGGCGACGAAGAAGAGCCTCGCAAGTTCAACGACCTCGACGTCTTCACCAGAATCCGCGTACTGCATCAGCTAAGTACCTGGACCTTTTTCAACGCCGATCGCATTCGAGGCATGATGCCAGAAACCGAGGACAATCTTGAATGGCGAATGGAGCCTCTTGGCTGGGACAAAGAGGATCGGGCGTATTATGTGCTCGATGACAACCGTCTCTACCGGCGTGCCGATGAACCCGTACCACCACCCGCACCAAAGCTCGCAGCAAAAAAGAAGGCCAAGGGTAAGAGCAAGGCCAAAGCCAAAGCCAAAACTCCTCAAAAGCCAGCAAGTCGCGGAACGCGCGCCAGCAAACGGATAAAGCTTGCGGAAGAGGAAGAAGAGGAGGAGGAAGAGGAACTTGATGCGTCGGAACTTGTGGCGAATGACGAGGAAGATGTGGACATGACAAACGGTGACATCGCCCCTGCAGAGGAAGAGCCTGGCTTTGGATTCACGAGCAAGACCTGGGAGTGCATCGCAGTCACATTGGAGGATTATCAGGAATTCTTGTCAACCATCTTTCGATCCCGGGATCCCAACGAGAAGCAGTTAAAGACTAGGATTGAGGAAGACGTATTGCCCATCATCGAGAAACGCGCCGAGTCTATTCGCCAGAAGAAGCTGAAGAAGCTACGAGAGTTGGAGAATCTACAAAAGATGGCTACGGCGAAGCGCTCGGGTCGTCTGGCTGACAAGGCTGAGAAGGAGAAACAAGAAAGGGATGAGCGAGAGGCCGAAGAGAGGCGACGGGCTGAGCTCAAAATGGCATTGGCGGAGCAAGAGCGGCAGAGGAAGATTGAGGAGGTGAGTGAATCGCGCATGGTTTGGACACACTCATCCACATGCTGACTTTCTTTAGGGCCACGAGTCAAGACGACTTACACGAGAGCAACGAGTCCGAGAGCGTGAAACGAAACGAATACTCCACGAAGAGGAATTACTCAAACTCGAAGCTGAATCGCAGCGAGCTGAATCCCAGGATCCTAATAGCAATGGTTCCGATACCAAGCGAATGTCTGAACGACACCTCAAGACGCAAAAGGAGCAGCACCAGAAAGAGTTGGAAAGGCTGGCCGCTGAAGACGATGGGGTATGGTACTTTGACTGTTCGGTGTGCGGACTACACGGTGACAATCTAGATGATGGCACACACAGTGTCGCGTGCGATCGATGCAGTGTGTGGCAGCACAGCAAGTGCCATGGATTCACTCCGAAGCAGGCTGAACGAGAAGGCTTCGTCTTCGTTTGTGCTACATGCAAGCGGAAGGAGGAAGACGCCAAAAAGCCGAAAATACCTTCACTAAAGCTTGGCAAGCGAGAGAGCGATGCCGCAGGCTCACAGTCTCTCAGTCGACCCGTCACGGCAAATGGTCAAGGTTCCGACGGCCCTGCTCCAAATGGCATGAGTCCGTCACAAAATGAAGACAAACTGGACATTACCGACGGACCAAGTCTCTCCCCGTTTGGACAGGCAGTAGGCCCGCCTGGACAGCGTCTACCTCCAGTGAGCAACTTCGCATTGAAGCCGCCTCAGGAGCCTTGGCAAGGGAGTCCTTTGCCGCCACCGGAGAAGACTCCGTCTGCGAGAACAGACAATCTACCAATGCAGGGGCTGAACGGCCATGCTGACGCCCATCAGAACGCCCACCAGGCGGCAGTCGTCTCCGCCGGAGGCCACAACCATCCTCGCCCTTCGTCAGCGATCTCAGCAGCAAGTCCGCAGCGAACCCTCTGCAAACCCTTCTCACCAGCCGCATCACTCCTCACACCACAACACAACCAATTCCTCCCCCAACTCCCTCCTCAATCCGCGACGCCCGCGCCGCTAATGAAAGGTTTCCAATCTCCAATCAAACAACCCCCTCCACAGGCACCTACATCATCCCCTCCGGCCGCCGCATCATCCTTCGGCCATCCCTCCTACAGCACGCCTCAGCAGCAATACTCCACCTCCATCCAACATGAACGCTCCCCACAACTCCACCAGAGCCCCAAAACCGACCTCCCACCTCCGCCGAAACTCGCCCTCAGCCAGCAAGCGGGAATTTCGCCAGTGAAATCCTCCCCTGCTGCGGCGCCGCCGTCGCAGAGTCGACCCGGGTCTTTCCTACAGTCTTTCTCGTCTTCCATCACGGATCCACCGATGCTGGAGGTCAAGTCGCCGCTGCAGCAACAGCAGCAGGCGCCGGGCGCGACGGTTCCAGTGAAGAGCGAGGCGGAGGTGAAGAAAGAGTGATTGTGTGTGGGGAGCATAGGTGAAATGTTCGGGTTCGGGAAGGGTTTTCAGCGGAGGGAAAGGTTGGTTGTTGGGTAGTGGCACGTTAGATGTTCGATCCATAGTGTGGGACACCTTTACCTAGATATTACTCAGACATAAGCTGTGGTCGCAGATGTTCTCACTTGATTTTACTCCACGCTCGACGTCTTGGGTTGCAGGGTAGCTATCTTGATATACGGTGACCTCGGTCTGACCTGCAGGCCCTTGACCAGTATCGAAACAAGTGTAAGCTCACGACAAACCTTTCAGCAACAGCCTTCACCACGTTTATGGGTTCATCAATCACTATGTTTGGTATAAATCATAAGGACCGTTCTAATTGTATGGACTACGGGTTTTTCTTTGAACTCGCTCAATGTGCACATCGTAATTTAACATCATTCGGACGGTAAACCCAAGGCTAACCCTTACCCTTATAGAGCAAGTGCGCCCGACCGACAGAGACGATAATACGTCTAGGCGACTCACAACACCAACCACCAGCCACCAACACTCATCAAACAATCTAACAAGAGTTTCATCCCGGACAGGTAAAAATTACCATCATGATGATGATGCTTCCTCCGCCCTCACTCTTATTAGCAGAAATAGTCCCGATCCAGGAACCGATCCACCACGATCTCGTTCCTGAATCTCACCTCGCGCCCATCGCAGCTTAGCCGCGATACTAGCGCGTCCTTTCCAGCCAATACCCACTCTTCAGGGTCGACGTCGCTTTTCCGAATAGGGCAATGTGCGCATAGTCATGATGTAGTTCGACCCGATGACGATGAGAAAATGACCAAGGTGCCCCATTGGAAAAGGGTTCCGAGTGATGCGACCACTTTACGCGGTCGTGTGAGGTTCGCGCGTTTCGGGATTGGATTTGTACCTACATTGGCGCTGGGTTTGTTCTCTTGGTGCCGTAACTATGACGACTGCTTGATGGTGTATTTGTCTTCAGGAGAGAGAGGGATTGAAAGGGCTTATAGCATTGGATATGTCTCGCTTTTCATTCATGACTTCAGAGATTACTGTCCTGTCCTTTCTGGCGAAGTTGTATTCTTCTCGTACGCAGGCAGGATGGCTACTACACTAGATTACCATGTTTTGAATTTCTTCCAGGATGACCAGGGCGGTTCGGCATTGACTGTCCTCGCTGGTGCAACGAGATATCATGTTATCGTTGACGAACAACAGCTGAAAGATGCCGGAAAGCCAGGTACTTCTATCCTCAAGGAGTATCGGGATCTCCACGACCAAGTCAAGCGCCAGGATGAAGCCGCTCTCGAAGGCAGAGATACTCAAGGGGAGAAGGACGATGCTCAGACGACATTCTCCGACGGCACACACGACAGTGGAGTTGACATGACTGCCGATGCCGACAACACGAATGAACAAGCGGCAAGCAAAGCATCAAACACCGATGCATGTGAGGTCCTACAGAAATGGATCATGGCACCTCTTGCAGATGTCTTGGACAAGAGTGAGATGTTGGAAAAGCACAAAACAGTACAAGATTGGTACCACTGTCCCACAAAACTCTACCAACTATCCGTCTCCAATGGCAAACTCATTGGCCGAGAAGAGGAACCCGCAACCGCCGACCTCGACGACCGCATGGCCGCCTGGATCCCGGACATGCCGTTACCGAAATACCTCCGCGACCTATCCATCGACATGATTCCCGCCTCGGAGGTCCACATACTCTCTGAAAGCACCGACCCAGAACCCATCCATCCGGCACTCGTCGAAGTCCACGGCGAACAATTCTTCCTCAAAGTCGTCGATATGAACCAGCTCCAACCGACAAAACGCGAGATCCATCTGATGAAGCGCATGGAGAAGAAAGGGCTCCACGAACAATTCCGAATGCCCAAGATCCGCGGCCTAGTCACATTTGCTTCTACAGACAAGAAAGAGAAGAAAAAGAAACAAAACAATTCCAGCATCATGGGCTTCCTCATGACCGCCATCTCCAACCCGACCCCGCTCACCCACAAACTCGACCCTGCCATCTCCCAGTCCCAACGGGACACTTGGGCCAACGAGTGCGCCCGCATTGTCAAAATCCTGCACGACAACAAGATCATCTGGGGTGATGCCAAGGCGGATAATTTCATGGTGGATGACAAGGATGATCTATGGATCATCGATTTCGGAGGTAGCTATACCGAGGGATGGGTAGACCCGGAGTTAAAAGAGACGGAGGAGGGCGACGATATGGGGCTGAGGAAGATCACGGCGGCGTTGCATGATCCTGAGGAGAATACCTTTGACCCGAATGAGGATGGGGAGGATGGGGAGGATGATGAAGAAGTCAAGGGCGAGGTCGAGGAGATGCAGATGCAGGAGGAAGATGCGAGGGGGAAGAAGGCGCCGAAGCTCAAGAAGGAAAGCTCTCTATTCGTGACAGAGGTCGTCTCCGAGGAAAAGGCGATTCGTGCCGTGAGCTCTAGCGCAGAAGTCGAGGAGGCGGGAGAGGAGAAGAAAATCGAAGCCCCTGAAGGCGCGAGCAACAGGAAGCGCAAGGTCGATGCCTCTCGCGAGGACGAGGATGATTCCAGTAAAAGCAACAAGCGCGGCAGAAAAGAGTGATGAGAGATCGAATTCATATCCATCTCGTGGGTCGCCCACGGTGCGAGTTCTCCTCGATATTGCCACTAGGAGGATCGGTCCGGCGACCAGCTTTTTGATGATGGCAGAAGCCCATGGCAGCTTCCTGCCTGTCATGCGCTCTGCCTCTGGTGATCGCCAACGTTGTTTCCATCGGAAGCAACAATTGCAGAACCAACCTCTGGCTGCGATGATTCAACTCAGCATTTCAAGCCTTCAAAAGCTCAGGTCAGAAACCTCGTCACAAGAAAGATCACAGTCGCCTAAAGTTTCATCGAAGATGAAGCGAACGCAGCATGGAGCTACAGCGTACGATTGAGTCATAATTGAGCCCTTGCTCCTCCATGGACAAGACACCTGTGATGTCTTTCCAATCTACCATGCACCACTGCGCTGTGCTTTCAAGCTGTGTATCAGGCAGAAGCGGGCCATCCCCTAGGACCTCACAGAGTCCTGCGGCAAACACGACGGGAGTGGTAGATCGTTACGCTGCCGAAATGTACGATATAGTGTAATTAGCAGGACACGCGAAGGAAGTCACACAGCAGAAGAAAGAAACCATAGATGGCCGATAATCAGAAGGGAGGATGCAAAGGGCTTCGCGGCACATTTGTTGAAATCGATTGAGTGAGAGGTTCATTGTATCATAGTTAAGCAAGATGTATATTGACTGCATCCTGGTCGTACAAGTTCCCCTGGAGTGTTACTTTTTAACAATCGGATTCTGACTCGGAAATAGGAGGTCATTTCGCATGGCTTACGCGATTAATCCCTCCGTGACTTGGGAGAAGGAGGACGACATTCTACACTCGGCGCTATGAAGTGAGAATAGGGTCTTGGCAAGATCCAGCCTCGAAGCGAGAAAAGCAATTTGGTAACGGCGAATCACGCACGAGTTGAGGAGTGATCGCAATTCAGCCAAGTACCAGCCCAGTCGATAATCTGTAGATCATCTGTTGAAGTTCAGCGATTTGTAGAGGTTCTCGACAACACTCCGACCACCGTCGTCCAAACAAGCACGAGCAGATTCTTCCCAGACTTCGCTTGTACGATGTGCCATACCTCCCGAGGGCCTCAAACCCAAGGCGAAATAAACCTTCCGTGGCAAACCGAAAATGAAAAAGGAAAACAAGCGAAGCGAAGCGAGAAACGGAACCAGCAGCCCAATATACATAGTCCGGACCATCAAAAAACGGACCTGCGTCCGGCGGCTCCACAATCAACCACCATGACAACCGCACAGGTCCCCAATGTTTCCGCCCGGGAAAAGCCCAACCATGGGACAAGATGAAGAGCGGCACCCCGACGACGACGACGACGACGACGACGAAAAGGCCACTCCTCAGATCAACCACCCACGAAACTGGCCGAGACAGCACATCAGACAATCAAGCAAGATCAGAACGCAGTCGCCCCGCCCGGAATCCTCGGACCATTCCACCCCCGAACGCGCCTTCCCGAGAAAAATGAATCGAGCATGATATCGACGACGACCAGGAATACGGTAGAAGAACCATTTCCCTCGACGGGTGGTGTGCCCCGCACCATCTCGACAACCCAAGCAGCGCAGGAGGAGAAAACACGCGTTGACCAACTCGACCCGGACGGCGAGCCGCGCGACAAGGTCCATCCACTCGATCGAGATCCTCACGCCAGGGAGGACCACGGTCCGACTTCCCCGGGAACCGCCGCGCCGACATGGGGGTCCATATGCCCGCGCGGGCGAGAGACGACGCTGTGCTTTACCAGGCAGAAGGGGGAAGTTTTCGCTGTAGTGCTATAGAACCGTCGGCGTGTGGTAAAACATCTGGCGATTATCCTGCACCAAAAGTTTCCCGACGTAAGGTTTCGCGGACAAAGGAAAGGTGCGGTTTGCCGCAGCAGAGGGAAAGAATGTGTCCCATTGAATGCTCTCTCTGTATCTATCTAATCATGGGGAAATTTCTCGAAAGATGGCCTTTCCCGAGCCTTCGATCTCTCTTTCTCTCAGGCGTGATGGATGTGTAGAAGCGAAAGACGTAGATGGAGAGGGGCGAGGCCGCGGAGAAGTCGAGGCCTGGGCAAAGGAGAAATATGGGAAGGTCTTCGGACGGAGGTTTCCGATGATGATGATGATGGAGAACGGGCGGACGTGCGATTTGACTGTGAGGCCACGGTCCGGGGGGAGGTATGGGTGGAAGCGTTTGCCTTCCCTTTTGGGAATCGAACAGTGTCTGGGAAGAGCAAGCCGAAGCGACATACGCTTCGGAAAAAAAGAAAGATGAGGCATGGGTGTGGAACGAGGAGAAAGGATTCATCGGACAACATCATCCGATCAGAGTTCGATTGGGACTAGTTTGGTCATTGATTCTGCGGCCGAACCAGATTTGAAGAGAGAGGAGGGAACCCGACGGGCAGCATACACATATTTGAGACTCCATGGATTGATCCCGAAAGGGGGAAGATCAGGCGAGTTGCTCGCATGAATGGGGAACGGAGGAAAGGTGATGAACCGCCGTGCGCAGACGAAAGACACGCGCAGGTTGGCTTGTTTTCGGACGACATCGCCCAATGACGAAAAAAACCATGGGGAGAGCTGGAATCGAAGCCGAAGCGAACCAGGCAGAGAAATTGACGAAGTTTTTTTTGGAATCCCATGGGATGACTCCTGAGAGAGGGGGAAAGGTGAAGCGACATACGCACGGCGAGACAGGAAACGACGAAACGGTGGATGGGTCCAAAAAAGACGCGAAGAATGTCTTCTATTTTTCGGACGACATCGTCCGATGGATGGGAGGCAGAACGAGAGTTGGTTTCGTGATGCGTGGTTGCTCAGGCGTGGAGCGGAACCATTGGGACGGAATCGAGCCTCATGCATGCTGTATGTATGTATGCATGTATGTATGTGAGCAGTGCTTCGAAGTTCAGAATTTGGGTCGCGTGTGGGATGGTCAGAAGGAAATTGAGGAGTGGTCGTGGAGAAGACGATGAGGATGGAAGTTGGGGAAGGAGGAAGAGGAGGAGATGTGGTTCGGTTGATGCTTGTGATGTTTCTTCTTCTCCTTCTTTGCTTGTCTATTGTCTTGGGTCTGATGAGAAGCGGTACCGCAAAAGTGATTCTTCATCAGCGATTGATTTCTCGAAACTCGCCGGCGTCGTCGTTACTCTGGTGTTCGGGACTGGTCGAGAGAAATTTGGAACTCGTTCATGTCGCGATGCCTTGCATACTACCACTGTACCTGACGAGGACCAAACTTGAGAACTTCGTCGTGGGGGTGAGGATGAAGTCTAGCAGCGAATCCGACCGACATCTGCTGTGCATCATGCTGTCCGTCTATCCTCCTCTGTCTACTGCGGTATGAAATGAGCTCGGCCGCTTTGATCAGGTCGAGAATGCTACTACGAGCCTCGTCGCAGGTACGAGGATGGACTCGGGGAAGGACCTGCATGTGTTCCGCTGCCCGACCGCATGAGAGAGGCTGCTTGGATTGCGGCTGCTTCTGGCCTGCGTTGGTGGGAGTGGTGGCGCATGGAGAAGTTGGAGAGGTGGCGCATGAGTTCAGTCCTACAGCACGTTTGTCGCGGAGAGGAAATGGGCGAAAGGAAGTCTGTCATCTGTAGGGAGCACACGCTTCGATGGCGCAAGCGGCGTGAGGTTCTCAAATGCGGTCTTTTCGACAATGAACACGGTCTCGCCACACATCCGAGCATGAACCTGAGCTTACCGAGAACATGGCCGCGAGCCATCAGGTACCGTCCTGTGTGGCTTCGTGCTTGTGCTCTTTCGTGTTGTAAGATCCCCGTTCACAGACGCAATGAAATCTACGAACGAATGAGGGAAGTTTACCATTAGGGTTCGATAAGGCTGAAGCCCGGAATCCCCAAGCGATGAGACGGAGCTCGCGACGAGAAAGGAGATGGCTTCCAATGCGGAGGATCTACCTGATGCGAAAGCTCCATCAGAGGCGTCATCGTCAGCGGCGACAATCAGAAGCGACGTCGTATCGCCATCTCGCTTACCCTGTCCGGAATCCTTTGACCGTGACACGCGAGGATAGAAGTTCCGATTGATATGAGGCATGGGATACATATACTGTAGCGACGCAGAATTACTCCCATGCCGTGCGACGGAAGCAGAGACGAGAGATGAAGGATTTCCTCTCCACCTTGGTGTCAGCAGTCATCATCTCAAACGATGCGACGAAGATGGCCGCACAACAGATACTGTAATGATCGCTTGTATGAGAACACGCATGTACCGTAACGAGACAAGGTGAATAAGACCATATCACACGCATCGACACCGGACCACGTGAGGAAGGCATATACTGTCGTGGTACCTGACGCGAAGGAATGATAATGATGAGGCGGCCTCTGCTCTCTGCGCCCCTTTGCACAAACAGAACCCGTCATCTCGCTTGACAAGGTCATCACGGAATGTCCTTTCATCGCTCGTGCTGCGGCCGCTGTCCTTGCTGCTGACAGGGCTGAAAGACATCCCAATCCTGCGGTGTCACCATTGGGAGAAGGGGGGGACATCATGTCCTGTACCGTCGTATCATCGGTGACAGGCAGCTCCAAGTCAGGCGACCATCAGCATTGATTGATCTATTAGTCGCAGTGACAGCAGCGGCGGGATGGCGCCACCTCCGCTAATAACAGGTAGGTCCAGTACGCTACATGTCGGTGACATTGACCCACTTGGTGATGAACAGGATCGGGCTGTACGAGTATGTACTTTTGTCAATAATGTAGCAGCTGGGGGAGGAGGAGAAGGAGTAGGAGGACTGATGCTGACACAGAAATGACATAAATGTACCTGTAACATTACCCAGGGAACGACAGCTTTCCGTCTCTCACCGCCCGGAACGCCTGCATGAACCTGCGCGGAGGGAAAGAGCCCAGGACAGTACAAGATACTGCATATATTGAATACTGCATATATCACACTGCATAAGCACTTACTGTATGAAACTACAATCCAATCCATTGAGAGGTATCATCATCATCGTCAGTGCCCACCCAGCGAAGATACACCGTTCGCATGGAGAACAAAAAAACAGGGGAGCGAACCATGCGACGAACACCCCTCCAGCTCCTCCTCCTGGTCCGCCGACGCTTGTCGCGCGAGCGCGCACGCGACAAAAGGCGCCATGTCTCAAATTCATCTCCGGTCGAGCATTTCGTGCGACCAGCTTGTTGATTAGTCCGAGAAACATCGATCCAATCGCGACTCGCAGGGCAGCAGGAATTTATCCACACGTATGGGGCGCGGGCGCTCTCTCTAGGCTCTAGAATTCTGTGCTAAAAATGATTACGTGCGTGATCCTCCCCGTGCAAACAATTAATCTATCTGATCCCTCGCTCATCGTCGATCGCATTGTTGGGAAGGAAGGAAAGAAGCGCCTTATCATCGGAGCGTCCGCCTGATCCGTGGATGTTGAAGCCGAGCGAAATGGGGGAGTGGAGGACTACTGGGGAAGGTTCCATGCGAAACCTCGTGATACATTTATTTTATTATCTCCTAATGACGATCAGCGGGCCCCGGAGGAAGGAAGAAATGGGAGGCGAGATGATTGACGATGCCAGTTGCGCGCAGAGAAGTCGAGCTCTTCTTTTCTCAACCCGCACAATCCGCTGCGAATGGCTGACGGAATGCTGCTGACGGCAGAGGATGTGAAACGACGCCATGCGTCATCCACTCCGTACAGAATTCCAGAATGAGACGCGATGGTCAGAGGACCACCACACACTGCCCCGTAGAGATAAAATGAGGATCCGGATCCGAGCGGACGGGTCGTCTTTCCTCCGTTACGGACCCGCCGCGAGCTCGGAATATTAACACCCGATACTATTGAATATGAGCATCGGAGAACGAGGCATCTCCGGATGCGGCTGTTCACGATGTTTACGATCCAGGGGCGCGAGTGTTTCAGGTATTCTCATGTACGAGACTTTGCCGTCATTGTAAGCTTCATGATGAGACGGGCGAAGCAGGCAGGCGGATATGGTCGAGGTTGGTGCGCGGCTCGTATAACGTTTGTGGTGAATGCTGCATGTTGTCACATCACGGAGGAACTACGGGAACATGTTCGCGCTAAAGGACCCGACATCGACATGGTGGTGCCTCACCTGTCATGTCAGGTACCGTCGTCGTCGTCGTCGCCGCCTGATGACGACCGGGTATACCAATGAACTAGCCTGAGAGGACGAAGTCTATCCAACTTTGGTATATATTCCCGGACTGGTTCTTTTCTGGTGCGCTTTTCTGGGTCTGGGAGTCTCGAGGAGCTGTGTGTGTTGGTGGTGAAATCATCGACGATGATGGGAAGAAGGTGGTGGTGATTGCGCTGTTGAGGTGGTGTTCATGGTAAAAAGTCACATGCGTGATTGATGATTCGTGATGGATGATGGTAGTGGGTGTGACGAACACGAGGACATGGCCTCTCCGACGAAACTAGTCGAGGACGTGGCCATGATTGGTCGCCCATGAAATCCCGAGCCAGCCGGACGGACTTGGAAATCAATCCTCACTGGAAAGCAATTTTTTTACCTCTCACGAGGCAGTGGTTAGTTTAGTACATTTCGTTTCAGTGGCAACTCACGGGAGAAAGAGTTTGCGATATACGATACGGAGATCATCGTGACATCTACGCCGCACGGTAGTGAGGTGCCCAACAGGACGGCATGCACCGCAACCGATCCAATGTCCATCGAACGACGATACGATCGCTGCAGGGTCTCTCCAGTAGCGGTCGCAATTGAAAAGCGAGAAACCAATCTATACGAAACTCCCAAGCGAACAACACTTTTCGCCCCTGAAAATGCGGCTCTTCCCTCCAACGATGGATTGATGATCGAGAGTCCGCCCATGGTGACCTGCAGGTGTACAGTAGCGTCTAGTTGGGAGTGAGACCTGACGGGTCCAGTAGTGTGTTGTCGCTGCAGGTACGTCTGTTTCTCATCACCTAAATTTCCAACCTCCCTGCGATTCGTCGAGGACATAAACTTTGTGCCTTCCTTCAGACAAATTCTATGGGTCATGTGATTGATATGGCCTTGCATACAAGCGAGGGATCGAGCCGTCCGCTTGGCCTGGGGCAGTTCGGCGGGCATGGCAAGCGAGCAGGCGGGCGTGGCAAGCGGGCTGTTCGGTCGCAGCCCGGTCTTTGCTGGGAAGGTCCGTTTGGTGAAATTCTCCGGTGGGCGCACCGCTAGGTGTGAGTGTACAGGAGTAGTGGCACGTAATTGACAGGAAAGAAGGCTTGAAAAACCGCCTTCAGACATTGATCACAATGCACATCGAGAATGGATCCGTGTGAACCAGGGCAATCCATGGCATGTACAGTACATACTAGGCATGTTTGTATGGCGGTCGATCGGTTGGAGGACCGACATAATAAGCGGAGACATGTGCTTTTTCATCATCGCTCAGCTAGGACGTGTCTGGCCATCATTGGTCGTGATTTGAGCGCTCGTATGCATACAAAGAATTCCTACAGGACTGACTTGCAATCGTTCCTCTATTGGCTATGCGGAGGAGGGACATCTGGGGAACTTGCATCATGGCAGGTATCTCGTACAGAACCAACACACAGGTATTTCACGAATCTTGTCGACAATGTATCCGCCTAGGTAGCGTCGCAAGAAGAGCACTCCCCAATCTTGGAAGTAGTGCACTCACGGCGCAACTCGTCTAGACGTCTCGCATTTCCCTAAAACACAGCATCGTTCCGTTCGTTCGCGCTTATTGTCATGGAAGGCATCATCACGGGAGGTATCTAGGCGGTGAGCGGTATCTTCGTACCCAGACGACCATCGCCTCGCATCTTCTCACCTATACGATGCAAGTCGCAAGTGTCCCATCTGTCTAATCGTTCCCGGCAGTTCGTAGCGGCGATTGGTGCACTTTCCCAATTTCTCTTTCCGGAAGCAGCACCATTGCGGTAGAGATCTTTTGCTTCTGTAGGACGCAAGACGAAGGACCAGAGCCAACGAAAGCGCCCGAAGCTCGCGGAGAACGCCCCTCCTCCTCGGAGCGGGAAAGAGCACGGGAGAGAATTTTATCGTGTGCTGTACCGCCGGTGGCAATCCAACTGTTTCTGCGTCTGCGCCTGCGTCTGCATTGCATTGCATCTTGCATGACGATGGTGAGACGACGAACAGAAAGCGAAACAGGTGCAAGTGTGCAGTAGTCGAAAGAAGGCGCACATGGTGGTGAAGGGTGGCGGTGCGGTCGTGTCGGTACCTACAGTAGCGCCTGCGACGGTCTGGGGGCCAAGCTTGTCGCTGTTTTGGACTCTCGTTGGTGGCCGTGCGTCTTTGCATTGGCGAGCTCTCGTCTCATCAGCTACCGGGCAGAGAGTGGGAAACCTGGCAGTTCGGGCCTTTTGGCCGGACGATGAGATTACAGTGCAGTATCTGTGATGATGGGCTTACACGCGACCGCCGAGTAGTTTATGTAGAGCTGGACGTTGGCGGTCTGCATGCATGGATCGTGGCAGCAGTTCGCAGATAGCACGGTATGAAAGCGTCAAAGTGGAAACATTTCCCAAGTAGACTATGCTTCATTGTCTCGTATCAATTATTCCAAGTACCATCACTCCTTACAAAAAAGCTACTGCGGTCACAACGAAACCTCCAGCCTCAAAGGAGAGAAATCTCTACGGTTCCTTCCGGAGTAATCATCCCCAAGCCCTCAATTGCCAAGAATCTCCTTCATTCCATCTCTCTCGTCGCCTGAGCAGCAGTCCAGATCCCTCCCAGATCCCTCTTTGCCCCGCACTTGACGGAGTCCGCTCTAGGCGGACGACACAACGGCCTCAACGGTCAGCCTTAAGGAAGCAAGACGCAATTTCGTGACCCGTAACCGAGATCGAGCATCGTCCGAGAATCTTTCCGAAATCTGGAGAGATTGATTGATCGTGAGATTGATTAATTGCGAAGTCGCGGGATGCGATCCTTCGCTCGCTCGCTCGCTCGCCTGTTGTGCTTCGGTTCGCCATCGTATCGCGTCTTTAATATATCTGTCGTGCTGTACATTGCGACACCGCTCGCGTAAGGAAGACACAATCACAGCGGACCATCCTGTGCCACTCCTAGTCCACAGCCTCGCGGAACCAGCGCCTCCCGTCTCTACGCCTCTCCGCCGCCACATCGTCCTGCCTCTCCTTCGCTTCCGCAAAGGCGAGTCTGATGAGAAGCCCCATCTGTATCGTTGATCTTCACGAGATCACCACACTGCATGCATGTATATCAGGGAGGTACGCATGTATCCACATGTATCGTAGATAAGCAGTTGTCTTTGAGCCTCATCGTTGGATGGTGCTAGACCGGGAGTGGTCAGTGTCGCGCCCGAGACTGGCCGGAAGAGAGATCGAAATGAATTTGATGCAATCGCATTGCTTCTTCCGCGACCCTGACGACGTGCGTATAATCGAAGGGCTTTATCCGGAGAGCCTGCGAAGAAGCATCACGAACACACAGATCTCTCACATTGGGACTCATCACCGACCGAAAAGAAACTACCCGACCCTCGCTTAAAATTGCGAGCAATGCTTGTCTTCGGACCTCTCCATGATACCGCCCTTCCTAAACGTCTCATTAAAAGAGGCATTGGACACGGAATCCATCGGAACTCAATCGCCACGAGAAGTCTTCACATTCTCCATCAGGCAGAGCACGTGAGAGCGGGTGCCCTCCACAGTTTCCTCCAATTCCCTCCACAGGTACCTACCAAAGCGGTATAGCGTACGACGCAAGAAGCGGGGATGGCGTTATGATGCTAGTCCCGTTGGACCGTTTAGTCGCTTTCTAGGCGTCATGCGTGGGCCGTCTGTCCGGTCGGGGATCTTGGTTGTGTACTCGTGGTCCAGTTAGTATGTGCCCACGCGGAACCGATCGATGGTCTCACCTGCCAGGCAGGGACGGCGGCCTTCACCTGGGCATGGCGATGTCTCGAAGATCCGGGATTCTGCATCTTGGAACCGTTTGAAGAGAAGAGAGGGGAAGGGCAACGATCTCTTCGAGGGAAAGGTGCAACACAGGGAGGTGATGTCTCGGAGAGTTTGCCGGAATCCTTATCCCATGCAGGCGTATGGGTGGATTTCCCGCGTGTGCCTCTCTCCCATGCTCGTTCTCGCGTTATCATCATTGCATGTATGCATGTATCTAGTAGACGACGACGACGCAAGGGATCTCACCACCAGGCGTTCCAAAGAGAACAAAAAAAGAACAGCATTATCATCCGCTATCCCACGGAGAGGGTGTCCCGTCTCTCGATTTATCGATAATTTTCTCCGAAGACCCACTCCACGCACCCAGTCTTACTGGTCGACACACGCGTCGCACTACGGATCGCTCCCATCGCCAGAATCGCGCGCCACGCTGGGCCGCCCCAATCTGTTCAGGGACGGCGTCGCGAAAGGCGACTATCGAGATCCGGTCTTGCGCCGGACTGAGATGGGATTTCATGTCACGCGTGGGTGTTTCTGGTGCGGGGGGAGATTCGAGAGCGCATCGGCTCGAGAGTCCTTTCCTTCTTCTGAAGAAAGAAGAGAAAGATTGGCAGTACACTATCTGTATAGGTATGTATCACAAGATAGGGAGGAAGAGGCACGGAATGAAAAGCAAATAGAACTTGGATGAAGTGAACAGCCTCGTTCTCTTTTCCGACATTTGTGAGTCGCGGTGCTGTACATGCAGTGGCAGAGCGCAAAATAGAAGCGAGGATGCTATTTTCCTCGACCGTGCCTCTCGGATTGCACAGTGTAATCGTGGCGTATGCGGGCATGTATATATGTCTGCGGCGTAGCCAGGGCGGTTACGTGCAGAAATCCTCTCTTTTGGCCTTTTTTTTTCCTTTGCGCAACCCTTATCCCACCACAGCGGCGATCGATCTTGTGCGCATCGGATCTCCATGGGTCTTCGTCTTGCCTTGAGATTGTGGCGTCATTGGACTGGTTTCAGTTGCGGCGTGGACAAATTCAGGCGCAGGGATTTCATACCAGGATAGTGCAGGCAGGCAGGCAGGTACTGTGCTTGTGATTGATGATAAGCCGAAGCCGGGTTGTTCGGGATCACGGGACGCATTGTTTCCGTTCATTCCAGGTTTCATCCGATTATCTCCGTGCTTCTTTTACCACCGTCGTCTTTTTTTACTAGACAGATGTAATCATCGTCATGGCCATTTCGCTATGATGCTCATTCGGTCCGTGGTAAGAATCCAAGCAGACCAATCCCAAGGTCTCCAGCAAAGAAAAAAAAAATACCACACAGAAGTGGATGACGACAGTCGCAATTTCCTTCAGACGCCGGCGGGCGTCAGCAATCCTGGGAGAGTGTGGAGAATCCCTGTTTTGTTCACTCCAAGGTTGAGTATTCCCAACTTCATCATCATCCCGGTACGAGTTCACTGTACATCCGGCGAGATGGGCGACCCCTGTGGATTTCCAATGTCCATCGTGTCTTGCTTTCCAAGACGGGCCTCGTCATCACTATTATCATTACCATTGAAAGCGGGATCTTCCGTCTGGGCATTTCAATAGATCATCAGGTAGGGATCTTGATACGCTGACCGGTCGACCGACCGATAGGAAACCCCGGGAGCCAAGTGTGCTGATACTGCGGCAACTGCTCTCCCATCGGGCTTGGCATATTCACCTCTCTCTCGCGACGGTCGCCGATGCCTCCATCGTTGTCATCCCGGGCAGCTCGGGCACGATCACTGTCGCGATCCATCAGAAGGAATGTGAAAGGATAAATTTAGATAGACATTGGGCTGCGAGTGCAAGCAGGCCAAGGCAGGTACGGGTCATGGATTGTAAGCTGTGTGCCGGGCGGTGTCGACGATCCTCCATGCCTGTTCCTTGTCCTGGTCATCATCACCGCAGTGATCTTCACCAGTCGTCGTCGTCGTCATCGTCAGCACAATATCCATCAGAAGTTTACGCCTGGTGTATATGTGGTGAAACGACTGCCACACACCCTCACACATTCACACGGTGGTGATACATCGGTCATGCCGTCACACATATACAGGAATAAACCCAGGCCGCACACGGCTTTCGTATAAGGCTGGATGCGGATATCCGTGCGCTTCCTGTGGTATCGCATTCCACGTGGGTGAAATGAGGGAGTCATCATCATCATCATCGTCATCATCAATGGCGCCTCTTTCACGATGATCACCGACCAAGCCGTCACAACGGGCGGCAGCAGCACCTCTGCCTCACTCTGTGTATCTCCAAGCCCCAAGCTCCAGCTCCTCCGGGCGGCGCGTGTATGTATGTGTATGTATACATCCAGGTACATACAGCACACATCCAGGAGGTAGTCGACACGCCATCACACCACCGATACCGATACCAACAAAAGAACAGACGGCCAGGAAGAAAAAAGAGTCGTCCGCCTGACTGATGTAATCCGCGAGGTGGACGCCCGCCCTGGCGGCCGGCCAAATCTCCTCCTGCTCGAGCTGGACGCTGGCTAGCCCTAACGCGGGACATTGTACCTGGTGGGCCTGGAACTGCGGCCGGGGCGGGCGCGGAGAGGGAAAAGTTTAAATTTAGTATATGTGTATGCACTGGAGAGGGAATGTGTGTGTGGATGTGTGTGTGTGTAAGACCTTTTCGCCAAGGTATGGCACGCGGCGAGAGAGAGAGAGCGAGGGACGGAGGGAGATATAGAGGTCAGATAGGTAGGGAGGGATCGATCATCGCGGCTGTGCTGCACACAACATGATTCCCGAAGGCCTGAATTTTCGTGATCATCGTGGGTGGCCTGAAGATAGCTGCGAAGGGGTGTAATAAAAGGGCAAGCTGCGAGAGGGCAGCCTGCCAATGGGTGTGGAGTTCCTTCCCTCTCTTCACCTTCATCCACATGGATGGACGCTGGAAGCTGGAAAAGACCGGTCGGTGAAATCCGCCCAACAGGCGGTGGTTGAGAGATGAGGAGGAGGAGGAGGAGGATGATGATGATGGCGGTATGACTTCACTCCGTTCCATAGCGAAATAGTAATTAATTCTTCATTCATCCTCGAAATGACCAATGTGGCCTCTTCAGCTGTTTGCGCGCGCACCTCATCGCGTTGCCATTCCATACGTATGTCGATATGTCTACACGTCCGTCTGACGGTAATTCCTCAAGGTGATGATGGTTGTACGTGAGACGAAATAAGGACTTCCCTGGTCGAGCTCCGGGCGAGAGTGCGTGCCCGAGGTACCTGCCTGGAGAGGATACATACATACTATAGTACAGTAGCCACCTAGCTAACTAGCTATACAGCAGATGGTCGTAATCTAGCAGCAGCAGCAAGCTGGAGTGCATATCTAGTAGGTGTGTGTGTGCAGGGCCCACGTACAGTAGTAGCACGAGAGTATCCTTGGAGAGAGACGGGGATTTAGGTACACATTTACCCACACACACACACACACATACACACCCCGAGTCAATTCTTTATTAGTATGACACTATATACTTGGTGACTATACTACTGTACATACCACCACCACATGTGCAGGTGACGGTCACGATGGCGATGGTGGTGGTGGTGGTGCTGGTGGTAGCGGTGGTGTGAGAGGAAGGAATAGAAGAAATCACACACTATTTCGTCTGTCTGTTTGTCTGCCTGACTTGCTGATGTATGTACTGTGTCTGTGTGTGTCTGTCACTGCTGCCGACGATCTCCGCCTGCACACTACCTCATCGGACTGCAAGGTGATGAATTCCGCCTACTCACTCACTCACACCACACACACACACATATTCGGCATCGAGGAAGAAATGTCAGAGACTGGTGGTCCATATACTCGTAAATACCCACCTCACCTCACCTCTCTCACCCTCGCGCCTGGCTCTCTGCTCGCTACCTCTACCACCGCCACCTCTCACCGGGCGGGCGCAAACCATTGCTCGCCTTCTCCACCCATCATCATCGTCATTGATCGTGAGAGGAAACACATCCCTCCATACGACTAACACCACCACTACAACAACAACAACAACAACATACCAACGAATATCCACGCACAGCAGGGAGGATACACACGCATCCCGGGTCAAAGTATCCGCCGACCGGCATTGCTCCTCCGCTGCATCGCATCGCACGTTGCCGGTCCCGCACCGACTTTCCTTTCACCACCTGCACCGCTCATCATTCACTGTTTGGGTGACTGTGTGAGTGTACGCTATACACGTACGCGCACACGCACACGCACACGCACCGCCATATACCACAGTTTACCTTTCTCTCTCCCTCGCCATCCCTCGCTCTTAACTCACGAACCCAACTGCTGCAACCATCTGACGACGAACCGGCACGTCAGCGCCAAACTCCTTCCTCTTTCCTCATCATCTACTTCCAACTTCTGACGACGCTCTCTTGGTTGAAGTAACTTCTACACGCATCGCCGTTGTCTCATTTACCAAACTCCTCCCCTCCTCCTCTCTCTCTCTCGTTTTCCCTCTCACGTTTTCGCCACGAGAGAAGACATCTTCTCAACACTCGACCTTGATTCGACGCCATATTGCAGTCTCGGCTTGCCTGTCGCATCCACCCTCCGATTCATCGGCATCTCCTCGATCGCTGCCCTTGTCTGTGACGACATCTCAACCGTCTCTCACCAGCGTCCACCGGACCGGACTCCTCTGGCCTTGACATCAGCAGCTTCTTTCTCGTGAACGGCCCACGAGTCGAGGCTCTTTCTATGGTACCTGACCGACTACCACACCTTCCTCCTGCACGCGTACACGAGAGATTACCTCGTCCCGTTACGACAACAAAAAACAACAATCCGGCGTCTACCGAACACACAGCCCGGCCCTTCGAATATAAATAAATCCTTACCGAGTAGAGACGGACTGATCGACATCATCACTACTGAGTCCGACTCAAGACCGGATCCCATTTGGACTGGCGTCTCTCTCACAATAAATCTCGAAACACATTCCTGACCATGGATCCAAATGCCACCAACGTCATGTTCGATTCGCCTTCATCGGAGGATCATCAGCAGCAGCAACAACAACATCACCGATCTCAACTCCGACGTCACACGTCTCTTCAATACTCAGCATCCTCGTCGGCGATCCTTCGATCCTCCAACTCACTCCATGCAGTCAAGGCCATGATCGCTGATCAGAAATCCTTCCTCCCACAGCGACATTCTTCGGATCACCGCCTATCGCTCGGTCGATCGAAATCTCGCGCGAATGTGCTTGTGACGCCCGAGGAGTACGAATCTCTTCCGCCATCGATACAGTAAGTTGGTCCTTTTACCATTCCACCTCATTCTGTCTGCATGTCTCTGAGCCACCACTTGCTCCCTGCATAACCTGCATACAATTCTATGCAAGTCCGTATGAAACACGTGCTCGGGATATTGCTTTTCCCTGGAGGAGCCCAGCTCCGTCATGCGTCATGCGAATTCCATTTTGTCGGAATCATCTCTCTGGTCCCGCGCCGAACTATCAACACATCGCGTCACACTAGTGCAGGCACACATCCAAGCCGCCTCGTCAATTTCGACCAGAGACTGCCGAGGACAGGCATCATTCTAGACGATCCCACCCTTGTCCTCGGGTCGTCATCCTTACCATACAGGAGCAACCGTTGACTGACGCATGCCACGCTTGTTAGGAAAAAATACTTCTCATCGGTTGAAAGACTGCGCATCGCTCAAGAGTCCGCCGCACAGAAGCGACGGAGACAAGTCCCTGGTGGAGAACCACGGTCGTACTCACGAGGTTCCATGGAACAGGTCAGCCCAACTCAGGTGCTTCCCAGTCTGTCATGCTCGTACTCATGCTCTTCCCTCCCACAGAACTCGACTTCCTTCGATTCACACCGGCATGCCGATGGCCTTGACGACATGACGCAGGCCTTGCGATTCTTGGCCCTGCCGGAAAAGGTCAAGCGATCACATCTCTCGATCGATGAGCTACATGCCCTCGCCGAAAATTGCGAGCGTGCATTAGCATCGCCGACCGCTACCAAACCGACAGACGAACTCTTTCAGAGAGCCTCCTCATCATCGGACCGTAGAACTGGCAGCGTAATGTCTTCCGCATACGGACGTTCATCTCGATGGGACGACGACGGTCATTCTATAGAAAAGGATGTCTTCGGCCTTGATTTTGAAGTTGACGCCAGCCAGCACGACATCACCTCTTCCGACATTGACTCTAACACCACTGCCGTCAACATCGACAACGACGACGCCGAAACCATGTACAAGCTTTACCCACACAATCGCCAAGGCTCGGTCAGCTCAATTTACAGCGCACTCCCTCCCGTCTCATCACCCAAAGATGCTACTTTCCGTCCGGATTCCTCCCGCCGGTCATTCTCACGGAAACAAGTCATGTCGTTGGCGCCTCTCCCTCTGCCGCCGCCATGCTTGACGCCTGCCGTCCCGCCTCTCCCCTCGCCCAACACCATGCGTACGTTGCAGAGTGCTGGTGCTCGCGTCTCGGAATCACCGCCTTCGGTTCGAAGCGGCAACTCCTCACCACAAGCTGCCACCAAGTACTACAAGGATGTTCGTGCTCGACAGAAGCTTCGAGATTATCTCTCCTCTCCGGAAGGTTTCGATGAGGCTCTCGAGTTTGGCTTCCCGCGTGAACGTGTCGAGCCTGGACGGCCGATCATCGTCCAAGATGCCAGCCGAGACATCAGCAGCGATGAGGATTCTACAGGGCGATCGAACGAGCATCGGAGTCATGACGATCGCCACAACAGTGGCCTCGTGGATGATACGGGTGACGACACCGACACTGCGACGGATTCACTCCACTCCCCTCGGACGCCTTCTTACTTCGATGACCACTTCGAGCACACTTCTTCCTCACACGATTCCGGAATCGCCCTCTCGTGCAACTCCGCCCACCACGCAACAAGCCCTCCGACGAGCAAGAGCTCGAGCGGGTCCTACCGCCCCGCCATCCGCAGCCTCTCCCCCGACATCGACGGCCGTCAGATGACCCTCCGCATGACCCTCACCCGCCCAGACCTCCGCGCACCGGAGGAAGACCTCTACGCCAAACTCTCCTCCACCACCAACACCACCACCAAACTCCAATCCCGCCGCTTCGTCCTCGTCCCGCAGTCCCAACCCACGACCTTCCCACCCCGCGTCGCCCCCGGCAGCAATCCCCTCCCCCGGGTCGAAAACCGCGAGAACCTCGACCCGCTCGCCCTCGAAGCGCTCCCCGTCTGTGACGACCATTCGGGCGCCCACGGGGCCTTTGCCGTGCCGTACCACCACCACCCCTATCACACCGCGCTCCCGCCGTCGACGAGGCACCTCCGCTCCTGCTCCTCCGAGACGGGATTCCGGAGGGTGTGGAAGACGCTCCGGAGTCGGTCGTGAGGAAAGACGGGGATAAAACACGATTGCGGGAGTGGGTGGGGAGGCGGCGAGAGTTTTGTCTGGCACATGCTCTTCTCTTCCTCCTTCTTCTTTGGACCCCAACGACGAGCTCGAACATCGACGAGGAAATTTCCTATTCTCCCCACCGCCGGGAGATATTCCGCCATCTTTTCCGTTTTCATCTCTTCGCCTCCGCGGAAAAGGCGTGGAAAGGGCCGCGAGATCCAACTACTCTACTCACTACTTTTTATTTCCTTTTACCCTTCGATTCGACTGTTTCTGTCTCGTGCTCACAACCTCGAGCCCTATCTCCCTTTTTGTTCCTTCTTTTTGGGGGCTGCACCGATGGCCTTCCCTTCGTTCCCTCGTCGGATCTTTCCTTTCTCTTCTTTTCTTTTCCTTTCCTTTCTCTTTTCCGGGCTCTGTTCGCTCCCGATGTATGCTATGCTTTTATGATGATACCCGTGTTCCTCTCTCTCCTCTCTCTCCCTCTTCTCTCATACTCTCTACATATGTATATATTTCTCTCTCACTCTCAATGTCCTCCCTTCAGGAGGAGAGAAAAGAGAAAAGAGGAAAGTTCCAACCTCGATGCTTGCTTGCTTCTGCGGCGGAAACGGAAAAATAATCGAACCTTCCTCGTCGAGATACTATCTTCTCTCTCTCTCTCTCTCTGTCCCGTCTCGAATGAATGGATGGATGAATGAATGAATAAAACGCCCGTAGAAAACCCTCCCTCCCTTCTTGAATTTCTTGCTTTCGTCCGTCCGTTCGATTTTTCCTCCATAGACTTTGAAATCTCAAAAGACACCGGAGAATCCACCCAAAGAGCGCGTTGACGGAGAATCTCCCTTGGCTTGTAAATATAGACACACGCATATATGTATATATGTACATGTATAGATATATGTATAGATATATGTATATCTCCCTCTCTCTCTCTCGTCGTCGTCATCCATCGACGTAGGGAGCAGCTCTCCACCGATCCCCGGGGGAGAGGAAAGTTTCTATTACTCTCCCGATCCCTCGACCTCCCCGTCTGTTACTTGGATGGGGTCCACCCGTGAGCCCCATCAGCGATGCGGATAGGTACGAGGTAGAGGAGAAAAAGAGACGAACGGACTGACATACAAACGGGGAGTCCCGATGATGCATGGACGGCCCTCCCCTCACCCCCCTCACCCCCCATATTTTCGACATGGGTACCGTCGTCATCGCGGTCGTCGTCGTAATCGTTGGGAGATTTACTCGGGTGTGGATACGTACATTCACACATACACATACACACGTGCATACACACATATATACATGCATACACATTGGACGGATCGCCCATCCATCTAGGACGGATTTCTTCCCTTCAGCCCGCCTGCCAGCCAGCCAGCCAGCCAGAGGTGGAAGTAAGGGAAGGGAGAGAGGAAGGAAGGAGAATTTCAAATCCAATCCAGGACAGGGTTTCCTCTGCTCCCCTTCTACCTCTATCCTCTCTCCCTATCCCTGCCTCTTCTCATTGTGTTTTCAAATTTCTCGAGAATGTATGAACGGACGGACGAACGAGCGAGCGAGCGAGCGAGCGAGCGAACGAACCGAATTGCCGAAATCAGGCGTCCGACTCATTTATCCGCAGCGACGCGCTCTTCCCCCTCCAAGTTTCCATTTCGATGATTTTGTTCCCTTCTATCCCCCGTCACTGCGGTGATAATGCAAAAGCCTCGTCTTCCGTCTCGCTCTGTCGCTCTTTTCGCCCCTTTTTTCTTGGGCTGCTGGAGGGGGAGCCTTTCGACACCGGGAAATCTCGTTCCGGGGAGGGGAACCTCGAGGACGGACACGCCCCCCCTCCTTTCGCACCGCGGATCGACTGACCCTGTTTCTTCTGCTAATTTCTTTTTGGCAACCTCCCATGCCGTCACCGTTGCTGGGGACGGAGAGTTCCGGGACGATTTTCCGGCGAGCAGGGGAGGGGCACCACGACCATCTCGCGAGCCCGGACCGGTTTCCTTGCCGACGCGGCGCGGGGATTCGTCCTCTCCGGGAAGAGAGAAGAGGGACGGGAAGGAAAAGAAAACCGTGGGTCGTGGGTGATTCTCGTGGCTCATAGGCTCTCGGGCAGAAGGCGACATCGCGGAGTGGAGATTTCTGTTGCGGAACTGGCTGGCGATCGGGAGGAATCGGTTTCCCATTCGCATTTCGAGACGCGGGTTGGCGGCCGGGGCATCGAGGAAGCTGGGTCGTAAAAGCCCGGAAAGTGTCGTGATGGCGAGTGGAGATCCGCTTGTTTATGAATCCGGGAAAGCATTTCTCTCCTCGTGCTTTCGAGGGCCTGTCTGGGTTGTTGTCATGGAGTTGTGACGGGCTCCTCCTTCTCCGGCAATCCATCCGGTCGTTGACAATGGTGATGATGATGGCGAAAGCAGCGACCATCCCCCTCATGACCCAACAGCAGCAGCAGTATAATCACCATCCTGCACTTCCCGCAACGCAGCCACATCCTGGATCTCCCCATCGAAGTCCCGCTCCGGCCATCCCTCGGGGAGTCTCTCGCCATAGGGCAGGAACCACTGGTTTTCGCAGGACCCGGGTTCGGTGCAGACCAGGTCGCATTTGCCGAAGACGCGGCAGTAGCATTCTTCCGCGGTGGGACAGGAGACAGCTTCTTGGCCGAAGAGAACTGGACGGCGAAGAAAATTAGTTGTCGTTCGTAATGAAGGGAGAGGCAGAAAGAAAAAAGCATGATGATGGAGGAGTGTGCGTCTTACTGTGCCAGATATACTCCATGATCCTGCCGCTGACGTTGTCCGGCAGATCCGTCTCGATCAACCACCTCCGGACCCTCTGATAGTCGCCGAGGGATCTCTGCAGGATGCGGTCCCTCGAGACGGCGAATTGCGAACAACAGCCGGCTCCCACGACCTCGGGGACCTCTTCGCCCGGGAACATGGCCTCAAAGGCGTGCTTGTAGAAGTAGGGCTTGACGTCCTGCATGAGGAATTTGGATCGGTCCGGGGCCGGGTCGTCGCCGTGTTCGAAGGGTCGGATCTCCGACGGACAGCCGTAGTGCCAGGCGCAGCGGAGGCTCACGTAGCCTTGGGAGTGGACGTAGGGGAGTTGCAGGTGGGAGAGCACGCGGGCGCCGTCGAAGAGGGCGTCGTCGTTGTGCCATTGGTATCGCTCGGCGTGGGAGAAGACAGAGATCGGTGGGAGGGAGTGGTAGTTGTCGATGAGGTACCTGTTTGGATTTGCAAAGTGGGATTGGTTAGGGATTTGTGTCTTCGATTGTCTCTTTGATCTCGAACCGTTCCTCTTGATAGCGAGGAAGAAGTCCGCGATGGTGGTGACTTACGTCAAGTATACCATCGCCTCATGGCCCTTGTTGACGGGCACGAAAACCTCCGCATTCAAATCGTCCGTGATGTAGCGGACGATGCTCCACGTCGGGAGGTTCGCCTCCAACCAGGAAGTATCGTCGGACTTGCGGCTGGCCACGACGAAGGTCACATTGGAGGAAGCGACGTCTCGAAGGTCTTCGCTGTACGCCGTGAATGTGGTCTGACTGCTAAAGGCGTCCGGGAAGATGGCTCGGATCCGACTGTGGGTCGTGTAGATGGAGGAGAGACTGATGATGAGCAAGAGGAGGGTGACGGTGGCGGCGAAGGACCAGCCGACTTGTTGGAGAGAGTTCCCGCGTTGTCGCATCGTTACGATGTTGAAGCTGAAGTTGACGACGTCGAGGTTGAAGTTCACGATGTTCAGGTTGAAGTAAGTTGACGATGTTGAGGTTGAAGTGATGATCGACAGACACAAAGAAGAAAGGAAAAGGTGGATTCAATCTTGCTGGAGGATGATGACCGACAACATATGGGTCGCGCCTGGCGATAAAAGGTGATGTTGGGCTGTGAGTTGATTACCCAGGTGACATAGGTATGTATGTATGTATGCATGTATGTATGTATATGCGAGGGACGACGACCACCGCCACTCTCATATCCCGCGCCAGAATGAATCAACGATGCCTAGGTATATCCTTCCTGAGACGAAAGCATCCTCGGAGTTTATCATTGCTATTATTTTTACCTGGATAGTCTCCGATTTGATCACTACTTGGATAGTCTCTGACGCTAGACCCCTTTGTTTGCTTGGATACAGCAGATAGCTAATCGTCACCGTGGAGGCATACGCGTCTATCAAGGTTGTCGGATGAATGCCCGGGTGGATAAGAATATGTTAATGATTCTCTCCCACGCCGCTAATAGTTACAGCAATTGACCGTCCATCCCACCACCAAATGCCCCGGGCGCAGCGACTGAGCCGCAATGCATGGCCCAGCAGCAGCGGCGGCAGCAGACGACATGCGCCGAACGCCTGTTCGTCCGCCCAATTGTAGTATTTATAGGGATGGAGATCGGACAGTGGATCCAAGCCCTTCTACAGTATATATATCTATATCTCCCAGCTCGATTCAAAGGCTCATGACCCGCCGATACATCTATAGCTAGAAGAGATACATATCCTGTTAGAACACGGTATTTTCCTTTATCACGTAACGAGAGAAATACAAACGGTCTCCGTATCTGGCGGAACTCGGGAGTGGGAGGATATACGAGATATGTGTATATGTTTAGAAAGAAGTAGGAAAGAGGAGGCGGAAACTAGGGCTATAATGGTGGCCCATGGACATGTCCTCTTTCTCAGCCCATGGACTGCGCCACGATGCTGATATGATCTACCAGATGGGATCTCCCACCATCGACGACGCTGATACAATATATACTTAGTAGGGAGTGGATGAGATGGGAATTTACGCCTGTCTCCACCACCGTGTCGACCTGATCCTGTGCCGCATCGAAGCGCGGGAGAAGCAATCGTCTCGGCACACGGAAAAAGTGTTGCTGGCTCGCTCCGATCCGTGATGAGCTCTCGTCATCATTGGAAAGAGAGAAAGGAAACGACAGCGGGCGGTGACGACGACGGTAGCGATAGCAGTTCTCGTCCGATCTCCGGTCCCTCTGTCCCACAGACTCACAATCTTGGAGAGACACAGACGATGCGCTTGAACCGCCGCGGAGATGGACAGGCCTGTCGATGGAAGAGGCGTCATCGCTTGGGGAGGGAAGAGGACGTCTAGAGAGGACGTTTGAGGGGGACAATGGATGGCAGACGAGGTTAGAGGCGCTGCTTCATCATCATCCGCACTATCCATCATCTTCGCATGACATTATAACCCATAGATATGTCGTATCGCGAGGCGTGCACAGTAAATGTCTGAAGCTGTGCGGTTCTCCCCGACTCATTTCGCGGTCAAGTCAAGTCACGTCAGTCACACATGCGTCGTCGTCGTCGTCGTCGTCGTCGTCGTCGTTGTGTACCGCACGAGTTCAGGCACGCACGTTCAATGGCGTCTTTCCCACGACACATGATACTATCTTAGATACTACCTTGTACGGGCCTGCCCGACCGTCACCAGAGAGCTGATACTCATCAGCGGATTTAGTTTTTTTTCCCTCTGCTCGGTGGCCCAAGTTCGCCTTGACGGTCCTGTCATCCATCTATCACGTCCTACCTATCTGCTCTCGTGTGGGGTGGCGCGAACGACTACACATGGGACACTTTTTATCGGACCGAACCTGCGATCACTCGAGGGACGACGGGTGTTGGAAGATATCAGCCTCGCAAACCATTTCATGTGAAAGGCAAGAGTCGAGAGTCGACAAAACCAACATAGATGTCTCATCTCTCTTGTGATACCGCACAGTCACGATAGCCTGTGAAGATCATCGGGGCGGAGAAAGTGACCGACCTCGACAAAACCCACGTCTCCGCCCCGATGAATTACTGCAAAACAACCTTTTCGCTCCTACATACCAAGCAACGATGGACTATCCCGTGGCGACGGGTGACACATTGCGACAGCTTTGCGATCGCAGAAGTGTGGTATGGAGCATCCCGTGATCAAGCGAGGTCTTCGAATCATCGTGATTCGAGCTCCATGAGCGATTCAGCGAGTTAGGCGTCGTCGTCATCGTCGCCTACTACTACACTGTATTCACGCGTGTGACCTGAACGTTCATCTTCAGCGCTTCCCGCTTCTCTTCTTCCACCGGCGCTGTGAGGCTGACCTGCTCCTCCGAGCTTGACGTATGATCGACAGCCTCAGCCTTGATGGAGTGCTTCGAGGCCTTGATCTTCTTCTCCAATTCCGCGGCGGTCATGGCGTCCTCGTCATGCCGGACGACGCTCCGTATGGCGGATGCCAGAACCAAAATGTCCTCGTACATGCTGACGGATTGCTCCAGCTTGTCGGTGCCGCTTCCCAAAGCGGTGCAGAGGGACAAAACGCTAAGGTTGACCGCAAATAGCAACGTCAGGAACGATGCGGCGAAGACCATCAGATACGAGAAGCCCCACTCGTAGTCTTTCGTCGGCATGCATTTGTTGTTCACCCCGAGGTAAGATGAGTTGAGCGCGGCGCCGCCGAGGGACCAGTAGCGCTCGGTGACTCCTCCAGAGAAGAAATGATTGTCGGTCCCCATTATGAAATCGAGGAAATATTGCCCCACCAAGCGGCCATCGAGTGCAATGTCGAGGGGCAGGCTCACAAGTTCGTACGAGCTGTTGAATAGGGTGATATTGCTATCGATGTCGACTCGAGGGAAACCACTTTGCCGAAAAACAGCCTTGAGAGAGCACCTGGCACCGTCGTATGCACCCTTGGATTCATCGTAACAAGCCGCGGTCGCAACTTCTCGGGGGCGCCCAGAAAATACCTCAGAGGCGACGTTCCCATCCACAAAATAGTCCTCTATTGCAGACGCGAGTTTCTCATGTGCCTTCCGATCTAAGTCTTGTCATCAGCCTCCGGATGTGTTGGCGGCCTTAGCTCGCGACTTACAGGCGAAGATAGTCTGGTTCCATGCATCACCTTGCTGTGCTGCAATCATGGGGGGCAGGCCGACACGAGGGCCGTCCACAAGGACCATCTGGGAGGTTGCGAGCTGCGAGGCTAGCACAAGGTCTCCGCCGGACAACTGTACGTAGGGGATCAAGCCGGCTTGATAACCCGTGACCAAGGACATCAGAGTCGGAAATGCAAGAATGTAGGCGAAGGTCAGGAGCATGGTGAACCAATTGAAGGAGCCATGCCGGATCAGCGCCCAAGTGCCCGACAAGGAGACCTTATCAAACGCCAAAGATGCATACAAAGGTGTTTTGACCCCCCACCTCTGTATATCATGCGCCAGTGTGCGACGGATGATTGGATATGCCCAGTATGCGATCAGGGCCTGTCCGCCGAATCCCACGACGAGATCCCAGGCGACGTCAATCGCTTTGGCTTGAGCATAGGTGAACCGCCCAAAAGCTAGGGTGATCCAGAGGGCCGTCTCTGGATTCCATTTGTTGGTGAGAACCGTATCGTCGCCGCTGTCCTGGACGCGCGCATCCGGCGTGCAGAAAAAATTGCTGTCATATGTGATGGTCTTGAAAGGTGCGAATCCGTAAAAGCCGACCAAGAAGGCCAGCGATGCGACAGTCAGTGCCCAAGGCGCAGACAACCGGACCGCACGCTTCCATAGCGCCTCTGTTCTGTCGTAGACAATCTTCATAGTTGCTTCCGGGCCTCCCTTGGTCGTGAGCAGTGTTCCAGATACGTAGACAGATTCAAGTTGCCTTTTCCGGGTGTCGCACCGCAAGAAAAATTCGATAAGGCGCACGGCGGACAAGCTGTCGACAAGATGTTGGTCATCTATCCTGCCTGTACCTCAAGGTCATTCCACGGCAGGAGACGCTGGGCGGAGCAGTGCGCCGAGCGGGGGCCGCGGGGGCCTAGATACGGCAGTTGATCGCTCAATACTGTACAGTTCATCTTGGATTGCGACTCTCTCTTCGTCGTGGAGGCATCTAACTGCAATCATCACCGCGTGGCCAGTGAGCGTGCAGCGGAACTATCGTGACACGGTGAGTACATGCAGCCTAAGCGTGATGTTCACGGGGCTAGAAGCGCCACTTCAGCCACCGCAAGATCGATAAATCCTCTCGGAAGGCGACAGCAAACCTGTGCGTCGACGTTGCGAACCGAACTGCGAACGAGTAGGAAGCGTATAGTGTAGCATAATGGATCATCTTTTGTCTTGTTGTACTGCTTTGCAAGTCTTGTCGTGTCGCCTTGCATCTTCTGTCACAGCAAAAGGGTAGCCCTACGAAGCTTTGGCTGACGGCACGCTGGTGGCCTTCACCGGTCGCCCGTCGCCCCTTTCCACGCTTTCACAAGATCGTCATTCAATTAAACCCTCGGCATTACGAACTGTCGTGCCCAGGTGAGAGCGGTCTCAGCTTGTACATGAAAGGCTTCCGTGATGCATGAAAAAGTCTTGACAATTATCTTGGGCGAGGCGCTGGACAACATCCGTCAAAAGCAAAGAGGATTTGGATGAGTCGACGTCTCGAGTTCTGTTGTGCCGGTTGTTCACTCCGGTGGATAGTTACACGCGCAGTGTAGATGAGTAGGCGCGACAGGGTGAGTAACACACAACGAATGAGATTGACCAGGAGGCAAAATTACCTTCGCTCGTGTACCGATTCAAAATCTGCCAACGCACAGAAGAGAGATGCGATAGATGAGAGTAACCATGCGTCGACATGAACCAATGGAAATTTTGCTTTTCGTATCGATACGCGCAGCGAATACAGCGCGCCAAATTTCCTCTCCCTCCAGCTCCCATCAACAGCCGCCACACACCGAGAATAATGGCAGCAGCACCGGTGCAAACGCCTATCAACCACTGCGACATGCTAAACTTGATCGCAGCGCCCCGCTCTCCTGTTCGATTCGTGTCTCCGTCTCGCAGATCTTCAGGTTCCGACTATCGGCCTCCTCACGGATTCGACACTTTACGAGGTTGATATCGACCCGGACGCTGGCCTGTGTACGCGGGACCTCGTCGCGGAGACGGTTGTTCGGTTTCGCCAGATCATTGATCAAGCGCTCGCGGCGGGCGCGCGTGAGGCTGCTCTCGGTCGGATCGGCGCTGAGTAGGTCCCTTCACATCTCATGCCTTCCAGCTCTTATGAGCAGAGCACGAAGACTATACGTGGAGCATGAAATCAGCCGGCGATCATTCAAGTGACGACGAGTGTTGATGAGTATCTCACATCCGCCACAATAGGCATGTGCAAAGGGCAAGACGTGCGACAGTCGAGAGATTTGTCGTGTCAAGTATCTCGATCGTGAGGACAGAAAAATGACCGGTCACGACAAACCCATGTTTCCACTCCGATGAGCTAGCGAAACCCACCTTTTCTGCACCACCAAGGAGGCGACTATGGCTCTTTACAACTGAGTAACGATAGGCTTCTTCCGTGGCGACGGGCGGCCTCTCGACCTCGTGATGAACAAATCTGGTACGCCGTTGATTTAATGATGTAATAAGCGGATGTCTCTACCATCCTACCACTATCTGCCAGCACTCCTCACGACGCAAATGATCCTTCCCGGACTCTCACACTCTTGATGATGACATGCGCGGGAGGCCATACAGTACGCATGAAGACCGTGCGCACGATCACCCAGCAGAGGAAGAGTTCGCCTATAGCGCATACTCCGTCGCATTCACGGTTTTTCTTGAGAAACTCCAGCCATGAGCGAGATTCACGAAAGTAATTCCAGATCACAACAGAGGTCTCCACGCCGTTTCTCACACCGTCTGAACCTAGATTGCACATGTCTCACAAACCCCCGGGCCCCTACAACGAACGCCTGGGGCAAACAACGACCAGGCGAAAGTCAAAAGCCCTCCGTCGAGCAAAAGAGGTGGAAGAGAAAAGTGACGCTAGCCACGACAACGCCGAACGGTCAATCGGATTCGCATCGCAACGCGCAACGCACAACGCACACGAGCCCGATGTAACGTGTGGAGAACGAGGCTACCGTAATTCACTAGGGAGTGCCGCGCCCCGGTATCTTTCTACTTTAGCACACCCACCAGAAGGGCGACGATGTCGGGAGTGGTGGAACCTATAGTCAGACATTTTCCACACATACCTTCTAGATCAGGCACGCGTGAATCAGAACCGGGCAATGACGAAGATCTTGACTTGGACCTCGACCCGATTGCTGGATGGGGTACAGTACCCTTACGACCGAGCAGTCAGGAACGGGTCCTGTGCCTCTTTTGCTTTTCCTTCTGATCTTGGTGTCGTATAGGTGAGGTGTTTGAATGCGAGACAGGTTGGGGATCTTCTGGCTTTTTTCACTGCGACGCTCTCGCTTCCGTCACTTCCTTCGCTGTGTTCCCTGCTTGGCCGCGCATGACTTCCTTTTCCCTCTTGGATTGATTACTCGATCTTGCTGATTTGGTATATCTTGGAAAAGTGGTCGGGTACCGCATCCCATTACGGGAGAGGACGGTCGCGTACAGGGTTGTTCCTGGATGAATGATTGTGCGCGCATCTCAGAGCAAGGGTCAGCCCGGCATCATATGCAGTGGTCATACAAAGGAACTGTTTGAGCAAACCTGCGCGTCGCGACGAGGAAGCTTTGCCCCCCAAACAACACTCGTCTTCTAACAAGTGGAAAACGAAGCCCGATATCAGCACGCTTGACCTTCAGATACCAACCACTCAACCACGATGGGTCTCCGAACCTTCATGCTGAGCCTGCTGGGCTCCAAATCCAACAAGAAAAATGCCTCTGCTGATTCCAACCGAACCGTTCCAAAGGCACCGACAGATGAATCCAAGCGCAAAAAGAAGTCCCGAATGAGCGAGTTCCCCATGCGATCCGAACCCGAATACACCACAAAGGCACGGCCAGCATCCAGTGCCGCGCTCAGCAGTGATCGCAAGCCCAAGCGCTTCTCCCTCGGCGGTCGTCTGAGCCGGAGGATCAGCAACTACACCATCGGCGACATCCGCAACAGCGGCGAAGCCGCACCGCCCTGCGTCCCGGCCATCCCGACACACTTCCAGCAACCCTCCCAAGGCCACCCGGCGACCGCCAAACTGCCCGCCAGCCGGCGCACGCACAGCAATCCCAAAAACCTCGTCCTCGCCAGCCACGGGTCCAGCCCAGGCGCCTCGCAACGGCAACAACAACAACGGCACAGCCGGCTCTGGCAATCCTCCAACCCGGAAGGACCCCACCAGCACGGCCAACAGCGCAGCCCCGTCAGCAGCCGCGACACGACGAGCGAACGTCTCCTCGGCAACAACGCCTCCCGCAGCACCCTCTCCGTCAGCCGCAACAACAGCAGCAACACCACCACCTCGGACTCCCTCGTCACAACCACCACCCACGACTCGCGCTCAACCAGCTGCTACATCCCGCGCAGCGCCGCCAAGGGCTTCCTCAACTCGACCTCGGGCGCCTCCGAGGAGGCCCAGCGGGAATGGCGGCGGTCGGCCATGCTCCTCGCTAGCGGCAGCGGCGGCATCATCGGCGGTGGCAGCAGCAGTGGCAGCAACGGCAGCAGTGGCAATCGGAGTCCAGACGAAGACAGAGTCCGTCTCACGGACGACCACACCCGCGAATGGGAGCATCTCAAGGCGAGAATGCCGGCGTTTGAAGCCCGGCCGGTGGTCTTGCTCGATGTGGACGAGGTGGATCGGAGGCTGGGGAGGTTCGGGGAGCGGTTCGATGCAGAGGAGGAGGAGGTGGAGTACAGGGAGATTCAAGCGGCGAGGATGCAGGCTCTGGCGGCGTTGGAACAGAGGATCTAGGAAGGGGTGGAGTTCTTTTGGCTGGTGCTGGTTGTGTCGGCCAGAATGTGTCCTTTCATGAGATTTGCGGATTCGTTTCTGTTTGGAGGTTCGGCGTCTTATGGGCTGGGAAAAGGGTGATTGTTTGATCTTGTGGTGTTTCTCGTGAGTGGGTAGTACGGGCGATGAGCGGGATTCATCTTGGAAGATATTGCACGCTTTCTACGTAGGTTTTGTAACGGCTGTCGAATGGAATTTTTTTCTCTTTTCAATAGCTTCATCTGCAGCAGAACTCTCAACAGGACGCTTTCTTGAATTTAAATTTGATCAATTGACACGGTAACAGATATCATCTCAAGCCAGGTCACAATGCTGTTGTTGGGTCTTCGAGGTCCAAGTTTCGCCGCGGGAGACGGAACGATTTCCGCCCGCGAATCTGTGCTCACGCGTCTGGCGCGAGTCGGCAACTTTTTTGGGCGATGAACCCTTTTTCGGATGATGAGAAACGCTGCCTGAGTGAGGACATCGCATATCGACCCATCATCCACCATGTCAGATAAATCAATAGTACCGCCGCCGCCGCCGGAGAATGCTGCCAAAGCGGCGGCCTCGACGGCACCGGCGGCGGCCACCACCACGGCCAATGCCACTGCGACCGCAACATCGGCTGCGAAGAAGCTCCCCGAGCAGAATCCGGCCTTGAAAGCAATGGGTTGGTGATTGCCTCGGGCGAGACAGGGATTTATTGAAGCGTTGCTGATGAAAGGATGAATTTCGCTACAGGTCTTCCTCGATTCCGGCTCCCGTCACGAAACTGGATGATCTTCTGGGCCATCACCGGCAGCATCGCCGGCGGCGTCGTCTACGACAAATGGCAGACCAAGCGCATGCGGGAGAAATGGTGCAACGTGGTCTCGCACCTTGCCGACGAGCCTCTGGACTCGAAAAACATGCCGCGCCGCCTCACCATCTACCTCGCCGCGCCGCCGGGGGACGGTCTCCGAAGCGCGAGGGAGCACTTCCATGCTTACATCAAGCCGGTCCTGGTCGCGGCTGCGATGGACTGGGATGTGGTGGAGGGACGGAAAGAGGGCGATGTCAGGCATAAGACGGCGGAGAAGATCCGGCGACGGAGGAGAAGGAATGGTGAAGGCGAGCCTTTGTCGCCCGAGGCGGCGGAGAAGGAGGCGGCTTCGGCGGAGTCGGTTCGTGCGAAGGCTCATGTTACGGACTATCCTGGCGTGGCAGGTGATATCATCATCGGAAGACATACGTGGATCGAGTACCTGCGGGGACTCCACGAGGGATACTTGGGACCGGTCGACGAACCTAAACCGGTGGAGCTCGCTGCTCCCGAGGCAGACGAAGCATCACAACATCACCCAGGCAACTCCTCGGTCGGAGACGCGGCAGTCAGCGCTGCGACGAAAATCATCAAGCCGGCGAAATCACCAGTAACATCGTTACAAACCGTCGTCGACGATGCCTCGTCACCATCACCAGACTCATCCTCTACAGAAACCACCGCCGACCCCACCGCCCAAACCGACGAAGAAAAGAAAAAAGCAGAAGAGGAGAAAAAGAAAGAAGAAGAGAAGCCGCAACGACGCTTCCCGCCGTCCTACATCCTCCCCGAAGATTACCACACCGCCAGCCTCTCCCCCTCCACCCCCGAAATCATCGGTCCCAGCATGGGAATCCGCTTCCCGCATCTCCTGGGCATCCGCAACACGCCCTTCCGGCTCTACCGCTTCTTCACCCGTCGCCACCTCGCCGACGACGTAGGCCGACAAGTGGCCACCGCGATCCTGGCCTCACACCGGCCATACAACACCTCGGTCGCCGCCGCAGATCCCAACAGCAACGCCATCGATGCCGCAGCGGAGACGGTTGTCCCGGAGCAGAAGACTGTGCTCGAATTCGAAGAGCGGGATTGGTGGAAGACGGTGAGGAAGGCCCGAGAGGAACACGAGGAGAGCGTCTGGATCGATCCTCTGGTCACGGATGATCGCGTCCTGGCTAGGATGCGCAAGTTTGAGATGTCGGCGGAGGACGAGGAGAGGGCGAAGAGGTTTGCGCTGGGGTTGGAGAAGCCGAAGATGTATGACTACGACGAGGAGAAGAAGGAGTGAGAGCGAGGTTAGAAGATGATGGGAGGATCGAAGCATGAGAGAGAGAGAGAGAGGCCTCGATTCCTGTCTCTGCTCGCCCTTTGTGCGCTTCGAATCTCGGCGTTTCTTGTACTATGGTGTTTTCCTATTTTTCGCCAAAAGCCCGCTCAGACTCTATGTCTACTCTTGACTTGTACAGTACTTTAGCATGAAGATATGTAATAGAAAGGATTGGTCGACACACTTCATGATCGTCTCCAGTGTGTTTTGCCCCAAGACGACGACCTTGGGCAACCCTTCATAGATCACTGCTTGCCTCTGTGGGTCTACCACTTCCGCTACGCCTCTCCAGAGTTGCAACAAGGAATTACTGGGCTATGATGTAAGTGACTGGAGTATGTAATAACCTCATTGCTCACTGTACGGGGCTCTAGGCCTTCCAATGCAGCAGGAAGATACATACATACCACAGACTGGAGGACTTTCAGCCCAGGGCCGTATCGGCCGGCGGTCTTAAGAAGGATTTAAGCCCTGGAGACGCTAGACCGGAACTGTCCCTTGCGAAACATGAAAGAATCCTCGTCTCATTGGCCAGCTCGTATAGATGGTCTGAGCAGTCCGGTGCACTCTGCCTCAGAATAGAAGTTTATTCGAAGCGCACGCCACAATCCACGACGACGACATCCGCTCCTCCTGATAAATGCTACTCTGCAGTCCCTGAGTGAGTGAGTGCGTGTCGCTCTAGTGCGGATGTGCATCCGGCACATGTATGTACAGTACGGTACTCGAGTCAAGTGACTGACCATCGCGGCAGTGCAGAAGGAGACTGGAGACATTACCGCAATCTACGTAAGCGGTGGACTGCCTGGTGTACAGTACTCGCGAGACCAGAAGGCATCAACATCAGACCGTACTCTCTCTCCTTAGCAGCCGCCCCACTAGGCATCCCTGAAGTATCATCGCCGTCCTGCTGCTCGCTGCTCCATCTGTCCGGTCCATCCCACGTTGTCTTACCGTCCTCCAAGCATCGAGCAAGCCTTTCTCACCGTCTGACTCGAATCGTTCTCGTCGTTAGGGTCCAACTCACTCGGCAGCGTGCTCTATCACCTCGATTATTCATCGATCCATGCGGACGTGATTGGACGCCATGAATGGCTCGACGGCCTTCCTCGCTGCGAGATCGACTGCGGCGGAAGACAATGCCGCGCTCGTCCGGCATTCACCGCCCAAGAAGGGCCTCCAGCAGAGGCGATATGCACCCAAGACTCGAACTGGTACTGCATCAGATATCCCCCCCCCCTTTTGAAACCTTCTTCATTCCGATCAGGGAGAGGTTTTTTATATTGGCAGTTTTCTAACCATTGTTTTCTCCTCTCTCATCAGGCTGTCTGACGTGTAAGATCCGTCGGGTCAAATGTGACGAAGCTCAACCTGCCTGTAACCGCTGCACGAGCACTGGCAGGAAATGCGATGGCTATATCTCGCCCGGCGAGCTCCCTTCGAAGGAGGAGCAACTACCCCTGACGGTCGCTCTCGTCAACGATGTCCCAACTAACGCTCTCGAACGGAGGACGTTTGATTTCTTCCGGACCCGCACCGCGCCCATCGTCTCGGGGTACTTTCAAGATACCGTCTGGGATCGAATCGTTTTACAGATGAGCCACAGCGAGCCGGCGGTGCGTCACGCCGTCAATGCTCTCGGCGCCATGCACGAGGAACGCTATCTCCGTACGAAGGCTGCCAAGGATGGCCTCGACGTTCAAGCGTTCCGGACGGATTTCCCTGTGCAGCAATATGTGAAATCTCTGAATGAGATGCAGGTCCTCCTCAAGGACAAGAGCAGCTCTCTCGACACGGTTCTGCTGTGTTCGCTCCTGTGTGCGCACTTTGAATGTCTACGAGAGACCTTTTTGCCTGCATTGCTTCACGTCGAAAATGCCATTTCCTTGCTTTACGAACAGAATGCGAGATTCGACCCCCGCAAGGTCAATCCCAGTCTCGTTCGAGCCGTGATGCGATTGGATCTCCAAGGTACATTGTATCTTACGATGCGGACACCAGGCCTCTCCTTTTACACCGCAGCGATAGACTCGATACTACCTCACAGCTTCCGAGACTTGACCCAAGCACGCGACCTCATCAATTCCTGGACCGGCCGCTTATACCACTTCACCCGCACCGTCGCCGACGGCTACAAATTCGGCGTTTCCGGCGCCAACGGCGTCCCCCTCGAGGAATACGCCAAAGCACAAGAACTCGAGCGGACCATGATCGAACTCGAGCGCCTCCTCTGGGACTTTCTGCACAAGCCCACCTCCCGTCTGACGGCGCGCGAACAGCTCGGCCTGGGCATGCTCCGCAGCCGCACCATCATCAACCGCATCATCGCCGCCACCTGTCTGCACACCGAAGCCAGCGCGTACGACCGCTTCCTGCCGGAATTCGAAGACGTCCTCACCATCTGCCAGCACATCATGGCCAGCGACTTCGACCATCGGCCCGCGCCCGGCGGCGACGACCACGAGGCCGACGACGCCGCCGCCCGCCGCCTGCTCTCCGTCAGCATGGACGAAGGACTCATCCACCCGCTCTGCGACATCGCCGCCGCCTGCCGCGACAGCCGCATCCGCCACCGCGCCCTCGACGCCCTCCGCCGCCTCCCCGTGGGCGAGGGCAATTGGCACATCGAGAGCACTATCCGCACATGCGAGATGTGCATCGAGTATGAGGAGCGCTCCAGCACGAGGGAATTCCCCTCCTGTGAGGATATACCCGAGTGGTGGCGCGTGCAGGGCTTGTCGTTTGACGGGTGGGAAACGCATGGGCCGATGCGGAAGGTCAAGGCGCAGTTCCGCACGAGGCCGAATGGGACGGATGGGGGGTGGGTGATATATGATGTGGTCATTGATTGGTATGTTTATCTTGTTCCCGACTTTCTTCCCGGTTTTTTCGTCGTTGGTCGCCGACTATGGGTCTCCGTTTTCTTGCTGACTTGCGTTCCCTTTCTCTTGCATTCTACAGCGTCAGCCCTCAGAATCCTTCCATTGGCAATCTTAATGCTGGACTCAGCACCTTGGAAATTCAGGAACATATCACCAATCGGAGGAAACCTCGGACCCTGGACTTTCCTGGCCCTTGAGTCGCGGTCAGCGATGAGTATTCTTTTGGTGGAGGAGGTATTAATTCAATGATCCTCTCTTCTCCCCTCTCGAAGGACGATGGACCGACGGACAACGAACGACATTTACGACTTGGATAATACATAATAGAATGATTCGGTACTCGAGTGCCAATCTGAAACCTGCAGCAATAACAATCACATACACGACGGGCCGTCCGGGAATGGGTTCGTCCAGAAATGCTTCAAAACGACTTCGTCGAACATGGAGTCCATTCCTTCGATTTGGATGGCGAGATTGCTCAGGAGAAGGGATACAGGACAAATGATTCGCTGAGTCGATTCCCAGTGACAAAGCCCTTCGCCCATCTGAATCGCATGCTTCGAGCGTTGAAGGCTTGGTCTCGTGTGAATACATGTCTATTTCCAACGACCACGATCGGAACCATCGCCATTGGGTATTTTGTCTGAATTTGGCAGAGACGCAGCCCGGAGCAACGAATCGCTCCCAATCCCAGCAACAGGAGCATACACGATCTCCGGTTTCCTCGGTCTCCAGCTTCACATCACAGCGGTCCGCGAATGCCATGCTCACTTCTGCGCCGGCACCGTCAGAGTATTTCCTGCGAAAGATTCGTCAGTCACCACCATCCAAGCCACCCCAACGTCAGCAGTTTGCAGATCATAGATAAACATACCTCCATCCGGATACAAAATCTGCTCGTTATAAAACACGCCGCCCTTCCCCGCGAGGAAAAGGATCGTCGCCGCCATGTCACTATCATGACCCTTGCGGCCCGCGGGATTGTAACTCCTCATATCCAGCGAAGATTTATTCTGCTCGTCACTCTCCCCCGCCGTCATCTCGCTCGGGAACACGCCCGGCGCGATGACGTTCACGCGGACCTTGACGTCCTTGAACATGGTCGCCAGCATCCGGCTGAGGTGCGTCGACGCCGCTTTCGAGCTGGCGTACGAGAATTGGCCCATGCTCGAGCCTTTCATGGCGCCGCTGATGGAGCTCACGTTCACAACCGAGGAGGAGTAGCCGGGCGTGACGGTGCCGCCGCGGGCGAGGAGGGGCAGGAAGGCCATGCTTGTGAAGTATTGGGCGGTGACGTTGGTCTGGAAGGTCGAGGCCCAAGCGTCATCGGTGGAGTTCAGGAAGTGCTTGGAGATGGCCTCGGCGGAGGAAGAATCCGGCTCGCCATTTTTGGCTGTGAAAAAAAGAATCGGAAAGATCGCTTGAGATTAGTTTCCGCATCCTCGTAGCTTTCGGATGCTCCGGCCGCGGCCACCTGCAAGGGGAGGAAACTCACCGAAAGAAGTCTTCTCGTCCCGCGCGATCCCCGCATTGTTCACGAGTAATTGAATCCCCTCGGGCTCCCTCTTCTCGATCTCCTCCGCAAGTCTGACACATCCCTCCTTCGTGCTGACATCGCCCGCGATCGCGAGGAGCCTCCCCTCGCCCTCGCCGTACAATCGCACCGTCTGGTCGAGCTTCTCCTGCCGACGCCCGGTGATGTAGACCTTTGCGCCGTTGGCGACGAGCGCCTGCGTGATCATGAGACCGATCCCCGTGGCGCCGCCGGTCACGACGGCCGTGACGTGGGAGACGTCGAAGAGGAGGCTGTTCCTGAGATCGGCGTTGGTGGATCGGCCGCCGCCGCTGCTGGAGGAGGAGGCCATGGTGCGGACGATGACCGGGAGCGGTTGGCTTGTGGTGACGGTTTTGATGAGTGAAGGAAGGTGGGATGGAGTGCGAAGGATTGTACGGAACATTTAGAGAAGATGGGAGTGGTTATTTTATTCTTCGTCTGCTACAAAGGTATCATTATTTGGAGTGCTTGATATATATGCACGATGGTGGTACCAGTGATGCGTTTCTTCGGCATTGGGGAGGATGATTGATGTATGACGTTGTTTTACGCGCTCCCGCGTCATCGTTCATCCGCGCGCCTGCCTGCGCTTTATACGCAGCATGATGCCCCCTATTGCCTATTCGTAATTCTACAACGACGAAATATTGAACTTTGATAATAAACGATCTCATTGATGGGAGGATCGCGCTTTACGATCGCTGGCCAAGTACTGAGGTGAAGCGAGGAATACCGACATTCCCAGGGAGTGGACAACATTGCAAGAATCAAACGATTATTCATTCAGGAGTCGATAGGAATAACACGACCCAAAAACGATAACCAACCCGGTAATCCACCAAAGTGATGCTCGACACGAGCAACACGTTTCCGTCATCGCATTCGTCCAAATCTCCCAGCCAGAGGATACCGCCAGAGGAAATTTCAGGGAGCAGGTGATCGATGATCAACCACCGTGAGAACAATAGGTTCCATCATCCGCGTCGTCGATTGCTGCGTCAGAACACGACCATACCAATCCGTACTGTCGAGGAGAATGACAAGTATCATCGGGACGCAGACCATGAGTCCATCCATCGTGATGTACCACTCCGGACGGAGATTGACATAGCCGGCCCAAGGTCGACTCGTCCTGAGGGCTTCCCGGATGAAAGCCAAGAGGACCAACACTGCGGTGACTTGTAATGCGATCATGCAATAGCGAAGCAATTGTAACGGGACCTTCGGGCGCTCCTTGAGATCGCTAGTCGTGAGTAAGTTTGTGAAACCAAAGCCGAGGAGTGACACGAGGAGCATGAACGTGCAGACGGCTTGGGTAGCCATGACTCGGAGATCGGCCTGATTCATCTCTTGCAGTGCTTCCCGCAGGCCTTCTGGCCCATCGGCGGATTCCGGAAGTCCTGTCAGTCCCATCACCATTTGACAACTAAAGATGCCTACAATCGCACTGGAAGCGAGGGCGAAATGCCAAAGAGAAGGCTTTCGTCCGGTATGGAACGAGATCAAGCCGGCTGCAGCGACCGGCATCATTGTACGGAGCATGTACGACACCGAAACGATTTCTCTAATGTCAAAAATCAGTGTTGGTTGCATTCGGTCGTCCCCTCCGGCTGAGAGCTAGGAGCGAAGTACGAGTCGGGCAGCGGATTGTACTCACAGGAGTTGGCAGGCGAACACCCACTTATCCACAGCCCAGGAAGCAGTGACGATTCTTGCAATGTAAGATGGGACATGCAGCGAACAGACGGCGATTACCAGAATCGGCCACTTCGAGGCACCAGTGTGAATTTTCTCCGCTTTGGGGCCCAAATCGCTCTTCCAGTACCTCCTCATGATCCCGCCTTTCCGGTTACAATCGACGAGGACCGCGACCTGAAAGCCCAATGCGATTACAAACACACACAGAAGAGCCACAATCGCCTAGTATGCGCCTTCATCTTGGACGTCCTGCTGCAGGAGTGCGAGACAATCTCGGTTTTCGACGGTCATTTGCTTAGGATCCGATAAAAGCCACCAGCAGTCGAGACCGGAGGCGGCGACCCAGCCGGCGTCGTCGAGGGCTTGGAGGGATGTGTTTGTCGGGGTGCTGAAGTTGGACGGAGAGAGGGTGAAGTTGGCGCTGCTGCTGTTGGACATTTTCCGAGCTTGAATAGCGAAAGGGGAATCCTTGTTGTTGTCGTTATTGCTGCTGCTGCTGCTGCTGCTGAACGTTCACGACGTGCACTGTCTGGTTGCGGGAGTTCGGATGATATCGCCTGTGCGAAGGGTAATTTATGTGTTGATGGTAATGGTCGTGCGAGCGGCTGTGGGATTGGTGGTCGTCGTGATGATGGACGCGGTGAAGGGCGTGCTGATGTTCGTGATAGTCATATATGCGCGTGAGAAATGAGAGGGACAGAGAGAAGAAAATACCGCAGCCTCCACAAGAAATTCTGGAGAAGAAATCTCGGGGCGAAACCAAGCGACGCTTGTGATTTGAGATGGAATATGAATGGAAACCCGTCTGTGCCTTCGTGTCCTCCTTCCCTCCTGCCTCGCACAGTTCGTAGCTGCTCGTCATCGAGGCAATCACCTACCGGGAATGCGGGATCCCTGTCAATGAAGCAGGATGTAGGAAAGCGCCATATAGCCAGACGATCATCCCATCTTGAACCAAGTAGAGGAAGAGAAGAAAGAATAAAAGAACGGGAACTGTCCAAAAATGGGGAAACCTGTACATTTTTACACATACAACAAAGACATACTCACAAACATGGAGAAAAAGGAAGATTCGCCATAGAAAAGTTTTGTTCACACCACCATCATCTCAGCCATCGTACTCCACCGATGTTCCATCCCATGCCCTCCAGAGACCACTGGAAAATTGATGCGTCTAGTATTGTCGCTTGAAAGGCGGGACAGCCTTGCACTCGTTCTCATCCAGCGTTGTGCCCACGACAGCCCGGTACTTGATGTCGACGGGGGTGTGGGGCTTCTTCTGCCAGGTGAGGGTGTGCTTCATCCAGTTCTCGTCGTCACGGTCAGGGAAATCCTCACGGGCGTGGGCACCACGGGATTCCTTGCGGACGGCGGCGGCTTCGGCGGTCTGGACGGCGCAGGTGAGCAGGTTGCGGAGCTCGAGGGTCTCGACGAGGTCGGAGTTCCAGATCATGCTGCGGTCCTTGATGCCGACTTGGCTGAAGGTCTGGTCGACCTCGTTGATCCTGTTGGAAAGAAAGACATGTTAGTGGACTGAATAAAAGTAAGGTTTAGAAAGGACATATGAAACTTACTTCTTGACACCCTGGTCGAGAGCCTCTTGGGTACGGAAGACAGAGACATCGCTCTGCATGGTCTTCTGCATGGCGCTGCGGATCTCGTTGGTGGACTTGGGGCCATCTGAGGTGCGGATCTTGTCGACGACACCGATGGACTCGGCACCGGCATCGCTCTGGGCCTCAGTGTGGGGCTGGTTCGGTGAGAAGTTGTCACGGATGGTGTGGCTGACGGCACGGCCGAAAACGACCAAGTCGAGGAGGGAGTTGGCGCCGAGACGGTTAGCACCGTGGACGGACACACAAGCGGCCTCACCACAGGCGAAGAGACCAGGGACGACCTTGTCCTTGCCCTGCTCGTCGACGGTCAGGACCTCACCGGTGTACTTGGTAGGGATACCACCCATGTTGTAGTGGACGGTGGGCAAGACGGGGATGGGCTGCTTGGTGACATCGACACCGGCAAAGATGGAGGCGGTCTCAGAAATACCGGGCAGACGCTCGTGGAGGATCTCGGCGGGCAAGTGAGAGAGCTGGAGGTAGATGTGGTCCTTCTCGGGACCGACACCACGACCCTCGCGGATCTCCATGGTCATGCTTCGGGAGACGACGTCACGCGAGGCCAAATCCTTGGCGGTAGGGGCGTAACGCTCCATGAATCGCTCACCCTCGCTGTTGAGGAGGTAACCACCCTCACCACGAGAACCCTCGGTGATCAAGCAACCAGCACCATAGATACCAGTAGGGTGGAACTGCACGAACTCGAGATCCTGGTTGGGAAGACCAGCACGAGCGACCATAGCCATACCGTCACCAGTGCAAGTGTGGGCAGATGTGCAAGAGAACCAAGCACGTCCGTATCCACCGGTAGCCAAGACGGTGTTGTGGGCGCGGAAACGGTGGAGAGTACCATCCTCCTGGTTGTAGGCGATGACACCCTTGCAAGCACCGTCCTCCATGATCAGGTCAATGGCGAAGAACTCGATGAAGTAGTTGGTGTTGTGTCGCAGGGATTGACCGTAGAGAGTGTGCAGAAGGGCGTGACCGGTACGGTCAGCGGCAGCGCAGCATCGGTATGCCTGACCACCCTGGCCGAACTCTCGTGACTGACCACCGAAGGCACGCTGGTAGATCTTGCCATCCTCGGTACGCGAGAAGGGACATCCGTAGTTCTCCAGCTCGTAGACGGATGCAGGAGCCTCACGGGTCATGTAGTGGATGGCATCCTGGTCGCCGAGCCAATCTGAACCCTTGACGGTATCGTACATGTGCCACCTCCAGTCATCCTTGTGCATGTTACCGAGCGCAGCGTTGATACCACCCTGGGCGGCGACAGTGTGTGATCGGGTCGGGAAGAGCTTTGAGATACAGGCGGTGTTGAAACCGGCCTCGGCGAGACCGAACGCAGCCCGGAGACCAGCACCACCGGCACCGATGACCAAGGCGTCGTACTCGTGGTCAACGACGGGGTACTTGCTGGTGATCAGACCGGAAGCCTCCTTGGCTCGTAGCGGCTGGTTGGTGATGATTCGGTTGGCGCGAGCGGTGCATGAGAAGTTTCGCGATGAAAGGTGGCGAGCGGAGCTGCGTCCAGCGAAGGACTTGAGACCGGCGGAAAACATGATGGCGACGACGACGACGGCAGCGATGCGCGTCGGTGTATTGTCGTGGGTGTGATGATACTGTTGATGTTGTTGCCGTTAACAACAATAGCGACGGTGGAGGGAGGAGTCGCCGAGGACAATGACACGCACCAAGAGAGTGGAGATGATGAAGAGGAAGAGATTGGAGATGGATGGACGACGAGGTGTGTGTGTGTAGACTTTCGCCGCAATCGCTCACAGTCCGCCAGACCAGCCAAAGGGTGCCCAGGTGTGTGTTTGTATGGGGACGGGAACGATAGTATGGAGAAAGGCGTGCAGTACAATGTGAGAGCGCAATGGGCAATGTGTGTGTGAGGGAAAAGTCTATGATGGACATGAACCCTTCTCGACCTGACCTGGCGGGAGACCCGCTTTTTCCGACCAATAGGCAATTGCTGAGGGTAAGCTCTCTTCTCTTTCCCGAGGCATTGGCTGTTCTTAGTCGTCTTCCCCTCTCCCCTATATTATTATATACATATACACTTCATGACATACCATTCACGGACGTATTTCACCTGAATGGTATATAACCTCCGTAAAGATCAGGAATTGACACATTCAAAATGCTCCTGATACTGGCATTATATGCGCTGATTCCGTTGTTTGGTATAGTGGTGGACGCACAGAAGTATACAGTGCACAATATCGAGTGCTCGGCTGAACTTCAAAGCGCATGACCCCGTCAACACCATCCGATGTAATAATACGTATCTTGTTCTGCACATGCAAGATCTGGCAGGCTATTCACCAAGTTCTATAGGCGGCACATACTCCAGAGATCTAGAAAGTTGAGATAGAGCTACACCCACTTCGCGCATTGCGATCTGTGGAGGATTGGCCCTTGGCGTCCGCCACTCGTGGCGAAAATGACCCTTCCATGTCGGCCTTTGACGACGAGACCTGATCTGCTCCAAGCGCGACAATGTCCCAGGAAGGGTTGGGCAGAAGCAGGCTGCTCCGGATGATTGCGATGCCTCAGCTTGAGGACATTGCCTCTTATGCATATACTCCAGAGACAGTCCTGTCATGCGTGCGCAGCACATGCTTTTCATGGCGGTCATCATCATTCGAAATCTTTGCTTGCATAGTAGATCTTGCTTGAGAATCGGGAATTCTGCGTGTTCAAAAAATATGTCGTTTTAGCCTCGATCGAGACGTTCCTGCACCTCTGTGGAAATCTCGCGGGCCGCGAGAGGTAGCGTCGATTCGGGATCGAGCCAATCAGATGGTTGTCAAGATGTGCTGACTGATCGTTGATCAGTTCGTTTTCGCAACGACTTGGAACAGAGATATCCGGTGCAACTGCATACTGGCCTTGTGGCTATTCTGGACCTGTGATTGTATGAGACTAATTTCTTCCGTATTTGAGTCCTTTGAACATCGCCAGAAGGGACAGTGCTTCGATGGGGCACCCTGCTGATTCGTGGAGTCGGATCTCTCAAATTGTGAAACACGAGTGATTCCGAATAGCTATGAATTGCAACAAGCCGAACCTTCCAATTCAAAGGGCCATTACTTACATACGAACCTGAACCAGCTCTTTTCCGCTGCCAGAAGACACAGCATGACGCAACGATATCGAACCGACAAAGACAAAGGCGTCGCCGAACTCGTCGAGCGATCCACGGAACATCCGCAACGTAACAGGCTCAATATCGTCGCAGAATTCCACTGCTCGATCTTCCAAGCTCACAACGTAGTCACAACCGTCTTATCAACATTGTGCATTTCCGGGCTGAAGCTGCAAGGTTTCCCCTTAGCCATCCGGAAACAATAGTCATAAATGCACTGATGGCTCGCAACACAACCTCGATCACGGCAGCGCAAGCCATTCACGCAAGACTTATACCGAGCTAAACGAAGCAAAGCCGACTTCTGATTCAAATCGAGCGGCACGTCGTGATCATCAGCACAGGACACGGCTTTGCAGACCGTCAAATGGAACCGGGCGCAGGGTCGAGGGTTGGCGGCTTGGAATCTCTCGAAAAGTACGTGGTTGCACTTCGGAATCGGCTCGTCGATACGCACGCCGTCCGAGTTGAAGTTCATAACACGAGAGAACGCGATTGTGGATTCTGTGCGCGCAGTCATCGTGGATGGACCCACTGGGACCGGCCGCAGCGGACCCTGTGGGGAGCTGGCGGCTCCTGCGTATGTGTTGGCCGAACGAGTCGGTGCAGGAGTCTGAGTCGGAACAGCGGCCGCAGGCACTGGCCTGGTCCCAAGCTTGGTCTCTCTGAACACCGTAGGGAACTTTATCGTTGTGAAACGCTCAGCAAGAGCCCGAAAACTCGGCTCAAATGGCGTCGCCTCAACAAGAGTGATGTCCGCGTTGCCGTCGTCGAAGCGACGCAGATAGGAGACATATCCACGATCTCCGGAGCCTGCGAGCATAACGCGTTTACAGTTGGGCGTCTTGTGGAACAGAGCGAGGCTTTCTGTGTACACATTGGCTTCATTGCGAATGGTAGAATCGCACCAGTATATGTACCTTTGATCTGGTTGTCCGCGGCCTCCTTGTCGCTACCCACGTCGATGAATACGGACAATGGCAGCGTCCGGTTGAAACCCACAAAGAAAAGGCGAGCCATCGCCGTGCTGTCAACGACTCGCGCGTTGTGGAAGGCTTGGGCCAAACCATGGAAGTTGGCATAGATATGGACAACCATGTCCCAATGTGCGTGGAATCCCAACTCGGGAACTGCCTGAAGGTATGTCTCCAAATCTTGTCGCAAGGCGTGTGCCGCTGCGCCTCCACCTTGGAGGCCGGCCTGAACAAACTTGTCGAGGAACTGGGGTTGGATTCATGCTGTCAGAGACGTGATGAAGGTACCCTCCATGGCATATTTTCAACTCACATGGGTGTTGTCCCCGTCAACGAGGAGAACAATAAATGGAGCCGCGTCCTACAGAACGCAAAAGCCTGGTCAGTACGAGGTGCTCGTCTTGCAGATTCGCGGCTATGCGATGCCAATGAGCTCACCATCTTCGTTTGTAACTGACGCTTATCCTCTTCAAGCTCCGCACGCTGCTGTAGAAGGGTTCTCTCATGCGCTTGTAAACGAGCGACCTCCAGATGAAGATCTTCCTCTATACGTTTCGTTTTCTCAAACTGCATGGCAAGATGCTGATGCACAAGTCAGTACCAGCGATACGTCTCGAGGAGGAATGACGCAGTGCCATCGTCCCGCAGCCAAGATCACATGAGTGTACCTTCATCACCTCCTGTCGCGTGTCGTCCAGCTTCATGAGCTGCGCGAGGCTCTCCGATAACTCCGGCAGAAGATACTCGGAGCCCCCATTTCGATTCGTCATTGCAGCGCTCACCACTCATTCACTTCGGCTGAAACGCAAAACAGAATTATTGAAATCGTGAGAATGGAATATGTTTTCATTTCCTTTCCGTTCAACGTCAAACATCACTTTGCCACGTCCATATGTTTGCGGCGCTGCTGCAGACCGTGCAACGAGACGTGCCACACGGCACGGCGTAGACGCTCGAAGCTGTATCGGCCTCGACAACGCATGCATCATGCAGGTCGTTGTGGGCGGCTTGTTGATGCCCGGTTGCGATGTATCTGACACCTTCTCCACGGCACATACATGACCGCAAATATGTCCCGAAAACTATTCTCGTCATATAGATGCCGCAGTTCTGACCGAATTGAACAAGAAGAGATCACTACATGTAAATCCGGAGTGAATGTTGGGAGTGAATATTCAGAATTCATGTCTGCTCTTTGGTTCTGATGAATAGTGATGATCGATTTTCTGGAAGTCAACGTATCAGTTGGGTGTCCGATTACCAGCAAGCTGTAGCCTTTAAAGTCTCGGAGATCAGCGCCGAGTGGGGCATGTAATCACCAGAGAAATGATTTCTTTTCCCAAAAGATCCACGATTTGACAAAAAAAAAGCTTTGTATGATCAATCTCCTGCAAACACATCCTATCCTCTAATATCCCATAATTATCCTCATCACAGCATCAATCGTCAGCAACAATGGCGGCGCCCACGGCTGCGGGCAATAAACCCAAGTCAATACTTATCATCAACCCTAACACCACCCAAGCCATGACCGATGCACTTCGACCTTTGATCGACTCCCTCAACATCAAAGATGTAAGTCTTGAACATATCGACAGATTACAGCGGCCGCATTCTGCGATTTGATTCAAATGATTCACCGTTACGAAACATAGACTACATTCCAATACTTCACCGCTCCCAAGGGCGTCCCATCCATCAACAACGCCGCCGACGCAGCCCTATCCGCACAAGAATGCCTTGATCCCCTAAAATGGGAATACGGCAAACATGACGCCTACCTGATCTGCTGCTACTCCGCCCACCCTCTCGTCGAACAAACCCGCACGGAACAGGTCACTTATGCCGCTCGTCGCCGACGTACCACGGTCCCACCCGTCGCTGGGATTTTCGAAGCTTCCCTCGTAGAGGCGCTGAAAAGTGCGCCGAAGTTCGGAATCGTGAGTACGGGGGCACAATGGGAGGGTCTGATGAATCAGGCTGTTTTCGCGGAGCTCGGTGAGGATGTCGCAATGGAGCGGTATGAGGGGACGGAAACGACGGGGTTCGATGCGAATGAGTTGCATGTTGCGCCTGCTGAGGTCGTCAATGCGAGTATGAAGGAAGCTACGAAGCGGTTGCTGAAGAGGGGCGTTGGAGCGATCTGTCTGGGATGTGCTGGGATGGTCGGACTTGAGAGTGTTGTGCAGGAAGCTTGTATCGAAGCGCTTGGGGAGACTGAGGGTCGGAAGATCAAGATCATCAATGGGGTGGTCAGTGGTATCAGGCTCCTTCGAGGAGAGCTCTGAGGACGGAGGAAAGCTCGTGGGGATGGTGGAGTCTTTTGATTCAGATAACTTCGCGACATTCATGACATGAATGGCGAGGATTAGATTCTTGCTTTTTCTTTTTCTTTTCCCTTTACAACTTGGAGCCCGTCCGAGCATGACCGTAGCAGGGACCGCCTTTCCCAAACATCTCGAACAAATCCCTAGCGATCTCCTCCGGGGTTTCCCAAGCAGCGAAATGGCCTCCACGGCTCTTGAAGCTCTCAAATACGACAGGTCCTAGCGTCCGCGCCCACGTCGACGGCACAACGGACAGCTCACGAGGCGAATGCGCCAGCCCAAGCGGGACCGTGCCAATCCATTCCTGCATTCGATCGCGGGTGACGCCCTGCGAAGGCGTATGCGACACCTCGTAGTAAATCCTTAAGCTCGCCGCCGGACCCGCCGTCGAGAAATAATAAATGCTGACCCACGTAAGGATCTCCTCGTCGGTCCAGGGATACGCATCAGTCCAATCATGCAATTTCTCGTAAATCCATGCCAGCAGTGCGACCGGGCTGTCATGTAGCCCGTAGCCAAGGGTCTGCGGTTTAGTGCTCTGCTCAGACTTGTAACCGCTGCCTTCGGTCGTGAACCATGCCGTGCGTGCGAAACCTTTCTTCTCACGATCATCGTAGGATTTCAGAGCATGTTGAATCGCGAGCAGGGGATGTTTGCGAAATGTTGGCTGGCTCGCACGGATCATGTTGATGTGACTTCCCAGGACATGTTTCGGGAAAAGAAATCCAATCGCTCGCGTGATGTAGAATCCCCAATCACCGCCTTGGGTAGCATATCGCTTATACCCAAGATTCCGCATTAATTGGTCGCAGACCTCGGCGTATTGTGCTAACCCGAAGCCTTTGGTCTTGACGCCCTGGCTCCAGCCGAAGTTGGGCAATGATGGAGCAACGACGTGGAACGATATACCATTGTTGCTTTGACTTAGGCTTGGGAGCATCTTGGTCACTTCGATATAGCTGCCAGGCCAGCCGTGGACGAAGAGGAGCGGGATGGCATCGACGGCCGAGGAGGGTTGATGCAGGTAGTGAATGTCCAGACCGGCGAACCCGCGAACGTGTATTTTTTGGTGGAAATTCGGCAATTCATTGAGTTTGTTTTCTTGTTTTCTCCAGTCGAAGGATTTCCATTGATTCGTCAGGCGCTTGATATCAGCCAGCGGGCTGCCATAGTCCCAGCCGGCATTGTCGAGTTCGTCGTGGAATGTTGCTTGTTCGAGCTTGACTTTGAGAGAAGCGATTTTCTCCTCAGATACGGATATGGTATAAGCGGACATTGTGAGATGCCTGCCTTTCAACCATGAGTGCTTCTTTCGTCAGCATGGTGAGTGAAGTGAATGTCAGTGATTCGTGCGATTGGGAGCCAACAGTATGACGTCAATCTCCGTCTCGAGTAACGTGGTCGCTCACGACATCACTCCCTTATCAAATCGTACAGCTTCCACTCCTGGTTGCCGTCACTAAATACTGTATTGTCTCAACGTAAGAGTGTGTCACTCTGGAGAGCTAGTAACTGACTTCCGTTGTAATGACGACTCGAGATTCATTTACATAACACAACTTTCCACTCGCTGTCTACGAACCAGGACAGAGGCTCAACGCTGCCCTTTTGCTCCAACCCACTTCCTGCTAGACCTGGCGAACGGACGTGAGCAAGACCCGATCTTCATATCGTAGTAGTTGCCATTCTTACAAGCAATACAGTCTGTGCCGTTCATAGGGCGTTAATTCATTTAAGATAATTACACTCATTGAGCGATGAGCACCCGCTTACGACTCGAAATTTTTGCTTCATCACGTTCCCCATACCTCTCCAGGAGATCAAAGCTTCGACGGAAAGTAGTCTTTGTAGCATGAACATTGCAAGCTGCCACGTCCAGAGGCATTGCTATCAACGGAGAGTTCTTATAGTAGCTTTCCTCATAGCTTTCCTCCATCTTCGTCGGACAGCTCCACGATTCAGCACCTCGACGTAGTCGCATGAATTTCATTGGAACTTGTCACTATCGCGTGGCTTTCCTCGCTTCCGATGGTGCTTCCAAACAGCTCTGCGCCGGTCGACATACATCACACTACGTCGATGGATAATGTTCAGAGGCGCATCTTGCCGGTAAGCAGCAAAACCCCTTTCTAGTACGCCCGGGCCTATCCAGACCTGCTTCATCGGGACAGAATGGGATTGAGGGTATATATCGGCATGCTCGCGACTTTTACCGGTGATCATATGGTTGCTGAGAATGATGTCGAGTGGATCAAAACACCGAGCTCAACAGTAACTTTGTCCGTGAACTTCGCTATTTCAGGCGGAAAAATGCCATACCTCTTGAGTAAGTAGGAATGGCAATGGTCTTTCCGAAGGCCAAAACACTGGAATGACAAGGCCTGTACTGGGGAGGAAGCCAGAGCATATCGACGCCGTCTTGCTGTATCATATCCCCTTGCTTGTTCAGGCGCAACGGGGCTAGTTGAATCACGGGGGATTGACCTGTCAGTGGGAAAGCATTTTTAAGGTTGAAGGACCCTGCATGCGTACGGAGAGTTTCCCCATCGGTTGAGAATTCCAAACAGCTAGGTCCAGGGGAGTTGTCATCGGCCCAAAGTTTTAGCAACAACTCTCCTGATTCCCCGTCCCACAGCTGTACGGGCCACCGCCCTTGAACTCCGATTGCAATGACCTTTTTACAACTCATGGTTACCTCGCTGAAAGGGGAACTTTCGCCACTGTGAAGTTGACGCAGCAATGCACCTGTATGTGCATTCCAGAGCAGAGCTTTTCCTTTGGTAAGACCCGACACCACGAAAACTCCATCGGGCGAAAATGCAAGTGAGCGCACAATCCTTTCAAGTTCCACTGGAAGCTCGTGCAACACCTCGCCGGTTTGGACATTCCACAGCAGTATCGTGCTTTCATGACCCGACGCCGAGCCCGCTGAAGCGATGATTATTCCGTCTGGGGAGTAATTGACCACTTGCACCCCGCCCGTATGTCTTCGAAAACATTGTAACTCTTCCGCTGTCCGCGTACTCCACAGTCGCACAGTATCGTCAGATGATCCAGATGCGACTATATTGCAATCCGGAGAGATGGCCACCTCATGCACAAGTTTGTTGTGTCCAGAAAAGAACTTCAGTGCTTTCCCTGTTTGCGTGTCCCATGTTCGAACTTCTCCGTTCAGGTGGCCGGTTGCCACAATTTGTTCACACAACGACACAGCGTAAGACATTACCTCGCTTTCTCGCAATCCTAGCTGTCCTTTCGCCTCTGGTGGTCTATTCATCGATGTTTTGGCCCAGAATCGAATTGAGCCGTCGGAGGCGCCCGAGACAAGCTGTCCCGCCGGTGAGTATTGGACCGGACACCAGTAATTTGTGTGACCGTGCCACTCCTGTAGCAGCACATCTGCGTTTGTATCCCACACCTGTACACCTCCGTCTGATTTCCCGACGGCGAGCCGACCATCAGAACTCAATGCTATGTCTTGAACATCTACGCAAAGCTTGTCCCACCTACAGCTTACGACTGCCCCCGTCCACGACCATATACAGACACTTTGAGGCCAAAAGTCGTACGTCGCGAGCTCCCTGCCGCTTGAGGAAAATTTCATTAACGGTAGTGGTTCGGAATAGCGCGGAAGTTTGATGAAAATGTTGTGTACCTCGATGACGGTGGTCGCATTCCACAGGATGAGCTGTCCGGCGTCTCCCCGTACTGCGAGCTGACCATCAGGGGAGAATGCCATTGACGCTACCCAAGACAATCTATAGTAATTAGTATCCGAATCATTGGTAGCTTCATTCGCAGACTGATCGTTCCCTTGATCCGCGGAAACATCAGCAGACTTATTGACGACCACTTTGGCGGCATTATTACCATCGGCAGCATCGTGATCACCATGACTAGCAGAGTTTTCCGAAGCATCGCTTTTGCACGCGCTGCCAGTTTCATCTGGGTTTGGGAGCATTCGTTTTTGACCACCTTTATGGTCACATAGCCAGAGCGTACCGTGCCGGTCTATCCATGCGATGCGACCCTCACATGAAATTGCAGCACTGAAGCAGCCGCCAAGCTCAAAACTCCACCGAGTCTCTCCGGTGGTTATGTCCCAGAACCGAACCTTGCCTCTCATATCAACTGATGCGAGAAACTCTCCCTCGAGACAGTACCCTATTGCGTGGATGTAATCATCATGTCCGAGAACATACAACTGCTCCCCGTTGATGGACCATATTCGCACGGTTCTGTCCCACGAGTAAGATGCGAGAGATTTTTCGTCTGGAGCGAAAGAGAATCCACGAATACTATCCTCATGCTCGTGAAGCACAAGAAAATCAGAACCCCAATGTGAGTCTGCATCCGGAAGTAGTTCCCACATGTCTTCGGTACGAAACAATTTCGAGATCACGCTTTGCGTTGCAGCTAATCTCAAGGCAGAATAGTATACCTGCAAAGGGGAGTTTGCGACGAGAAAGCGAAACCTGAGGACGAATTGTTGGGCCTCGAAGAGAAACGGAACTATGCTGCTACGGACATTTGCCTGTTGCGTTGTTTCGTCAGTCGAGGTTTAAATAGAAGCGGATGTAGGCGTACCTTTGTGATGCCAATCATTTCTTCTATAGAAGAGATAACAAGCCTAAATTTTTCCAGCCAGCTCATGACCTCAAGCCAATGCAAGAAATGTGTCGTTAAGAACTCATACACGAGCTCAGTGCCGTCGAGTGTTGGTACCTGACCCGCGGCAAGATGATTGGCCCAATACATGCACGCGTATGCGACATGTGGAGGAATGCATTCCGCAACTTTTGTCTCTGTGATGTCTCGGCGCTTGAAGCCAGGATGTTTCACGTCGCAAATATCTTGTCGAAGTGCTTTGGAATCCAGAAGAAATTGTACGCACTGGAGGGCAAACTGCGCGTGTACTGCTTGCTCGTCGATTCGGAAGTCCTCCTTGTTCTTGGGATCAAGCAAATATTCCCGAAATGACAAATGCCGGCGTTGTACCGGCTTTGTTCGATCTCGCGGGACGTCAAGGACAGACTTGAGAGGCGATAGGACAGCGCTGATATTATCCGCATCTATCTGGAGTATGTGAGAGAGTGTTTCAACAGAAAGCGGGACAGCAGCAATAAGGATGGGGCCCACAATCTTCTTGAAGTCTTGAATCTTCTCGGCTGCCTCCTCTGGGTCATCCGACCTGGTCGCTTCACTCAAAATTTGGGAATACATAAGCCGAAGATGAGAGTAGTCGTCCTGAAGGCGTAATGATGGTACCAAATGTTTATGGTCTAGGATCCCGCTGAGTCGTTTGCGCGGAGAAGCTCCTTCTTGGACAAATCGACACACCGTCGCAGTGTTAATGAAGAGTGGAGTCGCGAGCATTGTCAATTCTAGGATCTCTTTCTGCGATGGCCAGTCGTCCGGGAGAGGATCATACGGCCCATGCGCCCATTCAGTACGGATTGAACGGAATTCGTGGTCGAAATACCGCTCCAGATCATGTTCAATACTTGCGACCTGATCTTTCTCTAGATCATGATCGTCATGCAGCTTCACGTCCATCATATCGAATCCGATTTCGATTTGATGCTTAGGTCGACTGGTTACGAAGACTCGCAGACGAAGTCGGCTGACAGAATTGATGCCTGCGAGAAGTGTCAGGAACTTCTTTGTGTGTTTCCGATCACACTCGTCCAACGCGTCAACCACGATAACAATACACCGGTGTGGTAGCTGTTTTGGTTCAATCGACATCAAAGGTTCTTTAAACAGCCTGTCGAATTGATCCTGGAGGCCGCTCGTACACAATGACGAATCCTGATCTATGGCATCCGCAACAGGTTGTTTAAGAGCCGGTATGTGGTCGGCCAGCTGACGAAGAATGGTCGGAAAGAAGCGGTCTGCATTTCCTCGGTCAGCGTCGCTTTGCTTGAAGAAGAAGCTTCCTCCAAGCTGCTTTTTTTTATCGAATCTTTGTGCCACTGTGCGAGAGATTGTGGACTTTCCGGTCCCAGCCCCTCCACACAACCAGTAAATGCTTTTCCCTTCTCGGTTCTCGGCCCAGTCGTCGATTTGGCCAAGGAGATCAATACGAGTACCATTCAAACATGAAGTAAGCTGAGACTCTTCGCTGGAGTTGTATTTCGCACCAGCTACTACTGGTAGCTTGGACAGGTCGACGTTGACGTTGAGGTCTTGTAATTTGGACTCAATTCTTGAAATTCCATCAAGTTTCTCCAACTTTCCATACAAATCGTCTCGCCATTTCGCTGCTGCTGTTCGGTCGGACATAAACCTATCACAATTGGAAGCCTCAATCTCCAGTCGCTGACTGAGTTTGTCGCCATCCTCTTCAAGTCCCGGATGGTACTGTCCTGCCAGAATGTACGCAGGCCGCGTAACCACAGTTTTGTCTTATAGACCTTGAATGCTTGAGCGAGGAAGGCTAGTACCTTTGCATACATTTTTATAAGCGCCTTCCGGAAATTGTCGGTAGTTAAATGATTTGGAAGCTGCTTGTAATACAGAAAGTACGCACGAAGTCGATTTGCTGACTCTAAGGCTAGGTCCATACCGGTGACGAGCGTCTCCATTTGGTTGATGTCTGCGATAGCGATAGATAGCAATATCTTAATGCCAGCCCATGGCAAGCCGGCGTGAATAGGATCAAGCATTGCAACGGAATCGCCGACGGACTTGAACTGGTCAATCCAGCTGATGACTTTCGACACTTTGGCTCCGATACCTCTTGAGTCTTTGGCCTTCGTCTTCAGCTCATTCGCTCCTTCGTAAGCGCTTCGAATAGTTTCGCTGATGTTGGATGCAATAAAGTACTGCTCCACCACTGCTCGATCCTCTTTTCCAAGAAGGTCGAGCGCTTCAGACACGAATTCATCGTGCGGTCGCACGTTCATCGCTGGCAAGCTGGTCGAGGATGCGTCAATTGGCGGCGAGATGATTTCGGCCCCAGAGCGAGTGTCTACTGCCACTGGCAATGGAGCGATCGGCAGCGAAGGGATTTTGGGAGGCTCGGCTGCCGCCGGCGTCGGAGCTACCTTCGACGAGGTGATATCGGGTTGATTTGGAACTGCTTCTGCCATCACCGTCGGATCAACCGGCGGCGAAGTGATGCTGGTTCGAGCAGAAGCGTCTGCTGCCGGCGGCGCCCGACCAACCGGTAGCACGATAACATCAGCTTTGCCGATGGAATTTGTTGCCAATGGCACCGCAGTACTCGACACCAAAGGGATGTCGGAATGTTCGGGAGCATCTGCTGCGGTCGCGGCGGCGGCGGTCGGCTGGGCAGGTCCGCTCGCCGCAGCCGCGCCGCGTTTCTTCAAGAATGAGGAGAAGAATCTGTCGCGTTTTCTCGCGCGCTTTTGAGTTTCGCCGTTCATTTTCGATTTACACTTGATAATTTTACGTCTGGCAGAGAGTCCTCGCTGTCTCTGTTGGCAGCGTCGTGCCTCGCGCGTGGGAATCTGATCATGATGGCGGGCAATGCGGCGCAGTCGAACATGGATGTGATCCCTCCTGCAGCATGTAGCTATCTTGCATGATGTCCGACCAATGAGGGCGACGCATTATCGTGACGTGAGGTGCTCCAGAAGCTGGCATCGTAAACTGCACAGTGTGCCGAGCGGATCTCGATCGCCTGCGATTGTCCTGATGTTTGGTAGACAGAGAAGAAGGCGATAATCTGGATCACATAAAAAGTCGGAGAAAAGAGGCAAAGCTCGAACACAAGTCTGATAAGCCAATGCAGAGGCGTGTGCGACCTCCGTGTCGGTCAAATCGGACGGGGCACTCCGACAGCTTAGTTGATAAAACATTCTACCCTTACCCTCGCCGCTCTCCTCCTCCCTCTCTCCTTCTCTATTCTACGCAAACCTACTATTCACCCAAAAGGTACACTTCATCGAGAATAGATTTCCAGTAGTAGAATAAGTTTACGTGAATGTTTTCCTTACCTAGGTATATATCGAATAGAGAAACAAGAGGCGCGTCATTCGTCGCTACAGTACGCAACCGCCGAGCAATCCCATCGTGTCTTTGTATTATGCATGCATAATTTTATGCATACCATTGCACAGCGATAGAACGGTAAATAAGGACATGAAAAAGTGAAGATTTCCCTTCCGAAAATACAATCCTTCCAAATGATTACGCCAGCCCAGAAACAATTTAATGGTAGAAAAAGATATCGCCCCTTCGTCATAGCATCGTGCTCCGTCATACCGGCATTCCCATCACTAAGCCTTCAACGCCGGGTTAGGCTTCAATGTACACCAAAGCGGCTTCTTCTCCCAGAGAATATAAACCTTCTGATCCGTCCAATCCGCCGAAGCCTCACAAAGGCTGAGGTCATAATGGAGTAGCGTTGCGGCCAGGATGAGGCGGAATTCATGATAAGCGAGGTTCTTGCCGATGCAATTCCGGGGTCCGACGTGGAAAGGTTCGACGGCGGCGAGTTGGTCGTCCTTGAATTCCACATCGCCCATCCAGCGTTGTGGCCGGAAGCTGTCCGGGTCTTTGAAGTTTAGCGGGCTGTGGTAGGCGGCGTATTGGGGCACGCCGACGGAGACGCCGGCGGGCAGGAAGTCGCCGCACACTTCGGCGCCGCCTTCGGGGACGACGCGGGGCAGGGCGGTCGGGACGGGTGGGTACATGCGGAGACCTTCGTGCATGACGGCGTCGAGGTATTTGAGGCGGGCGAGGTTTTCGAGGGTCATGTCGTTGACGCTGGTGAAGGCCGAGCGGATTTCAGCGACGAGTTTGGCGAGGATGGCGGGTTCGCGGAGGAGCCAGTAGGTTGTGCCGCTGAGCAACGTCGCGGTGGTCTCGGTGCCGGCGGTCATGAAGATCATCGCGTTGGAATGCTGCTCGTCGCGGGTAAGGCCGCCGTTGTCGATGATCTTGCCCCAGAGGTCAGGTCGGTCGGTCGGCTTCTCCAGACGGCGGTCGACGCGTTCAGCTGCGTAGCTGAAGTGCTCCCACGCTTTCTTCTGCACGGAGGGCATAAGCATGAGTCTCGATACGAGACTCTGTGTGATCCAGTTGATATTTCTGATTGCTCGCAATCGCGCGAGGCTTTTGATGGTCGCGAAGATGATTCCTACCCAGGGCGAGTATTCGCCGTCGTCCAACATTCCGAGGGGCTCATTGAAAGATAGGTCAGCCATGATGTCTGTACATAGTCAGTAAAAGCTTTCTGGAAAGCGGTCGAGATGATGCGCGGCATACCGAAAGTAGCACAGTTGTACCATTTCAGCATATCAGCTGGCGTCGAAGTTGCAGCTGGCTGAGCTAGCTTCTCGACAAGTTTGCTCACCCATCCGATAAGCATGGGTTCAAGTTCTCGAATGGAGCGATCGGCAAAAGAATGCGACATGATTTTCCTTCCCGGGCATTAGTCTAATCCAGAAATCGCTGCGGGTCGTGGAAGTACCTTTGTCGAGCATGTATTTCGTCGTTCGCAATGATAATGTGCGGCGAGCCGTTCAATGGCTTGGTCATAACCTCTGGGTCCTACAGCCAAACAGATAAGTATCGTTGCCAGGGGGTGGTTTATTGAGTGCTCGAATGTTCACCTTGGGGAAGTTTAATTTCCCAGCCCTCTTGAAGCCGTAGATGTCTTTCCAGGCCGTGGCACCGTTTGTATATGAAAGCGAGGTGGGTCCAATGCGGACCACAGGTCCATATCGAGCGTGGAGCTTCACAATTTCCGCAACTTCATTGCCATGGTACTTTGACCAAAGCGAGGGTAATGTAGAGAAGCCTCTCAATATGGGACCTGGGTATTTACTGAGAGGCCCATGAAATGCATTGTAGTAACTGCGGGTGAAGATGTAGACGCCGTATAGCACCGTCAAATATAAGACGGTCTGGAGGAAAACCATCGTGTCTCCGTCGTGTCAATATGCTAGCGGGAAATGGAGAGTATGTATCAGCTTGAAGTGCGAGGACTGTTTGGAAGACAGCCGGGCGAGTGGTGTAATATATGTGACAGACGACGCAAACCGTATTGGCATCCGCTCTGCCCTGCTTTGAACCTTGGTGATGTTGGAAACAGCGTGCGACATTCTGCGAGCACACCTATCCACCACTACTAATGATGCAGTCATCTCCAAGTGGGCATCGTTGGCTGACGCACGCGCGGAGACACGGGAGGCTAATCTCGCCCTTCCACTCCGATATCCCTAGCTGAATAATAATGCGAGCATCGGTCGGTCGGAGGAATTGGTGCGGACGGAGGATTTGGTGCGGACGGCCTTGTGCATTAGGCGGCACGACTCCCCCATAGCCACACGGCTTTGATCCGGCATGTTGTCGATGCTTCCGTGTTTATGCAAATTATGCCCTGAACAAAGACTCGTGTTCGTGCTGTTAGACAGTGAACACTTCCATCCCGCGTCAGCCAGCATTCGTCAGCCAGCATTCGTCAGCCAGCAGCGGACCAAGCAACCTGAAAAGACTGTTTCTTGCCACGTGCTTGCTTCTTCCGCAACCTTAGAAGCTTGCGATCGCCGCTGGGCGTACATAGGGCAAGGGTCCGGTGGTGATTGGGCTTGGTTTACCATGGATTCATGCCCTGAATTGCCGTGCATTGGTGTGTTGGAGGATACATTCGATGAGAATTCCACCCCGCCATGCATCCTCTCGCATTTTCACCCACATCCAGAAGGTCCACGGGTGCCAATAACCGAAGGTCCTTCGCGTTGCATATTGCGAGCAATGTCAAGTGATTGATGATACCAACGGTAATGACTCATGAGGTGATTGCCAATGCATTACGGGATCTGCGATATCATGTCAGAAGTTGAGCTTACATCACACACACGGATTACACTCAAAATTATGCGCATGTCATGGGCGAGTTATGCCGGAAGTTATGCACAACTTATGACGAACACAGCATTAGTGACTCATTAAGTGACTCGAATTGCAGTGCCTGGGGTGTGTGCGACGTCACCTCCAAGATTTGACTTCAAAGGCTGCATGCAGGTGTCAGAGGCTGAGCGCGAACGATGCTTACCAAAAGTTATGCTCGTCCAACACAGATCGCACAAAAATCACTCACGTCGTCTATGACAAATTATGCTCGCCCATCACAAATTATGCCCGCCCATCACAAATTATGCCCGTCCGACATCCTCGCCCGTCACCGATCCGGACGCAACATCGGCCATCGGAGAGCAAGCCCTTCCGTGATCCGCAAGTCCAAGCACCCTTGGAATGTAGATGATGACGATGATCACCACAAAGCTATCAGAGCGGATGATGAGAGGGAGAGTACTTGGGATAGCACAAATTCTTCACGTGCGTGATGCGAGGAATGAGAACTTGGTGGAAGGCAAACTTTGATGATGGTGATGATTATGAAGAATGACGAGGAAATTCCATTTTCTCTATATGTCCAGATTGCAGCTTGATTGATACATGATAGTGGGGAGGAATGAAAACTGTGATTCTCATCATGAGACTGATCACAATAAGTGGGAGTCACATTAGAACTCTGGGCTTTCCTCCGAGTAGCATCGCCAAGTGAAAAACTTGCACAAAAGAATAGACAGCACGCTGTGGGGCCTGAATTAGATGGTTTCAAAAGAGGACTGGCTGGCTAGCTACAGTACAAAACAGCGCCATGCGCGAAATTCAAAAACATTCAAAAATTCAAAAACAAATACAGAATCGAGGGGAAATTTCGTCGTACGTCGTCGTAAGAATCGTCGTCAGAGGGGGCTTAAAGGGCAATCAACTTGGGCACATTCGCCCGAATGAAATAACAGGTAGGTGGGATGTTGCAAACGTGATGATGAGCCAATAGCAATTTTGTAGGCAAAAGAATTAAGGGGTGCGATAATGCAAGGTCGTAACGCGGTGAGGCGAAGGGTCTTGGTCTTGTTTTTGGAGTGGCAGGGTCATAGAGTTTGGTTTTCGTCGTGTGGGAAAGAAAAGGAAGCGGCTCAGAAGATCCGCTCATCCCGCTTCGTGCGCGACTTGCTCGATTTGGACCTTCCATGAGACCTCTGCGCCTGACGTTCACGCCACAGCCGTTCTTCTTCAGCCTCCCGCTCATGCTGACGGCGGAGCTCCGCTGTTCCTGGCGGACTGACCTCGACGTCACGCAGGATCTCGCGAAGTCGGAAGTTTCCGCTACCGGCGGAGTGACGTGAATTGCGCTGATGGCTGGATGCGCTAGATGAGTTGGAGATTTTGGTGATGGAGGGTTGGAGAGGGAGTGTGTGGATGCTGTTGTGGCTGTTCCGATTACGATTGTAGTCATAGGAGTCGGAGGGACTTTCCATCGTGGAAGCTGGAATGGCTGCGACGGTAGGAGGGCTTGCTGAGACAGCAAGTTGTTGGTGGAGATCCGTGATCTCGGCGCGTAGGCGATGGAGTTGTGCTTCGAGGCGGCGACGGGCAAGTCGTTCGTCTGCGAGCATTTGATAGAGCGATTGGACTGTGTAGGAAGAATGCTGGGGTTGTTCTTGTATCAAAGGCAGATCACGGGAGCCACTGTCCACAGCATCCTGGTGACTGCTCGTAAACGTCCTGAAAATCTCATCATTTGCTTCCAATTGAGGCGAGACTGTGCCGTTGCGAGGTCGAACAGTATGATCTGATTCTGTTTGTGGTGTCCAATGGCCTGGGTTTCTGTCAGGAAGCACAGATCCAATAGATCTCGTGTGTCGGTGGTGATATTGCGGAGCGATCCGAGCTGGCGGAGAAGACGGTGGTGACGCGGCGAGTTGTATATTGGCGTCTAAGCTCCGAACAGGTGGTGTTGTGGACGCTGCAGCATTGAGTGACCTGGCAATATCAGGATTTCTAAGATTAGTAGGTAGTGGCGGATAATCAGGCGTGCGTGGTCGAGACCCAATTTGTGGTGAAGTCGCAGGTCGGAGATTATCGTTGTCATTTTCATAGTTATAGCCATACTCATATGTGTCAGAAGCGAGTGGGGCTTGGAGAGAAGTGATCAGGGTATCGGTCAAGGTCTTGGGCATGTTCCTGGAAGATCGTTGATGGGTAGCAGGGTCGTCGTTGCCGACGCTCAGGATGTCGGTATGGCGATCCCTGTCCGCGGTTAGGCGCTTCAGAGAGAATTGAAAATCATGGAGGCCGGCTTCGAGTCGCGCAACGCGATCTTCCAATTCTTTGGAGGTTTCCATATCTGGACCGAAGCCACCAGGAGAAGCGACATCACTAGCCGTAGAAGAATCGCGTTGGTGCCCTTGCGGATTTTTGTTCACCTCGGCCGCACTGTTCGACGGTAGTGCTACTGACGGACTGCCACGGGCATGCAATTCATCCATATTACTCTCTTGCGTCCTGGAAACACCATGCTCTTCTCCTTCATCTTCTGGAGCTGCTTGTCCAATACTTGATCGCCAGTATTTGATCTCGTCGCGTCGACTACGAGGAGTATCAGCAGCAGCCAGGTGCATGTTTCGCAGATCGTCAGTGCTTCGTGACAGTCGGTTCGAGCGTCGATTCGGACTCTGTGCTGTGCTACCCTCGATTTCGTCGCCGTGTCCTTCCGGGTCAAGATGTATTCTGATCGAACCCATAGCAGCTGTCACACTGGCAACTGCAGCTGCTTCTCGATCGGAAAGTACCACGCTCGGCAATGTTTTTCGTCGACGAAGCCCAGGCCGCTCAAATGGATTTCCTAGATCCATGGGCTGCAGCTTGGCACTCTTGGGAAAGAGCGCCGCGGAAGGCGACTGCACACGCGTATATGAATTCATTGATGGCAATGCTGGCGACGTATGGTTCGTGTCAAGTGGTGGTACATGACCGCCGCGTGTGTATTGTTGATATACAGTGGCGTGTGGCGCGGCGGCGGTCGACTCGCTGAAGTGATGACCATGGCGTGGGGTTCCGATGCGCATCACTGTCGAGATGCCAATGTCCTTAGATCTCCGGCTGAATATCCTTTTCACAGCATCACGCAAGGCATCTTTGCGCGCCTTCAGTCCAGCTCCTTGGCCTCCATCTCTTTCTGGGCTGCTGTACAACTCGTCTCCAAGCTCGCCGCTAGGTCGCGAAAGGCGTGAGTTTGCCGTGCGAGCAATCGAGTTGGACTTTTTCTTGCGCAGCCTGGTCAATTCCCGGCTTGACTTTCCAGGACTCAATATGCTGAAGGGCGATCCTGGACCCCGGTCTGGGACAGCATCTTTGGAGCTATCCATCTAGAGATACACATAAAGCCATACAGAAGGGACAAATTTGAGGAGTATGCGTGCGCTAGTAGGTGTGAAAATGCAGGCGGTGCAGAAGATTCGGTCGTCCGGGAGGTGTACGGATCGTGCAGGCCGAAGTTTTGACAGAAAAGACTGTGAGTCGCCTTGGGGCGTGAGTCCGGTGGTACAGATGCGGAATATCAGTCGGAAGAGTTTCGTCCAAAGGACTCAAGCAGAACGATTGTTGAATCACCGGAAAGGACTGTAGACTGTGGTGCTGTCGTGCTGTTAGACTCAACGGCTCATGTGTTGGTGGTGTCGCTCCACGATGAAGACTGGGAGGGAAATGTGCGGCGACTTGTCGAGCAGGAATCACGACGTACGACACCGTTGCGACGCAGAGGCCATGATATGCGACAGTTGTTAAGCAAGTTCAATCAAGTAGGACAGCGCCGGTACGGATTTTGAGGTCCAGCCAGGACACCGTTCAGGTGAGGAGAAAAGAACGTTGGAAATGTGACGAGAAGTGTGCTTGAGTGAGTGAGTGAGTGTGTGTGTGTATCTGGGCCACGCGCGCGGATAAAGCACCGATGCCTCTATCGAGATGGCGCTAGGAAGCGTGGGCAAGAGAGGTGTGCTGTTCTGTATCAAGGAGAGACGAGACACACTGGGAAACGCAGAGACCACCGAGTCAAGCAAAGCGCCGGAACAGTTTCGCTCAGGTCACCACCGTGCACCGTGCATTGGCATATGGGGCAAGATGAGCGTACAGTTGGTTGTATGCCAGGTTTGTCTGTCGGTGATTGCACATTTATTAAGAGAGTTGGTGCATCGTGCGGCAATCGCACGGGCGACGGTATCGGGATAATTCTCCTTTGGGGAGATTCTTGTCTTGCTCTCTGTCAGAATGAACAGCTCATTGCATTTGTTTTGAACGATGGTAAGCGATGCTCTCAGCACTGCTTCATACTCTGCTGGTCACCTGCGATGTTCATCACAGCATGAGCATGTCATCAAACGGCGGACGCCAATGCTGCATTCCAAGGTTGGTACGGTCGCTGATGAATGGGGACATCTAGAGCGAGGCAGGAGATGAGGTATCTCGGCAAGAGCGCGGGGACGGAATTGGCGCCCGCCGCTACTCCACAACGGGTCAACAGCTTTTTTCTGGCTGGACCTCGATTTCCTCCAAGTTCGCCCTTTTCGGCATGTTGCGAGTGGAGCTGGGGCTAAATTAAGCAGAGAGCTCCAGGGCTGCTAAAGAATCCCTGTTGAGCTCCAATGCCTCCAATGCCTCCAATGCCTTCAATGGATGTCTCGTGCCGCGCGCGTCGCTCAGTAACGTGAATTCCGATTCCGCACCACAGTATGTAGTATGCTGAGACTACGTACAAGTCACATAATGCGCCGAGAGTGTCGCTCCTTGACACACCAGCACCACGCTCTCCAAGACCCGACGAGGAAAAATTGGTGCCGACAGCATTGACACAATAACAGAAGAGGCCATACGATGAGCTCGTGCATGACGCAGGCCGCCGCACTCACCATGCCTTGTCGAGTCAGCACCGCCCAGGGCAGCGCCGGCGTCGACAACGCGAGACCTCATGATAAACAGTGCACGAAATCCCCCTTTAGCCGTCGTCGATTTCTCACCAAGACGATCACAATGTCGGCACTTCCTGCGTCAGTGCTGGGTGAAATTGGCAGCGTTGGACATGCACGTAATGCGTGCAGAAGCGCTGGTTCAGAGAAAGCCGCATGGAAAGCTCCGTTGAGTCCCGGACATTTTTTCTTCCTTCGCTTGCCCTCCAGCGGCCCCCGCCCCCCTTTCTCGCGAGCGCGCGCGCACGCCAGGAAAGCTTTTTGCTCTCCACCTGGGCGCCTCCGCTCCATCGTTTCACCTTGAAACGGCCTCTCGAGTTCGTTCATCCGACCCACGCGCAAACACGTTGTACAGAGTATGTATGTGGGGACTCTTCAAGCGACTGCGGAGCACATCATGGTGGCCAGTGACGCTTGTTCCGCCGCGGAGCCATCGCGCAAGCAAGGTAATTCCGCATCTTTTCTTGCTTTTCCGGTCAATGTTCAGAGGTGGCCGACATGGGTCTCTTCGAAGCCGCGTAAACTCAGTCCGCGAAGCGAAATCTCCTCCTTCTTTCTGCAGCAAAACAATCCAACAGCTCCTGCGCAATAGTCTTTCGGACCTCAGCAAATTTGCTTCACGCAGGAGAAAGAGAGAGCTCAGCAGGATCAGAATGACCAACATGGTATATTCATGCAAGGCGTGCATATGTAATATCGGCAGCGAAATGTAGATGGGCACTTCACAGGCATGTATGCAGCTGGGCCTGCATGAGCGGACTTCTTCTTCATGCACGGAATCCCTAGCTGCAGGTCCGCACGGTACGGCATTCTGCTGCCACGCTGTTAAACACTCGATGAAGGGAACTGCCCTGAAAGGCGCGGCCACTCCCGCTCCGTGGCAGCGTTCGAGGTACACAGGTACGGTATATATTGCGCGCCACGAAATTTCCCTCTTCGTTGTCGACCGTTGTCACTATCGAAACCCCATATTAATAACAATAGTTCGTGAATATGAATAGCACACATGAGGGGTAGATCACGAAGGGTGGGAGATCGAGCGATGAACGAGGCTGAGAAAGTCGACTTTCTCTCTCTTGAGCTACATCCTGCGTCATTGGACTCAACGAAGAAGATGTCGTTGCGACGCCAACAACATCCCGCAGAGATCAATTCGGAGCAGAAAGAAATTCGAGGATGAAGGCTTCCAGTAGTGATTGTTTCACGAGGGACCAGGAGCAATACGCTTCTGCGAACTCCCACAACGCTTGTTCATGCCTGCGATGCAAGGTCGGCTACGTCTGGGTACCGCAGATCGGCGTGCTCTTCCAAATGCTGCATCCAAGCTTTGAGGAACTTGGAGCCCCTGGGTTACGATATCAGCTTTTGTCTGCACAACGATAAACAACAGTCGATGCAGAATGACAACTTACTTGCTGATGGTCTCTGAATCGCCGACAATGCAAAGATGTCGTTTCGGTCGTGTCATCGCCACTGCAAAAATGATGCGATCAGCCATCTCGCTCGAAAGCAGACCCAGACTCTCGAGAGATTTGCGCATGACTCACCATTCAACCGTCGCTTCTCTCCAAGAAAGCCAACCTCACCATCCTCGTTGCTCCTCACCAAGCTGACCACTACAGCCTCTTTCTCACGACCTTGGAATCCATCCACACTGCCGATCTCGATTCCCGGGAACCGTTCGGGCAGACTCTGTGCAAGCAATGCTCGCTGTCCATTGTACGGCGTGATGACAGCAATATCCTCCGCTGGAAGTCCAGCCGCAACCAGACGGGATACATGTAAGCTGACGAGCGCCGCTTCGTTCTCGTTGATTTTACTATCGGCCAATAGTCCACCAGTCTTGCGGCCTGTGCTCCCGCCTTGCTCATCATTTTCATCGTCGTTCTCAAGCGTCTCGGGGAAATCGCCTCCTTGCGTATCCCAGAAGACGAGTGGCTCGCGGGTATCTTCCGTGTCCTTGATTGCAATGGGAATGTCCTTGAGCAATCGCTTCTTCACGGCATCGGCCGCGATGAGTTTATCTTCGTAGAGCGCGGCGGAGGGATATGCCATGATAGCCTCGTGCATACGATATTGTGTCGTGAGCATTCGCTTAATGTCGTTGCCATGTAATGCGAGAATACGGTCAAATAGTGTCGTCTCGAGAGAAAGTGGTCCTTCTTTCGATTTGTTTCCCTTCGACTTTTCAGCCTTTCCCTTGTCATCGAGAGCGAGGTCTTCCATCGCCTTCAGGCTTTTCGCTCCATCGGCCTTCTTGTCCGAAGATTTGCTTTCCACTTTTTGCGTCTTCGGCGCCTTCTCATTCAACGACTTGATGGTGGGCGGTAATTGCAAGTGATCGCCAGCTAGCACCACCTTCGAAGCTCCACTTCCTAGAATCGGAACCCAGCATTGAGCTTCAAGGGCCTGGCTTGCCTCATCGACGAGCACAACATCAAACCTTTGGTCTTTCACCTGAAACCCACCGGCTCCATGCAGAGTCGCGAGAACAACATCACTCGTCCGCATGAGATCTCCTACTACGCGTCCCTCACGAGCTCGAAACTCCTGTCGTAACTCACGCATCTCGGTATAAATCGCTTTACGTTCGCGGCCGGAGCGAGTCTTTCGAATCGAGGCTTGCTTGGCATCGAGATCGGAGCGTATGTCCGCCACAATGGCCGCAGCATCGCTCGTGCGCGTGAGGACTTCCAAGCTGTGCCTCAAGACGCTGGGAAGAAGACGCGCCGGATGTCCGAGGCGCAAGATTGAGGGGGTTTTGGCGGTGTAGCGATGCTGGGCCGCTGCGAGTCGCTCGACGAGGTTGTCGACGGAGATGTTGCTTGGGCCGCAGACAAGTAGTCGTTTACCACGGGCGTGAAGTTGGAGGATGAGCTCGATCAGAGTGTGTGTCTTACCGGTGCCTGGAGGGCCATGGATGAGTGCGACCTCGCGGCTGGCTAGAGCAAAGCGAATGGCATCCTTCTGGCTGGGATTGAGGGTATCATCAAACCATTTTAGATCTGCGTCAAGATCACTCGAAGCGACTGGTGACACGGAGGCTTGGCCGAAGAGTACTTGGGTGAGGATGCTATGTTCTGCTGCTTGCATCTTCTGCAGGCGATTCATAGTCTGGTTCAGGCGCTTGTATGTTACATCGTTGGCAAGTTTCACACTATGTAAGAAAGATAACTACATATCAGCTATGGCAAATTGAAAACAAAAATAAATCTCGTGATGGCGAGGAGGAAGCGCTGTCATCTCGACCTCACCGTCGTCCTACCTGTGTTACCCTTCTGCTCGACATCATATCGGCGAATTCTACTGCTCTCGTTTCATGAAGAGAAGAATGGACAGGCGATTCACCTACAGCCAAAGTTTTCCATTCGGGACATCCGCCTCGTCCTTGTCCAGAGCAACAGTCAAAGCCGTCCTCTGAACCTTCGTCACAACACCTTCCAACCCTCGCTTCTCCATGCCCTCGCGTTCTTTCTTCCGCTGTGCTCCCCGCGGCTGCTCCGCAACGGAACAGATATCGCCCACACGCAGACCATGCTGAGGCAGTAGAAGTTCGCCATTATCACCACTGCTGGCCACGGCAGGATCAAGACCTAGCTCAAGAAGAGTCTTGCCACCGAAGCCTGTGCGCTGGTTGTTGACGCTGAGGTTAAGCACGGCGAGGCCAGCACGCTGTAGCGTCGTGGGGGCATAGATTGAGACTTGCTGTGTAGTCGTGGCCAGCTCTGCTGCGAGTTCGTGCTCGAGTAAGGCTATCTGTCGAGCTGCGAAGGCAGAAATATCCAGAGATTGGGGAGTCGCCATCTTGCTACAGAATAGTCAAACATACAAAGATCACAATATGTTACGTGATTGATGTCATAGTATAGTAGATGAGGGATTGGTTCGCGCCTGACCAACTCGGAGTGTCGTCATGTCAGCTTAGGGTTGCCGATAGCCCCAATCGTGACTTCACGACATTTGGGCATCCACCGTTCAGCGCAAACGCGACACAATGTACTATCCATGCTTCTGAATTTAATTTTGAACGGGGATAACCTTAGAAAATTGCTTCGAGTACAATTGCGAACTTCTGCAGTCGTTGATCAGAGCCGAGACAGTATGACAGGACCAGATGAGAATGCAACATTGGCAGAGCCGCTATTACGTCCGAGTGAAGATCACTTCGAACGAGACGAATTCTGCGACGCAACTGCAACGCACGGGGAGGACGAGAGCGATGAGTCTACCGAAACAGAATCTTTGAATGAAGTAAAGCGAAAGAATACCAGAAAGCTCCTCTACACCTCGCACTTCCTTTCCACCTGGAACTCTCGTCTCTTCGAATTTGGAGCATTCCTCTTCCTTGCAAATATCTATCCTCAGACACTTCTGCCGGCATCGCTGTATGCGCTGTGTCGAAACGCTTCAGCCGCGATAGCAGCACCTTGGATCGGCAACTACATCGACCGAGCGGATCGCTTGGTCGTCGTACGAATTTCGATAGGTACGAACACATGCACCAGATCTGTTATATGAAAGTCGTTCCGCTCAGCATATGTGTACCAGTCGGACAGAGGCTAGCCGTTGCAGCATCCTGCTGCGCCTTGTTCGCCCTGTTGAGGTTCGAGCAACTCCGAGACGAGGCTTCGCACGCTTTTCTTGCGCTGCTTACGGTTCTCGCATGTGCTGAGAAAGTCAGCGCTGTGTTGAATACAATCTCAGTGGAGCGCGACTTCGTAGTGGTCTTGGCGGCAGGTGACGAGGCACAACTTTCATGTGAGTGATGGCCGATATTAAACGATGCTTCTTCGATTAATATGAAAGAAGTGCTCAACTCGCGAATGCGACGAATCGACCTATTCTGCAAATTGATTGGTCCTTTGGTCATCTCTCTGATCGATGGATTCTCGACTACCCTCGCAGTGGCCATTACAGGCGGAATGACGATTCTCTCTGTCGTGTTCGAGTACTGGAGTATTGCTCGAGTTTACAATCGCGTACCAGCTTTACAAGCACCAAAGTCAGCGATCACCGAAACACCACCGGACTTGGAACACACGCTACGACGATCGATTCGACGGTCACTGAAAGGTATACTGCTCTACGTCAATCATCCCGCGTTCCTCCCGTCTTTGTCTCTGGCGCTGTTGTACATGACTGTGCTGTCCTTCTCCGGACAGATGATCACGTATCTCTTGACTCTCGGCCTCTCATCAGGTGTGATTGGTGCATTACGTGGAATCTCTGCCGCAGTCGAGATGTCCGCGACCTGGCTTGCGCCGAAGGTCACACATCATATCGGAAGTGAAAGGGCAGGAATATGGTTTCTGAATTGGCAGATTCTCTGCGTCGCCGTGGCCGGCCTTTTCTTCTGGATTGATGTGCCGTCTAATGTCGCCGCGGTGGGCGCTGTTACGGCTGTGATCGCCAGCCGTGTTGGGCTATGGGGATTTGATCTGAGCGCGCAGACAATCGTGCAAGAGGTAAGCTGTGCTAATCCCCGGAGAAGATCGGCTTTCAAAAAGTTAATCAACTGGCGCAGGAAGTGGAAACTGATCGAAGAGGGGTGTTTTCGTCGCAAGAATTCGCCCTGCAAAACACATTCGAAATGCTGGCATTCGCGAGCACAATCATATTCCCCAAGCCGGAGCAATTCAAGTATCCCGCTACAGCCAGTGTCGCAGCAACTGCATTGGCGGGCGTACTATATGCCTTGTTTCTACGTGGACGGCGAGGACATCTCTTGCATCTGTCGAATTGCATCGATCCGAAAGGACAACGTAAGGATCACGATCACTGGTATATGTTGGCCACACGGAGGGGGAGCCGAGAATGATGATGGAATCAGTGTGATTGTATGATATGATGCCATGACTCATTTATGTTGGATTTCATTTCACTCATGACCTTTCATGATTTCGGGAAAAATGACACGCATGATCTCATCTATGAGCGTAAACACAAGGTGGGCACTAGAGACCACGTTATTAGCATAGTCATTCCCGACAGAAAGACTCAATTGGCAAACTCACTTCAGTCGAGGGTTGTTCAGCACAGCAACGAGTTTGCGGCCAGCCGCTTGAGCGTTGTACTTGCCGACCACACTTCCCGCAACATCCGGCATCAAGGCCTCAAGCAGGAGAGCGGCTTCCTTCCGCGTGCGAGCCTTCTCCGCCGGAGTGCGAGGTGCGGACGAGGGACGAATTTTCCCATCTGGCCACATGGTAGCTTTCAGACTCTCGACGTAACCGGCAAGCTTGTCATCTTCCAGGGCGGTTTTGGCGGTTTCGCGCGCCTTACGCTCGATCGTGCCGCCCAGGAGTTGATGCAGAACGACGACGGCGGTCCGACCTCGAAGCCAACTGTTTCCCTTTGACAATTCAAAGACTTCGAGGAAGAGATCGCAGATAGGTTTGACGAATGGTTCGGACTTTTTGGTTTCGTAGGCGTTCAGTTCGGCTTCGGCCTCGGCTGCAGTGGACGGGTTTTGTGCCACTGGATCTAGACTGTCGATTGGGGCGCCGCCGCTGATTTGCGCCGTCGCTGCAGATATAAGATTCTGACCTGCGACGGACAATTGGTCCAGAACAGGAAGGTTGCCGAGGAAATCTTCCATGCCGTCTGACACCGAGTTGTAGATTCTCGTGACGAAGTCTTTAGCATCGGCGTTGGTGTCGTTGCCGTGGGAGGCAATGGCAGCTTGAGACAGGAACGCTCGTAGCTCACGGCTGCGACAGATTGCAGGCACCAAGAGTAGTGATCGAAGGTAGCGTTCCAAGGTCCCTCTGCGCTTCTCAACAAAATCTTTCTGCAGCGTGAATAGTGCTTGACGACGCGGGAAGTCAAGCTCTCTTACTGCTGGAAAGCGCGCTTTGAGTCTCTTGTGCAGCTCATGGAATTGGCTGTACCGTCGGGTGACTGCCCACACAGCTGCAGGCATTGAGTCACCTGCTTTCCGCCTCACCTCAATCACATAAAGCGCAAATTCATGCCCGTCGTCCTCTTTGCCGACCATGACGGAATTGATTCTCACTGCAGCACGACCAAAAAGACTATTGTCGCTTTCTTGGACAACGTATTGCTGCTTTTGCATTTCTTTACGCTTTATTTCACGCTGTAAGCTTTGTTCCGATTTCTTCAATATGCGTAGCTCAGCAGTGTTGTTGGTCAGCTCCGCTTTGGCCGTGAGAGAGTCGAGCACGTTCCGCTGAGCATTGAGTCGCTCAATATCTGCGTTGAGGGCGTCTATTGCTTCGGCCAAACCGAGGTCGCCTGGAGCAGCCTCTCGCACGCCCTCATCATCTGGATCGGTAGTACCATCAGAATCCTCTTTCTCGTCTTCAGCGAACTTTTGTGCTTCGTCGCCGAATAGATCGTCAACGAAGACTCCTCTATTCGATGGAGCTCCGACAAGCCCAAGTGAGGCGATGTTCGGCTTGCCGTAATTTGAGGATGCCTGAGGCGATAGAATTGGTCTTGAGACACCTTGGCCAGGATTTGGTCTGTCCGTTTCGTCCAGTGAATTTCTCGCCGAGGAATCGGCGAAGAGAGAATCCCGATCTTCATCACCAACAATATCATCGAGAGCAAGTTGCATGGCACTCACTGCTTTTGCTTCGTCCTGCGCGCGCTGAGCCCGCTCGCCGTCGGAATCGTAGCTTTTTAGGCTCGAGGTTGATTTGATCATCGGGTCGTCGTCGAGGTCATCGCCGAATAATGCGGGCCGTGTGTTGCCATCGTCTAGAGATCGTCGGGGAGCGTCCGAGAAGAGATCGCCGTTGCTCCCGAGGGATTTCAGATCCGACGTAGAGAGTACAGCTCGACGAAGCTCGGAGTCTTTGTGCAATGCTGCAAGTTGTGGCCTCCGTGGCGGTAGTTGTCCAGAATAACTGAGCCGGGCTCCTCCAAGGGGCGGCGTGGAAACTCTTGGAACATGTACAGGTGACATTGGTGGCTGATCATTTATCGATAGCCATTTTTGATATAGATCTGATCGTCTGAAGGCCTCGAAGTGTTCTGTCTTCATAGTATTGTATATCCTTGTCTGGTGCTGCAAGACACCCCGGCGAGCTGCCACATAGTCGCGGGAATTTGCTGCACTGCCGGCTTTCAGGTACAATTTGACTGGCTGCAGTGTTCGTTCTGGGGCGTTCAACTCAGGCTGGATTAAATAGTCTTCATACATGTGCTTCATGTTCATGCGGTCTGAAGCAGTGAAGGAGGTGGGAGATACCTCGTCCTCATCACCTTCGAGCGGATTGCGGCATCCATCTACTTCGAGATAGAATTGAACCATTTTGGTGGCCTTGTGACGATCCATGTATTCCATGAATAAACTGAGACCTGCTGCGTTGTAGATAACTTCGCGCAAAGATGCCTGTCGTTTGCGATCAGCGAAGTCGACCCGTGCAGAAGATGCAGCTGAGTCGGTATCTGATGAGGCGCCCTTGGTCGAAGTGAGACGTGTGATTTGTTGGTCGAGGAGTCGCTTGCCAGTCTCGAGTCGACGAAGATAGGCTGCGTCTTGGCCACTCACGACAGAGTCGCGTGCGAGCTGAGCGACGAGTTCACTTCGGTGTCGACGGGCATCAGTCAGCGTATCGAGTTGTCTGATAGCGCGAATGAAACGTTCGAATTGGCGTTCATTGTCGTACGGACGCAACTGTGGAAACTGAGCTTTGCGCGCTGGCCGAGGTGAAGCTGGAGCATGTTCATCAAGAGCAGCTCTGACTCGTCGGACAGTCTTTCGATCTCGAAGAGCTGCACCGCCAACGTTCACGATGATTTGGTTCCATGTATCCGGTTCTATTAGCATATTAATTATCGGCGCAAGCACAGCACATGCTACAATCTCTCGGACCAGAACAAGAACAGCAGGGCTAGATTTCATGTTGGCGGGCAGAACTTTGGGCAAGAGCTTCTGTATTAGCTTTCTGAGGTACTCTTGCGCGGTGCTCGCAGTGTCGGCATATGCTAAAGATGCGACCACGTGGAGCTTGCCATTTCTGTACTTGCTTGCGATCGCGTTGCTCACTTCGTCACTCTCAGGAATCCCGTTGGCCAGGTTCTTGCCGCGGACAGTCCTTTCGGCATCGTAGAATTCCTTGAGATGATTCGTAGCGACGGGCAATAGCCCTGCGACTCCAATCTCCACCAGATCCTTCTCAGTGAGGCGCGCGATTATTGAGAGCAGGACCGCTCGGATTACTCGATCGATCTCATGCTGAAATAGTGGTCGCGGGCTTATCTTTCCATACCAGCTGGTGATGAAGTCACGCAACACCAAGTCTAGTAATCCATCCACCGCTTTGGAAAACCGAATGACCTCCGGAAATATAGCTGGCCGCCGATACTCTTCTCTTCCCTTCACACCGACTTTTTCTTCCTCCCACCGGTGGCGGGCTGTGAACGCGGGCGCGCGTGGACCATGTTCGATACGAATTGATTGAGTCTGCAGAGGTGATCTTTGCGCTGTTGTTGCGACCACAAATAACGTTCCAACGACAGCACTGATGGCGCCGAGTACGAACGCCAGCGGTATCCAGCGCAGCCTCGTGTCGAGGAAAAATATCCAGGCGGTGATCGCCGCAACGCCGGATGCGATCACATACTTGCGATTCAAGGACATATTATGCACACTAGGCGCATTCTGAATCCAGGTTCTCGTCCTGCTCGTGGACGCGTTTGGGAATCCAAAGTGGCTGTAACGACACGAGGTCGAACGTCATGCGGCCCAACCTGCTCGGTGATTGTTCCCAGCACCTTGGTCTACAATTCGGACGCTAAGCCTCATTCGTAAGAATGCCCATATCCAATGGCTGATGTTGATGTGAAATGCCATCCAACAGAAAATAAATACAAAATTGTTAAGACACCTCATGAAAATATCCAGATCCGAAGACAGTGATAGTACAATGTTGATACAATGCGATTGTAACAGAATGATCACATCGTGTGGACGTCGGCTTTCTCTCAGCCTTGCTTCCTCTCCACGGCATGATTCCGTAGACGATCGCAATGAAGCCCAATGAATTCCGTGAGATCTTGCAGGGTCACATTCTCGCGGAGGCCCAGAGCCCTGCACTGTATCTCGACTTTCTTGTTCTGAGCCCAGGACTTGCCCAGTACAATGATGAAGGGATATCCCACGAGATCTGCATCCTTCAGTCTCCAACCCAGAGGTTTCTCACGGTCGTCGATGATCGCATCCACATCCAACTCGAAACGGTGCTTTGAGATCTCATCATAGACTGAGGAGACGTCATCTGCAGAGACCTTGCCAGCCGACATAATTATGACCGTGAAAGGCGCTATCATGACAGGCCAATTGAGTCCTTTCTCATCTGCGTTGAGGGATGCGGCAGCACCCATCAAGCGTGATACGCCAACTCCGTGACATCCCATGGCTATATCGACTTCTTTGTTTTCGGCGTTCAAGACCTTTGCGGCCAGCGGCTTGCTGTATCTGGTGCCGAGGTGAAAGGTGTGTCCCACCTCAATCGCTTGATTGAGCTGGAGAGTGCCCGAGGTGCACTTGGGGCATTTCTCGCCAGATTTTGCTTGAGAGAGACCAAAAGACGAGTTTCTGATATCTCTTCTAACAGGAAATGGGCCCAATTCTTTGAGAACGACAGACTCATCCACCCTAGGATCACGGATAGTAATTTCTGCTGGAGGTGCTTCGTCCTCAAAATCCTTCGGAAGCTGATCTGACAATTGCACAGCTGTATCGAGCTCAGGCAGAAGATCCTTCAGCGCATGGCTGTTAAGCTGGGTCACATAGGGAGGAATGTAAATTGTCACCAAAGTCTTGCTGCGAACAGGTTCCGTGCTGTCAGCGACTGCACTCTTCACCCAGGTGGTTTTCACCTCTGTCTCCCCTTTGGTTTGACTATACACGACTCGGAATTCCGCTCCGACATCCTCGGGATCAACTGATTCGCGATAAAGCTCTTCATTTATGCTGTGGTCGCAGCTTGTACAGGAGATGACCGTGTCTTCACCCTTGGGAGAAGCAAGGTGATACTCATGGCTGTAGTTACCTCCCATGTTGCCGGAATCTGCGCCAGCCATGAGATATGGCATTGCGAGATCGTCGAAAAATCCTCGATACGCAACTTGGACAGCATCATATGTCTCCAAAGCGTTTGCTTCCGTCGAATCAAAGGTATACAAGTCCTTCATGATAAATTCTCGTCCACGTAGAAGGCCCTGGCGAGGTCTTGCCTCATCACGATATTTGCGCGAAACTTGGTATAATCGTAGTGGTAGATCTTTGTAAGAATGAACCGAATTGGCAACGATAGTGGTGATCTCTTCTTCGTGTGTAGGAGCTAGAAGGAATCTGGTTCCCTTCCGATCCTTCAATTTGAAAAATTCAGCATCACGGCCGTCCAAACGGCCAGACTTGGCCCACAGATCTTGTGAGCTTATAGAGGAGAGAGACACTTTCGATGCACCCAGGTTGCTCATATGCTTGTCGATCAGACTTTCGATTTTATTCTGGACGCGAAGGCCGAGAGGAAGCAAGTGGAATATCCCCGAATGAGCCTGGCGAAGAAAGCCAGCCCGGGTGAGAAGATCGTGTCCGACATCCTCTCCATCAGCAAGACTTTGGTGACTTGATAGTCCGGTCGGGGTCCAAAAGTTGCTTAGTCGGTTGCGTCCATCGACCTATGTTTCGGTGTCATCAATAACAGAACGGACGCATTGTCTGGAAGTTCGCGACTAAGCCAGTGCTATGCGGAGGACTTACATGCAGACATCGCCTTAATTGCCTTGGGGCCAATGTAGAAGACTTGTGATGCAGAACACATCTCCAAAGACGATGCAGCGACATTCGAGGAGGTCCTCAAATGCCCGGACACATCTGTTCGTGATTGGATTTCAAATAAAGTTGATGCAGATTAACGTATAGAGCACTACCTTATCAGCATATCCGGATAATATGTCGGGAGTGATCGATGTATGCCGATCTGCGCTTCGGCATAGTTGCCCAAATTTCAATATATGGAAAAAAGTTCAAGATCTCGAACTTTTTTGCGACAAACTGGGAAGATGGTTCTGCATCGACTTGGAAACATCTTGCAGGAAATTTGCAATGGCTACGAAAAGGAAATCGGGCGATTTCTCGAACAGGAATGACCATCGAAATTACAAAAAGCCTCGACAGGCAAGGCAACAGGAAGAGGCCAAATTGCTCTTTTCACCACGACCGGATTGGCACGCCGCAGAGTTACCAGCGCTCAAAGGACAAAATGTAACAAGCGCTCCCTCTCAACGGCTTCTCGAGGATCTCTTCGCACATGCGACAAATCTGCTACAGACGGAAAATGCTACATACGATGCCTCTCAGAAAAATAGCTCCTCGCAGCATAAATTCTTTTCCACCATCATGGCATCGGGTACATTGGAGGATAAAGTGTCTGCTTTGACCTTGCTTGTCCAGGAGTCGCCACTGCATGCAACAAAAGCTTTCGAGAGCTTAGTTGGGCTGTCACGGAAGAAGAGCAGAGAGCAGGCGCTCATGGCCGTAGCAGCTCTGAAAGATTTGCTGGGTCAAGGTGGAGTATTACCAGGAGATCGAAAACTTCGGGCATTCGCAAAACAACCCGGTCTGATCAGCGCCTTGCAGGGCAAAGTGGCGCGTTGGTCTGAGGGCGAACCTTTACCTGGTGGGCTTCAAGAAATTCACCTGCTTGTCTGGGCTTTCGAGGACTGGTTGAAGAAGGCATACTTTGAGCTTCTGCAGGTTCTCGAGACATGGTGCAATGATGAGGTCTCGTATGCACGGACAAGAGCCATTACATATGTCTGGGAGTTGCTCAAGGATAAGCCGGAGCAAGAGGAAAACCTCCTACGACTACTGGTGAACAAACTTGGAGATCCGGATCGCAAGATTGCCTCGAGAGCTTCGCATCTGTTGTTGCAATTGGAGACTGAGCATCCTGCCATGAAATTGGTGGTCACTAATAGTGTCGAAGCGGACTGTCTATTTCGTCCAGGCCAAAGCCTTCACGCGAAGTATTATGCCATCATCACCCTGAATCAGACTGTGCTCGGGAAGAAGGAGGAAGAGCTTGCCAACAGATTACTCGACATTTACTTCAGTCTTTTCATTCAACTTTTGAAACCGATAGCATCAGATGAAGATGAAGCCATTGTCGCAAAGCGTAAAGTTGCCGAGAGGGAACAGGGCGGCGGCGGCAAGGCGGGCAAGATGGCGGCTAAGAAGCGCAAAGCAGAAGAGCGCACGGAAGAGTCGGTCGGTCAGCTACGTGACAAGATGACTGCGCAAGTATTGGCTGGCGTGAACCGAGCATTCCCCTACGCCGACGTGAACGATCCCAACTTTGAGCAGCAGCTGAACACTATATTCCGGGTGACGCACTCTGAGAATTTTAACACTTGCGTTCAGGCTCTGATTCTGCTACAACAAATATCATCACGCAAGCACTTCGGCGCCGAACGCTATTACAGGACCCTATACGAATCTCTCCTGGATCCCCGATTGATCACATCTAGTAAGCAGATTATGTATCTCAATCTGCTCTACAAGAGTCTCAAGTCGGATTTGAATGCGAAGCGTGTCCAGGCTTTTGTCAAACGCCTTTCGCAAACAATCAATCTTCATGAGCCACCTTTTGCGTGCGGAATCATTTACCTGATCAGCGAACTCGAGGGAACTTTCCCGAGCATCAGGAATATGCTCACTGAGCCTGAAATCGCAGATGAAGACGAAGAAGAGCATTTTTATGATGTACCAGAAACCGCCGACGGAGCTGTAGACGGAGCCGACGCATCGCCTGCAGTGAAGAAATTCTCAACATCCTACGACGCTAAGAAGCGAGATCCCGAACATGCCCACGCTGATCGATCATGTCTCTGGGATATCCTACCATTCCTACAGCACTTCCATCCATCGGTAGCGCTGTTCGCCGAGAACCTCTATCTCCGCAAGAAGATGCCCCCCAAACCGGACCCTGCACAACACTCACTGATGCACTTTCTCGATCGCTTTGTCTACCGTAATCCACGCACGAAGCAAGGAGTCACGCATGGTAGCTCCATCATGCAGCCCATGGGTGGCAGCAGTGCCGCGGATCTATTGTTCAAGGCCGGAAACGAGATCAGCGGCGCCAAGGCACAAGCGCCAGTCAACGCGGAGGCATTCTGGACCAAGAAGGTCGAAGACGTGCCCGTCGACGAGGTATTCTTCCACAGCTACTTCAACGCCGCGGGCAACAGCAAGAAACGTGCTGCTACGACGGCGAAGGACGCGAAGAAGAGACGATCGGGTGACGATGAAGACAGCGAGGACGAAGGCGAGGAGGAGATATGGCAAGCCATCGCAAACTCGAAGCCAGAGGTCGACGGTGACGACGAGGACGATGATCTTAGCATGGGTGATTTGGAAAGTGCTTTCAGCGATAGCGATCTAGGCTCAGAGGGCGGCATCAACCTCGGCGGAGGAGATGATGGCGATGAAGATGCCGAGGCAGCATTGAATGGCAAGGATGAGATGGATGGCGACTTCCCTGAGTTTGAGAGTGACGACGAAGCCATGTTCGACGACGATGACGATGTACCTGAAGGTCTTGACGACGAGAGCGAGGAAGAGGGCGGCAAGGAGTTGTCGCACAGCCAGAAGAAGCGCAAGGAGAGGAAGAAGCTCAAGAGTCTGCCTACGTTCGCATCGGCGGAGGACTATGCCAAGCTGTTGGATGCAGATGACGATGACAACTTCAAGGTGTAAGCGGATAGAATTTAATGTTTCCATATCGGATAGACCAAACTTGAAATTCAACCACTACAACGTCAAATCGGGCAATCAGCCCAGCCTGCCACATAATGCATTCAGTGTTCGCAGAAAACGGGCACTAATATGATTTCACATTCTCCACCTCAATCCGCTGAAATAATGATCCCAACAACCGCCGCTACATGACATTTCCACTTCATCGTCACCCCATAGCTCCAAAGCTCTAGTAGAATTTAGGAGAGATATAACCCCTGGTACCTTGTCCTCTCTTCGGGGTGAAGTACACCTTCAGACGCCGCGGCGGCGGACGCGCAGTGAAAAAGGTCGAGCAAGCATCCTCGATGTAAGCATAGTACGTTTGAAAACCTTGGGCATCAATGGCGCCTTGATACTGCAGGACTTTGGGAATCTTCTCCTCTTGAGTCTCACTTATCATCGGACGTGTGGTCAGCGTTTTGATGCCCGTGGAGAGGCGAATATCCGCCTGTGCTGGAAGACAAGGGACAGGGAAGAAGAAAGACTTACACTTCTCCCTCGCCAAACAAGGAATAATACGCCAGCTCATATTTCGTATCCTGCGGGTCCCGCTGGAAGACTACATCGTACGCGCAACCTCCGCGAGGGATGGCGTCGAAGTTGAAGGGTTGCTTGATTTTGGTATCCGGCCATGTGCGGCTCCAGCTGGTGCCGACCTCTGATCGGCCTGGGCCTCCGCCAATCTGTCGGACGACAAGCTCCGATGTAGGTGCGTCGACTTCGGCATCGATTGGAGCGGCGCTGGTGACGGAGAAAGAGGCCAGGAGACTCACAGCAAGGGTTGTGAAGGATTTCATTTTTCGGCGCGGAAAGGATGAGATTCGGTTTGAGATGATGTGGGGCTTTGATTCAGCGAGGCATTGGATCGTGGATTATATAGATGTCCTTGTTACGGGACTACGACGTGTCTGATCTTCGCGTATTTCCCATGCTACAATGGGCATGGGAGCGCCAAAGCCTTGGACGCCTTGGCTGATGTACCGGGCGCTGAGACTTGAACTCGGCTGCTTTCTCGAGGAGTTCGCCCTCCACGCAGTTCCTTGGCTCCTCTTGTCGTGTATATTCATGCTGTATAATGCCATGCCACGCGCGCACCGAAGAGGTTAAGATTGCTGTCGATCATCGACGCTGGGCGCTGCCAAGCATATTCTAAGCAGGCGGTCCAGGAGTCTCGCTGAAGGTTTTCTGCCCGAGGACAACGCCAGCCAAGCTCCGACACGAGCTCTCCGCAACTTGGCACAGCTCAGCACATAACGTCGTGGCAGTATGAATGCGACTCCTCAAGCGAGGCGGAGGTCTTGGTGCTGTATCGCTAATCTATAGAGGTGCAGCTGCACCTCCACCTGGGCAGTATTGATCCTTAGGGTTGTCGCACTGGTGCCGTCCGTGCTGCAATGTGCCGCGGTACGAACCGCGACATCATTGCAACGACAAATGCAGCCGTGTGAGTCGGTCAGGCAACACTGATGATGCGGTCCTTCATGCGGTGGCTTTGAAAGAAGCGAACATCCCGCAGAAGACAGCGCTGACGTGACGTTGATTGATGGCATCGGACGTGCTGCTCGAAAGACGCAGTGTCCCTGGGAGCGACGTGAATATGCGCATCTTGAAAGGCACGAATCCGAAGACATCTCAGTTCGGGAGAACTCTCATCTACCTTCTCGAGGAAGATATACCTCCTGCAAATAGCATCGATTTTGAAGACGATAGTGTCTGGCGAGGGCCGTTTCGCATATCAGGATGCACGTGTTGTCATACGGGCATGCGTTCGCATGATGCTTCGAACTCACAAAACGTCCATGACGACTCATAAGACTGGAACGGCTGCCAAGTCCGTCGGGCGTAGATTTGGGCACCGAGAGATGTATGAAACACATCGCAACATGGATGTGGACACCGCATCACCGGACATCATTGGAGTTGTGTATAGCGCAGCAGGTCGAGTCGGTAGGCACGCAACGATCGCCACTGGAGCAGCATTTCTCATTCGATCTGCAGACAGAATCCCCACAGCGCGAGCCTACCTTCCGAAAGCATCCACGGCCCAGGAAGCAAACGTCGGCGGGATAGCAAAAGACATCACCACAGCAAGTGGTACCTATGGGTGCGCAGCCTCTTCCATCACAGCACATTTGATCAGCTTCAGAGTCCATGCGGACTGCCGCGGAAATCCTGGTATTCATGTCGCATCTTGTGTACTTCTAGGCTGAGAGCCTGTCGCATGAAGGCGTGTTGCTGGCCGTTGGGGACGCGAGGGACGCGAGCAAGCTTATCCGCCAAATGGATAGCGAAGGGCTATCTGTCTCTGTCACCCCAATCACGGGTGAGGACGATACTGCGCAGCACGTTCAAGGTCATGTACCGCCCTGAGATGTAGCACCTCGCTTGTCGATTCAGAGGAACATCTGCGAGTGTGGCAAGGCCAGGCTGATGTTGATAGGGTTTTGGACTGCGCGCCACCATCAGGTGAGCCGACTCCAGAAGCTACCTGGGCAGAGGGTTGACGAAATAAATCCTGCTAGATCGCAGTATGGCCGAATTTGCTATCAAGTAGGCTATCCGTCCGGCTGTGTGAAATTGTGCATTTAGGATTTGATTGGGAGAGTTGGGAACTGTATCAAGATGCCAAGAAAGCCCAACGCTTGCTTTCTGGCGTCGTATCCTGCTCCTCTTCACAGCACGAGAACCCATCGAGATAGCATTCAATGGACAGGAACGCAAGGGTGCAAGCATGATTTGATCGACATGTGTTATCTCGTCGCAGCCCTTCTGGGATGCTCTCACGCAAGTCTACGGTACTTCGGTTAAGAAAATGGCAACACTGCCACAAATACTGCACCATCAGGATTGATATCGCGCAAGTGCGCGATCTTTGAGAGACCCAGCTTACTACCTAACATATGTGTCGTGGCATGTATTGGAGTACAATCTCCGCCCTGGCGGCGGACAGGCTCGCAGCCCTTTGAACAGAGAACGAATGACTATAGCTAGACAGTGAACAGCAAAGACAAGAAGCACAGTAGTCTGTCCCTCTCCCTCTCTCTTCGCAAACATCCACACCTTGTGAAGACTCATTCTGCCAGATCTAGAGATCTCTGGGATCACCATTCTCTCTTCGACGTTTCATTATTTTCTCGCCCCGTTCAGCGAATGCCGCCGCTCGAGAACCTGCAAATGTCGGATCAGGCGAAAACTTCAGCGTTAAGGAGAGGTCTAGACTTCCGCCGTTCGCGTAGAGTTCTTCTAGGACCTCGCTAAGCAAGGTCTTTATGCTCTCGTCGTCTGCTCGCTCGCCCGTAATAAGCACCGAGTCGATAGTAGAAATGTTCTTGTATTTGGATACTTGGCTGCTGTTCCGTAGCAGTTCGCGAAGCTCGGACTTGAAGAGATCGTCGCAATAGGCTTGGACGTCAGAGTTTTTGCTGGGATTTTCATTGACGCATGCTTCCCGGGCGTCGAAGCCAAGTCCACGACGCGAGTAGATACCATGTTCAGATCGCGGCCACACCAATCCACATTCCTCTTCCCAAAGCGATAACACGAGAGATCGCCGCGTGTATTCGACGCCTAACATGAACTTGCCCGGGTCATTGTAATACGGTTCTCCGGGCCAAAGGTAAGCAGAGCAACGTCCTCCCATTCCGAGTGCCCAATTAAGCTCCGGAAATATACGGTAGGGGCGGCTCCAGGTGTGCACATGAATGCTGTCTAGGGCCGATCGGACATCTTCCTGAGCCCGAGCCCAGCGGTCGAAAGGAATCGCATCAAGCGATACTAATACCGACTCGACGGGCCGCTCGATAAATGACCTAGCAGCAGCCACGAGGGCGTGGAGAATTGGAGTGAGAGCATTTACGGTCGTACTGAAAGGCCAGAATCGTTCGCAGAGCTGTTTTGATAAGGGACAATACGGGAATTGGGTGAGATCTTGCTGCTGTAATTCGCCTAGCATGTACGCTTTGTATGTTGCCCCACCTTCGATCTTGGCAATATCGATGTATTTGTCGTTCTCGGTGAAGGCGCTCACGGTGCTGGTTGTTATGGAGGGTTAATTTGGCGCACTAAAGTATGTATACGGAGTGTTCCCTTACGCATAACCGTCATAGAGGGTAATACCAATACCGGGATCTTTGTCTTTGCCTTTATCCTCGGTAGCGAGTCCGACATCGAGCCAGATAGAGATAGCGATTAAGATAAAATAAGACCTCATTATGAGGGAAATGTTGTGACCTTGGAGCAAGGAAGACGCGGGCGATGTGCCCTTGATGTAGATGTGTGCCGTTGATGTATACAGATGTTCGAAGTCCATCCCGCTCAGGCAGACAGTTTGCGGCGCAAGTTGTGTCCACGACAAGACGCTACAGTGAAACAACAATTGTAATAAAGGGATTGCTGATTGGCCCATATCTATGCGCCGTGCAGGGTAACGAACAAGGCTGACTGCATGTCCCGGCCGGGCGCTTCTGGTGCTCTTTTCTAACTAAACGCCGTGCTACTGTACTAACGTCCCGATGCTATTTTTGGTGCGGTCCGTCTCCCGAGCATGTCCGAGGTTGTTGTTCTTGCCTGCCATTAATAACACATTTTACGAAACATTTGCTGCAGCAAATATCATAGGTGTTTTCATAGTTGCAGAAGTTGCAGAAGCCGTGATATCAGTGTTGTAGCATAAGAAGCGGTACTATCAATAATTATATAATTAATAACGTAATCTATCACCGAGCGGGCCAAATCACCGAACGGGCCATTTTGTCTTGGCATTGTAAACAACATCTTTCCTGTTTATTGTATCAACAACGAGACATGT